TAAACAATATTTTCTATAGTTTGGTTTGTAAGGGTTAGTTATGCTTTTACGAGTTGATCACGAATTCATATCAGTTGGAGAACCACTGAAAACCAGCCACAGGGAGTACTAGACAGCTGTTTCATCCTAGTTTGGGATCATCGATAGTACACACCCACCACCAGCCATGGTTCGAACCCAGGACTTTCCGGTTACAAGGCCAGTGAGCTCGTATACCATTCAGCCACTCACCGGGACCCGATTCAATGGCCAGCTCATGAATTCTAACTTCTACCAATTCGTGATTTAGCGCGACAGGCACCAACCAATATCGTCGGTGGGACATCCATCCACACACGTACATCTAATTGGACCTCTCTGGTGAGAATAATATTCCGTTGGAGTCCACTTGTCTATATCACACCACCACAAATATCACTGTCTCTCTACTATTCACTTTGAGTTCATTTCGCTTCACTTCTTCTTTTAATAACACTTTCACCTTTTTAATTATTATCGCATTATAATTGCATAAAATTACGCATACACACACACACACAAACTGATATATATTATGCTTTCTGTTGAGTTAAATAAAATAAAAAAACAACTTCAGTGCATGTTCACTGAGAATCCCACAAAAGCGCTTTGTGTAACGTTCCTTTCTTTGCTTTCTTTCTTTTCCTATAACCGCACAATAAAATGCTGTCTACCCTACCCTTTATGCTTTACATGGATTTTGAAAATGTTGTAAAAAAAGCACAACAACAGATCTCCTAACTATTCCCGCTTCAATGCATGTTGTAATCAGCTTACAATAACCTTTTAAGTTTGCTAACTGTTAAGTGTGAATTATAACTTGAAGTTCACATGAATAGTTTAAACACTGTTGGATCACAAACTGATATTTAGTTACACAAATTTTGAATACCAAGTCATACTACTTTCGTTGTAGTTCACGACAAGTAGAATTTTCAAAAGTTTTGGTTACAGGATTTCATCATCAGCTGACATCAGTTACAGGACCATTAGAAAATCACTAGGGAAATCTGAACAGCTGTTTTGTCCTAGTGCTCGGGACTCTTCATCAGAACGCATCCACCACAGGAGTTTCGAACTCAGGACCTTCTGGTTACAAGGCTAGTGAGCTCGTAGACCATTAGGCAGCCATTGAGACCTGATCCTATGACCAGTGCATGAATTCTAACTTCTGCCAATTCACGATATAGCGCGAGCGCTCGCCAACGTCTTTGGCTCATGATGAAATCCTGTAACCAATCAACCAATCAAATCCCTACAAACCAATACTTGAATTTCAAAGGTTTATTTGTTAAGAATTTGATTTGCTTCATATTTGATCACGGATTGATATTAGTTGTAGCAGGGGGGGTGTTAAAAACAAGGGAGTATTGGACATTTGTTTCGTCCTAGTTTGAGATTCATCGGCAGTACACTACACACACTACCACCATTCACCCACTTGGAATGCACTTACTGACCTACTAGTTTGTCATTCCCTGCATGTTTGGCACCAACCATTGACATTGGCGAGTATTTGTCCTCACTCCCGACCTTGTGGACCATTGGTCACACGATTTCCCACATTAGAACTCTATGCAACTTCGTCCTATTACTAGTCACTAGCCAGCATCATGGTCTACGAGATAACTTTTTCATCGATAGGTCTTGGATTCGGATATGGGTGGTGAGTGTGAATTGCTGTTAAGTCCCAAACTTGGGAAGAAACAGCTCTCCAGTTTACCCTACTGGTTTTCAATAGTCCTCTAACTGATATCAATCTGTGATCAAACTTCAAAAAAAGTAGAATTCATGACCCATTTGATGCCATCAAGTGACTTATAGCGTAATCTGCATATTCGGAGTTCGATATCCGATGACATAGTGAGTGGGTGGGTGGCTGTGTATTACTGAATAAATAATAGTAGCTCTTAACTTACATGACCTCGTGACCTACTTTGAAATCAGTCAGAACACCGTAATTTCATTAATTATGAAGTGTTGACACATGGTCAAATGTGTAGAGTCATCTATTTATTTTGAAATCCGGGAAATACTGGGCGACATCTCAACTTTCCCATTGAGTTAAACGAGGAGAACAATACATATATGTTGTAAACTACGGTGTGGCATGCATCTCTTTGGTGTAATAGAATGTACTTCTGTTAAAAATGTATGAAAATATCAGCATTTTGTTTTAAGCTATGTAATGCTTATGTAATAATGGAGCAAAATTTTTTCTTATTATATTCATTCTTTAACCTACCCACCCCCGTTGGAACATAAGGTCTCAAGTTTTAAAATTTCAGTAGCGCTGGTCCTGTTGCTTTCTACAGGGTGGCGGGGGGGGGGGAGTGGATGGAAAGAGGTGTATGTGCTAGCCACACATTCAACCTTCCCTTTGTCCTGGGCTTACATAATCAGCTAGTAAATTAAATGGCATTTTTAAAGTGCATCAGTAGCGAACAACGAAGAATTACTGTTCACCCAGCAAGCTAATATACCTGATGAAATAGCAGATTTATCCTTTAAAAATTGAGGTAATTTGACCTTCATTCCAATACATCATGAACAAAGCAACATATTCCAAGTTCTTACCTTCAAATTAATGGAGCTTGTTGTTAGAACGTAGTTATCAGGGTCAGACTGTTTATATATCAGGCTATCAGCCTGATATGTATCCATATATATATATATATATATATGTGTATGGTGGTCTCTCTTTCTGTTGCTCTCTTAGTCTGTGACCATTTCGCTTTGATGAACCTGTCTCCTTTAACAATGTATATTCCCCTTATATTATATATAATATGTGTGTTTGTTGATAGTCTGTTATATTTCGCTATGTATATGTGGATAGATACTCCATTATAATTAGCCAATCATGTTAAGACTGTCTATTGATTTGTTCACACACTTGTTTGGACATTCATATATATTTTGCTCTCACACTATTGTGGGATACTTTGCTTCTCCTTGTGTTTGGAAAATAGAAGTATCATCGCAAACCTAGTGGTCTTCTGATTTCCGTCTTTCTTGCGTCAGGACTATTAAATTCTCGACCAGTACATAACAATAATTTGGCGACGAGTACATAACACAGCCACACTTATTATGTGCAGGGAATTGATTCTTCTACCGAGACTTTTAGGTTGATGTAGGTAGAGTGTAAGTCGACTCCTAGGAACCATTAGCAGACTGTCGAGTGCTCAAGACAATGAACCATTCTTCCATACAGTTTCTTACTGTAGATATCATCCCGTTAAATTTGATATCTTTGATGTAGTTGTGTTCTCTGAGATGGATGGTTTATCTGCGAAGCTTTCATTGCATCCTACTAGGCAACAACCCCAACGCGCATACTTCAATTTTTGACATCAGCTTTTAGGTTTCTCCACGACTTCATTAATCACCTCTCCTAGTTGGTGACCTTGAACATCATGACTGGCTACTTGTATTGGTACTGATTGTTTCTTTGACTTGAACTTTGACCCTTTTTGTGTGAGATTTCCATCTTATCGGTTGATAAATTTTGTCTGTTTCGATGTAGCTATTGATTGATGATTCAGTGGAATACCCAAGGAAAGCACAAAGAAAATCCCCCTAACATATATAAAAGACATCTCAGAAATCACTGCAAAAGTCTTCAAACCTTTAGGAATTGACATCGTACACAAACCAACAAAACCACTTCACCACTCAGCTGACTGGCTCTATGTCAACCAAAAGACTCAATAGTAAAAGAAGATAAAACCAACATCATTTACAAAATAAACTGTAACAACTGCGAAAAACACTAACTGAATTGGCCAAAATAGGCGTCCCCTTCGTCTTCCTATCCATAAACATAAGCTAGCCGTCAAAAGACATGATATCCACTCCCTCGCTCATATCACTACATACAGACAACCATGGACATCAATTCGACTGAAACAACCAACGTTCAAATATTAGACAGGGGAAACATCAAGAATGCTAGAGAATTCTTAGAAGCTCGCCTGGTATTCCAGTGAATCGTCAACCAATAGACACATCGACACATAGACAAAATTTTACCAACCGATAAGAAGGAAATCTCACACACACAGAGCGTCAAACTTCAGGTCAAGGAAACAATCAGTACCAATACGAGTAGCCTAGAGGGTATGAAAATACTCACAAACAACCAATCATAACGTTCTAGGTCACCCACCAGAAGAGATGACTAATGAAGTCGTGGAGAAACCTAAAAGCTGACGCCAACATATTGAAGTATGCGCGTTGGGGATGTTGCCTAGTAGGGGGGCAATGAAAGCTTCGCAAATAAACCGTCAAAATCATCCACCTGAGCTACAAAAATCTTCTCCATCATATCTAAATTTGACATCATTATGGATCACATCATATATGAAAATCAAATGACTGTAAAAGGTTCATAAGAGTATTAATTTAAAAAGTGATCTCCGGCTAACCCCATTAGGAAACTACTTTTTAAATGATCACCTACCAGGTAGTTTGAAATTATTTACTCTTTTTGACTATAAAATCAACATGTTGAGGAGTTGGAATTACTCCACTTTTTATTTCAAAATGAAACATTTATGTTAAATATTGTGTTTGTTTACTTTCATTCTTTTGCGTGCCAAGGGGGACATATGGCTTCAAGCTTCAACTTAGAAGTTTTACTCCTGATGGTGTTGTATTTTTACGTGGTAAGGTTACTAGCCTTACACCCAATCTTCCCTCTTTACCGCATTTACCATCAACCAATCAATGTTTGGGAGAGCGTCTGCAGGGAATCGAATCCTAATCTAATACATTGTTGGTGAGCACTAGAGAACTACAAATGCTAAATGCAGTGTACTTCTCACGAATGAAACCTATTCATCATTTCCGTTAAGTTATGTAAATATAAATAATAATAATAAGTAGAACTTCTAATTCAGTCAGTTGTATAACACTTCAATTTTCTTATATTCCCTAATAATGATTACCCTTCTTCTGCTTTTTGTTGTCGTCTCTAGTCCTGGTGCAGATGGCACAGGTAGTGTACCGATACCGATAGCTGAGAAATCAAAAGATGATAATGCTATGACAGCTGCATTGAATATAGCTGGACCAAATGGTCTGTTGAAGTTAGCCGATTGTCCATTATTCCCATTGACCAAATTGAAATCAGTCTGTTTAAATTGTCTAGTGGATAGTGTCTACAAAGGTGGAAGTATACGTGATCCAGCCGGTGGCAACTTTGAACATCTTTTATTGTAAGTGTAATTGTTTTCTTTTTTTTTTGGAAATTTTTATTATTTTTCTATTGAATCCTGTTTATAAAATTATATCTTCAATTATCCTCCAGGGAGTTTACCAAGTCGATATTTAAAAGATCTACTGGAAAAATCAGGTGTAGTTTGTCACTCGTAGATAATACCATGACGACAGAAGACAACAGCCAGGCAATAGATCATTTATTGAGAAAATTAGAAGATATTTATAGATTTTTATGTACATTGTTGTTAGCAAAGAAGCAATGTCTCCTGATTGGTTGTTTTCTTGCTCAAGGTTATTCTGCTATCTCTTTGTGGCTGTTTCTTAGAAAGTTAGGCCCTATATCTGCGAATCGTATTAGCACACGTTGAGTCTTCTGTTATTGGTTGATAATAATAAGGATAATAATAGTTTACTTTATTCCAAAACAGTACTTGTGATACACGGAATGGAATTCTCAGCATTTCACTACACATAGTATTGCATCCAGTTAGTACATTAACAATAAATAAAATTCTATATAGATTAAAGGTAATCTCAGTTCATTATGACAACAACATATTGGCATGTCGGTAGCAAAGCCGAAATTGAACAGAATGTTTGAAAGTGCTAGAAAAGTAGATACTAGCATATTAACTGGCGTAAGCGGTAACAAATCGGTCGAGATATACAAAGTGTGAAAAAACGAAGAAGAATGTTTTCAACAGAGTTTGTAAGGAAGAAAGAAACAAAGCAGCACATAACACAGGAATAACGAGGGAGAAAAGGAAAAGAAAGAAAGAAAAACGTTGTACCTATAAATGATATCAGTTGGAAAGATGAGATCCAGTTGTTCTACTGATTATTTGATAAGTTGAAGGCGCCACACCTAATGCTTTCTTTGTCGCACAGAACACGAGCCAAGTAGGTAGGGTACGGTTGAGTTTTGTACTTGCTAGTCCGAGCATATCGTTTTCTATATAGGTAGGCTTCTGGTTTTGCCTGATGAGGTAAAAGGGTGGGACAGTTGTGAATGAAGAGCGTGAGTGGTGTGAGTTAGATAGATAGATAGAATGGATTTAGCCCATTTTTCACATGAGTCCAAGTGCCTGTCAACCAGAATATTAACAAGCTGGTTAAGTGGCACCTTGTGGCTTACCCTGCTGACAACCTTTAACATCCTGAGTAATAAGGCATAGTCTTTCTTCAGTAGCCCAGGAAAAACTAAGAGGGAACAATAGAGAATAATAGGCACGATGCAAGAGTTAACGAATCGTAAGAGTAAGGGTTGAGTTACTCCAGAATGTCTTAACTTCTTGATGTAGAAGGTAAGACGGAATATTTTCTTAGAAATCATCATCAAGATATGAGTTCCTCAAGATTTAGCCTTGTTCTTGTTTTTTCTCATGACCAAAATTTGGGATGTAAATATTGACGCAAATTGTTGTCTACAACTTTTGGCTTACAGACAACTCTCACCACAATTTTACTGTTTAATCGTTTTGAGATAATAATTAATCGTGCATCATCCTTTTTTTAAAATTCATTTCTTAGACCACTTATAAAAACTATCAACTGTCTACTTGTAATGGGTACATTAGATTCAAAAGAAATTAATATACTATTAGCATTGCTGGATCCTGAATCATTTAAGATATCACCACCACTAAGAGGTTAGTAAATGTGAATGTATATATGTAGTGTTTATCTCCTTTTATTGAATTTCTTAAAAGTTTATGAAGCTGATTTTCTATAGTTATTTCATACATTTATTCGCCATGATGCATTTGAATAAAGTAAAAATAACAGCATGCCGAGTAATTCATAACGGGAAACTCACGGAAACCTTCGAAGAAGTGAAGACGGGAGTAAGACAAGCTGGTTGGCTGCCTACTATCTCCAATGATTTCCCTGATGATTGCGGTAGACTGGATAATGCGACAGGCACACAGTGGGCAACGAGGAGACAGACATAAAATGGACCTACACAAAACACTTGGAGGATCTGGACTTCGCCGATGACTTATATATATATATATATATATATATATATATAAAATAATATATATATATATATATATGTCTGATTTCCCACAAACTGGAAGATAAGCAAGTGAAAAGCAACAAGTTGGCAGAAAAAGCATCCAGTGAAGTTAGGACTTCCTTCAGGTGAACATACAGAAAACAGAAGCAGGTTATGAAGATTCCTGGCCAGCAGTAACAGCCACAGCAACAACAACAACAACAACAGACAACAATCAGCATAAATGGGATGAATCTGAAAGAAACAACCTCCCTTACCATCTACCTACCCGGCAAGTATCATTTCAACTACAGGCGGATGCAACTGATGAGGGTATCAAGGCGATGATTGGGAAAGCGAAGCAAGCTTTCATCGCTCTCAAGTTTGTGTGGAGGTCAACAGCAGTCCTCAGCATGAAAAATAAGATCCAGATTTTCAACTATAATGTGAAGTCAGTGCTACTCACTATACGGATCAGAGACTTGGCACCACGCCGCGTCACGAAGGCCACTTCGAACAAACTACACACTTTCGTCAACAGTTGTCTTCGCTCAGTACTACTCAAGATCAGATGGCCGGCCAGAAAAGATCATCACTAGTGAAGAATCACTGGGAGCGAACCAATCCAGCAGGAACCGACTGTGCAACAAATATGCAGGAAGAAATGGAGGTGGATTGGCCATACCTTGAGAAAACAAACCATCAAGTGAGCAACATCACACACGAGGCCATCGCTCAAGTAGAACCCGAATAGGAAGCGACTAGTTGGTCGTCCTGGGGCGACATGAAGGAGGACATGTGAAGAGGAGATGAAAGCATGCGGGCAGACGTAGAGCCAGATGAAAACGTTGGAAGGGAAATGAACTCAATGGAGACGTGCGGCTGAAGCCCTATGTTTCTCTAGGAACTAAAGGAAACAATAATTATAATAATAACAGTGATTTGTGCATAACAACATGGTGCCATCACTGTTTATTTGGTTGGCTTCTCGTCAGCTGCTTACAGCCTAAATATATCATTGTTAAGTGTATGTAAAAAACATACTTACACAGAGAGTTCACTTCTAAACATAAAATCAATGTGTGCATACAATGTTAGTAATAATAGTAATTATCACTTTATTCCAAACCACAGTAATAATCATACAAGAGAATAAGCTCTACAGAGAAATTGGAGCAAACGTGGTTCTGATTCTCTGAAATATGTTGAAAAATAACAGCTACCCTCAGAGGTCCATCAGCATGTACGGAAGATGTTTAGGCTCTAATGTCAAACAAACCACAGTGCGAGAAAGCCTATCTTCACCAAAACTTGATTTCGAAGGTGAACATATTACAGCAATTATCAACGGAAGATTGAGGACGTCACTAGCCAGAGCCTACTTTGCAGTTAATCTGGCTCTTGTCTATCGGACAACATTCTCTTTGATTCACTTGGAAGTCGACTGATACCCTTCTCATGTGAACTCCAACTGTATATACAAATTTAGATGTTTCTGCGGGAGCAGTTACATTGGAAGAACAGTAAGATGAAGGGCACGTCTCCGATTTTCTGAACATGTACCAAAAAGCCTATGTCTAAAGGCAACAAATGCTTTAAACAGTGCCGTTGCCATGTCCTTCATCAATAGGGTCATTAGGTGAACATTAAAAATTCCTTCAAAACTATCAATAAACAAAAGAACTCAGTTCTCCCCAAAGTTTGATGAAACAATCTCTATCAAATGCTTGATACCCCTGATTTATTTGTTCAGAAAGGAACAGTTATCCGTTTTTCCTTTCCCTGGTAACTGGATGTCTTTATTCTGTCTTTCATTTGATTGCGTAAAGTTGAAAGTTCTATTTTGTATTATAATTATTGTTTTGGATAAAGTGATTATTATTATTAATAGTAGTATTATTAGTAATGCATGCATACTTTGATTTTTTGTTTAAAACTGAACTCTCTGAGCAACGTCTTCTGAATGGTTGTGTTTCTTTGCTGAAGGTTATTCTGTACTGTTTGTGATCGTTTCTTAGAAAGTTAAGCCATATATCTGTGAATTGTATTTGCACGCGTTAAGTTTTCTGTGATTGGTTGTTTAGTTCCTCAAGGTTAAGCTTTGTTATTGTGTTTTCATTTTCTCATGAGCCCGATTCGGAACGTGAACACTGACGTAAATTGTTGTTTACAATTTTGTCTTACAGACAGCTCTCACCACAAAATGACATAAGAAATTTATTTGACAAACTTAAGAAAAAAGCATCATACATATATCCCTTTAAATGCTTCACTAGATCTGAGTACATTGGTGGCATCATGCGCCCCAACATTATCCAGAAGAGAAGTATATCATTCATTTGAAAAAGAGATCACTTTCTTGAACTGATGAAACCTCTTCAATTGAATAAGATCAAGACATCTGGACACAACAGAGGCATAAAGGATCTAAAAATTAGACTGATGTATATATATATATATATATATATGTCGCTGTTCCACAGCAACTATCCTTCATTCGATTAGCTTCTATGTTTAGTGTTTGACTTTAGCACTGAATAAAAAGGATTTAAATATTTAAGGCTCAACATGTAGACAACCTATGTCTATTTGAAATTCAAAGTGTTCTCTGAGCTGGTTGGTTTAGTTGCGGAGATTTCGTCGTCCCCCTTCTCGACAGCAGCCCCCTTCCGCGCAGTGCATCGGTGGCACAGTGGTTAGGACTGTCGCCGACCATGCACATGGTCCGGGGTTCGAGCCCGCACCGACGCACACCTGATGTCTATGGTCGGCCTGCGAATTTGGGCTACCGATATCCATGCTGAAAATTCCATACTTGTACCAAAAATACGGTGTGGAATCAAGCTGTAAATCAAAAAAATAAATAAATAAAATAAAATAAAAAAATATTTAGCATAAAGTGAAATGATTTAAACTTCTTCATGAGTGATATAATTGCGTCTCCTGGTAACCATCTTTACATCTGTGTTGATCATTTTCCATTGACTTGGATTTTAAACTTTCTGGTCACGTGATTTACTTTTTATTAGTTGGTATATTTCGTCTATATTAACGTGTTTGTTAATTGCCTACTCGCTTGAGTACCAGGCTTCTAGGAATTCCCTGGCACTTCTGTCAAAACTTTCGACATTATCCCAATCAAACTGATGTCCATAATTGTCTATATGCATTGATATGAAACAAGCATATATATCATGTCTTTTCACAGCTGATTTGTGTTCTTGGATTCTAATTCGAAGGGAACGTTGACTTTGGCCGATGTAATGTCTGTTACAGTTCATACATGCAATTTATTTTGTAAATGGTATTAATTCACTGTACTTAGAACACAAGATATAGATAGATTTTTCGAACACATCAACTCGAAGGTAGAGACAATTCAATTCACTTATGAATTCGAAAGTCAGGAAACGGGGGAACTTCCAATGTTAGATATTTGGATTTCCGATCATCCCATCCTATGTCAGTAAAAATAGGATTAGTGAAATGTTTAAATGACAGAGCACAGAAACTAAGTAGTACCAAGGAAAATCAAAGACAGGAAGTGATACACATAAAAGAAGCCTTGAAACTTAATAATTATCCGGATAAATTAGTCAGGAAATATGTGGGTAAATGTAAAAATAAATAATGATAGTAGCGATAGTGATGATACTAATAATAATGATAACAATAATAATGATAATAATAATAATAATAATAATAATGGTAATAATAATAGTGATAATAATAATATTAATGACGACACCAACAATAAGGAATCCAAATCAACAGTAGTAATTCCATACAAGGAAGGAACCTCGGAAACCACCTTACGCAGAATTCTTAAAAAGGCAGAAATAAAATTGGCTGCCATTCAAACCACCCACAAACTCAATTAGAAACAATCTTTGTCGGTTAAAGGATCAATCCTGTGGAGCCAAATAAACAAAACAATTTAGTTTATCTAATACCCTACCTGCAATGATTGTCAGTGAGGTCAAATACAAAGGTCAGACTAGTAGAACAGGGTCAGTCAGACAGACTAGCCGAACATAAAAACCCAGCAGCAAAATCTAGATTGGTTGACCCGAATAAGATAAGAAATGTAGAGAATAGTTCAGCTATACCACTCACTACATGCAGTTACACACAATCATACAATAGGATGGATGGGATAGGATGACAGTTTTAAAATCGAATGTCACAAGGTATAGGGAGAGATTGATAACAGAAGCTTTGTTTATCGAATCAACTGCAAATACATGTAATAGAAACGATTCAACACCTGTCCCAGATATATGGAAGATTGTACTGCCCTACAACAAATAAGAGAGAACAAAGAAAACTATAAAACTCAAATCTCGAAGTCGTGTGACAAAAATTGATATGATTATGAACAATAAATTGTGTTCGAAACGTCATCCAGTATACAATACTGTTTCACTGTGTGATACATCTAATAAACAAACTACTATGGAATTAATTATATCTTCTTTTTCTGTTGGATCTTTCGGTTTGCATAATATCGAATTAAGTGATTTGACTGGCTTGTGTGCTATATCTTTATCAATCGGTTTCAGTATTCTAGGTATTATTTCAGAGATATTTCTCATGTATGGTAGGATGAATTTTCTTGTGGTCTTTGATGATAGTTTCTTGTTGGTGTTTTTATTCGACTTTAATCACTTTTTCATGAAATTTTGTGGATAAGCGCTCCTTTTAAAGACCATTTTTTCCATTTTTTCAACTGTGGAGTGCTACAATGTGTTTGAACTCTTTTAAACAATGTCTGCACATAGTTTCGTTTGTGAGTAATTGGATTATTTCAATAAATGAAAAATCCCCATATTGAAATCAAAACAAGATTTTGAGCGAACAATTGTTTCGATAACTTCTTCTTCAAGCTCTACAGTTGTAAATCCATGAATAATAGAGTACATATAGTTAATAAAGGCAAATGAAAATAATATCAGAATCTGTATTGGGGTGCATGTGTAGGTTGAGGTGATAGTCAATTAGTTAACATAGTCAATCAAATGTGTATAGGGTGTATAGTCAGTCAGGAAAAATGTGATGAAGTGTGAATGAACAAATGGGTGATATAGTGTTGTTTTATAGTTAACAGAATACAAGTGTCCTTGGGGTGAGAAAAATGCGATAACCACAAAATACATGCAAAGACATGTTAACAAAGGAGGCACTGGATGTGAGGGTTGACTGATAATGTCTAATGATAAAATAAAGAGGCTAAATTGTAAACTGTAATAAAATGCTACAGAATTGGTGCGGGACCTGATGGAATGACTCCAGAGGTATTTAAGTACGGTGGAGACAGATTACTGTCTGCATTAACTGAGGTTGTAGGCAGCGTCTGGGAATCAGAGGAAGTTCCATCGGGTTGGTGTAAGTCACTGATTATCCCCATATACAAGAAGGGAGACAAGTCTTCCTGTGATAATCACAGAGGGATTAGCTTGACTAATATAGTATCTAAAGTCCTAGGCTCAATAATAATGTGTAGACTAAGTGATGCTCGAGAGGCACAAACACGAGAGAGCCAGGCAGGCTTTACGCCAGGAAGAGGGTGTATTGACCATATTTCCACCCTCCGACAGATTCTAGAACGTAGGCATTCTTACTGGCGCCCAACAATCACTATATTCCTTGACCTAAAGGCGTCATTCGATTCTGTCGACCGAGAGGTTCTCTGGAGATGCTTGGCTGTGAAGGGAATTCCGAGAAATTACATTGCACTGATTAAGGAACTCTATTCGTACTCATACAGCCAGGTGAGGGCTTACGGCGAGCTGTCATCTGAAGTGGTGACGACTAGTGGTGTCCGTCAAGGATGCCCATTATCCCCTTTTCTGTTCAATTTCATCATAGATGTACTAATGGAGTTAACCCTAAGTGACTTCAGAGACTCAGGAATTGACTTGCTACCGGGGAATAATTTCGTTGACTTGGAATATGCAGATGATATAGTCCTGCTAGGTGAAGACGCTGACAAAATGCAAAGTCTTCTGAAAACCTTGAGCTGCAATCTACGAATGTTTGGCATGCGATTCGCTCCCGCTAAATGTAAGATGATGTTACAGGACTGGACCACACTGACTCCTGGTTTACAAATAGGGAGTGAAGTGGTAGAGCACATTGACAGCTTCACTTATTTGGGAAGTACCATCAGCCTTTTCCAACGGGTCGATCTCTGACGAAATATCGGCACGGATACAGGGGGATCGTTTCGCATTTGCCAGTTTACGCCGTCTCTGGCGTAGACGAGATATTCGACTATCGACTAAAGGGCGGGTGTACTGCTTATCAGTCCGCTCCGTCCTCCTTTATGACTGTGAGACCTGGCCACTGAGAGTGGAAGACATGAAAACACTGACTAGCTGTCTTTGATCATAGGTGCCTGCGTTCTATCTCCCGTGTGAAGTGGTATAATAGGGTGAGCAATATTGAGGTTGGGCGTCGAGTTCTAGGTGAATAGGGGAAATCAATCGACGAAGTCGCGAAGTTACAAAGACTGAGATGGTTAGGACATGTGTTACGTATGCCTAGTCATCGCCTCCCTTGACGAGCAATGTTAGCGGATATAGGGTCAGGCTGGAAAAGAGCTAGTGGAGGTCAAACAAAAACATGGCTTCACCAGTCAATGAAATCTACAGCAGCTGGTCTAAGACATGTAGGAAGGTGTAGACTTCCTGGTTGGGGTCCTCGGGACGGTAAAAACAAATGGTTGGAAACAATTGGTGACATGGCTCAAAATCGTTCTCAATGGCTAGCGCAGATGCATCCACTCCCTGTGACTTATGATTTTTAATGAAACTATATTGTTCTTCGTTACTACTATTCCTTTGTCTCACACCTCTGTTTACTGTCTCTATTATGCCTTTCTTGTACTTTCTTCTCTTGTATTGTGTGCTACATGGAGTGTGGCGACTTGAACTGCTGCACATATGTGCAAAGTTCTATGTTGAAAACAGACAGACAGACAGAATTGGTAGGCTCAGTATAAAATCATAAAGGTTGACAAAAATTAAGGGTAACACAATGAGGTGAAATAAACTGGGTGGAGAAATGGATAATTAAGACATGGTATCACAAAATAATAATAATGATAATAATAGTACAAAAAATTATGATCCTGGTGACTTTTTCTGCCCTGGCCCACCTTGCTGACTGGCTGACTGGTGAGTGCCAACTACCATGATAGCCTCCAGCAGTCTAATACATTTTTGAATTATTTTAATTTTTAATTGGTGGATGGTGACTAGCAGTAGAATCCAGGATGCGCATTTCATCTTATTTGGGACTCGTCAGCTAGCTGGATGTACCTGCATTTCTCAGTGAGTGATGATGTTCCCACCGAGGCTCGAACCCAGTGCCCATAGTTTCAAACGTCGAAGCGTTATCCACTAGACCACTTGGGCCACGAGAGTCACCTCTTGTGCAACGGGTCATATTAATTCTATTGAATTTGAGATTTTCCCGTTGCACTAGAGATGGCTCTCGTGGCCCTAGTGGTCTAGTGGGTAAGGCTCTATGGGTTCGAGCCTCGGTGGGAACATCCTCACTCACTGGGAAATGCAGGTATGTCCAGATGACGAGTCCCAAATAGGTCAGTGGGAATGCGCATCCTGGATTCCACTGCTAGTGTCCATCCACCAATCAAATACTAACTAAATGCCCAGACATCGTCGAAGCATGTGCACAAGAAGCCAACAAACATATCAACCTGAGACCGAGCACTTTGGTCCAATCAATCGATGGGAAAATCTTAAATTCAATAATATATTTTAATTTTTTTTTTTTGAACAGAGAAAACGATAAAACGAAGCTAAAAGTCGATTGTTTAAGGTGTCTCTTGTCAATAAAAAACGTATATTGTACACAATGAAATATATTCTACATTTGATAATAATATTTTTCTTTTCCTCAATCCCCCTTTATAAAAGGTGATTCAGCCTGTGAAAGTTTATTGGAATTTCCTTTACCAGAAAGTGTTAAGCTAGAAATATGTCGTCTATTACAAAATCTGTGTGATTTACAGCTGCGTAATCGAGTTGAACAAGTTGTAAGATTTGCCAGCAAATTTGTACGTGCTTTACAAGAGGTAAGTTAAATGATTTTAGCAATTAGATTGATTGTTTTTTCTTTTGAAGTTGGTGGGGGGAGGGGTGGTTTCGCCTTTTGTTTAAATCAACTTCTCCTTAGTGTATTCGCAAACAGCATGGTTTTGAGAGCACACTTTGTTTTTGGATAATTTGATTGGACACTAGTAACTAGTGTGGTGTGTGTAGTCTTTTATTTGATGCAGATTGAATTCTATCGTAAGACAGATTTGCAATGTGTCCATCATTCTAAGATAGCTTGCCATCACGGTGTACATTTGTGGTGAGAGCTGGCTGCTAGCCAAATCGGTATACAGTATAACTTACGTCAGTGTTTATGTCCCCAATATCGGTTTTGAGAAAAATAAGAACAACGACTGATTCAACAACCAACCACAGCAGACTTTGTGTAGGCGGATACAATCAGCAGACAGACGATTTGACCTTCGAGAAACGGCCACAAAGAGATGAAAGATTAACTAACGTTCATCGAGAAACCACCAATCAGAAGACTGTGTTTGTTTGCTTACAATAATTTATAATAAAGTACATGAACATCTATAAAATATGTGTTGAATTCCTTAATAAACGATCTGTTGCCTGGCACTTGTCTTCCGTTGTTACACATTGATTTGATGATATTAGGTAGTTGGAGGCAATCAGCCACAGGAAGTCTTGCTTCACCTGGGTTTCGTGCTAGTCGGCACTCACCAGTCAGTCAGCTAGCAAGGCGTATCTGCAACCTTGAAGGAACTCATGTCCCTTGTGTGATTCGAACCCGTATCACCCAGTGCTGCTGCATTCAGTGACTTCCGATAACCTCCAACCATCTAATACCAACAATTCACAGTGCATCGTGATGACGAGCCACCTAGAATGGTGGCCACATTGCAAGCTTGACTGATGGAATTCAGTCTGCACCGAAGATAGGACTAGACACAATACACTACTTACTGACTGTCTGGATTCAACATAGAACTTGGCACAGAAGTGCACCAGTTCGAGTTGCCACGTTCCAAATAGCACACAAAAGTAGACAAGAAGATGAGTGAAGAGAATCAATAGAGTTTGACAAGTATACGAGTGAAACAGAATGGGTAATAGTAGAAAGGAATATGAAAGATTACAGAGACTGAATACATCTTCGCTGGCCATTGACAACGATTTTGAGCCATGTCACCTATTGTCTCCAGCCATTGATTCCTAGAGTCCCGAGGCCCCCAACCCGGGAGTCTGCATCTCCCTCCTACCTGACTCAGTTTAACTGTCAAGGATTTCATGGATTGATGCCATGTTTTTGTTTGGCCACCGCTTACTCTTTTCCAACCTGCACCTATATCAGCTAGAAATGCTCGTCGAGGGAGGCGATGGTTAGGCATGCGCAGAACGTGACCTAGCCATGTCAATCTATGTAACTTTATAGCCTCGTCGATTGATTTTCCCTCTTTGCCCAGCACTCTACGCCTGACTTCAACATTACTTACCTTATTAAACCACCTAACGTGAGACAGAGATCTCAGACATCTATGACCGAAAGCAGTCAACCTTTCGGTGTCTTCACCTCGTATTGGCCATGTTTCAGAGCCATAGACAAGGACGGAGCGAACTGCTGAGCAGTACACACGTCCCTTGGTTGATAGCCGGATGTCACGCCTACGCCAGAGATGGTGTAAGTCAGCGAAAGCAGCTCGAGCTTTTTGGATCCGTGCTGAGATCTCATCGCCAATCAGTCCGTTGGTGCTGATACAACTTCCCAAATAGGTGAAGTGGTCAACATGTTCTATCACTTCACTCCCTATCACTAAGTTAGGGGTTGACGTGGTCCAGTCCTGTAGCAGCATCTTACATTTTACAGGGGCGAATCGCATGCTAAACATACGAAGATTGCTGCTCAAGGTGTTCAGAAGACTCTGCATTTTGTCAGAATCCTCCCCTAACAGGACTATGTCATCTGCATATTCTAAGTCCATAAGACTATTCCCTGGTAACAAGTCGATTCCTAAGTCATTACGTTCAGTTAAGGATACTTCGATTAGCATATCTATGATGAAGTTAAACAGAAATGGGGAAAGTGGAATCCTGTCGGACACCACTGGTTGTTACCAATTCAGATGAAGTGTCCAATCAAAAGAAAATATCCACTACAGTCCTACAGAAGGTCAATCGCGAACCTGAATAGTTTAGTGGCAACGTCTCTGACTGCAGTTCTCACTGGGTGATGCGAGTTCGAATCTCAGAAACGACATAAGTTCCTTTAAAGTTGCAGATACGCCTTGCTAGCTGACTGACTGGTGAGTGCCCACTAGCACGTAAACTAGGTCAAGTAAGGCTTCCTGTGGCCCCGATTGCCTCCAACTATCTAATATCATTACACCAATGTTTCTGGATAACTTCTTCTTCAGGTTCCACACTTGTAAATCAACGAATATCATTAGAGCGGAAATAGCCATTAAAGGTATGTGAAAATTATATCAGAAATTGTATTGGGGTATACATGCATAAGAGGGAATAAAAGTTCATCGGTTTCGATTGCCGAATATATATGAAGTGTTCTGTCATAAGGAACATAAGATAAAATCAGGTGACCTGGGCTTTTCTAGATGACTTATATTCAGTTGTATGACGGTAATGTTAATACCAAAAAAATATATAAGACAAACATTCGGGGTACACTGAATTCTAATTTCGAGGGGATGATAGATGAAAAGCATATTAATGAAATACAGTGGTCATATTATTAACCTTATCCTCTTGGGTTCCGAGTGGAACATAGGGCTGGCTTCAACAACACTTCTCCACTTTCTGCTATTTCCCTCTGTTCTATTCACCTGGCTATCTACACGATTGTCCATAATCTCTTATTTTCTCCTCCTCCTCATCATCATCATCCTCACCACACGATTCTCGCCTTCCCTATTCTCGATTTGACATCCTCGTCTGTTCCTCCTGTTGTTGAGACAATGCTCAGTGCTAGATAAGTAAGTGAATGAAGTAACCTCTTTCAAATCCCTCCCGTTAATGGTGATGGCGATTGTCTCTGGATGTTGCTGGTGTTGTTGTTGTTGATTGGTTGGTTGGTTGGTTGGCTATTTTCATAACCTCCGTCTTCTCCAAGTTCACCTGGAGTCCTGTCTTCACTGTCTGCTTCTTCGACCAGTTTGTTGGGTCGATTAATAATTCAAGATAACACAAATTCATCATGAGACGACATCGGATAGAGAACCATTGGAAGACGACTAGGGAATAGTGGACAACTGCTTCGTCCCAGTTTGTAACTCTTCATCAGTACGCACCTACCGCCAAGGTTCGAACCTAGGACATTCTAGTTACTGGGCGAGCGAGCGCGTAGACCATTAGGCAGTCACTGGGACCCGATCCAATGGCCAACTCATGAGTTCTAACTTCTACCAAGTCAATATTATTGAGTACATAAATAACTGTTACTCGAAAAAAGGAGAGTGAAATTTCTGTATGCCACACTGTGATTTATAATAATTCTTGATTTTTTTTTTCTCTAAAAAGGCATTTGTGCATGTATTCATATGTGTGTATTATTTATAGGATCAAAATGCTCGATATATGGCTATCAAAAAATCCAATCTGCCATCTTCAGTAGCAGCAAGACGAACAAGAGAATTCCGTTGTCCAGCTTTTGTACAAATGCGTAGTCTTTTACAAATATCTGGACCAGGTGGACCAACAGGTCGATTGGAAGATGAACTGACAACTGAACCACCGTCAGTTGAATCAGTTTCTGCTGAAGATGAATTCGATGATGAAATGGAAGCAGTGGAAACAAATCGATGCGCGGAGGAAGTTAAGGTACCAAAAACCGAAATTTAAATGGAGTTTTAAAATTATTTTTTTAAAAATTATAAAGCCCTCTTTAGCTTTCTATAATTAACCTTTTTGAATATAAGAATGAGAACCACTTATATATATTTCAAATGAGTAATATAATAAGGATCCTTAGAATAAATAAAATATTTTTGAAACCAGTCATCGAATCTATAAATACTTAATGTAATCAGTAGTATTTTTTACCATTGTAGAGTGTGCTACTGATAAGATTTATCAGTAGTATATAAAGAGATCTTCTTCGGTATAAAAAAATATTAAATAGCAGACAGATAGATTTGACGTCAAAGGGAGTAAATGATTCAGTGTTGTGGCAAAACACGGGAGAAGTAAAAAGAAGACAAGGAAGGAGAGAAGTAACACAAGACGGAAGATCCGTGCAAATGGTGATTTACAGATAAGGTGTACATAATCTCGCTATGTATAGATAGAGATACCAAGCTGCTAATAAACATTCCTTGACTAAGTCTCATGTCAGCTGTTACTGTTACACTATTATTACTATTTAATGAATTGGATTTTTTGATTTTCCCGTCGATTGATTGAACCTAAGTACTCGGTCTCAGGTTGACATGTCGGCTTCTTGTGCAGATGCTTCGACGATGTCTGGGCCATTCGTTAGTATACAATTGGTGGATGGTGACTAGCAGTGGAATCCAGGATGCGCCTCGGTGTGAACATCATCACTCACTGAGAAATGCAGGTACATCCAGCTGACGAGTCCCAAATAGGACGAAATGTGCATCCTGGATTCCACTGCTAGTCACCATCCACCACTTGTATTATTACTATTATTGTCCATTACAATTCTTTCATTATAGTTGTTCAACAGTAGTATGTATGAAATTGCAGTAAATAACTTAAATGCGTGATTCCATTATAATAAAGGTTTTGTATTTCCCAATGAATGAAAAACAAAACGATATTGCTGCTGCTTTTACTGACGTTCCGCTATTTAATCCTGCTGCTAACAGCTTTATCAAAGTAGCAATATTCAACCGGAATTTACAAAATTCACTCAGCATATATATAACAAAGAGTGAAGGGGGGGGAGAAAATAGACTACTTAGGTCAAGTTAAAGGAACATATTGAAAGTCAAATTAACAATGAAGATCACTAAACCAAATAACAAAGGTAATAGTACATCTTTTATGGTATCAAAATAAAGTTTACTAAACTTGATCATCGTTCGTTAGTCTGGGGTCAGTTTTCGTTGTCAAGTTGGTCAATTGGTAAAGATAACAAAACCAAGTGTAGATTGTTGGATTTGATCAGTGTGTAAAATTATAAAGGCAATGTGTGTTTACATAGTTGACCTCAACAGTCATCATTCCATGTAGAGCAGAGACATCAGACGATATCAGAGTAGAGTACTCAATCAGCTCGAAATTACAGTTTTCTTCAAAACATTAGACACACTGCGAAACAACCGTGTCCATAGAAAAGACCAAATCCCTAAAGATCCTCTATCTAATTGTGTCTATGAAATAAAATGCTTGCGTGGAATGTGATGCGATATACATCGGATAAACATCGCTAGACAGAAATCAAATTCGGAAGAAATGAACACCGTAGAGCATCTGTACGACCACCCACCGAGAAATCCGGTTGAACTAGAAAACTTGAAAAAATCATCAGCCATATGTCTACACGCTATAGAATCAGGCCACAAAATTGATTTTGACAATATTGAAATCATCATCCAGAAAAAGCACTTCAGAAATCACAAAGAACGTCTAATATCAGAAGCACTTCATATCAAGTGGAATCCAAATTGCCTGAATAGGAATGATGGACTAAAACAGAATCTGACTTGTTTACAACACCTCCCTCCTCCATGAAATGGCACAATCAACACGAATGCGATAAACAAGTTCCCTTTGTAAGCACACACTGCTTATATAATTTTACACACTGATCAAATCCAACAATCTACACTTGGTTTTGTTATCTTTACCAATTGACCAACTTGACAACGAAAACTGACCCCAGACTAACGAACGATGATCAGGTTAGTAAACTTTATTTTGATACCATAAAAGATGTACTATTACCTTTGTTATTTCGTTTAGTGATCTTCATTGTTATTTGACTTTCAATATGTCCCTTTAACTTGACCTAAGTAGTCTATTTTCTCACCTCTTAACTCTTTGTTATATATATGCTGAGTGAATTTTGTAAATTCCGGTTGAATATTGCTACTTTGATAAAGCTGTTAGCAGCAGGATTAAATAGCGGAACGTCAGTAAAAGCAGCAGCAATATCGTTTTGTTTTTCATTCATTGGGAAATACAAAAACAGCCTTTATTATAATGAACATTATATACCCAATGCCGAAATTTTTTCAAACTGTTAAAAGTGAACTTGGTTTGGACATATATACGTAATTCCAGTCAAATATCTTGTGCTGAATGCCCGACTAAATATGTAGGTCAAACGTCCAGATCACTGAAAATAAGAATGAATTAACAGAAACGCCTAACTGAAGGTCATGCCTCAGGAACACAAGCTTACAGTAATTTAGGAAAAGAATCCGTCTATAACTGCACATTAATGGGGCAAAAACTACAACATTGATTGGGACAAGGTCGCACTTTGCAATTTAATATGAACAAAGGGAAAGAGCCAGCCACATAGGAAGGTTGGGATCCTGAAGATGGTGTTAAGAACCAATGGCGGCTGGAGACAATTGGTGATATGGCTGGCTCAAAATCGCTCTCAATGGCTGGGGTAGATGTATCCACTCCTTGTGACAAACAACACCAAATGGAACTATATTGTTCTTCGATATTACTATTCTTTTTGCCTGACAACTATGTTTACTGTCTCTATTTTGCATTTCTTTATACTTTCTTCTCTTGTTTTGTGTGCTACATGTGCTACAAGTGAGTGTGGTGACTGAAACTGCTGCACATCGGTGCAAAGTTCTATGTTGCAACCGGTCAGTCATTCAATTAGTCAACTGTCTTCGCATGATATCCTGTGACTACCATAAAAATATTAGATGTCTTGAATATGTCATAAATAATGAAAAACTATCAAATCCAAATGATTGCATGGAGGATTTAATCATGAGCTGACATCAGTTAGAGAACCACTGGAAAACCTTGGAGTACTGGACAGCTGTTTCGCCCTAGTTTGGGACTCTTCATCAGTACGCACCCACCGGGATTCGAACCCAGACCCTCTGGTTACAAGGCGAGCTCGTAGATCATTGAGCCACTGGGACCCGATCCAATGGTCCTTGAAGTTAAATCCTCCATGCAATCAAACAAAATCCCTACAAAACCAGTACTTGAAAATCCAAATGGGTAGTTTTTCAGTTTTAAAAACATTAACTTTCTTTAACTTGTGTTGATAAATTTTGTCAATATCTGCACTAATAAATATATCCTTTAACCTAATAATATCATCCTTGAACTTTGTGTGTGTTTATTCCCCTTTGATTGCCTTCTAGGAAATGCTGAGAAGTTTTCATAAATTACTTTGTGATAAGTTAGGCGTAATGTTACCAGAGAATATTAAAAATAAATATGGTAATAAGTATGATGGTGATGCATCAACAGACAGCAATCGATTTGCTGAATCCAATCTGAATATTCCCCTACTCACGCATCCATCAGATACGCTTAGTCTGGCTTCATTTGGTCCTGCCTATCCATCAGATGAATTACAAGCCGCCTTAGCACAAATCCCTTTGATACCACCAGATATGGGTCATCCAGAAGAAGGATCCGGTACACCACCATGGATATTAAGATTTCTTTGGAGCCTAATTGTACGTAAACCGACATTGAAAGAAACCAGTATTGAAGTGAATAGTAATGAAAAGAATGAATCTACAGCGATCAGTCAATTTGAGCGATCAGGAAAACGTAAGTTGAAGTTGTTTAATTTTGTTGTAAAAATCACTAATTACAGCCGGTATCATCATTTTGATAGGTTTATTATTATTAAAAAAAACGATTGCAGAGAAGAAAATTTTTATTTTTTCGACGAAGTCATCAACTAGGCTTTACATTCGTGTACTTTTTATTACATGTGTGGGAAAGTCCCAGAATTATTTTCAGTCAGAGGCCACATTAGTAAAATTACTAAGTGTAACAAACAGAAGATAGGTAGTATATGTGTAAAACTTGGGTACTGTGGTAGTAAGTAATTCCATATTAGTTTGTTTATTAGATATATCACATAGTCAGTGAAACAGTATTATTATTATTATTATTTACTAGATGACAAGGTTTTGAACAAAATTTATTACTGTTCATAATCATTTCACCAATTATAATCACACGACTTCGAAATTTGAGTTTTATAGTTTTCTATGTCTACTCCTTTGTGTCGTCGTTGGGGTAGTAGAATTTTCCAGATATCTGGGTGGACAGGTGTTGAATCGTTTCTATTACATGTATTCACTCTCAGTTGATTCGATAAACAAAGCTTCTGTTATCAATCTCTCCCTCCCTCCATTCGGTGACATTAGATTTTAAAACACTGTCATCCTATCCCATCATCGTCCTATTGTATGGTTGTGTGTAAGTGCATGTAGTGAGTGCTATCTACAACTGAACTATTCACTAGATTTCTTATCCTATTCGGGTCAACCAATCTAGATTTTGATAGCTTTTTATGTTCGGCTAGTCTGTCTGACTGACCCTGTCCTACTAGTTTGACCTATGTATTTGACCTGACAATCATTTCAGGCAGGGTACTAAATTGTTTTGTTTATTTGGCTCCACAGGATTGATCGTTTAGCCGACAAAGCTTGTTTCTAATTGAGTTTGTGGGTGGTTTGAATGGCAGCCACTTTGTAAGAATTCTGCGTAAGGCTTCCGAGGTTCCTTCCTTATATGGAATTACTGTAGATGATTTAGATTCCTTATTGTCGGTGTCGTCATTAATATTATTATTATCACTGTTATTATTACCATTATTATTATGATTATTATTGTTATCATTATTATTATTATCACTATCGCTACTATCACTATTTATTTTATTTTTACATTTACTTACATATTTCTTGACTAATTTATCCGGGTAATTCATTAGGTTTCAAGGCTTCTTTTATGTGTATCACTTCCTGTCTTAAATTGACCTTGGTACTACTTAGTTTTTGTGCTCTGTCATTTAAACATTTCACTAATCCTATTTTGTAGACCTACTTTTACTGACATAGGATGGGATGATCGGAAATCCAAATATCTGTTTGAGTGTGTGGGTTTTCTGTAAACACTAGTGTGTGTTTAACTTCCCATCTTCTTTCCTTTTTACGTTGCAATCTAACATTGGAAGTACCCCAGCTTCCTGACTTTCCAATTCATAAGTGAATTGAATTGTCTCTACCTTCGAGTTGATGTGTTCGAAAAATCTATCTATATCTTGTGTTCTTAATACAGGTAGAAGATAGGTAGAAGTGTTGTAGAGACAGAAGACAAGGGACAGGCAACAGATCGTTTATAGAGGAGATCAAGAGATATTTGCAGATTTTTATGTACATTATTATTCGTTATTATTAGCACAGAAACAGAGTCTTCTGATTAGTTGCTTTCTCTCTGAAGGCAATTCTGTCATCTCAGAAAGTTAAGCCTTATATCTGCGAATCATATCCGCCCACTCAAAGTTTGCTGTGATTGGTTGTTGAGTTAGCCTGTATTCTTGTTTTTTTTCTCATGATCAAGATATGGGACGTAAACATTGACGTAGATTTCTGTCTACCAATTTTTGCTAGCAGACATCTCTCACCACAGTACTATTCTAGAAATATTTCAGCTCAAAGGTCAGATTAAAAGTTACAATGTGTAATAATCAGGAAGATCGTGTGGAAAACACAAAATAGGATTATAATTACTCGAAAACTCGTCAGTTTATGTAATTACGGGTTAAAAATGTAGTATTAAGGAAATAGGTAGGGGGTTAGGACATATAAAGTTAAAAACAGTAACCAAATCTAATGATGCAGATAAGGACTTAAAATGGTAAATATAACAGAAATGAACGGGAAGTTTGAACAAGAAATGTGATAGGCTGGTTATTATTGGTGAGACTGACTTTTCATGATGACCATGGTAGGGACAGCGGTTCGACGTTGTTTTTTTTGGTTTTGGACACATAGGGTAGCCTTGAGTTTTTTTGGATAGCCAAGACTTCAGCTATTCCTAGTTGTCTTGATTTCACTCCCTTTGATAGGTTGAATAGAATCTTGGATACGGCTTTGAAGGACTTTTCAAATTAGGCTGAATGTCCAGAATTCATCAGATGCTCTCCCTTTTAACTTTTACTAACCGTACCGGATATTGTTCCGGCGCGCGTTTTACAAGCGGACGTATGGTACGGCCAATGTACTCAACGCCACAAGAGCAAGTGAACTTGTCTATGCATGTTAAAGTGACCCCCTGCGACAGGTTGTCTTTCACTTGTTGGTTGAGTAGTTTCATGCAGGAGAATGTCATTCGTAGGCTGGTGGCGAAGTATGTTTTCCTGAAAGACTTCGAAATCCGTCTACGGAGAATTTTTGCTTCGGTATCATTTTTAAATTCAAAGTTCAATTTCAGCATCTTTTTAGGTGAAACTTGGACCTTTTCAGGTTTGTTTTTCTTGGTTTTAGATTCTTGTCTATGAATATGCGTGGGAACCTATTTTTTCAATCAAGCTGCCTCGGAGATTTTGTAATTCTTCTTCTTGATTAACTCTTCAATGCAGATCTTCTAGATCCTGAAGGAAAGAAGAGAGTATATTAGGTTTCTATTTCTGCTTAGAAGTGCACAGCTTTGAAAGTTAATAAACTATCCGTTCCATGTAGGCATTTTTGTAGATGGATCTTCTTAGCAAGTTGCCTTCGCTGAAAGCGTCTTTTTAATAATTCGTATGATCCAATGTGTTTATATTTCAAGGTTTATATTAGTATTATTAGAAAAACACTCTAGCTTTGGTACTTCGCTGGTAGAATGCTTGCTAGATAGAAAAACACATTGGGATTGTTTTAAGTAATTTTATAATTCAGTGTTACCCTGTGCTCAAATTATTCTAGAAAATTCGCAACATCAATGGTCTATATATTTGTGGAATAATAATAATAGTAATAATAACTTCTAAATGACTTAAGGGGAAGTAGAAATTGTCATTTCTAATAATAATAATAATAATAATAGCTTTATTCCAAACGGTATTTGTGGTACAGGTATGGAATTTTCAGCGTGCATTACAGTATACTGCATCTAATTACCTCATAAATTATATAAGATTTTTAAAATCAAAAGATAAATAAATAAATAAAAATAAAATAAATAAAATAAATAAATAAAATAAATAAAAATTAAAAAAACAGCGTAGAGTTTACATTTCAAACAATGCACCACAGGATATGAAATATAAAGTTGATGTGTGATAGAAGATGAGAACAGCAGTGTAATAGTAACGAGGAAAGGAAAACAAAAACTAATGGGACTATTTGTTAGAGTGCCGCAGTAAGTTTATCGTGTCATACCTAACGGATTTCTCATCACATAACAGCTGTGCCAGATATGGTATTGTGGAGTTTTTGTATTTGGTAGTCCTAGCATATAGCCTCCTATAGCTGCTTCTAGTTCTTCCAGATGAAATGCAAGGAGATAGCTGCGTATAGAGAGGATGCTCGGGGTCCGACAATATTGTATTCGCTAGTTTCTTACATGATATAATATGTCTATCTACAATAGTGTTCACCAGTTGGTTTAACGATATCCCACTTGCCCTTCTCAGCGAAGCAAAGTCTTTCTTAAGTAGTCCAGGAAAGACTAATGGGGAGCAGTAAAGGAGGATGGGTAGAATACAAGAATTTACAAACTGAGAAAGTAAAGACTGGTTTATGCCAGACTGCCTAAATTTCCTAATGTAGAACGTTAAGCGAAACATCTTTCTAGTAACTAGCAAGATGTGGGAAGACCAGGAAAGATCGGTGGAAAAACTCAGCCCAAGGTACTTGACATTAGATGTATTTTCAACCTCTGTGCCGTCAATGAGAGTGGGGCCATGTGAGCTAACTAGTTGCTGTAGGTCACATTTACGTCTGAAAGTGAAATTGACTACCTGACATTTAGACGGATTAAGCTTAAGTCCGTTTGAAGAGGACCACTGACTAATTTCCGACAGAAAGTTATTTAATTTGGAACAATCTGACTGAGAGTTGACAGGCATAGAAACCGAGAGGTCATCGGCATACTTAACATAAGTGGCTACATCAGAATGAGGCAAGTCATGTAAGAAAAACGAGAACAGAAAGGGAGAAAGAACAGCACCTTGAGGAACACCAGCTAAAGTAAGTGAGGTAGTGGAGGACTTTCCATTGTAGACGGTGTACAACTTCCTATCAGAAAAATAGGAATGCAACCACTTATTTGTCCAGCTCTCAGCCTGTGTTGCAGCAAGCTTACTTAGCAAGAGAGACCTGGGAACAGAGTCAAATGCAGATGTGTAATCAAGGAAGGCACACCGAACGTATTTAGCTCCTTTATCTAAACTAGAGACTATACTATGATGTAGGACAACAGCGGCATCTGACGTACACCTACTATGTTTATAAGCAAACTGGTTGGGGTCGTTGAAAGGCTTTAAAGAGGGTTCAAGATTTCTTTCTTCCTAAGGCAAGAAAAGTGCGTCTGTACGAATTTCTTGTCAAAAACAAAGGTTTGTCTGATTTCAAGTGTTGGTGTTTATGATATCTACTTAGTGACATGCCTTTTAATTACTAATCCCATTGGTAATAAATAATATCATTTACACTACATATACTGTAATACATGTAATTTTTAGGTTCATTGGATGGTTTAATAGTTTATACAATTGTTAAATGGGCAAATGAAGGTTTCATTGAAAGTTTAGAATTAATCAGAGAAATGTTCTCAGCTCTACATCGTCAATACAATGCTATTGAAGAGGTAACTACAATCTGATAATATAATTCTTTTTTTTTTATTATAGCTTGATTCCATACAGTATTTTGGTACTTCTATGGAACTTTCAACATGTAATATCGGTAGCCCAAATTTAGCAGGCTAACCATTGATTGATATAGGTTGCGCGTTGGCCGGGGACCAAACCTCGGACCATGTGTATGGTCGGCGAGATTCTCAACCGATGTGCCACCGACGCACAGCAATATTAAGAGCATATATGTATATACTTATTTATTTATTTAAGCAAATAAAAATAGTGCAGACTGTAATTACAATGAGTAGTGCAGTATCCTGGGTGTCAATGAGGCTTTTCACCAACACTTATCTCAGGTAACATTCAAGCAGATACATGTGCTATACAGTTACATACTGCAAAGTAGTGCAACCTGAAGAGCTGTTTAAGGCATCTTACTCTTTCACTAAAACTGGAATCCATCAGCTTTCATTTCAGTCACCCAGTGGCCTACTGATTAGCGCTTTGGCGTTTTGAAGAATAAGTGGTGGGTTCGAGCCCAAATAGGAAATCTGTCACTCAGTAAGAACAGAGGTACATCCAGATGACGAAGTCCACTTAGAACGAGACGTAAGTTCTTGATTCCGCTGCTGGCTACCGTCAACCAAATAATATTTTGTTAGTCATTAGACGTCATCAAAGCATCCGCATTAAGAGCCATAAGACATGTCACCAAAGACCAAGGATTTCAGTCCGATAAGAATTAGTCAATGAGAAGAGTACAAATAACTTGAACGCACGAATAATTACGTAATAAGACACACTTGGAATTACGTTGGTAAAATTATTTTAATTAAAACCTATAAATGTCTAGTTAATTTATGAGTTTTTGCGCATACCTAGTTTTATCAGTATGCTATTGTGATTGAGGAGACTTAGTTGCTGCTTTTCTGAACTGTGATGTTTAAAATTACAACTGCAGCATAACTTTTCTCAAGACCACAAACAAATTTCCATAATATCTGTTGATTTCTTTATGAGATATGGTGTATGTTTATATCTTTAAATATTCCCACTTATAATATTAGAACAAGACATATAAGCGAACAATATTGTTTTCAATTAGATCTTGTCCCACATGAATGCCAAGTACAATAAAGAAAAACCGACAACAGTTAAAAAGAGACAACTGTTCATGAAACCTCTGTTTAATGGGGACGTGGCTAGTGAAGTCTTACATCAGAGATTATCGAGAGCGATAAAACAGACTTATACTGCCGCCACCCTCTGTTTGTCATTTTCCAGCCGACCAATTTTGATTGCTCAAGTGAAAGATAAGCTACCTAGTTGTGCCACTTCCATGTGTATCTATAAATTTAGTTGCTCCTGTGGAGAAAGCTACATAGGCCGAATAACTAGACAGCTTAACAAACGCATTAATGAGCATCTTCTTTCATGATTCGGAAAAGGTCAAATAAAATCCATACGAAGTTCTATTTTGGCTCATTTGATTGATAGTGGTCACCAAGTGGACAAAGTTATCTATCGCATTCCATCACGTCTTTCGAACGGAATCAGAACCCGTCTTTTACACTTAGCCGAAGCTATGGGAATTCGAGAGAACAATCCTAGTCTTTCAAATGAACTGTAGTCAAGATTTGACAGAATAGTTCTAAAATATTTGGGCGCCGAGTGAGAAGTAGACATTTGTAAAAAATTATATTTGCAAAGTCTCAGCGATATTGAAATGAGTAATTCCAACGTTCCCTGTGTTCAGTAATCTGGTCCGAACTTCTTCAGGGAAATTAATCGAAATTAACATAACAGACGTTTATATATAAAAGGAACATCTTTTGTTTTCAAAAACTTTTTCCAATCATGATTCATAAAACAAATATTAACAAGTATAATAAACAAAATTGTACGAGTTGTGATCAAAATTTGACCTCAGACTTACAAATATTGATCTACCTTTGTTGAACACTTTAAATACAGTGTGTATGTGTGTGTGTGTGTGCGGAAAAACAGTTGTAAAACAATGTCTTAACGTCTCCATAAGTAGATATAGACAGTCGGGAAACTTTGACCAAGTATTATTAGTTAGTGATACATATCCATTCTTATTTATTAATCAGGATTTCCTATGCGTCATCTAACATCACACCTTCATGTCTGTTCAAACTGTTAGTATCTAGAATTTTATGATTAGACGTATTTTCAAAATTATGGTGTTTAGGATTAGAGTTTAGTTGAACAACCCCGTCAAACTTATTACTTTGTCTTCTTTCTGAAAATTGAGCTGCTTTATTCGACCTACTGAAGTTGTCAGGTGACTGGACAGCTACGAATTTAGGATACGCATTCTGTTGCAGACAACGGAGAGTGGAAACACGATGATTGTGCCAATTACATAGTTTCTTTGTTAATTTATACTTGTTAATATATTAAATAAAGTATAATTATATTTGAATAGTTTACACACAATGATAAGTTTCAAATATAATTATACTTTATTTAATCTAATCCACAATGCTCAAACTTTTTACTGATGTTGTTAATATATGTTTTATGAATCATGATTGGACAAAGTTTTTAAAAACAAAAGATGTTCCTTTTATATATAAACGTCTGTTATGTTAATTTCGATTAATTTCCCTGAAGAAGTTCGGACCAGATTGCTGAACACAGGGAACGTTGGAATGACTCATTTCAATATCGCTGAGACTTTGCAAATATAATTTTTTACAAATCCTAGTCTTTGTATACAAAAGAAATTTGTTCTGCCTTTGTCTCTCCCTTGCTTGCCTAGGTGAATTCTATTCAAAACCCTCCCACCCTTTCTTATCATCCATCTCCTTCGTACTTTTATGACATTTATTTAAACTCTGATTATCGTTCCATTTGATTTGACCTAATTTATTTATTTATTGAATTGTCTACATATATGCATATACTAACTTTGTTATTCTTATCGCCACCTACATAAACCTTATTATCAATATTTTGTTATCATTATAATCATCGTTATTAACTTCGTTCAAAACATTTACCACATTATTATTTTTTACGAGTTGATCACGGATTGATATCAGTTAGAGAACCATTGAAAACCAGGGAGTACTGGACAGCTGCTGTTTCATCCTAGTGCTTGGGAATCATCGGCAGCACGCACCCACCGGATGGGGTTCGAACCCAGGACCTTCCGGTTACAAGGCCAGTCAGCTCGTATACCATTCAGCCACTGGGACCCGATTCAATGGCTCGTGAATTCTAACCTCTACCAATTCGTGATTTAGCGCGACCCCAACCATTGTCGTTGGTGGGACATCCATCCACACACGTGACATCTAATTGGACCTCACTGGTCATTTTATATATATTTTATATATATAAGTCTATGTAAATTAGAGTAAAGCCTGAAGAAGATCTAATTGAAAACAATATTGTTCGCTTATATGTCTTGTTCTAGTATATTTACATGTATATTGATACCCGGATGTCACGTTAATACCAGAGGTGACGTAAGTTGGTGAATGTCACATAAGTCTTTTGTATCTCTGCTGAGCTTTCTCCAGCAATCAGTCCATTGGGGCTGATTCAACTTCCTGAATAATTTTCACGTGGGCTTATCCCAGGCCAAACACTAAGAGATTTCTCCTCAGGGTATTCAGAAGACACTACACTTTGTTAGTATCTTCACTTTAAAAAGGACATACTCCAAGCAGTTCAGTTTTAATTCATCCCAATGTCAATACTTTGATGCTAAAATGAGTAATTTTTAACTAAATTAGGATGATTTTCCTTTCTTTATTATTCCGCTCTATCCTTTAATTATTTATTTGTAGTTGAGAGATGCACTTGCGAAGACTTATGTTATAAGCGGTTCATCACAGGATGAAGTATCTCGTCTATTACGTTCACTTGGTCGTGTGCGATGTCTACTTGGCGTTCAGTTAGGATCGAATGAAGAAGTTCTATTAAAGAATTGTTTATGGTAAATTAATATTTCTCCTATCTTATGATTTCTTCTTCTTTTTTTTATTACTCACTTAAATTGACTAACGTTCAGATTTAAGATAGTTTAGTCATAATTGAGTTTATCTACTTGTAATGTATTACATACATCTGTTCTATTTATTTTTATTATTATTATTGTTTCCTTTAATTCCTAGAGGAACATAGGGCTTCAACTGCACGTCTTCATTGCGTTCCCTTCTCCGACAACGTTTTCACCTGGCTCCACGTCTCCCCATATGCTTTCATCTCCTCTCTTCACCTCACCTCCTCCATATCACACTCGTACTGACGACCAATTCGCCCACTCACATACGGGTTCCACTCGAGCGATGGCCTGTCTTGTGATGTCACTCATTTGATGGATTTTTTTCTCATAGTATGGCCTAACCAATGCACCTTCATTTCTTCCTGCATCTTGGTTGCACAATAGGTTCCTGCTGGGTTGGTTCGCTCATTGCCAGAGATCCCTCACTATTGCTAATCTTTTCTGGCCATCTGATCTTAAATAGTATTGAGCGAAGGCAGCTGTTAATGAAGGTCTATAGTTTGTTTGAGGTCTTTTTTCTGACGCACCAAGTCTCCGATCCGTATAGTAACACTGACTTCACATTGGAGTTGAAAATCCGGATGTTATCTACATTTTCATGCTGAGTGGTGCTGTTGACCTCCACACAGACTTCAGAGTAATGAAAGCTTGACTTGCTTTCCTGATCCTTGCTTTCATATATATATGTCTTCGCTTTTGTAGAGTAATAAACTCATCGTTTTGAAGATTCCTTAGAGGTGATTTGGATTATTATTATTATCATAATCATCATCAGTATTTCTCCCTTGGGATTTGAATAAGATATAGGGCTTCAGCAACATATAGCAGTTGTCTTCTGTCCTCCATCGTCTCTTTCAGCTGGCTCCACAATTAACTACAAGCTTTCATTTCCATTGTCACACGAATCTCCTCCATATTATCCTTGAACTCCAAACTCATTGCTTCCCATTCAGGTTCCATTCGAGGGGACTGCATGGAGTGTGGTTTTATTCAACAGTCCAATCAATTGATGTCTCCATTTTCTTCTGCATACTTTACGGTTAATAGCTTGTCTATGAAGTCGATCATCTTATTCTTGAACATCGAAAGAAGGCAGACAATAATGAAAGTATGACCATGGGCTGTTGAAAATGTTTTAGTGGACAAGTGCACCAAGTCCATCAGCCACTACTGTACAAGTATTAATTTGACATTAGTGTTTAAAAAAAAATTCGAATCTTATTCCTTGTACTGAACGTCGTCGATCTGCACACGGATTTCAAAGTGATGAACGTCTGTTTTACTTTCTCATATCTAATTGTGGTTGACTAATGGTTAGGTTTTCACTGATGGATTATGGAGGTTCCTAAAATAACGCAGATATCTACTTTTTCTTGGTGTTATGATGGCACAGGCAATCGTATTTTGGTCAACTGCGCATAGCTTGTGTCAATGGTATTTTTGTTATAACTAAACTGAGCTGAACTGAATAAAAATCCCGTCGCTACTTTGGTATGTCTGCGCTTGCCAATAACTATAACGGTAATGAACTCGACTGATTGATACGCTAATGCGTCTCTATTTGTCTGTTGTACCATCCAATTTACTGAGCCACGCAAATATCAAAAGACAAAAGCTGGCATGTGACTGTAAGATAGTGTGCTTTGTACTACACTATATAGTTTAAGTAACAATACATGATATTGATCAGCGTGAGACAAAAAATGAATTGATCGCACGCACTAAATCACAATATGCATGGGAAATGATACATTAACCTAGTAACTCAATCTCATGATAAATCATGCTATTCGTGAGAAAGGATGATATACTATTTTATGCTGGGTTCTATCAATTTCCATAATCGACAACTCTTGGCTATGGTGGTGGTCGTGTATGTCATGTTCTACTATCTATCTTGTATGAATCAAGTCATCCGTAGAATCCTATATTAGTTTGTTTATTAGATGTATCACACAGTCAGTGAAACAGTATCATTTACTGGATGACAAGGTGTCGAACACAATTTATTGTTCACTATCATATCAATTATAATCACACGACTTCGAAATGTAAAAGTAAAATAAATAATGACCATAGTTATAGTGATAATAATAATACTAACGGCGACATGCATGTCAAATATGCACAGGATAATCACAACACCAAGAATAAGGAATCTAAATCATCAGTAGTAATTTCATACAAAAAAGGAACCTTGGTAACCATTTTATGGAGAATTCTTAACAAGGCAGGCACGAATAAAAGTGGCTGACAATCACACCAACCACAAACTCAATTAGAAACAAGCTTTTTCGGGTAAACGATCAATCCTGTGGAGCCTTTAAAACAAAACAATTTGGTTTATCTAATACCCTGCCTGAAATGATTGTCAGGTCAAATACATAGGTCAAACTAGTAGGACAGGGTCAGTCAGACAGACTAGCCGAACATAAAAACCTATCAAAATCTAGATTATTTGACCCGAATAGGATAAGAAATCTAGTGAATAGTTCAGTTGTAGATAGCACTCACTACATGCAATTACACACAACCATACAATAGGACGATGATGGGATAGGATGACAGTTTTAAAATCTAATGTCACAGAATGGAGGGAGGGAGAGATTGATAGCAGAAGCTTTGTTTATCGAATCAACTGAGAGTGAATACATGTAATAGAAACGATTCAACACCTATCCCAGATATAAGGAAAATTCTACTACCCCAACGACGACACAAAGGAGAAGACATAGAAAACTATAAAACTCAAATTTCGAAGTCGTGTGATTACAATTGATGAAATGATTATGAACAGTAATAAATTTTGTTCTAAACTGTGTCATCCAGTAAATAATAATAATACTGTTTCACTGACTGTGTGATATATCTAATAAACAAACTAATATGGAATTACTTACTACCACAGTACCGAAGTTTTACACATATATTAACGTTCGTAGAATCAACTAAATTCTAAAAGGTTAATAAAATAATGAAGTAAGCACCAAAAATGTGACTTTGAAGCAGAAATTCTTGAAGAACATGTCTTTCAAGTTTTCTTAAGAAGACATTTCATGCAGTCATCTTGAGGATAACATTATTCTGTCATGCTTTGAGGATATTTTTGATATAGCTGTGTTCTCTCAGCTAGATGGTTTATTTTCTAAGCAACATCTTCAGCGCACATATACCAATTTGAATTGAAGTGAGCTTTTAGATTTCTCCACGAATTTATTATTCATCTTTCCTATTGGATGACTTGAATGTTTTGTTTTGTGTGTTTTCACACCTTCCAGGCTACTTGTATTGGTGCTGATTTTTCCCTTGACCTGAAGTCTGCCTCTTTGTGTATGAGATTTCCTTCTAATCGATTGATAGATTTTGTCTCTCTTGATATGTTTATTGGTTGACGATTCACTGGAGTACCAGGTAGCCTTCTAAAGATTCGTCAGCAATTTTGGTGTTTCTTTTGTCTAATATTTGAACGCTGGTTGTCCCAGTCGAGTTGATCTCCACGGTTTTCTGTATGCAGAGATATGAGCGAGGGGCTGGATGTCATGTCTTCTGACACCTAGTTAAGAATAATGACTTGTAACCAACTCATTATCTCTTTATCAAATTATTTATTCTTTTGGAGTCTCATAATATATTGGCTTTGCACAGTGTCATGTCCGTGAACGCATTCGGAAATACTTTTCATCCTAGATAACCAGAGGTGAAAAGAAAACTGCCCAATAACCTTAACTGATAAGAGAGGCTAAAATACTTCACTGAATAGTCTAATGAAGAAGAGACCGTAAAGATTCGAAGGCCACTATTGTCAGGCTGAACGCAATGTGGGTACATAAATTTCACTAAGCTAAAAGTCACTTGACATCATTTGCAAATTGGTCGAATATCACCACATTTGATAGTTTGTTGGATTTTGCATAGTGTTTGTAACGTTTTTATCATTGTTCTCTTCTTTGGTTGCCTTTTTCCAGTGCTTCAAAACATATTGTTACTTTTTTGAATCAATTTACTCATATACTACTTATGTCTGATTATCAGTAGCACTCACCATAATAGGAATATATTTTATAGTGTAAATGAAAGTAGTCACTAGTATTGAATTCTTTGTTATTTTTTGTCCTTTTTTTAAATTATAGGGATCTAATGAATAATAAGGTATTCTTTCAACATCCTGATTTAACTCGGTGCTTAGCTGTACACGAGACAGTTATGCAATTAATGGTACAGACATTGACTAAAGCAAGTTTTGAACAGCCGGGTTCAAGTGGTGCTACTGGTGGTACTACTTCTAATACTACCGCCAATAAAGATGCTGGTGTACATTCATCCAGTCATGCATTAACAACTGATATTACACTGACTGGTGTAACTGGAGCCTCCTTGCCTGTTCTACATGAAGAAGGTAAGCTGTCAGTTGAATAGATACGCGTCAGTGATTATTTAGGGAACAAGTTTATTTTAATTGAATTTTAAATTTTCCCGTCGATTGATTGGACGGACCGAAGTGCTCGGTCTCAGGTTGACATGTCTGTTGGCCTCTTGTGCAGATACTTCGACGATGTATCAGCATTTAATTAGAATTTAATTGGTGGATGGTGACTAGCAGTGGAATCCAGGTCAATGCGTATTTCGTCCTATTTGGGACTCACCACCTAGTTGACGTACCTGCATTCCATAGTGAGTGATGATGTTCCCACCGAGGCTGGAACCCAATGGCCATAGTTTCAGACGCCAAAGCGTTATCCACTAGAACACTTGGGCCATGAGAGCCATCTCTTGTGCAACGGTTCATATTAATTATTTAATTGAATTTTAGATTTTACCGTTGATTGATTCAACAGAAGTTCTCAGTCTCAGGTTGACATTTCGACTTCTTGTGAAGATGCTTCAACGATGGATTCCACTGCTAGCCACCATCCATCAATTCACTTCTAATAAAATGCCCAGACATCGTCTAACCATCTGCACTAGAAGTCAACATGTCCACCTGAGACCGAGCACTTCAGTCCAATCAATCAATCGACGGGAAAATCTAAAATTCAGTTAAATAGTAGACATGACCTGTTGCTCAAGAGGCGGCTCTTGTGGCCCAAGTGTTCTAGTGGATAACGCTTTGGCGTTTGAAACTATGGCCATTGGGTTCCAGCCTTGGTGGGAACATCATCACTCACTGGGGAATGCAGGTACATCCAGCTATCGCGAGTCCCAAATAAGACGAAATGCATGTTGTCCTGGATTCCACTGCTAGTCACCATCCACCAATCAAATAAGTTCATTTGTATCATTCAGCATCTGAGTCATGACTTTATACTGATATGAACGAGATAGGAATTTAACTAGCGGAAAGCGATTCATTTATTCTCCCTCGTCGATTATCTGACCTAGTGACACATATCACCTGTAAGCTTTCTATATTCATTGTGGCTTAGACGCACATCACAGTGAGGGATTTCTCAAAGGAGCCAACCAACTAAAATGTCAACATTTTGTAAAGGTGTAGAAAGTGAAAAAGGTAACGCTATACTCCGAATTGATAAAGTTAGAATTTGTGGATAATTAAATTCGGGGTCCAAGTGGCTGTGAATGGTCAGCGAGCTTTAACGGTCTCGTAACTTGAAACTCTTACTTCTATGACTACCTATTTTATAACGACTTAACATGTAAAGCTTGATGAGAAATTAGAGAAAATATATCTTTATGTTAAGTTGTGTCCTGTAATTATCATAATGGGAGTATGTATACGTTATGTTAGAATTCACTAATCTTCACCTTATTATTCGTTCAAATTAATTTCATATTCAAGTATTGGTTTGTAGAGATTTAGTTGGATTGGTTACAGGACTTCATCATGAGGGGATATTGGTTAGAGAACCATTGGAAAACCACCAGGATGTACTGTACAGCTGTTTCGTCCTAGTCTGTGACTCTTCAGCAGTACATACTCACCGGGGTTTAAACCCAGGACCTTCTGGTTACAACGCCAACGAGCTCGGACACCATTAAACCATTGGGACCCGATTTAATGACTAGCCGATGAATTCTGACTTCTGCCAATTCACGATATAGAGCAACCGCTAGCCAATGTCTTCGGCGGCGAGTATTTGTCCTCACACCCAAACTGCTGCAGCCTACTGGTCACGACTTCTCACTAAAACCCCAGGTAACTATCTACCTGAATAGGGCCAGTCACCAGTGAGCATCTAATTGGTATTCAAGTATTGGTTTATAGGAATTTGGTAGATTGGTTACAGCATTTCATCATGAGCTGACATTGGTTAGAGAACCATGCTGAAGAGTCCAAACTAGGCTGACGAAACAGCTGTCTAGTACTCTGTTATGTACTCGTCGCTAAATTATTGTTATGGACTGGTCGAGAAACTAATAGTCCTGACGCAAGAAGGCGGAAATCAGAAGACCACTAGGTTTGCGATGATACTTCTATTTTCCAAACACAAGGAGAATGCAAAAGTGGTATCACACCAAAGTAAGTAAGTAAGTAAGTAATCACAAGATTGTGAGAACGAAATATATATATGAAATGTTCCAGACAAAGTGTGTGAACAAATCATTAGACAGTCTTAACATGAATGGCTAATTATAATGAAGTATCGATCCAAATATACATAGCGAAATATAGCAGACATGTCAACAACCACCATATATGGATATATGTCACTAAGCAACGGACTGTCAACAAACACTCATATTATATATAATATAATATAAGGAGAATATACATTGTTAAAGGAGACAAGTTCATACAAGTGAAATGGTCACAGACTAAGCGAGCAAACAGAAAGAGAGATCAACATACACACACACATAAAAATATATATATGTGGATACATATCATACTCCATAGTGGTTTTCCAATTGTTCTCTAACCCACGTCAGCTCATGATGAAATCCTGTAACCAATATCATATTTCCTGTTGATTCTTTATACTAGACCGATATATTCAGTCTGTGTTAACTTGTCAGTTTCGACGATATCTAAAGATTTACGTCATGTTATTTAGGGGAATGGTAGTAACTAGCAGCGGAATCCAGATGATTATCGTAGTCTAAATGACCTAGCGGATAGCAAACACTGTTGATATTTAAAACATAGGTGCTGGGTTTGCGTCTCAGTGGGAACACTTTCACTCGCTAGGGATTACAAGTACAACCGGATGATGAGGCCTAAACAGGACGAAATGCGCACCTCAGATTCAGCCGCTAGTCACTATCACCCACCATAGAGCAGTTTTTTATAGAATTAACTAACACTATTATATTGAAAATCTTTACATCAATAAATTCAACAGTTTTAATATCGTCTTTGTTAACAATTGATTTAGGTTTAGGCGCTGATCCAAGTCATGGAACACAACAGTCACATCAACAGCAACAGCAGCAACAACGTGGTTCAGCTGGTCCAACTGAAATGGTTGTACAATGTTGTCGATTTCTATGCTACTTTTGTCGGACATCAAGAGATAATCAGAAAGCAATGTTTGAACATCTTAGTTATATGCTGGAGAATTCATCTATGCTACTTGGTAAGAAATGGGATTGCCTTAGTCTTTGTATTTTTTTCTTGTAAGTGTGTGTTGTTTTTTTTTCAATATGAATCGTGTATTATATTATTTCATCACTTCTTGAATCAGTGACATAGCTACTTTTGTTCAGCTACGAATAAATAAAGCCATTAAGTGCCTGGTTCGTGTTCCGGTTCCGTCTACATCCGCTTTGGCAATTACGTAGCATCAAAAGCCCTCTGTGTTGCATAGTCTGCAGTATTCACTCGGGTAAGTGAGTTCTAGTAACAGTCCCTACTTTGGCATCGGTAAAGTACCAATTAGTCTCATGGTTCCTTCGGCTCATAAACATCGGATAGTCGATCAATGAGGTTGTGAAGCTTGTTGGATATTGTGGTCACGACGTTTTTATTTCGCACGTTGAATCACCACCTTCATATACAACCAACGTTAGCTCAAATTCGAATGAGTTAGTGAAAGAGTATGAATGTTGAGATGAAAAAATCATTATCACTAATTCGTGAAATCATTGACCATAAGCCTAGAACAAGGAGTATCGGTTACTTTTGATGTGGTTTTGTTCACCCTACTGGGTGATGAAAGCTTCGCAAATTAACCATCCAGCTCAGAGAACAAAACCAGATCAAAATCATCCACCTGAGCTACAAATCTTCTCTATCATATCTAGTATCGGTTACCTAATTCATTCAGGATATCCACTGCGACAGACCAGTACTAAAGTGATATAATAACTAAAATGAAAGACATAATCTACCTTAGCATCTCTCATTGCCCAATAGCCATCTCTGGTAAGTTTTTATCTTCACAGAGTTCTTATGAAAAGTCTAAAATTCCTCGAACCTGTTGATCTTTGGAACTGTTTTATTGCTATTGTTATGCCCTGCGTCACTTTGTTTAGTGTCACCCTACTTAAAGAAAAGTTTATCCTTATGAAAAAGAGAGCACTTATTTCAGACTATAAGGTAACTGTTGCTTGTTCTGGTTATTGTGTGTAGTCTAGACTATCGTTGTTTATACAGAATATTTTAAATTGCTTGAACATTTTCTCGTTGTTGGATAAATTCCCATATAATTTTCACCGAATATACACATTGGATCATAGAAATTATTGAAAGAATTGTTGAAGCAAAGAAGTTGTCAGCTAGATAGCTGTACATTCATGTATTTATTTATGGTAAATGGGTGTGAAATTCCAAACCTATTTCCGATCAAGCAGCATAGTAATGCTGATAGGAATTAAAAATTGCATAAAAATAATTGAAATAAACAGGAAGTTTGTTTAAGAAAGGTAATATGATAATCATTATTTGATAGGACTGACGCTTTATGATAACCGTATTAGGCACAACAGTTGAACGTATTTCCTTTGAATACATAACGCGGGCTTGAAAGTTTGCATCACTAGTGCCTCAGACATGCATGCTCGGATGCCTTGATTTCACAGCTTTTGGGAGGTTTGATCGGATCTTGTATATGACTTAGGAGGAGTTTTCAAATGGGGCTGAATATCATGAATTCACTAGATGTTTTGTTATTGAACTATACACACCTTTGTGTTGATTGAACTTTTCCTATAGAAGCACAGTAGAAGCACTTTAGATGCAGCTGCCGTCTTATATCATAACATTGCTTCCAGTCTAGACAAGGGGGCTAAATTTGTTCGTTGCGCCTTCCTAGACTATACATCTGCTTTCGACTCGGTCCCTAGGGACATCTTATTAAATAAACTTGCTGCTAGTCAAACAGAATGTTGGGCTGTTAACTGGTTGCATTCCTATTTCTCAGATAGAAAGCAGTACACCGTATATAAAGGGAAGTCTTCCACTTCATTGCCTACTGAAGCTGGTGTCCCTCAAGGTGCTGTTCTTTCTCCTTTTCTTTTTTCTTTCTTCTTGCACGACTTGCCTCACTCTGATGAAATAAACTTTGTGAAGTATGCTGATGATTTAACGGTTTCAATGGCTGTTAACTCCCAGCTAGATTGTACTAAAATAAATAGCTTTCTATCGGAAGTCAGCAAATGGTCTGAGTCTAACGGTCTTAAACTGAATCCTTCTAAGTGTCAAACTGTTGATTTCAGCTTAAGATGTAAACGACAGTTAAAAGAAGTCATCGATTCTCATGACAGTTGTAAAATTGACGACAATGATATAGGAATCAAATCAGAAATTAAGTATCTTGGACTCATTCTCTCTTCTGATCTCTCCTGGTCTTCCCATGTCTTAGCAATCTCCAGTAAAATATTCCGCCTGACATTTTACATTAAGAAGTTAAGACACTCGGGTATAACTCAACCCCTCCTCTTACAGTTCGTAAACTCTTGCATCCTACCTATTCTTCTTTATTGCTCACCCTTATTCTTTCCTGGTTTGCTTAAAAAGGACTATGTCACAATTCGTAGAATACTGAAGACTGTCAGTAGGGTGAGTGGTGTCCCAGTGGACCACATAGTTAACGTCGTTGTCGATAGGCACTTGACTTCGTGCAATAAATTTGCTAAAGGGATTTTGTCTGACTTGGAGCATCCGCTTTACCCTCAGCTTTCACCTTGCATCTCCTCAGGTAGAACAAGGAGTAACTTCAGAAAACTGTATGCTCGCACGTCTAAGTATAAGAATTCTATGATACCATACTTGGCACGTATTTTATGTGATGAAAATAGTGTCAGGCAAGAATTAACTAACCTTTTTCATCTAGTAAATAAACAATTTCCTCCATCCATCCTTATATACCTTCAAGTTTTACTTTTATTACTTCTATTATATTTATGGTCCTGTTATTCTCTGTTTTACTCTCATAATTGCAAACACCAACTTATCTCCATGACGGCTGTAATCTTTGTTTTTCCCCTCACCATATCATGTAAAAGAACATTATATTCAATATTTTTAAACATGTTAGGATTTCTATACCACATTGCCAATACTGTGTGAACAAGCCAACGGCAATTTTCACTTGTATTCTTATTATTATTACCCTAGCTGTTATCATTATTATTGCTATTTCCATTTTATATGCTGCATGTTTTTGACACTACCTCTATTGTAAATGTGGAAAATTTTCTGTGTGATTAATTTTATTTATAATTTGAGGAAATTAGATGCAATATTGTGATTAATGCTGAAAATTCCATTCTGTATCACAAGTACTGTTTTTGGAATAAAGTAAATCATTATTATTATTATTATAATTTTCATTAAGAGATTAGAATATGTGAACGTAGTGTATGAAGGTGTAAGTTATCCATCCTAGCCTGATTCATGGTAAAGGCTACAACACTCATTCCTATGTTATTACTTCTTACCATTTGCCAGAGACGTACACAACTTTTTCTTCTGATTGCTGGAAGCATCCTGGCTTACCTAGAAGTTAGTTGGTGAATGGTGACTAGCAGTGGAATCCAGGACAACGCGCATTTCGTCCTATTTGGGACTCGCCACCTAGTTGATGTACCTGCATTCCGCAGTGAGTGATTATGTTCTTACCGAGGCTCGAACCCGGTACCCATAGTTTCAAACGCCAAAGCATTATCCATTAGTCATGAGAGCCACCTCTTGTGCAAGGGGTCATATTAATTATTTAATTCAATTTTTAGATTTTTCCGTCGATTGATTGAACCGAAGTGCTTGGTCTTAGCTTGACATGTCGACTTCTTGTGCAGATGCTTCAACGATGTCTGGGCATGTAATTAGGGGTTAATTGGTAGATGGTAACTAGCCGAGGAATCCAGTGAGGAGGGGCATTTTGTCCCATTTGGGACTCATGGTCAGCTGGATGTACCTGCATTCCCCAGTGAGTGATGATGTTCCCAAGGTGCATAGTCGAAGCATCTACAGAAGAAGCCAACATGTCAACCTGACACCAACCACTTCGGTCCAATCAATCGACGGGAAAACCTAAAAATTGAATTGAATAGAATCTTTACCGTCTATTTTTCTCCTACAAATCAAAGTCTTACAGTTCCATTAAAAGTTCTACATTAAGTGTTTCGTTGTTTCCACTGCATTTAAAGTTTACAAGAATCAGTCATAATAAAGGAATACTGATATGCAACACGAATCAGTATACTTCAAATGACTCATTTACTATTATTATTATTATGACGATTCCCATTCGTTTGTTTTAGTTCAGAGTGGCAATCTCGCATGATACTATGATACCGTTATTGATACCTTTCCGATTAGTTTATGTGTTTTGTTCCACTAATTTGTAGTCCAGCTAAATGATACCTTACTATATATAATGCTTTATTAAAATAATAATTTTATTACAATTACTATATATAAATGAATAGAACTCACTGAAAAATATTATCTTTACGTATAGCTCGTCCAAGTCTTCGTGGTACATGTCCCCTGGATGTGGCTTATTCATCTTTAATGGATAATAATGAATTGGCGCTAGCTTTACGTGAGAAACAATTAGAAAAGGTAACATTTTACCTATTTGCTTGATAAGTTATATTCACTGTTATAATCGTGATAGTTTTTAGGTAATAGTTTTTTTTAAACGTTTAACTTAGTTTTCAAATATTGGTTTTGTAGGGATTTTGTTTGATTGTATGGAGGATTTAATCATGAGCTGACATCAGTTAGAGAACCACTGGAAAACCTGGGAGTACTGGACAGCTGTTTCGTCCTAGTTTGGGACTCTTCATCAGTACGCACCCACCGGGATTCGAACCCAGGACCTTCTGGTTACAAGGCTAGCGAGCTCGTAGACCATTGAGCCACTGGGACCCGACCCAATGGTCCTTGAATTCTAACTTCTGCCAATTCACGACATAGCGCGACCACTTCGCAATGTCTTCTTCGATGAGTTACTGCCTCACCCTACTGGTCACGGCTTCCCACTAGAACCCCAGGTTAACTGCCTGAATAGGGCCAGTCACTAGTGAGCATCAGATGAATTTTCAAGTATTGGTTTTGTAGGGATTTTGTTTGATTGCATGGAGGATTTAATCATGAGCTGACATCATGATTCCGATTCCAGACTTTCCGATGATGCGATTTAATGAGTAATTGGTTTTTGAATTTACCTCCAGGATTCATGTTTTCTGGAAATAGTGAGGTTTTTGTTTTAATTACGTACTGATATGGAATGTATTTCGATGTTGGACAGTTGGAGGTAACTGACTGGAGGTTCAACACCCAGGTCTTTTGCTTATTGGTACTTGTCAGCAAGTCTTTGAGGCACTGATATTTCCTGAGAGATTCGAAGTAATATCACTTGGCGCTATAGATAAAAATACACTGACATGGAGTCGTTTTATTCCATGATGAACTTTATTTAAGACTGTGATGGATACACTGACAATTTTGATGTGGTTTTGTTCTCTGAGCTGGATGGTTAGTTTGCGAAGCTTTCATCACCTTACTGGGTGACATCTTCAGCGCATACTTCAATTTGAAGTGAGCTTTTAGATTTCTCCACGAGTTTATTAATCATCTCTCCTGGTGGGTGACCTTGGACGTGATTGGTTGTTTGTGTGTGTTTTCACACCTTCTAGGTTACTTGTATTGGAACCGGTTGTTTCTTTGACTTGAACTTTGACCCTTTGTGTGTGAAGTTTCTTTCTTATTGGTTGATAAATTTTGTCTATCTCGACGTGTCTATTGATTGATGATTCACTGGAATGCCAAGCTTCTAAAAATTCCCTAGTATTCTTGTTATTTACTTTGTCTAATATTTGAACGTTGTCCCGGTCGAATTGATGTCCGTGGTTGTCTGTGTGTAGTGAAATGAGGGAGTGGATATCATGTCTTTTGACGACTAGCTTATGTTCGTGGATACGAAGACGAAGGGGACATCCACTTTGGCCAATGTACTGTTTTTCGCAGTTGTGACAGTTTATTTTGTAGATGATGTTGGTTTTGTCTTCTTTCGCTGTTGAGTCTTTTGGTTGACATAGAATTGAGTGCAGCGACTTTGTTGGTTTGTGTACGACGTCAATTCCTAAAGGTTTGAGGAGTCTTGTAGTGATTTCTGAGATATCCTTTATATATGGTAAGGCGAATTTCTTTGTGCTTTCCTCGGTGGCTTTTGCTTTGGTAGGTTGGTTTGGGGGTATATGTCTCTTGATGAAATTCCGTGGATATCCATTCTTTTGGAAGACGTCCATGAGATACTTTTCTTCAATTTTCCTTAAGGTGGGAGTGCTGCAGTGAGTCCTTGCTCTCTTGAATAGTGTTTGTATGCAATTCCTTTTGTGTGTTATTGGGTTGTTGCTGTTGTTATTCAGGATTTGGTCTGTGTGAGTTGATTTCCTATAAACTTGAGTTTCTAATTCTCCTGTGGTTTTTCGCCTGACTAAGATGTCCCAAAATGGTATTTTTTTCTTGGATTCCTCTTCTCTTGTGAATTTGATGTCGTTGAAGACGTCAAGGGTCAAAGTTCAAGTCAAAGAAACAATCAGTTCCAATACAAGTAACCTAGAAGGTGTGAAAACACACACAAACAACCAATCACGTCCAAGGTCACCCACCAGGAGAGATGATTAATAAACTCGTGGAGAAATCTAAAATTTGACTTCAAATTGAAGTATGCGCTGAAGATGTCACCCAGTAAGGTGATGAAAGCTTCGCAAATTAACCATCCAGCTCAGAGAACAAAACCACATCAAAATCATCCACCTGAGCTACAAATCTTCTCTATCATACACTGACAAGCCACTAGGGGAAAATCTATTCGATGAACGATGGAATTCAGGATACATATTCCCTCCTAATTAGGATGCATCAATTGGATAGTGGTAGTAGTAACACGGAAACTCGAATCCTGCATCTGTCATTTGAAACGATGGACTCCAATATTAGTTACCACCAACGTAGAAAATCTTCACGTGAATCCTCAGACATCATCGAAACTTCCGTACTGAGAGCCAACATGTCAACTGAGACCGAGTATTTCAATCCAGTATAATCAAACAACCTGAAAGTTATTATTATTATTATTTCCTTGGGTTCCGAATGGAATATAGGGCTTCAACAATATGTCTCCACTTTGTTCTATTTTCTACCATCCTCTTCAGCTGGGTACACGGTTGACCAAACTCTCTCATCTCTTTCTCACACGGTCTCCTTCATGTTACCCTAGCGCCAACGACCCACTGGTCGCTTCCCATTTGGATTCAGCTTGAGAGCCTGGCGTGCGATATCATTTAGCGGCCTCCTCAGTGTATGCCCGATCCATCTCCAATTTATTCTACATATCTGTTGAGCGATCGGCTCTCGTCTGTTGGTTTGTTCCCACAGTTTCCTGTCGCTTATTCTTTCTGGCCATTCAATATTCAGTGTGGAGACAGTGAAGGTGGCAGTTATTGATGAAAGTTTGCAACAGGCTGTTGGAAATACTTTTCATGACATGCTGATCAAGTTTCTGACCAGTATAAAAGAAGTGACTGGACATTATTATTATTATTATTGTATCCTTTAGTTCCTAGAGGAACATAGGGCTTCAGCTGCGCACCTCCATTGACTTCGGTTTTTTGACAACTTTTTCACCCTGCTCCAGGTGTGCCCACATGCTTTCATCTCCTCTTCACATGACCTCCTCCAAGTCACCCTTGGACGACCAACTCGCCGCCTCCCTTTCCGGTTCCACTCGAGGGCTTGTCTAGTGATGTCACTTGTTGGTTTCCTCAGCGTATGGCCAATCCATCTCCATTTCTTTCTGCCTATTTGTTTCACAATCGGTTCCTGATTGGTTCGCTCCCAGAGATCCCTGTTGCTGATCTTTTCTGGCCATCTGATCTTGAGTATTGAGCGGAGACAGTTGTTAATGAAGGTTTGAAGTTTGTTTGAGATGCTCTTTATGACTCGCCAAGTCTCTGATCCGTATAGTAGCACTGACTTCACATTGGAGTTGAAAATCCGGATCTTATTTTTGATGCTGAATGATGTTGACCTCCACACAGATTTGAGAGTAATGAAAGCTTGTCTTGCTTTTCCGATTCTGGCTTTGATGTCCTCGTCAGTTCCGCCTGTAGTTGAGACGATGCTTCCCAGGTAGGTGAAGGAGGTTGTTTCTTTCAGGTTCTTCCCATTTATGCTTATTGTGGTCTGTTGGTGTTGTTGATGTTGGCTAGGAATCTTCATTATCTCTGTTTTATCTATGTCCACGTGAAGTCCTATCTTTGATGCTTCTTCTGCCAGCTTGTTGCTTTTCACTTGCATATCTTCCAGTTTATGGGAAATCAGACATATATCATCGGCGAAATCCAGATCCTCCAAGTCTTTTGTGTCAGTCCATTTTATGCCTGTTCCCTCGTTGGTTGACGTTGTCTGTCGCATTATCCAATCGATTGCAATCAGGAAGATCATTGGTGATAGTAGACAGCCTTGCCTCACTCCCGTCCTCACTTCGAAGGCTTCCGTAAGTTTCCCGTTGTGGATTACTTGGCATGCAGCATTGTCGTATAACTGTTGGATGAGGTGTATAATTGTCGATGGGACCCCGTAGTAGCGAAGTAGTTTCCAAATGACCTCTAGATCGACGCTGTCGAAGGCCTTTTCAAAGTCGATGAAGTTGAGATAGAGAGGTGACTGCCATTCCAAGCTTTGTTCAATGATGATCCGTAGAGTGGCGATTTGATCAATACATGATTTGTTTTTCCTGAATCCAGCTTGTTCCGGACGAAGTTTTTCATCTAGGGCTTGTTCGATTCTCTCCAGGATGATGCGACTTAGTATCTTGCTTGGAATGGACAGAAGCATAATTCCCCGCCAGTTTTTACATTGACCTAAGTCTCCTTTCTTTGATAGTTTGAATAAGTATCCGTTTTTCCAATCCTCGGGTACTTTGCCCTCTTTCCACACCTTCTCCAGTAGTGGTGTCATCAAGTCCGCTGTTGTCTCTGGGTCTATTTTCAAAGCCTCTGCTGGGATTCCATCTGGTCCCGGTGTTTTCCCAGTTTTAAGCATCTTGATTGCATTCAGGACTTCCGATTTCGTCGGGGGTCAGTGTTCACTGGTAGTTCTGCTTCCGTTGTTGGTATTGGTGTTAAAAATCCGAATCTTGTTCCTTATGCTGAGGCCGATTGGCAGCAGAAGATTTCCAAACTGGTTTCACATTGATGAAGGCGTATCTTGCCTTTCCAATTCTGACTTCGACATCTTCGTTGGTTCCGCCTATAGTTGAAACGATGCTGCCTGACCAGATAAGTGAAAGAGGCAACCTCTGTTAAATCTCTCCTGTTAATGCTGATTGCTGCTGGTAGTTGTTGTTGTCGGTTGGTTGGTCGGTTGGTTGGTTGTTATCTTCATTACCTCCGTCTTCTCTATGTTCATCTGCACTCTTGTCTTCTCTGCCTTTTCTGCCAGTCTGTTGGTTTTTGCCTGTCTGTAAGTTTTCGCATTTGTATGACACTAAACATAAATCGTCCACGCGCGAAATCCAGATCTCCTAGAGTCTTATTATCGGTGATCTAGCGTATTCCTGACTCCTCGCTCGCAACAGTTTGACGCATAATCAATCCAGTCCAGCACAATTAAGAATATCATCAGTGATAGCAGTAGGCAGACTTGTCTTACTCCTGTATGCCCTTTGAATGCCTCTCTGAGTTTTCTGTTGTGTATCACTTGACACGTGGCCCTGTCATACAGCCAACTGTTGAATGAGGTTGATAAAGACTTGAGGTACACTATAGTGTTGAAGTAGTTTCCAAATTACTTTTCGGTCTATACCGTCGAAGGCCTTTTCGAAGCTGATGAAAGTGAAGTAGAGAAAAGGGGTTGGATTGCCATTCTATGCTTTGTTCTGTGATGAAGATGCCTAGAGCTGCAACTTGATCAGCACCATGATTTGCCTTACCTGAATCCAGCTTGTTCTGGGCGACGCACTTATATCACTAGTGCATGCTTTATTCTCTTCAAGATAATGCAACTTAGTATTTTACTTGACATGGACAAGAGCATTATTCCTTGCCAGTTCTTGCACAATCCTAAGTCGCCCCTCTTTGGCAATTTGACGAGTTAGCCCTTCTTCCAATCACTGGGCACTTTTCCTTCTTTCCAAACGTTCTGCAGTAATGAAGTGAGAACATCTGCCGAAGGCTTTCACCAGCCTGCGTCATTTCGTTTCTCCTATTTGAGCGAAGAATAAGATTTTTATTTGAAGTTTTTGTATTTTTAATATATTTTCTGTGTGTTGAAGTTTCTCTAGAGGTTTGAAAGATTTAGTGATGTGGGATTCCTAGCCCTACGCCCAACCCTCCCTCTTTATCTGGGCTTGGGACTGGCTAGGAAACTAGAGAGCTAGTTAACTAGGCGACGTTAACCTAAAAGTAAATAAGGTTGTTGTTTATCACATATTGGCTTCAATCTTACAAAGGAAAATAGCTATGCGTCGAATAATGGGCATTACGTTTCTTTAAAAGGTAGTGTCTATCTTACTAGAACCATCTAAGATGATTTTGGATTTTATAAATTAATGTCAGTGTTATGCGGAGGTTAATGAAGGAGAAACGAAAGCGCAGGTGGAGATGAAATTCACTGACTTCAACTATTTAATATTCAATCATTGAGTGCGAGGTGGAAATTCCACCTCACCTACTGTGTATTATTATCAGGTCACATATATACAAATATGACTAAACCTGGTATGAGGAATCCACGTTAAATACCTGCGTTACATTGTTGCAGGAGTGTATTCATTGATCTTGATATCATCAACGTAGAGTGTTGCATTCTGTTATTGTTCCCTTGGGTTCCTAGTGGAACATAGGGCTTCAACTCCACGTCTCCACTTGCCACTTCTGCCTTCCTTATGCTGTACTTTTTACCTCCATCCATCTTAGTCCATACTCTTTCAATCAAATCCTCTTCACACGATCTCCTCCATGTCACCCACCCTTGGACACGTCCCACTCGCCACTTCCCTTTCGGCCTAGTTCCACTCGAGAAATGGCCTGACGCGCGTGCGATTTCATCCAGTGGCCTCCTCAGCGAGCGAGTGTCGAATCCATCCATCTCCACTTTCTCCTGCGTATTTGTTGGTTGGCGATTGGTTCTTGTTTTGTTTGTTTGTGCCAATAGTTTCTTGTTGGTGATTGTTTCCGGCCTGGCCGTCTGATCAGATCTTCAGTATAGAGCGAAGACAGTTGTTGTGGATCAAGGTCTGCAACAGGCTGTTAGAAATATTTTTTGTGACCCGTTCGCCAAGTTTATGATCCGTTCCGTATAGAAGAACTGACTGACTTGACGTTTGTACTGAAGATCCGACCGAATTTTGTTGTTGATGCTGGCTGAGTGACGAAGATTTCCATATTGGTTTCAGGTTGATGTGAATACTTCTCGTATTCCAGATTCTCGCTCGATTTGACATCCTCCTCGTCCGTTCCGACTGGCTGTAGTTGAGACAATGCTCCCTAGCTGGATAAATGAATGAGGTAACCTCTTTCAAATCCCTCCGATTGTGATGGTGATTGGCGCTGGATGTTGCTGCTGTTGTTGTTGTTGCCTGGTTGGTTGGTTATTTTTATAACCTCCGTCTTGTCTATGTTCACCTGGAGTCCTGTCTTCGCCGGCTGCTTCTTCGACCAGTTTGTCGGTCGGTTTTCGCTTCTAAGTCTTCGATTTTGTGACAGTGACATCAAACATAAATCATCGCTGCGCAAAATCCAGGTCTTCTAGGTTCTTCACTTTGGTCAGTCCATGATATCCCTGTCCCGTTTCTCTTTTCCCACTGTCTGACGCATAATCCAGTCAGTCCACCACAATTAGGAATATCATTGGTGACATATTATAAGCACCGTTGTCTGACTCCTGTGTTTACTCCAAACGCCTTGCTGAGTTTTCCGTTGTCGTCCAGCTGTTGAATAAGGTTGATGAATATTTGGGGTACGCCATAGTACTCGAGTAATTTCCAAATTACTTCGCGGTCAACGCTGTTGAAGGCCTTCTCAAAGTCTATAAAGTTGAGGTAGAGGTTTGATCGCCATTCTATGCTTTGTTCGATGATGATGCGTAGAGTTGCAATTTGGTCAGTACATGATTTGCCTTTCCTGAATCCAGCTTGTTCTGGTCGGAGTTCTGTATCCAGTGCGTCCTTTAATCTTTCCAGGGTGATGCGACTCAGGATTTTACTTGGCGTCGACAGGAGCATGATTCCTCGCCAGTTCTTGCAGAGTGAGGCGTAAGTCGCCCTTCTTTGGTAGTTTCACGAGGAAACCTTTCCTCCAGTCAGTAGGCACCTTTCCCTCCTTCTAGACCTTTTGCAATAATGGAGTCAGCATATCTGCTCTCGTCTTTAGGTCTGCTTTCACTGCTTCAGGAGGTATTCCATCTGGTCCAGTTGCTTTTCCAGCTTTCAGATGCTTGATTGCGTTCAAGACTTCAGCTCTCGTTGGAGGATTGGTGTCAACTTGCAGTTGTGTGTGCGCTGTTGTCAGTATTTCTGGACGGTTTGCAGGTGGTGGTCTGTTTAAGAGTCCTTTGTAGTGATCCGCCCATTGTTTAATTTGTCTTTCTTCCTTGGTAAATGGGTTCCCTTGGCTGTCTTTTATAGATTTCACTTGTGTTGGTCTCTTTCCGGATAGAGACTTGGTTATCTGATATGATGTCCTCAGATCCCTTTTGCCTGCTGCCTTTTCATCTTCAGTAGCCAGGTTGTCGTAGAATTGTCTTTTGTCCTTCCTAACACTCTTCTTCACTTCTTTGTCCAGTGCTGTGTACGTAGAGCTCAGCGTCTCTCTCTCTTGCTCGTCTTTGCATTGAATCATTTTCTCTTTCACCATTCTCCTCTCTTCTATTAGCTTCCAAGTGTCCATTGAGAGCCATTCCTTGTCTTGTCTCTTCTTTCTTCCTAAAACCGTTGAACACGTTTCGTTGATAATCACCTTCAAAGAGTTCCAGTAGTCTTCTGCACATGGTTGTTCAATGTGTTACATTCCACTGACTCAGTAATAAAACCGAAAACTTAATTCTTTCTTTAGCACACAGTTTCATTACGCCTTCACAATGAAGTATCTTGACGATTCTAAGAAAATCCAGGGAATTATTTAAGTGCTATATCCGACAATCACTAAATACACAAAAATAGTTTGCGTTTTCATTTATTTGGTATAAACACTAACACTTTCTCTAATTTTATAATTGCTAACTCTGAATTGATGTTATATGGTTCGAAGCAGTTGGCACAAAGCTCTGGACCCAGGCTTCAGGCTTGTTGGCATTCGTTAGTAAGGTGTGTCTGAGACTTTGAAAGAACTCATGTCCCCTCTAAAATTCAGGTCTGCATCACCTAATGCTGCAGTCAGTACTGCAAAGGGAACATGGATTCCTTCAAGAATGTAGATACACTTTGCTGACGAGTTCCAACAAGCACAAAAAATAGGTCTATGGCTTCGTGCAAGTGAGAGTCCACCATGATGGCCACACTGCAAACGGGACTGATAAAAATTCAGTCTGTGCCAACATCGATGACCAGGTTCATAACACTGTTAACTAATCAATACAGTTAGTAACAGTGTTCATTAAAAAAAACACTATTCCCTCATTTATTTATTTATTTATGTAGGTTGCTATTTATTTATCACGTTGTGGTGTTCAGTCAAATGCTGAACTGTTAGCAAAAGGTTATCCTGATATTGGATGGGATCCCGTGGAAGGAGAACGTTTTCTTGATTTTCTACGCTTTACTGTTTGGGTGAATGGTAAGTCACGAAGATTATTTTTTACGTACTTCTCGCTGTTGGTTTCATCGTCCTCATCATAATTAATTTTTATGAGAAGAAGTACAATTTTTTGTTCTGTGAAGAAATATTTCTCTTCAACGACTTCAGTCAGATGTGGATAAAGGAGAATGATGCTTAGGAGGCCTTCGTGTGCTTTCGTAAGAGTGTGGGTATATGTTACTTCCTGGCTGCACCCCTCCCACACAGTGGAAGTTGGTTTCTTTTTGGTACCTGAAACAGAAGAAGAGTTAGTGTTTTGCGACCGTAGAACTCAGGGGACAACTGTTTGGGTGGGGCCGGTCACACACGGTCTATCTAAACTGGTTTCTCAGATTGGTTCCGTATTGGTAAACTTACTGCCGGTTACAGATCACCGTAGGGTCAGTCAGGATGTACAATTTTTGGGTCAACCTTTTCTAATCCCCTCTCTACATAGTTGAGAAACAGCATATCTGGCTGGCATGCTGGTCGTCTGAGGGAAATACCCTACCGCTGTTACTTCTCTGTTCCCTAGCAGTATGACTTTTCCCACAAATCCCTTACATAATGTAAAAAAGTTTTTACACTATACCACTAACTGATTTTAGTCTGATCGCTATCCTAACCATCTTTTGTGGCAACGTAGGACCTGCAGGAACAACAGTTCCAGGCAGTGTAGCTTGTTGGATCATTACGATATGCAAGCCCGACCACGATGCCAGGATAGCAGCTATCGTTCGGGAACGACTTCCATACGTTATTTGAATACATAATTTAGGTTTTTATCCGTGTATAGCTGAAGTTTCGGCTTTACATAAGTGGAAAAAACATACTCACCCCTTTATGTAGCAAAGTTAGTAATAAGATTGGTGAAGAGGAAAGGTTGGGCAAATACTTGAAAATCAATGACATACTCACTAGCGACTGACCGTATTCAGGTATGAAGTTATGTGGGGTTCCAGTGGGAAGCCGCGTCCAGTAGGGTGCAGCAGATAGAAGACGAGGCATTAACTCACCGAAAAAGACATTGCTAAGTGGTCGCGCTATCTCATGAATGGGCAGAAGTTGGAGTCCATGTTGTGGCCATTGGATCGGATCCCAGTGGCTGCCTAGTGGTCTACGAGCTAGTTGGCCTTGTAACCAGAAGGTCATGGATTCTAACCCCATCTAACTGTCCCTTTCGCTGTACATCTTTGTACACTGAAGTACCACCAGCTTTCATTTCTCTCAATTTGTAATGTACTCGTCGCTAAATTATTGTTATGGACTGGTCGAGAATTTAAGAGTCCTGACGCAAGAAGGCGGAAATCAGAAGACCACCAGGTTTGCGATGATACTTCTATTTCCAAACACAAGGAGAATGAAAAAGTGGTATCACACCAAAGTAAGTAAGTAAGTAAGTAAGTCACAAGATTGTGAGAACGAAATATATACATGACCGTCCAGACAAGTGTGTGGACAAATCATTAGACAGTCTTAGCATGAATGGCTAATTATAATGAAGTATCGATCCATATATACATAGCAAAATATAGCAGACATGTCAACAAACACACATACCATATGGATATATGTCACCAAGCGACGGACTGTCAACAAACACTCATATTATATATAATATAAGGAGAATATACATTGTTAAAGGAGACAAGTTCATACAAGTGAAATGGTCACAGACTAAGAGAGCAAACAGAAAGAGAGATCAACATACACACACACATAAATATATATATGTGGATACATATCAGAATTTATGTATGATTCTCTGAAGTGTATCAGCTTTAAATACTGCACTTCTACATTGATAAATTCATATCCTGTGGTGCATTGTTTAAAATGTAAACGCAACGCTGTTCTTTTGATTTCTTTCTATTTATCTCTTTTGGGGGTGTTGCTTTTTGATTTTAAAAATCTTATAAAATTTTTGAGGTAATTAGATGCAATAATGTAATGCACGCTGAAAATTCCATACCTGTACCACAAATACTGTTTGGATCAAAGCTATTATTATCATTACTATTATTATTATTCAACCTACATTATTAAAATGTTTTGTTTGGTTTGATTTAGTTTAGTCTGCTCTCAACAAATTATAGAACACGATATTCGGTAAATTCTCATTAGGCTTTACAATTAAATAATGAAATATCAGCCATAGGCATGTGAAACAAACATAATCAGACAAAATGTAAGCAGAATAATAACAACAATACATTGTGAAATTAAGATTAAAATATGCGTGTGCAGTACAGTACAATATTGATAATGCACTTACCATTACAAATACAAATAACATTTACGGTTGTCCGGTGTCACTGGAACAGATAACTATTCAAAGTTGAGGTTGATGACCATGGGTGGGGGGTGGATTGAGGGGACATTTTGTGAACAAAGAGACTGGCTTGACAATTTTTTATTTCGACTGCCTCAGCTTAATTTGTGGTGGTGGTGTGATACAGACAATGTGTTCCGATGGAATATTATTCTCACATATTTCCACAGTTCAATACTGCATTAGCTACAGAGAAATATGTTGATAACACTTATTCAAACCAGTTCATCAGGTGATGTAAAGTAGTCAGAACACCAAGACCCACTCTTCAACTCACCCGTAAGAAAGACGTGTACATCAAGCCATCCTATATGAAACATCATAACTGGACAAAGAGTGAACGCTGTTGTGGTTAGAATAACTTTTTATGCAGCTAATACCATAATAATTGAGAATGTAAAGCCAATATATCCATCCATTTAAGCCTTTTGAACATGCGAAAAATGATGTCGCATCCCACTGTATTTACCAATTTAAATGTACCTGTGGACATACATATACATAGGGAGGACTCATCGATCTCTAAAAGTAAGGGTTGGCTTCAGAGCATATCTCCTGAATGGTTCCAGACGTAAATAGAATCCCCAAAACCTATTAGTGGTGAGAACAGAAGACCTAGCTCCTCTGTCGCCAAACATATTACAGAGGAGAAAGGGCATCAAAAAGATGTTTACACCTCCTTTATTAAAATCTATCTATAAAACGTGTTTGGGGTTATGCGTATCCTAAAGTTTGTGGAAGTACTAGCTAGCACTTAGGAAGTTTAAACCACCTCTGTGCGTTCAAAGCAGCAATTCTTCATCACACTTAACTAACTTCCTTGTTGAACTTTGTTTTGATACCAGCCAGGGTAGATGTACTATTACATTTGCCAGTATGGAACTTCTGGTTGATTTCACAACTTCTTTACCTGACAACTTTGAATAATACTCAAAAAGGTAATGGTGGGCTGTCCGAATTGTCCTACCTATGCAACCTCCACCACAAAAACAGTTCTCAATAAGTTCAGTGTCAATAGTTTCCAAGCGCTTGTTTCACCTACTAGCATTATTTCGTTGAATTTTAATTCCACTTTACTCCAAATCATATTTCTATTTCAATTTCGATTTCCTTAAATTCTACATTTTCTTACTGTCCAGAGTTCTTTTGTTCACTGTATTCGTGTCGTATGCGTATTGGTTAGCTTATTTTTCATCAACAAGATGTACAATATAATTGGTGGATAGTGAAAAGCAGTGGAATCCAGGATGCGCATTTCGTCCCATTTGTGACTCGTCATCTAAATGTACCTGCATTCCCCAGTGAGTGATGATGTTCCTGGGTTCCACTACTAGTCACCATCCACAAATTAAATTCTAATTACATGCCCAGACATCGTCGAAGCATTTGCACAAGAAGCCGACATGTCAACCTGGGACCGAGCACTTCAGTCCAATCAATCGACGGGAAAATCTAAAATTCAATTAAATAAGATGTACTGTAATCCCAAGTATATTTTATTTATGAAAGTTACTGATCTTTATTCAAAGTTCTGTAATAATAAATGCATATGTAATCCTAATTTGAGTAATAATTCACACTTTAACAAAGTTGCCAACTTGTTTTGTTTATTTCAGGAGAAACTGTTGAAGAAAATGCCAATCTAGTTGTCCGTCTGTTAATTCGTCGACCAGAATGTTTAGGTCCAGCACTTCGTGGTGGATCTAAAGTGATTAAACCATCAGCTGGAAATACAGGTGTAGATGGTTTAGAAGTACCACCTGGTGGTCCAGATGGATTAGCTACTGCGACAAGAGGATCAACTGGCCAGCTGTACAATGATTCCGACGGGCAACCTGCTTCAACTGGTGGTGGTCTGCTAAAAGCAATGAAAGAAGGTCTGGTTATGTCAGCGCAGATTAAATTAGTTAAAATGGCTCAAGAGGCTGAAGCAGCAGGTCTAAATCCAGAAGAAGAAGACTTGGGCTGGCGTACTGTACTGATGGATTATGAAGATGCTAATCTATTTACACCACTGCCGTATAATTTCGAATGTTTACCAGTAAGTTGACAAGTGTATTTATCAAATACACTACACTGTGGACTAAAATATATCATTATATCATTATTATTTCCTTTAAATACTAGACGAACATAGGGCTTCAGCTGCCCATCTCCAATGCCTTCGGTTCTCTGCTAGAGTTTCCACCTGGCTCCACACCTGCCCACACGCTTTCATCTCCTCTTCATATCACCTCCTCCAAGTTGCCCCACCATTGCACTGACGACCAACTCGCCGCTTCTCTTTCGGGTTCCACTCGAGCAATGGCTTGTCTAGTGATGTCACTCACTTGATGATATCCTCAGAGTATGGCCAGTCAATCCATCTCCATTTCTTCTTGCTTATTTGTTGTACAATCGGTTCCTGCTGGGTTGGTTTGCTCATTGCCAGGGATCCCTCTTGCTGCTGATTTTTTCTGGCCGGTCATCTGATCTTGAGTGGTACTGAGCGAAGACAACTATTAATGAAGGTCTGAAGTTTGTTTGAGATGCTCTTTATGACGCGCAGTGCAAGTCTCTGATCCGTATAGTGAGTAGCACTGACTGGCTTCACATTGGAGTTGAAAATCCGGATGTTATTTTCATTTTGATGCTGAGTGCTGTTGACTTCCACACAGACTTGAGAGTAATGAAAGCTTGTCTTGCTTTTCCGAATCTGGCTTTGATATCTTCGTCAGTTCCATCCGCCTGTAGTTGAAACGATGCTTCCCAGGTGGGTGGGTTGGTGAAGGAGGTTGTTTCTTTCAGATTCCTACCATTTATGCAGGCTGATTGTTGTCTGTTGTTGTTGCTGTTGTTTTTGGTGTTGGCCAGGAATCTTCATCACCTACGTCTGTTTTCTCTATGTTCACCTAGAGTTCAAATATATATGTGAATTTATTACAACTACATAGAATTATCTATTGATTTAGTGCAATAACTAACTGATAAGGTTTATAAACCATGCCATGCGATTTCCACCATCATCATGCCTGAATATCTCACTATCTTTTTCTTATTCCTTTGCCTTCCAAGTGGAACATAGGGCTTCAAGCTTAATCTTTGAAGTTGCAGTAATAGTGGTGCTGTTCGATTTTACACAGAGGAGCAGCTAGCTGCAGACCCAGTCTTCTCACTTTCCCTGGATTACTACCGGCTAGGCGAGGTTTAGGAGTGAGTTGTCTGTCTGTCTGTCTGTTTTCGACATAGAACTTTACACCGATGTGCACCAGTTTAAGTCGCTCCCTCCAATGTATCACACAAAGCAAGAGAAGTAAATAGAAGAAATTCATAATAGAGACAGTGAACAGAGGTGTGAGACAAAGGAATAGTAATGACGGAGAACAATATAGTTTCATTGGAAATCATAAGTTACAAGGAGTGGATGCATCTGCACCAGCCAGTCATTGAGAAAGATTTTGAGCCATATCACCAACTGTCTCCAGCAATTATTGGTTTTTACCGTCCCGAGGACCCTAACTAGGAAGTCTACAGCTTTCTGCGCGGCTGGCTGACTTAAACTAAATGTTGTGGATTTCATTGACTGGTGGCATGTTTTGGTTTGACCGCCGCTAGCTCTCCCTTCCAGCCTGACCCTATGTCAGCTAACATTGCCTGTCGAGGAAGGCGATGACTAGGCGTACGTAACACATGTCCTAACCATCCCAATCTAAGCAGCTGCTTCACAGCTTCGTCTGTTTATTTCCCTTCCCTCCTTACCTAGCACTCAACCGATGCCTAACCTCAATATTGCTCACCCTACTATACCACTTCACACGGGATATAGAACACAGGCACCTATGATCAAACGATAGTGAGCCGGATATCACGTCTAAGTCACAGATGGCGTAAACTGGCATATGCGAAACTAGCCCTCTGTATCCGTGCTGAGATTTCGTCAGAGATCAACCCGTTGGTACTGGCTGATGGTACTCCCGAAGTAAGTGAAGTGGTCAAAGTGCTCTGCCACTTCACTTCCTATTTCTAAGCTAGGAGTTAGTGTAGTCCAGTCAGTCCTGTGACATCATCTTACATTTGGCGGGAGCGGATCGCGTGCCAAACATTCGTAAATTGCAGCCAAAGGTGTTCAGCCAAGAATGGGACCCTGACCATGTGCATGGTTGGGGGGCATTCTACCGTCGAACCACTGAAGCACATGAGACTACAACTGCTCCAATGCATTAATGATCTCAGTCATGTGAGCCTAATTAAAATCCGAATCTTATTTTTCAGGCTGAGTGATGTTGGCTTCAACGATATCTTAATGTTACCGGAGTGTTACATGGTTTGTAGCAGTTATCACTGGAATCCTGAATGCACGTTTCGTCTTATTTGTTAGTCAGCAACTAGATGTGTGTGCACCCGCAGTCACTGCTGAAATTCCTGCCAAACACCAAAACGTACTGTACTACTTTTTCGAACTCAGTTAAAAAGCAATTTCCTCACTAACAATCGTCCAAGGAGAACAAGGATTGTAATAGTAACAACTTAGTATTAACACGAAGATCATAATTCGTACAGGCAATCGTTTAGTTAATCAGTGAATTTCAATAGACGCAAAAGTAGGAATAATCACTGTCACACAGATGAGAAATAACCTATAGTTATCATTCACCCCCCCCTTCGCTTCCTTGAAGGACATATATCTTCGGCAGTACATCTTCATTTTATCCTATTCTCTGCAGTTTTTCTAACTTTTTCCACGACTGCTCACGAATTTTCGTCTCTTCCATTTCACCATCAGACATACGCTTAACTCTTCTTATTTCGATTCAGGTACCACTCGATGGCCTAGTTCGTGACGTCACTTCATAGGTCTCCTAAGTTAATCTCCATTACATATCCATTTCTTCGTGCATATTTTTTGGGCGATATGCTCCTGGCTAATTCGCTGCCTTGTGTACTTGTTTCTTATCACTTCTGGTTGACCGTCTGATCATCATTATTGAGGCGGGAAAGGAACTCTTGAAGAAAGTCGACAGCAAACTTTTGGAAATGTTTGGGTGCTCCAAATCTTTGGACTATATCGAAACAATTTCTTGATATTAGAGTTGAAAATATGAGTCTTATACCTTATACTGAGTGCATCAGATTTAGCACACTGGTTTTAGGGTAACGAATGTCTGTCTTGCTTTTCATACCTTACCTTTTATTTGACATCCGTATCCATGATACCTTCGGTTGAAATCATGCTATAATAGTACAAGGAGGGAGGATATTATCATTAGTGTTATGTACTGGTTTTCCCCGTCGCCAAATTGTTATGTACTCGTCGCTAAATTTTATTGTTATGGACTGGTCGAGAAACTAATAGTCCTGACGCGAGAAGGCGGAAATCAGAAGACCACTAGGTTTGCGATGATACTTCTATTGTCCAAACACAAGGAGACGAAAATAAATGGTCTCACACCAAAGTGGTAAGTAAGTAAAGTAGTTGTAAAGTGTAGTTCACACAAATTGTGAATGCGAATATATATAAATAATTCAGACAAGCGTGGGAAAAATCATTAGACAGTCTTAACATGAATGGCTAATTATAATGGAGTGTCGATCCAATTATACATAGCGAATATAGCAGACATGCCAACAAACATATATGGATATATGTCACCAAGCAACGGACTGTCAACAAACACTCATATTATATATAATATAATATAAGGAGAATACACATTATTAAAGGAGACAAGTCCACACAAGTGAAGTGGTCACAGACTAACCGAGCAAACAGAAAGAGAGACCAACATGCACACACACATAAATATATATATGTGGATACATATCACCTCCCCTTTTGAGAAGATGGATGATTAGTAGGATGTTTACCTGGGGGTTTATCTGGGACCTTTGGGCTTGTTGTTGACGCCTGTCGTTTCGTCTGATTGTTGGGTTTGCGGCTTCGGCTCCGTCCGGAATTGTCTAGCATTTTATGCTTCTTGGCTGCATTGCGTAGAGAATTTAGTGGGACATCAGCCAGATGCAAACGATCGAACCAATCAAGTCCCAAAAGATTTAAATCATTCTTGGTGACGTAACAAATTCCTGTGAATTTGGTATTGCGGAAGGAAACAGAACATTTGAGTTCACCAATTAGTTTGAGCCGCCCACCACAGGCGCTGAGAAGAGACTGGGAAGTATTGGTGATAGGTGGTCTGCCAATATAATTCCAAAGTTTCTCTGATATAACAGTAATATCAGAGGCGGTATCTAGCTGCAGACGTGCATCATGACCATTCATCTGAAGATCAAGATATTTCCGCATACCTGGTGTTGTGACTTGACGGGTTGCGCGTAGACTCAATGACTTTTTGGGGATTTAGGACCAACATTTTGTTGAGCTTTTGCTGGATTTTGACATCTGGGTTTGCGTGGCTGACAAAAACCATTTTTATGACCGATGATTTTGCACTTGCTGCAACGATGATTTTTGTATGGACAAGACTTTACAAAGTGCCACGCGCCACAATGCCAGCATGGTGATGGAGGGGTCTTCTTTGTCGTATTTTGTGAAGTTGGACGAGTATCTGTAGATTTCCGCGGACATTAGAGAAGTAGGTGGGTCAGGAGTGGATGATGAGAGATTTTTGCTCTTTCGTAATGCACGAATATCAGAGCTTCTCGAAGGTGTTGATTCGACCAGGTGTGTGTCTTTCTGCAGATTAATCAGCCGTTGATATTCATCAGCTATGTCATGTAATGTTAACTTGGGATTTTGTTCTAGCTGATTGAGCAGTCGAGTTCGGATATCTGTGAAACGAGGAGATTGGAGACTGCATATGAGAATCAAGGCTTTGAATTGATCATCTGTTAAGGACCTGAGTCGAAATCTCTCACATTCTCGGTTGACTGTGCCAACGTGAGTAAGAAAATCATCATTTTCATTCATTGCCAGCTTGAGGCAACGATAACGTATACTGAATAATGAGGAGTGGTCTCCGAAATGTTCACGCAGCAACTTTATTGTATCATCGAAACAATTGTCACGTGGTTTCTGTGTAAAATTAGGTTGCAGTACCGTTCATATTCTGCCGGACCCAATTTACGTAGCAAAACTCGCACCTTCCAGGCATCGTCTTGTGAGGCGAGATCAACAGTGAATAAATCCTCATAACGTTGATACCATGTGTCAAAAGTGACATTAGCCTCTGGGTCATAATTGAACTGTGAAATACTGTTCACAATTCCGTCGACAGATGGTAGCATGGTATGATTGGGATTGCTTGAAGGTGAAGCTGGACCAGTCTGTTGGTTGACGAACATTTCCATTAATTTCATTTGTTGTTCAAACAATAATTCCAATTTAGAAGGATCCATAGTAAATTGTTATGTTGCTGCTGCTGTTTGGTTAATAGTAGTTTTCCCCGTCGCCAAATTGTTATGTACTAGTTTCCCCGTCGCCAAATTGTTATGTACTCGTCGCTAAATTATTGTTATGGACTGGTCGAGAAACTAATAGTCCTGACGCGAGAAGGCGGAAATCAGAAGACCACTAGGTTTGCGATGATACTTCTATTGTCCAAACACAAGGAGACGAAAATAAATGGTCTCACACCAAAGTGGTAAGTAAGTAAAGTAGTTGTAAAGTAGTAGTTCACACAAATTGTGAATGCGAATATATATAAATAATTCAGACAAGCGTGGGAAAAATCATTAGACAGTCTTAACATGAATGGCTAATTATAATGGAGTGTCGATCCAATTATACATAGCGAATATAGCAGACATGCCAACAACACATATATGGATATATGTCACCAAGCAACGGACTGTCAACAAACACTCATATTATATATAATATAATATAAGGAGAATACACATTATTAAAGGAGACAAGTCCACACAAGTGAAGTGGTCACAGACTAACCGAGCAAACAGAAAGAGAGACCAACATGCACACACACATAAATATACATATGTGGATACATATCAATAAGCTGACATCAGTTAGAGAACGATTTGAAAACCAGCTGGCAGTACTGGACAGCTGTTTCGTCAGCCCATTTCGGGACTGGCTCTTCAGCAGTACGCCCCCACCGTCAGGGTTCGAACCCAGAACTTTCTAATTACAAAGCCAGTGAGCTCGTAGACCATGAAGACCATTCATGGGCCATTGGGTCGGATCCCAGTGGCTGCCTAATGGTCTACGAGCTCGCTGGCCTTGTAAACAGAAGGTTCTGGGTTCGAACCTCCTGTGGTGAGTGAGTACTGTTGAAGAGACTCAAGCACTATAACGAAACATCTGTCCAGTACTCCCAGTTGGTTTTCCAATCGTTTTCTAACTGATTTTCTTTTTTTTTTCATCTTGCCTTTATCATTGTTGTTATCATCCCAGGTCACAGCAGACTAATTTCATGGCATTTTCGACTGTTCTTTCTGTTACTTTATTTTTTTTTCTGTTACAGCCTGAAGATGATCCCGACTACATTGATTTAGGCGCTGCAATATTAACGTTTCATTCAATTCTAGTTAATCTCTTGGGCTATTGTGCACCGGATATGGAGACAACAAAAAGTGAATCATTACGCGCTAGATCAATCCTCCAGTCGCTTGTCAGCATGGCTGATTTAGAAGGTGTCTTATCATTGCGGTTTATTCTGCCACCACCAAAACTTGAAGTACAAGTAAGTTATTATTGATTATTATTATTATTACTACTATTATTATTGGATTGATTATTTTATTTATTGAATTCATTGAATTGTTTCGACTCATTTTCTTAAATAACTTTTTCATACAAATCAATACAATCAAATATAGCTACAGTATAGGAAAAAAAAGTAAACATCGGATGGTTCCACCACAGGATGATATTTACTATGTGCAGTTCTAGTCTTGTAAGAGACTTTGAGGAATGTGTTAAGTTCTCCTGAAAACCAATGTATAAATATATGTGCAAAACTTAGGCAATGTGGTAATAAAAGTAATTCCATATTAGTTTGTTTATTAGATGGATATATCACACACAGTCAGTGACACAGTATTATTATTTACTGGATAACAAAGTTTCGAACAAAATCTATTACTGTTCATAATCATTTCATCAATTATAATCACACGACTTCGAAACTTCAGTTGTATACTTTTCTTTGTTCTCTCTTATCTATCGTCGATGGGGTAGTGGAATTTTCCACATGTCCAACTGAACAGGTGCTGAATCATTCCTATCACACGTATGGATGGATGCCTGCCATTTTTAGATGTACTCATAACCCGCAGAGAAGATGGGTCAATAAAACGATCTATCTACAGGAAGTCAAAATGGACGGGACAGTATCTAAATCAGTATAGTTTCTGTCCACTACAGTATAAAAAGGCGTTGGTTAAATGTTTAGTCAAGCGAATTCACCGTATATGTACTGCTGATACAATTAAAGAAGAAAGACAACACCTCACTGAAATACTGTTAGATAGCAATTACCCACTGAGATTTATTAGACTTTACGGAAGTGTCAACCATAGAGCTTTGCCAATCCAATCAGCTCCCAAAAAGGAAGTTCACATATCTTTGCCGTTCAGAGGTGATCAACAAAGTCTGGTCACTAGACAAAGACTCAAGGCCGCAATTTATAGAACCTATTATCCAGCTAAACTTATCTTCATAGAGAAAACGAGAACTATGTTGTCCTGTAAACCCTCACATTATCCGAACGATAGTGTCATATCCCACTGTGTTTATCAATTTACATGTATGTGTGGAGACACGTACATAGGGAGGACCCATCGGTCTCTGCATGTTAGGGCTACAGAACACATTCCAAAGTGGCTGCAACAACAAATGAAATCGCCAGATACAATTGACCCGGGAAATAGATGTCCAACATCATCTATAGCGAAGCATATTATAGAGACGGGTCATAAGGTTGATTTCAACAATGCCTTTAAGCCGATATATAAAACAAGGTTGGGTCACATACTTAAATTCATTGAAGCCTTAGCCATTAAAAGACTTAAACCTGTCTTATGTGTCCAAAAGCTATTTGTTATCACCTTAAACCTGCCTTGGTAATCCAAGCTAGAACCAAGGACCAATTTACTTCATAATATTTTCAACCTCCTTCTTTGCCTTGTTTTGCTCTTCATTTTATCTTTCTTACCCACACCTTTTGCGTCTCCCTACCCATTATTTGTGACCTTGACCTGTACACAATCTGACCTGTATCGTAATTATTCATGCTTTCTTGCCTTCTATAAAAACTGTGTATGACAAGTACGTGTGTGTGTGATCAGAATGTCCGAAATGTGTTGCGCCAATACATTACACGTTTCAGATAAACTACGTCTTCTTATTGTTTTGTCGAAATTCAGAAAGGGAACTCATTGCTTTAAATATTCTCTCTCAGTTGATTCGATAAACAAAGCTTCTGTTATCAATCTCTCCCTCCACCCTAGCCCATCCATCCTACTGTATGGTTGTGTGTAATTGCATGCAGTGAGTGCTATAGCTGAACTATTTTCTAGATTTCTTATCTTATCTGGGTCAACCAATCTAGATTTTGCTGCTAGGTTTTTATGTTCGGCTAGTCTGACTGACTGACCCTGTTCTACTAGTGTGACCTATGTATTTAACCTCACTGACAATCATTGCAGGCAGGGTATTAGATAAACCAAATTGTTTTGTTTATTTGGCTCAACAGGATTGATCGTTTACCCGAAAAAGCTTGTTTCTAATTGAATTTATGGTTGGTTTGAATGCCAGACACTTTTATTCCTGCCTGCCTTGTTAAGAATTCTGTGTAAGGCTTCCGAGGTTCCTTCCTTATATGGAATTACTGTTGATGATGTAGATTCCTTATTGTTGGTGTCGTCATTAATATTATTATTATCACTATTACTATTATCGTTATAATTGTTAGCATTATTATTATCACTATCGCTACTATCACTATTTATTTTATTTTTACATTTACTTACATATTTCCTGACTAATTTATTTATCAGGGTAATTATTAGGTTTCAAGGCTTCTTTTATGTGTATCGTTTCCTGTCTTAGATTTTCCTTGGTACTACTTAGTTTTTGTGCTCTGTCCCTTAAACACTTCACCAATCCTATTTGGACTGATATTGTGTGGGATGGTCGGAAGTTCAAATATCTGCCACAAATGTGGATATTGGTGACCCCGTGGTATATCGAATCAACTGCAGATAAGTGTAAAAGGAATGATTCAACACCTGTGTCCACCCACATATCTGGAAAATTCTACTACCCCAACGACAACAAATAGGAAAACTATAAAACTCAAGTTTCGAAGTCGTGTAATTACAATTGATTTTTTGCTCGAAACGTCATCCAGTAAATAATAATACTGTTTCACTGTGTGATATACTCATCTAATAAACAAACTAATATGGAATTACTTGCTACCAGAATGCCCAAGTTTTACACATGTACTAATGTTGGTGTTGTCTTCTTTCGCTTTTGTGTCTTTTAGTTGACATAGTACCAATAAAAAGTGATATACTGCGATGTTAAAATTATGCCAGTGTTAACCGTTTTCTTAAAATTGTGTGTTTTTTCCACATTATTTATATTAGACTAATGAAGACGGTGAAGACGAATGGGTAGATAAAGCTGGTATGCCGCCTGGTTTGTTACCAGAGCATAAAGCATCTGTTGTGCTATTCTTAGAACGTGTATACGGCATTTCAGATGCTGCAACATTTCTCCGCCTACTAGAAAACGGCTTCCTACCAGATTTACGTGCAGCAACTTTACTTGATTCAGTAAGTTTTTGGTTTATTCTTGTATTTCCTTACTTTAAAAGATTATAACAATTTAAAAGGTGGCTAAAACTGATATTTATATTGCTAATAAACATATAACTGTTAGGGGAAAATAATAGCAATATGGAAGAACAACAGAAGTTTATTGGATGTGACAAATCACAAGGATTGAATGCATCTGAACCAGTCATCGAGAAAGAGGATTTTGAGCCATACCACCAACTGTCTTCAGCCATTGGATCCTACCATTTCGAGGACTCCATCCGGACTGGAAATCTACACCTCCCTGCTTGGCTGGCTTAAAGTAACTGTTACGGCTTTCACTGACAGCTTCCATGTTTGGGTTTGACCACTACCACTAGCTGCTTTCCAACCTGAGCAGTCCTATGTGTGAGCCCACACCGGCGCACACCTGATATCTATGGTTGGCCTGCAAAATTTGGGCTACCGATATCCATGCTGAAAATTCCATACTTGTACCAAAAATACAGTGTGGAATCAAGCTGTAAATCAAAAAATCAAAAAAAAAAAAAAAAACATTGTCTGTCTACGAAGACGGTGGCTAGGAACGTGTAACACGTGTCCTAACTATCTTAGTCGATGTAACTTCACAATGTCATCGATTGATTTTCCCTAACAGTTGACGCCAAACCTCAGTATTCCTCACCGTATACAGGAGGTAGAACTGAGACATCTATGATCAAGGACAACTAGCCCTTTCATGTCTTCCAATTACCATGGCCGTGTCTCACAGTCATAAAGGAGGATAGAGAGAATTGCTGTGCAGTATACACGTCCTTTGATCGATTGCCAACCGGCTCTCTCAAGTTTACGCTAGAGATGGCGTAGGTGGGCAAATATTAAAGCAGCCTTTTGTATTCATGCTGAGATTTCAACAGCGATAAACCCTCTGGGGCTGACAGATGAAACTTCTTAAATAATTGTGAAGTGGTTAACACGCTTAACTATCACATCACCCCCTTTCTGCCTTTAAGCTAAGAGTGGATGTAGTCCAGTACTGTAACGCTATCTTACATTTGACAAGAGAGAAGTGCATGTTTAACATTTGAAGACTGCTGCTCATGGTGTTCAGAAGACTCTGCATTTTGTCAGCGTCTTCACCTAGGGGGGTGACTAAATCATCTGCATATTCTAAGTCAAGGAGACTATTATACCCTGGTAACAAGTTAATCTCTGAGTGTCTGAAGTCACTTAGGGTTAATTCCATAAGTACATCTATGACGAAATTAAACATAAATGGGGATTGTGGGCATCCCTGATGGACACCGCGCGTTGTCATCACTTCATATGACAACCTAGCCATATACTCTTACATGACTGTGGGATTTCGAGTAGTTTGTCTTGACCGATGCGACATATTTTCTCGGCATTCCCTTCACGACTAAACATTACCATAGTGCCTCTATCTCTCGACGGAATCGAATGCCGCTTACAGATCAAGAAATATGGCAATATGTGACGCCTGGTGATACTATCCAGGCGGAGTGGAATTCGAACCTTGGACACCTTGGCTGACATTCGAGTATCTAAGTCGATGAGTCATACTTTTGCTTCTGTTAAATAAGTAACTAAACCTGCTTGTCTTTTTTTTCTGTCGTTAATTTAGGCTGTTGTTCCAGACAGTGATATGGCTTTAGCTTTAAATCGTTATTTATGCAACAGTGTACTACCATTACTGACACGGCATACTCAATATCTTGGTGAAGAAGGTACAGCTGGAGGATTATTTGAAGCTACCCTGCAAACTGCTTATCGTTTATCAAAATGTCGTTCAATAACTAATCATCAACGTGAAGTAGTCTGTGATTTCTTAGTAGCTTTAATGCAACAAATTCGACCATCTATGATGTCCGCGTTATTAAAGAAAATGGTCTCTGATTTACGTATATTATCAAGAGAAGTAAGTTATTTACATGTGTGTGTGTTTGTGTTTCCGTGTAATTGTTTATGTATGTTAGGATTTGCGTTTATGGGGTGTATAGCTGGAAGGCAGGGGTTTGAGTTGTACATTACATAACTTCATTACCCCCTTTTTATTATTTACCCTATGAATGAGTACACACACCTTTTTTTCTGGTTAATTTACACTTATTATTGATTGATTACGTTGAACCGAAATACTCGGTGTCTTTTTAACCAATAACGGTGATATTTTATGGATCAAATAATAATAATAGTAATGTGGTAAATATTTTGAACGTTGTTAATGATGATAATTATAATGATTCAAGTGATGGTTTGTAGGGATTTGATTGGTTTCAGGATTTCATCATAAGCTGACATCAGTTAGAGAACCATTGGAAGACCTGGGAGTACTGGACAGCTGTTTCGTCCTAGTTTGGGAATCTTCATCAGTACGCACCCACCGACCAGGGTTCGAACCCAGGACCTTCAGGTCACAAGACTAGCTAGCTCGTATACCATTAAGCCACTGGGACCCGATCCAATGGTCCTTGAATTCTAACTTCTGCCAATTCACGACATAGCGCAACCGGAAGGTCCTGGGTTCGAACCTCAGTGGGTGCGTACTGATGAAGAGTCCCAAACTAGGACGAAACAGCTGTCCAGTACTCCAAGGTTTTCCAATGGTTCTCTAACTAATTATAATGATAACAAAATAATGATAATAAGATGTATGCAGGTGGCGATGCGAATAACGAAGGTAGTAATATGTGTATATGTAGACAATTCAATAAATAAATAAATTAGGTCAAATCCTAAAAGTTACGTATTACTAAAGTGGACAGATATAATCAGAGTTTAAATAGATACTATAAAAATACAAAGAAGATGGAAAATAAGAAAGGGTGGAAGGCTTCTGAATAGTATTCACCTAGGCCAAGGGAGAGACAAAGGTAAAACAAACTTCTTTGCTGCATGCAAAGACTAGGATTGTTCTCTCGAATTCCCATAGCTTCTTCGGCTAAGTGTAAAAGACGGGTTCTGATTCCGTTCGAAAGACTCGACGAAATGCGATAGATAACTTTGAAGGCACTATTTTTGTCCACATGGTGACCGCTATGAATCAAATGAATCAAAATAGAACTTCTTATAGATTTTATTTGACCTTTTCCAAACTGTGAAGGAAGATGCTCATCAATGTGTTTGTTAAGCTGTCTAGTTGTCCGTCCTCCACAGGAGCAACTAAATTTGTAGATACATATAGAATTGGCACAGCCACATACCTTGTTATTATTATTATTATTTAATCCACAAAATCACCGTCATTAGTTGAAAAATTTTTTATATGTAAATCTATGTGAATTAGAATAAAGCGTGAAGAAGATCTAATTGAAAACAACAGTATTATTCACTTATTACGTCTTGTTCTGATATTAAAAATGCGAATATTTGCAGAAACAAGAGACAAGCAAATTTACACTATATCAAAAAACGTGGATCAGGTTAAAACCAAAGATTACGTAATCAGATGAAAGAGAGAGCAAGGCAACATCCAATCATCAGGGCTGTAACTATTTCTTTCTAAACACATAAATCAGCTTTCAGGTGTCTGATAGAGATTACTTCAGTTGACAAACTTGGGCAAAGTTAAACTTTCGTCACCACTAACAACCAATCAGCAAACAACCTTGAACGAACCAATTACATTAAAGAGGCATATATGATGAATGGAAATGTATATTTATAGAAAAAAAGCACAAAATAGAGAATGAAAAAGTTACATGGGATATCTTTCTAGAACATGTGAGAGAAACATCTCCCAGTTTAGCATGGGACTGTCAATGCTTTTCCATCTGCTATCCTTTCGACGAATCCCTTTCGGAGGGAGGTGTCATACAAACCTATTACCCAAATATTGTTCATTCGCTAGCGACCACGGTTGTATTTCTTTTTTACCAGCACTGTCTCATCGACACGCACGGTAACGTCTTCCCCACCCAGCAAACAAGTGATTTTCCCCATTTTCCATGATGCGATGTCTCTGCAATGCTGGTACCACTGAACTGTTGAGACATGGCTATTCTCCATCTCGGCAGCTGCTGCTCTCACAGCCTGTTTCAACACCCATAAGTTGCAGATATACAAAATCTGGGTTAGGGAGAGATGCGACCTAGCGAAAGTAAGTTCCTACGAAATATTAAAATTATCAGCTTACCCTCTCCAGATGAACAAACCCATCAGTTGATTTGGTATAGCTTTTCAAAGTAATGATACAACCGCACAAAAAAATTCGCTCTTTCCGGAGCAACTCAAATTCAGGAAATACTGGAAAACAGTAACCTCCTCGAATTGCAACTGTAGCCTTGTAAGGTCACGCATTAGAAATGAATCAAGCGCTATACAATATTGAACTGCGTTCGTGAACCTCATTGGATAATTCGACATCGTTCGTGAATCTCATTGGATAATTCGCTGATTGGTAGTTAGTGGTGTCGAAAGTTTAACTTCGCCCAAACTTGTATTTTCATCTTTTTCCCACCTTTTGTGTCTACTCTATGAAATATGACAACTTCAAAACGTTGAATTTTTGTACAAAATGATACATTTAAAAATTCCCGTCATCATTTCCGTACATATAATTATGCTTTTAACCTGTTCAACTTTTAATGCCCCTCTCTCTCTCTCTCTCTTTCGTTCAGTCTGTTGTATCACTTCGTGTACTGACAGAATTCTATCAGCGTTGTGGCACATATTATAGTTCAGATGGATGGACAAATGAAACTGGGCATAGTGGAACTGCAGCGGCTGCTGGTAATTCTGTCAGCGATGAATTTGCTGCCCACCATGGTGGTGGTGGTGGTGGCGGTGGTGGTTCAGAAAACGCTGCCGCTCATACTGGAGATGGTGAAACAACAGCGAGTGAAGAAGAACGCAGTATAACTGCTCATCTATTCATATTAATCTTTGAAAAATTATCTAGACAACCATATGAGCCGGAATTATTTTCATATGCATTGCCGTGTTTATGTTCAATAGCTTGTGCACTGCCACCAGATTATTCAATCAGTCAGTTGAATGCCATGGAACAACAACAACAACAAAGTGATGGTTTTGTTCAAAATGTCGGACAATCAGTATTCCCTGGTCAAATGAGTATGTTGGATTTTCTTTGCCTAGTTAAAAAATTTCATCAGGTAGACAAAACACAAACACAGAAATGTTATATGAACTGTGGTCAAGATTTGACCGAATAGTTGCAAAATAATTGAGTGCCAAGTGAGAAGTAGACATTTATAAAATTATATTTCATGGAGGATTTCACCATGAGTTGACATCAGTTAGAGAACCACTGGAAAACCTGATCTACGAGCTCACCTTGTAACCAGAAGGTCCTGGGTTCGAATTCCGGTGGATGCGTACTGATGAAGAGTCCCAAACTGGGACGAAACAGCTATCCAGTACTCCCAGGTTTTCCAGTGGTTCTCTAAATGATGTCAGCTCATGGTGAAATCCTCCATGCAATCAAACAAAATCCCTACAAATTCAATACTTGAAAATTATATTTGTAAAATCTCAGCGAAATTGAAATGATTAGTTCCAACGTTTCGTTCGGCAATCTGGTTCGAACTTCTTCAGGGAAATTAATCGAAATTAACATGACAGAGGCTTATATATAAAAGGAACATCTCTTGTTTTTTGAAACTTTGTCCAATCATGAGCCATGAAGCAGGCATCAACGTGCTTATATAATAAACAAAATTGTATGAACTGCGATCAAACATTTGACCTCAGACTTTCAAAATTAGTCTACTTTTGATTACAGGATTTCAAAATGAGCATACATTGGTTATAGAACCATTGGAAAACCTGGGAGTACTGGACAGCTGTTTCGTCCTAGTTTGGGAATCTTCAGCAATGCGCACCCATCGACCAGGGTTCGAACCCAAGATTTTCTGGTTACAAGACTAGCGAGCTCGTATACCATTAAGCCACTGGGACCCAATCCACTTTTGTTAAACAGCGTGTATATGCAGGATACGATGGTGTGTGTGTATGTGTGTGTATGGGTGAACAGTCATAAAACATTTGTTATTCTCTCCACAAGAAGACGTAGACAATCGGGAATTTGACCAAAGTGTGACTAGTTGTTGATACATATTCAATTTTATTTATTATTCAGGATTTACCATGCATCAGCTAACATCACACCTTCATGTCTGTTCAAACTGTTGGGGTTCACCCATATATGTAGGGCTTCTGCAGTCAATCTTTCTTGATATGAACCAAAACCTTTCTGTAAAACCTTAGTCTTATCAAAGTCGATCTTGTGTTCCGTTTCTATTGAATGCAGTGCAATCACTGAGTTGTTTTCTGGTTTCTTCAAGTCTGTAGAGGTCTTTGGAACCACCTTTAGGCATTGTTTATGCTCTTTCACTCTTATATTTACCTGTCTGGAAGTTTCTCCTACATGTACGCCGTTACAATCCCCACAATTGATCTGGTATGCGCAATTCTGCTGGTTTTCTTGTTTACTTGGTTTAGGTAGTTAAATCCAGGACTATTCGACTCGTAACCTACATTGTGGAACATCAGAGACTGCTGAGGATACAGGTACATTCAGCTTTGATGAGTTCTAAATAGGATAAAATGGTCACATCCTGTATTCCCTGCATGCTAGTCACTACTAATTAGTAGAACATCATGTTTACATCAACGTATCACTAATTGTTCATACTATAAGCTTAATACGTCATTAAAGATCAATTGTAGATTTTTTCCTCGGACTGACTAATGTAAATGTCGTTCTGAAAATCTTTTGCTTTTTAAATAGAGGCCTAAAGTTAAACGACAACGACATCTTTGAAATTTCTTTTACTGTGTTAAAAAAAATTCACATTTCTTGGTTGAAATCAGTGAAATATTTCAAGCCGATAGTTGGTGATAGATTTTATACCAATTATTATTATTATATCCTTTAATTCCTAGAGGAACATAGGGCTTCAGCTGCGCACCTCCATTGCCTTCTGTTTCCTGCCAACTTTTTCACCCCGCTCCACGCGTCTGCCCACATGCTTTCATCTCCTCTTCATATCACCTCCTCCAAGTCGCCCCACCATTGCACTGACGACCAACTCGCCGCTTCTCTTTCGGGTTCCACTCGAGCAATGACTTGTCTATTGATGTCACTCACTTGATGATATCCTCAGAGTATGGCCAGTCAATCCATCTCCATTTCTTCCTGCTTATTTGTTGTACAATCGGTTCCTGCTGGTTGGTTCGCTCATTGCCAGGGATTCCTCTCTGCTGCTGATCTTTTCTGGCCGGCCATCTGATCTTCAGTGGTACTGAGCGAAGACAACTATTAATGAAGGTCTGAAGTTTGTTTGAGATGCTCTTTATGACGCGCAGTGCAAGTCTCTGATCCGTATAGTGAGTAGCACTGACTGGCTTCACATAGGAGTTGAAAATCCGGATCTTATCTTCATTTTCACACTGAGTGCTGTTGACTTCCACACAGACTTGAGAGTAATGAAAGCTTGTCTTGCTTTTCCAATTCTGGCTTTATACCAATACATAACTCAAAATAATTCATAAACACAACCTCGCCTAATTAACTAGCTTGCTGGTTTTCTAGCCGGTTCCAAAACCCGGGTAAATAGAGAGGGTTAGGCGTGCAACTTGCAACCCTACACTACAAAAGCTCACAAACTGTTAGAGAAACTTCAACGCCTTAAACATAAATTAAAAATGTCAGAAATTCAAATCACAGTTTCATTCTTCGTTAAAATCGGAGAGGCGAAATGATGCCGTGGGCTAGTGAAAGCCAGCCTTCGGGAAGCTAGTCAACCATCCAGTGTGTCTCCTCTCGATAAGAGGGAGAATGGGGGAGTAGAATGTACGTACAATGTACGGAAAAGGCAGAGAAGGCTGCTCAGTTAGCCAAAGAAATGAGATGATATGGCGTAGAAGTGCTCGAAAATCTGCGAGAGCATATGAATTGGATGTGGATCATCAAAACTGTCAACTGCAGAAACGGTAATTTACTCCGTTCTGGTCACCCAGATGATAATCACGAGCACACTGAAGCAGTTAGTCAATATCATGATGTAACCAGTGGCAGCCAAAGCCCTAATGGAGTGAGATTCAATTTCATCCAGGGTAATCACAGCAAGAATCAACTCAAAAGGCATGAAGGAAGGAAGGAAGGTCACAATTATCCAGTACTACAAACAATGCGGAACAAGAGAAGAAGGAAGATTTTTCTACAGACAGCTACAAACAGTAATGGGCAACATCCCAAATGGCGACATCAAGATCCTTTTACTGAAGATCAAGTGGCCAGAAAGAATCAGCAACAAAATACTCTGGCTGGGAACAAAACAACCAAGAGTCGATCGCTCAATAAAAACTATAAAAGAAAATGGAGATAGACTGAGCATACGTTGAGGAAGGCTGTCGAATGACATCGCGCGCCAGGCCCTTGAATGGAATCCATATGGGAAGCAATGAATGGGTCGTCGGTGCAGGGGTAACATGGAGGAGATCGTGTAATTGGAAGGAAGAGATAAGAAATTCTGGTGGACCCATTTGAAGAGAAAAGAAGAAAATAGAAGAGAGAGTGGAGACGTGTTGTTGAACCTGTACGTTCCACATGAAACTTAAGGGAATAATAAAAATAAATTCATAAAAACATTAAACGAATAAAATACCCCATATTTAGTCATAAGAAAAAGATGTAAACAGCGAAGAAAATTTTATTTTCGACAGTTCATTTTCAAAAGCTGCTATACAATCGTAATTATATTTAGCAAGGAAATCATAAGACCAATCAGATACTGGTAAAATTTGTCCACGAAAATGTATCACGTAGTGTTGTGGTGAGAGCAGGCTGCTAGCCAATTGGTGGACATTAATTTACGTCAATGTCTAGGTCACTAATATTGGCCCTGAGAAAATCTGAACAAGGCTGATTCAACAACCAATCACATCAGACTTTACGTGGGCAAATAAGATTCGCAAATATATGGCTTAACTTTCCGAGAAACCAGAAACAACCAATCAGAAGACTGTGTTTGTCTGCTTGAATAAGCTATAATAATGTACATGAAATATATATAAATACGTGCTGATTTCCGGAACAAAACGATCTGTTGCCAGCCCGTGTCTTCTGTTGTTACAGTGTAAGGTGTAGTCTAGGTGTGTATATAACTGGAAAGTAGAAAAGGCGGCAGAAGTTGGCATGACGTAATAAGTGTGAGAAAATGACTAATCATTATGACTGTGTAGAGTGGACAGGAACTAGTAGAAAGGTGATAAAGGGATTTGTATAAAGTCTGTATGAAAACGCAGTGTTATTAGTAAACAGTAATAGAGTAATTATAATATATGGATGACGGGAATAATAGTCATAATAAAATAATAATAGTAAACTTACACAACAAAAAGGAGTAAAATTATAGTAAGAATGTTACTCTGGCCACGGTAGGGCGAGTGAGTGTATGTGATGCTTTTGAATGCAGAGATCCCAAATACTGAATGATTCAGCTATGAACATATGGCGTATTCGAAGTCATTTCTCACAATATTGAGGGACTCTGTGTAGTACTGTGAAGCATTTATGTGGGCGTGCTTAACGTCCGGAGATGACAAGGTGCTCACAGATAGAGCTGCTGGTATTCTTTTTTTCTCCTCTGGTTAGCCAAGCTGGATAGTGTTCCAGAATACGTTTGTAGACTTGAGATTGCGTACGGCTGACACAGACTAGACTACACCTAGATTGCACCTTAAATTACATAGTACTCTGTTGAGGACAAATTTTACCAGTATCTGAGTAGTCTTATGAATTCTTTATCATGTATAGTCGCGTCGGTGGCATAGCGGTTAGGACGCTTGCCGACCATGCACATGGTCCGGATTTCGATCCCCGGCCACAAACGCACTCCTTTACCTCGCTAAGCCAGAAATAATTCTGGTAAAGAGGAAAGGTTGGGCATGAGGCAGACTAGAAACCCCATCCCATAAAATAAACGCTGCTACAGAAACTTCAAGCTACTAGCTTGAAGCCCTATGTTCCACTGGAGAATGTGAAGGAAAAAAATCATGTATAGTCAAGACATTAATTAAAGAAACATTAATAACGAGTATTTCTTGGTTTTACAGTTAGAGAATTTAAATGTTATCAATTCTCAATGAAATCGACATGGAAAACCATGAAACCTTCATTTCTGAATATTAAATATGCATGTTTCCTTCCTTCCAAATTTTGATTCGATTCCTTCATATCAGTGTTATTTGGTTTGGTATTGGCTAGCAGTGCAATCAAGGATCCGAATTTCGTTCTATTCGGTACTTTTCAGCAGGATGTGTCTGCATTTCCCACTGAAACACGAAATTAGCATCCATCTTTTCAAAGGACAAAGAATCATCCAATAGGTTACTTGGCCACGACAGCCACCTCTTGTGGAACACGGGTATTGATTGTATTGAGTCCGCATCCTCAGTCTGTGTTGATATCTCGCCTTCTAGTATAGTCGTTTTGGTGATGTTGCCAGATTTCGTCACGAACCAACTGTTTCATCCTAGTGTTTGAGACTCTTCGGTCGTACTCACCCACGACCCCACCAGAGGTCGAATCGCAGACTCCCAGATTACGTGGTCAGCTCACTGACCACTCAGTCACTTGGGTAGGAACTGAATGACCTGTGAATTTATAATCTAAATATCAATATCCAGATTATTAATGCTGTTATATAGACGTTCTGAAGCTGCATTGAGAAGTTGTGACCAGTGGGATCCACCGTATTTAGGGACAATGGGGGGGGGGTTAGTTGAGGGAAGTGTTATATCAGGAATTGAGAAAGTTAGGATTCCTGTTGTAGTCACTGAGTGGTCAACCAGGTAGGTCTCGTAATCTGTCGGTCACGGATTCGATCCCAGATGAAATCATGTGTACATACTTATGAAGAGTCCCGAAATAGGACAAAAAAACTCTGTCAAGTGCTTTCTGATTTTCAATGATCTCTCTCTCTCCAGTTGATTTTGGTTTGTGACAAAATCTAACAAGTGAAATTAAATTAATTCAAATCTTCTATAGCTTGGTTTGTAAGGGTTAGTTATATTTTTACGAGTTGATCACGGAGTGATATCAGTTAGAGAACCATCGAAAACCAGGGAGTACTGGACAGCTGCTGTTTGATCCTAGTTTTGGGAATCATTGGCAGTACGCGCCCACTGGGATTCGGGTCACGCTAAATCACGAATTGGTAGAAGTTAGAATTCATGAGCCATTGAATCGGGTCCCAGTGGCTGAATGGTATACGATCTAGCTTGCCTTGTAAACGGAAGGTCCTGGGTTCGAACCCCATCCGGTGGGTGCGTACTGCCGATGATTCCCAAAACTAGGATGAAACAGCAGCTGTCCCGTACTCCCTGGTTTTCAATGATTCTCTAACTGATATTAATTCAAATCCCCAAAAGCACTGTAGCATAATGCAATAAAATATGGTGAATGAAATGACTTGCGTAACCATTTAAATTACTGTTCATACTATTACATAATTCTGTATTTTTTCATGAAACTGTCCAGCGTATGTATACCTTTTTATTTTTAAACAATTTTTAAATTACTTCCACTGTGGATAAAATTTTATTTTGATAAAGTCAAACAGTGTTGTTATACAGTAATATTTACCGATGACCACCTCTTAGAGCACATTTTATTGCTGCTCATAGTCATATCAAGGTACTCATATAATTTGCTTGCTTAGTCTATATGGTTCCACTACTTCTTATCTCGTAATTCGGATGGTAGTAATATTTTCCATATTTCTGGTATGACTGATGAGTCATTTCTAGGGTATGTGTTGGGTATAGATTCTATGATAAAAGATTCAGCAGTCAACCTCTCTCTCTCTCCACCTACTTACATTACTTTTTAGAATTGTAACTCTGTCCCACACACTCTATTGTGTGGTTGTGCGTTAAAGCACGCAGTGTAATCGCTGAGCTTTTTTCTAAATTACTAACCTTAGCTAAATTTTTACGTTCTGATAATGTCACCACTCTTGCCGCATCTACTAGTTTGCCTGACCTATGTAGTTGACTTAACTCACAGTCATTGCAAAGTATTTTGTAAATTATGTTATTAAATTAAATTTGTTAGGTTCGATTCCCGGCCGACACACTCCTTCACCTCTCTATGCCAGAAATAATGCTGGTAAAGAGGAAAGATTGAGCCAGCATGAGGCTGGCTGGCAACCCCATCCTGTAAAAGTAAACACCGCTATAGAAACTTCAAGCCACTTGCTTGAAGCCCTATGTTCCACTGGGTGGGAACGTGAAGGAAAAATTATTAAAAAAATTATTATATGTTATTTTGTCTAATTGGGTCAACCTACAGGGTCCTTTAGCCTACAGAGCTTGTCATAGCTGAGTGAGTTTTTAGGTTTGAATGCCACCCTAATCCCTGCTTTGTTGAGAATCCTACTTAGGGTTAAAGATATCCCCTTTGTATATGGCAGGACTGTAGATGCCTTATATTCTTTCTTATTTATGTTATCATTATTAGTTTCACAATTATTTTTTTTATTTTGCTTTTGACCTTTTGTGATCTTCCTAATGAATTTTACAGGATAGTTATTTAACACCAACCAGCCATTCTTCTATCTGTTTTATTTCATCATTTAGGTCTTTTATCGTACTACTTAGTGCTATTGCTCGGTTTGTTAGATACTTCACTAAGCCTGCCTTAACAGAGAGATAACGAACGGATGAGATGAATTAAAGCGGTCTAAATACCCTATAAATATGCATTAGCTTTTTTCATAAACGCTGGTGTATAGTTTACATTCTTCTGTTCTGAAGGTCAACCAGATAGATCAAACTAGCAGTTCGAGAGTAGTGAGATTCAAGTGTTGGTTGTAGGGATTTGATTGGTTTCAGGATTTCATCGCTGACATAGTTAGAGAACCATTGGAAAACCTGGGAGTACTGACAGTGTTTCGTCCTAGTTTGGGACTCTTCAGCAGCGCGCCTTGTAACCGGAAGGTCCTGGTTCGAATCCCGTGGGTGCGTACTGATGAAGAGTCCCAAACTAGGACGAAACAGCTGTCCAGTACTCCCAGGTCTTCCAGTGGTTCTCTAACTAATGTCAGTTCATGATGAAATCCTGAAGTAGTGAGATTATCGGAGCATAAGAATTCAGCTAAATGTAGAAGAAATTCGACCCTGTGAAAATAAGCAATTTATTTTAAAAATAAAAGCCCAATCATTTCACTGCGTCCTGTAACACGCAACCACACACAATAGGGTGGGAGAGGGTACAAATTCTAAAAAGTTATATAGGTAGGCGATAGGATTATGAGCCATAAATTGTACTCGAAAGGTGGTCATCAGTAAATATTACTGTATAAATTTTTATCCACAATGGAATGAATTTATACTCTACCACAACAGTACACAAAATTCTATTCTTATATATTTATGTTTGAATTACTTTTTTTTCGGCATAGATTCTTTACTAGTTCCTGGAGGTTCTAGACAAGATGCAAATGATCCAACTGATGAAATGATTCATCATGATGTATTTCGACCTCAGCCAATTGATACATCTCAGGTAATGGAGAAAAAAATTATTTGATTACATACCAGTAAATAGACTGTGGGGTATTCATTATTTGTTTTTATTATATTATTAATGTTCAGTTCTAGTTAAAATTAAGCGCGAGAATTTTTAAAAAATTAAGAAATCAATAAAATGATGAAAGATCAAACAAGTGAATAACTATTAAGTAGTCATTATATACTTAGTTCTTTCAATGTACTATGAATAACTAACAAGGAGAACAAAAACAATATCCGAGACTAACTATTTATTATTATTATATCCTTTAATTCCTAGAGGAACATAGGGCTTCAGCTGCCCATCTCCGGTGCCTTCTGTTTCCTGCCAACTTTTTCACCCCGCTCCACGCGTCTGCCCACATGCTTTCATCTCCTCTTCATATCACCTCCTCCAAGTCGCCCCACCATTGCACTGACGACCAACTCGCCGCTTCTCTTTCGGGTTCCACTCGAGCAGTGGCTTGTCTGGTGATGTCACTCACTTGATGATATCCTCAGAGTATGGCCAGTCAATCAATCTCCATTTCTTCTTGCTTATTTGTTGTACAATCGGTTCCTGCTGGGTTGGTTTGCTCTTCGCCAGAGATCCCTGTTGCTGATCTTTTCTGGCCGGCCATCTGATCTTGAGTAGTATTGAGCGAAGACAGTTGTTAATGAAGGTCTGAAGTTTGTTTGAGATGCTCTTAATGACGCGCAGTGCAAGTCTCTGATCCGTATAGTTAGTAGCACTGACTGGCTTCACATTGGAGTTGAAAATCCGGATCTTATTTGTCACAGTGAGTGCTGTTGACTTCCACACAGACTTGAGTGTAATGAAAGCTTGTCTTTCTTTTCCGATTCTGGCTTTGATATCCTCGTCAGTTCCATCCGCCTGTAGTTGAAACGATGCTTCCCAGGTGGGTGGGTTGGTGAAAGAGGTTGTTTCTTTCAGGTTCCTCCCATTTATGCTGATTCTTGTCTGTCGTCATTGCTGTTGCTGTTGGCGTTGGCCAGGAATCTTCATCCGAGACTAATGTGAGGTATAAACGCATGTTATCCATGTATGAATCATCACTATTCATTAATGTACCGCTTATGGAAACAGTAGATTATATTTGTCAAGAAATCACCGAAAGGCAGTTGGACTTAGGAATCCCCTTTGTGTATCCTCAAAGAATTACTTCTCAAATGCACAATGGATATTCACTTTGTCTTCAATAATTCATACTGTCGACAAGTAGATGGAATAGCTATGGGTTCACCATTAGGCCCAATATTAGCTGACTTCTTTCTCGCAAAACTTGAAAACGGGAAACTGGAAGACGTCATGAAGGAGTTTGATATGTATAACGGATATGTCGATGATACATTTATCTTAGCTGATGGGAATGTTAACATAGATGAATTGTTGCTGAAATTCAGCAACATCCACCCTTCGCTTATCTGTACTTGTGAAGAGGAGCAGGAGAATAAACTATATTTTCTGGATGTCATGCTAAGTAGGAGAGAAGATGGGTCACTTAAGAGAGGCGTGTACAGCGAAAGCACATACACAGGGGGCATTACACACACTTCCTTAGTTACGTGCCCATTAAATATAAAAGGAATGTTGTTAAATGTCTTTCGAGCAGAGCAAGGAAGATATTTACGGATGACCTCTTACAAAAGGAATTTGAATACATTTACGATTCCTTGAAGGAGATGGGCTGGCTATCCGAGTAGTTTCATAAAGAAACATATGAAAACATCAGAGAAAAAACCTGAAACTCTGACTGCACGCAAGAAACCTCTGTTTATCAAGTTACAATTTAATGGTGACTTATCAGGTGAGATTTTATTTCAGAGACTTTCCAGAGTATACGGGGAACATTTTACACAGCACACCTATGTTTGTCATTCTCTAGCCGACGAATGATTGGGACGCTAACGAAGGATAAGCTAGATAGTTTTGCCACATCTATGTGCATTTATCATTTCAACTGCACCTGGGTGACAGTTATGTTGGGAATACCACTAGATAGCTTAGCCAACGTGTTAGTGAACATCTGTCATTGTGCTGGTTTGACAAAGTGATATGTATCCACATATATATATATATATATATATATATATGTATGTTGGTCTCTCTTTCTGTTTGCTCTCTTAGTCTGTGACCATTTCACTTGTATGAACTTGTCTCCCTTAACAATGTATATTCTCCTTATATTATATTACATATAATATGAGTGTTTGTTGACAGTCCGTTGCTTGGTGACATATATCCATATATGGTGTTTGTTGACATGTCTGCTATATTTCGCTATGTATATATGGATCGATACTTCATTATAATTAGCCATTCATGTTAAGACTGTCTAATGATTTCTTCACACACTTTGTCTGGAACATTCATATATATTTCGCATTCACAATTTGTGTGACTCACTGACTTACTTACTTTGGTGTGATACCACTATTGCTTTCTCCTTGTGTTTGGGAAATAGAAGTATCATCGCAAACCTAGTGGTCTTCTGATTTCCGCCTTCTTGCGTCAGGACTATTAGATTCTCGACCAGTCCATAACAATATTTGTCGACGAGTACATAACAATTTGGCGACGGGGAAAACTACTATTAACCACTCAGCAGCAACAACATAACACAAAGAACAGACAAAAAGCAATCCATAGCTTAATTTTGTCACATTTAGTTGATAGTGGTCATGTAGTGGAGAAAAAACGAGAGCTTTCAAAGTAATTCATCGTATCCCACTGAATCTTTCCGATAGAATTCGTATTCGTCTACTGCACGCCCACAGCTGAGGCGATAGGCATTCGAACTATTAGACTCCTAAACTATGCATTCAAAAGAAGTTCGTACCCACAGCCATTATCCCTCTCTTATTGACCTATTAAGACATAACCAACTAATGACTTCTACACCACCCCTTGTTTATATTTTCAACCCCTTTCTTATCATCCTTTAATGTTATCACATCTTCATTAAAAACGTGTCTCATTTACTTCCCTTACAATCAGTCTAGCATTACTTAATGGGTTCATTTGTTTTTACTAGCCTTGATCGACTACCACTTCTACCTGAACATTTGTTTGTTTAATCATGCTGTTTTTTCATTTTTCGTGTTATCACAGATTGCCTCACTTTTACATCCTTATTACTGAAAAACCACTATTTTTACGTTATTATTATTATTCTCATTAATACTATTATGACTAATTGCACAGTTTATATTCACCATCCATCGTATTATCCTATAAATTTTGAGTTTAAAATATAGCCTTCTCAGTCAAGCTGAACACAATGAAAGCATTATCTTTAAGCCTAGAGGATCAAAATGAGTTAAATACATATTATTGTGTATGATAAATGTAGATTTCACTGACAATAAAAGACAGTGATATTTGGGTACTTAAATGCATTAGAACAAATCCATCCAAATGCTCTCCCACTCATAATCTTCTGTCTTTTCAATGACTTAGCAACATACCTTATAAAGTTGATATTATATGGCTGGAGACAATTGGAAGTAAGCCGTGGACTTAGATTCCGTGCTAGTTGGTACTCACTCATTACTACTATTATGACTAATTGCACAGTTTATATTCACCATCGTATTATCCTATAGACAAAACACCATGATTGGTTTATATTTGAATTTTTATTTGTAAACTTATATATATTAGAGTTAAGCGTGATGAGATCTAATTGAAAGCAGAATATTGTTCGCTTAAATGTGTTATTTTAAATAAACTTAATACTTGCTTTGTAGTATATGCTGAGTGCGTTGGTAGCACAGTGGTAGGATGCTTGCCAGTCGCTCAGGTAGTCTGGGTTAACTCCATAATAATAAGATTTTATTTCGATAAATCACACAATGTTGGTATACAGTAATATTAACTTGATATGACTATGAGGAATAGTTTATCCTCTAAACGTGGTCATCATTTAATATTACTATAAAACACTGTGTGATTTCTCTGTTGTATGTTTACCATTTGGTCGTTAATTCTTCTTTGAAACGAAAATGTCAGTAAAAAGGTGTCAGTAATTATTAGAATGGCGACCAGGCTGTCACAAGGGAATAGGACCCGATATGTGACCCAAAACGTGTATATTTTAAATTACCCTGGAAAAAAACTATTCTATCTCCAGGAGACATATAGATGAAGTAGTTACCTGGATTCTGGTGGGTATTCATGACTAGTGGGGTACAGAAGGTGGGGTGCGAGGACAAATACTCGCCACTGATGACACTGGCTGGTGCACCATATCATGAATTGACAGAAGTTGGAATTCACTGACCATTTGACCGGTCCCAGAAGGTCCTGGGTTCGAACCCTGGGAGGTGGGTGCGTATTGATGAAGAGTCGCAAGCACTAAAACGAAACAGCTGTTCTGTACTCCATGGTGGTTTTCCAATGGTCCTTTAACCGATATCAGTTCATTATGAATTCCTGAGACATACAGAAGTTTGTTTCAAACAAACGATCAATACAATATTCTGATAAGAAGGAATAATATTTCTAATACTAACCATTTCTTGCCTAATTTCCTGTCATTATTGACGCGTATTATTGTTGTTTTTTTTAAAAAAAATTACTTTTAGGTTCGTCTACCAGTAGCATTAAATAGTTTAATTGAACGTTTTGCTGAACACTGTCATGATTCATGGGCATTGGATTTAATTGAACAAGGTTATACATTTGGTTCACAAGTTGATGAAACACGAAGAACTCATCCAAATCTACGCAGTTTTAGTCAGTTACCACCACAGGTAAAAGCTGTTTCCCCTTTTTTTATTTTTTATTTTCTGGTATTTTTCAAAGAATGGTTATTGATTGAACGAAGAATACTCTCTTTTCGATAACCCCTTCTTCATGCAGGTTAAATGCATCCATAATAGTGAATGAATTAGTGTTATAAACAACATAAATGTGGTTCAGATAACATCGAATCAACGAAAATAATAATATCAATGGATTACAGTACGATTATTATTATTATTATTGTATCCTTTAGTTCCTAGAGGAACATAGGGCTTCAGCTGCGCACCTCCATTGACTTCGGTTTTCTGACAACTTTTTCACCCTGCTCCAGGTCTGCCCACATGCTTTCATCTCCTCTTCACATGACCTCCTCCAAGTCACCCTTGGACGACCAACTCGCCGCCTCCCTTTCGGGTTCCACTCGAGGGCTTGTCTAGTGATGTCACTTGATGGTTTCCTCAGCGTATGGCCAATCCATCTCCATTTCTTTCTGCCTATTTGTTTCACAATCGGTTCCTGATTGGTTCGCTCCCAGAGATCCCTGTTGCTGATCTTTTCTGGCCATCTGATCTTGAGTATTGAGCGGAGACAGTTGTTAATGAAGGTTTGAAGTTTGTTTGAGATGCTCTTTATGACTCGCCAAGTCTCTGATCCGTATAGTAGCACTGACTTCACATTGGAGTTGAAAATCCGGATCTTATTTTTGATGCTGATTGCTGTTGACCTCCACACAGATTTGAGAGTAATGAAAGCTTGTCTTGCTTTTCCGATTCTGGCTTTGATGTCCTCGTCAGTTCCGCCTGTAGTTGAGACGATGCTTCCCAGGTAGGTGAAGGAGGTTGTTTCTTTCAGGTTCTTCCCATTTATGCTTATTGTGGTCTGTTGTTGCTGTTGATGTTGGCAAGGAATCTTCATCATCTCTGTTTTATCTATGTTCACGTGAAGTCCTATCTTTGATGCTTCTTCTGCCAACTTGTTACTTTTCACTTGCATATCTTCCAGTTTATGGGAAATCAGACATATATCATCGGCGAAATCCAGATCCTCCAAGTCTTTTGTGTCAGTCCATTTTATGCCTGTTCCCTCGTTGGTTGCCGTTGTCTGTCGCATTATCCAATCAATTGCAATCAGGAAGATCATTGGTGATAGTAGACAGCCTTGCCTCACTCCCGTCCTCACTTCGAAGGCTTCCGTAAGTTTCCCGTTGTGGATTACTTGGCATGCAGCATTGTCGTATAACTGTTGGATGAGGTGTATAATTGTCGATGGGACCCCGTAGTAGCGAAGTAGTTTCCAAATGACCTCTCGATCGACGCTGTCGAAGGCCTTTTCAAAGTCGATGAAGTTGAGATAGAGAGGTGACTGCCATTCCAAGCTTTGTTCAATGATGATCCGTAGAGTGGCGATTTGATCAATACATGATTTGTTTCTCCTGAATCCAGCCTGTTCCGGACGAAGTTTTTCATCTAGGGCTTGTTTGATTCTCTCCAGGATGATGCGACTTAGTATCTTGCTTGGAATGGACAGAAGCATAATTCCACGCCAGTTTTTACATTGACTTAAGTCTCCTTTCTTTGGAAGTTTGAATAAGTAACTGTTCTTCCAATCCTCGGGTACTTTGCCCTCTTTCCACACCTTCTCCAGTAGTGGTGTCATCAAGTCCGCTGTTGTCTCTGGGTCTATTTTCAAAGCCTCTGCTGGGATTCCATCTGGTCCCGGTGTTTTCCCAGTTTTAAGCATCTTGATTGCATTCAGGACTTCTGATTTCGTCGGGGGGTCAGTGTTCACTGGTAGTTCTGCTTCCGTTGTTGGTATTGCTGGACGTGTTGTAGGTGGCGGACGATTTAGAAGTCTTTTGAAGTGTTCAACCCAGTGCTTTCTCTGTTCCACCTCTTTGGTGATTGACTTTCCATTGTCGTCCTTTATTGGCTTAATCTGTGTCGAACGTTTGCCCGAAAGGTTCCTAGTTGTTTGGTAGAGTGTGGCGAGGTCTCCTTTGCCTGCAGCTTGTTCTGCTTCGTTTGCCATGGTTTCATAATATTTTCTTTTGTCTTCCCTGGCACTTTTCTTCACTCTTTTGTTCAGTGTATTGTAGCTTGCATTCAGCTCCTGTTTTTGTTGCTCGTCGTGCACTGGATAATCTTTTGCTTCACTGTCCTTCTCTCTTCTATTAGTTTCCAAGTGTCCGTAGTGAGCCACTGTTTGTCCTGTCTCTTTTTTCTGCCTAGAATTTCTATGCAGGTTTGGCTCCACACCGTTTTCAAGTTGTTCCAGTGCTTTTCAACGCCGACCTCTTCGCTAGTGTTGATTTGTGTCTCGGCTTTGTCCTTTATGCTTGCAATGAAGATGTCCTTTGTAGCCTGGTCCTTCAGCTTTTGAGTGTTGAACTTGGCTTGTGGTCTATCTGCAGCTCCTGATTCCCTGAAAGCTTTTAATTTGATTTGGATTGTCCCTTGTACGAGATAGTGGTCTGAGCCAACGTCTGCTCCTCTTCTTGCTTTTGTGTCCAGTAGGCTGCGCCTCCACTTCCTTGAGATTGAGATGAAGTCGATTTGGTTTTTGGTTTGCCCGTCTGGTGACACCCATGTAGCCTTGTGGATATCTTTGTGCTTGTATACACTGCCACCAATCACCAGTTCGTTGAAGGCGCAGAAGTCGGCGAAGAGTTCTCCGTTTTCATTCATTTCTCCTAGAGCTTCTCTACCCATGATGAGTTCCCTTCCCGTATTGTCTGGTCCCAGTTTGGCGTTCATGTCTCCCATTAGTATTTTCATGTCGCCAGCTGGAGTATTGTCCATTGTTGCCTGTAGTTGCCTGTAGAATTCTTCTTTCTTCTCGAGGTCTGCGTTGTTTGTGGGTGCATAACATTGTATGATTGACACTTTCCTTCCTTTGGAGTTGAACCTGGCGGTCATTATCCTGGACGAAATCGCCTCCCATTGTATCAGGGCTTTCGTTGCCGTTGGTGACATCATGATAGCCACGCCCTCGGTGTGCGTGTGGTTATCTTCTGGGTGACCGGAGTAGATCACTGACTCACCTGTTGACAATTTGGTGAGTCCACTCCCATTCCATCTGCTCTCACATATTCCCAGCACTTGTATTCCGTATCTTTTCATCTCGTTGGCGATCTGGGCAGCTTTTCCAGTCTCGTACATAGTTCGGACGTTCCATGTTCCTACACAGACTTTTTCTTTTGGTGCAAGGAGGTTCACATACTGAAGTTCTGTAGCAATTTTTGTTTACAGGGTGGGGTTGCTAGCCTCACGCCTGAGAAAAGAATGATTACATTAAGTAAAAGTTTAGAGAGAAGCAACTTTTTGGGTTGCTCCCCTCAAAATCAGAAAATAACGGACAAACAATGAGAACAACATCAACAAAGGAAACAGTTCACAGAAAAAAGGGCAAAAAGCGACGACAACTATACAATAAGACAACATGCAATATAGTTCAGTACATTAAACTAAAATGATATCTTAACCATAAACTCACTGACTTGGAGCAACTTGAACATATAAATCCAACAATATATACAATTATAGATGTGTTTATGTTTAAAAATTCCACAAATCCAAACAGTGAGTTATGTGTATTATCTGTCAATAAGATTGTATTTTTTGGATTCAGTGTTCGAAAGGTTAATAATTGTGATAATTTCCGCAAACACTTTGCATAAAATTTTAGAGTAATAAGAGATTTTATTTATGACCAAAATGTAGCGTAATAGTCGAAAAGCGCGCGTGTCGATTGTGCATTTCGGATTGTGAGGGCGTTTGTTACTTCCCGGCTGCCCACACCGTAGAAGTTGGTTGCGTGACCGCAGAGCCCAGGGGACAACTGCTTGAGGCCGGTCACACGCGGCCTGTTTTTGTTTGCTCTCTTTTGTTTGGTGTGCCTCAGTAGCATACTTATCACTCCTGCCCTGTGACACGGCAGCAGGAAGCGCGGTCGTTGTTAATCCGGGCCACGGCCGATCCGGCATGAAATTTTGTCAATTTGTTTGGATCATGGTATTGGATGGGGTAGCTGCTTTTTGTTTAACCGCTATCCAAACAACCTGCCTGGCATGGTAGAACCTCAAGAGACATAAGTCTCAGCCAGTATAGCTTGATTAGGTCATTGCGGTGTTCAAGCCCGACCACCACGTCAAGGTAGAAGCTTTCGATAGCATCAACATAACAATACACTCAACATTAGAAAAATTAGGAAAGATAATAATACAAATTCATGAATTTATAGTCTCTCCTGAAGGCCAGCTAGGGCAGTAGTGGTAGTGGCTGACTGGACTTGCTTCTTTTGCACACAAAAGCATTGGTTGTTTCACACGAATTATGATAGCCTCTGCTGTTTGGAGCATGCGGTGCTTCTATATTTTTGGCAATTTATTTGGCACTTTGTAGGACTGTATTGTATACTTTCATTAGATACTAGTAACAAGTGCAATGTGTCTAGTCCTTGGCGTTTGGTGCAAACTGAATTCTATCGTTAGTCAGGTTTGCAATATGGCTACCATACTACTAGGTAGCTCGCCATCCTAGTGTACATTGATTTGATGATATTAGATTGTTGGAGGTAGTCGACAGGAAGCCTTACTTGACCTAGGTTTCGCGCTAAATGGCACTCTTCAGCAGCATGATGGTCAGCTACCTAGAATGGTGGTCATATTGCGAAACTGATTAACGATAGAATTCAGTTTGCATCAAAGACATCACACTAGTTACTAGTGTCCAATCACAATATGCATTAATTATCGCCGTTATTTAGTATTTTTATATGCTTTTGATGTGGTTGTGTTCTCTGACCTGGCTGGCTGGTTAATCTGCGAAGCTTTCATCGCCCCCCGTACTAGACAGGCAACATCTTCAGCACACATAATTCAATTTGAATTGAAGTGAGCTTTTAGATTTCTCCACGAGTTTATTATTCATCTCTCCTGGTGGTTGACCTTGAACGTGATTGGTTGTTTCCGTTCGTGAACGAGAAGATGAAGAGGGCGTCCACTTTGGCCAATTTAGTTAGTGTTTTTCGCAGTTGTTACAATTTGTTTTGTAGATGATGCCGGTTTTATCTTCTTTCGTTGTTGAGTCTTTTGGTTGACACAGAGCCAGCCAGCTGAGTGAAGTGACTTTGTTGGTTTGTGCTCGACATCAATTCCTAAAGGTTTGAAGAGTCTTGTAGTGATTTCTGAGATATCCTTTATATATGGCAAGGTGATTTTCTTTGTGTTTCCTTGGGAGCCTTTGGTTTGATAGGTTGGCAACCTATCACGTCCAAGGTCACCCACCAGGAGAGATGATTGATAAACTCGTGGAGAAATTTAAAAGTACACTTCAATTGAAATTGAAGTATGCGTGCTGAAGATGTTGCCTGTCTAGTAAGGGGGGGGGCGATGAAAGCTTCGCAAATTAACCAGCCAGCCAGGTCAGAGAACACAACCACATCAAAATCATCCACCTGAGCTAAAAATCTTCTTTATCATATTTTTTATGTGTGTGTATATTATTGGTTAGAGAGATTTCTTCTAATAACACGGCGTCCATACTCAACTCTTTATTCATCGTCATTCATTCTCTTTGTTTTTTCTTTGTCTCTTATAGGAACAAATGAGATATATTCATCCAGTGACTGATACATTGAAAGCAATGTTATCTTGTGGTTGGTCAGTTGACAGTGATGAAAATCGTTATCGTGATGCATCTGGGGATACAAAACACTTACGTCGACCAACTATTACGGTATGTTATCATTATTATTATTATTATTATTATTACAGAAATTTGCGCTTAAAGAAGTTTCCTGTTATAATACTTGTTTATAGATATAGTTTTCAAAATATTTAAGATCTGTCTTTAGTAAAAATTTACAACAACACATGTAACCGAACAACACTTAACGCTTAAATGAGAAGTATTCCCACATCCATTATCATTATTGTTCCCTTGGGTTTCTAGTGGAACATAGGGCTTCAACAGCACGTCTACACTTGCTTCTGTCTTCCTTCTGCTGTGCTTTGCACCTGCATCCATCTTAGTCCATACTCTTTCAACCAACTCCTCTTCACACAATCTCCTCCATGTCACCCACCCTTGCACTGACGTCCCACTCACCGCTTCCCTTTCGGCCTGGTTCCACTCGAGAAATGGCCTGATGCGCGCGCGATGTCACTCAGCGGCCTGCCTCCTCAGCGAGCGAGTGTCCAATCCATCCATCTCCACTTTCTCCTGGGTATTTGTTGGTTGTTTGGCGATTGGTTCTTGTTTTGTTTGTTTGTGCCCATAGTTTCTTGTTGTTGGTGATTCTTTCCGGCCTGGCCGTCTGATCAGATCTTCAGTATAGAGCCAGCGAAGACAGTTAGTTGTTGATGAATGTGTGCAATAGCCTGTTGGAAATATTCTTTGTGACCCGCCCGCCCGCCAAGTTTCTGATCTGTTTCGTATAGAAGAACTGACTGACTTGACTTTTGTATTGAGTGACGAAGATTTCCAGATTGGTTTCAGATTGATGAATGTGTTTCTCGCCCGCCTTCCCGATTCTCGCTCAATTTGACATCCTCGTCCGTTCCGACTTCCTGTATTTGAGACAATGCTCCCTAGCTGGATAAGTGAATGAAGTAACCTCTTTCAAATCCCTTCTGTTGATGTTGGTTGGCGCTGGATGTTGCTTTTCTTGTTGTTGTTGGTTGGTTATTTCACATCCATCTTGTAGGTAGATAATGCAAGTCTGCCTAGGAGAGCCAGAAACTGCTGGTTCCGAATATACATTGTGTACATGGGCTCTAGGCTCTGAAAGGATCAAATGGCGTATGAATCTGTTTAGGTCACCAGTACCTATGGAAAACGTAGACCCTGACGTTATTTCACTGCCTAGTTGGCTCAGACTTCAATCCACGGCTCGGTGAGTCGCCCCTTAAGACAACCACCTGCTTCCGTCTGAAAGTCCTGGCAGTAAGTGTCCCTGCTTTGAACAAACTATGACATTTTGTGTGTCAAATCTCTTGGTGTCTATAGTGTGTACCAAATTTGCCTCTTAACAAATAAAATACAATTTATTCTCATTAGGCTTTATTATGTAATATGCATAATCTTACAAATATATATAATTAAGCATGAACAAGTTATGATGATGTGCATCGAAAGTACAGTGGTTAGGACTCTCGCCGGCCATGCATATGGTTTGGGGTTCGATCCCTTGCCGACGCACACCTGATATCTATGATTGTCCTGCGAAATTTGGGCTATCGATATTACATGATGAAAATTCCATATTTGTACCAAAAATACTGTGTGGGATCAGGCTGTGATCAAAAACAAAAAAATTAAAAATTAAAAAAATTTTTAAAAAAACCTACTGGAATGATGTCTTCATGTCAAATCCTACTGGTATTTTTATCCTGAAATAATGAATTAACCAGGAGAGATGATGGAATGATTTGACGATCTATTTTTCGTGAACAGACATGGAGTGGACAATATCTTCATTTCACAAGTTTTGTTCCTATCCAGTATAAACGTTCCCTAGTGAAATGTTTGTTCTCAAGGGCCCGAAAAATATGCACGAGTGACACATTGGTGGATGAATTTCGACATATACATTCAGTTTCATTAGCTAATGGTTATCCGGAAACCTTACTTTATCACTTGTCACAGCAAAAGAAAAACCACATCTTGAAAAGACAGCTTCCCTATCAAAGAAAGCTATCTATCTTTATTAACCTACCATTCAAGGGCGACCAGATCAGGCCAGTTGACAGCTTAAAGACTTCGGTCAGCCATCAAACGCACATTCTACGCCGCATCTCTTTTTCTCACTTGCCGAACATTTTCGATCCCTGTTCCTACGATTAACGGATAAAATTCTATGGACTCTACTTCAAACTGTATCCACAAGTTCACCTGCAGCTGCGGTGACACCTATATAGGTAGAACTAACAGAATGTTCCAATGTCGTCGAAAAGAACATGTTCCAAAATGGCTACTAAATCATATCGAAAATCCCAATGCAATTAATCTGAATAGAAATCCAGCATCATCCATTGCCAAACACTTATTAATGTCTGGTCACAAAATCAATACTAATGACTGTTTCACAATTATTTCATCACATAACTCTAATTCATGGTCGGTTATTAAAGTTGATGGAAGCACTTTAGATTAGTCACATACAGCCTAAACTGTGTATACAAAAATCAATAGACTTCAATCTTCGCCTACCCTGGACTGCATGACCTATCTAAATATGAGTGGTCATTAGTATGTACTTTTGTTTTTTATTTAACTGAATAGTTGTCATGATCTTTATTTTATTATTGTTAACCATGTTAGTTGTAAAGCGGTTGTAAAGAAACTATGAAATGACGATATCATCTCGCGGCGAAATTTGTCTTCTAATTGCCTTATTCAAATCTTTAATTAGTTACTCATGAGTAGTTAATTTTTTTATTTTGTCAATTTATAGAGTGATAATCTAATGAATTATAATCCAAGTCCTAAGGATTTACGTGGTGTCAATGTCACCAAAGAAATGTTGAATATGGCTGAACGCCTAGCTGATAATGCACATAATATATGGGCTAGACAAAAAATGAGTGAATTAGAAGCTATAGGTAAGTTATCTATAGATCCAGTGTGTGAGTATGAAAAAATATGTATTTCAAATTTTTTGAAAAGCATTACAGTACATACTACTTATGGATGGATATGATTAGTAGTGCTTGCCCAGTCAGATAGAAATGATTATTATTATCACAAAGATTTTAATTTTAATTGCATTTCATACTATTATAATCATTTTATGCATTTACACCTTTGACTTAATATAATATCATCAAATTACTGTACACCGTGATGGCTAGCCAACTAGTGTGGTGGCCACATTGCAAACCTAACTGCTGCCAGCATTCAGTAAATGAAAAATCCCCATATTGAAATCAAAACAAGATTTTGAGTGAACAATTGTGGTTTCGATAACTTCTTCTTCTTCAGGCTCTACAGTTATAAATCAATGAATAATAGAGTACATATAGCCAATAAAGGCAAATGAAAATAATATCAGAATCTGTATTGGGGTGCATGTGTAAGTTAAGGCGATAGTCCATTAGTTAACATAGTCAATCAAATGTCTATAGGGTGTATAGTCAGTCAGGAAAAATGTGATGAAGTGTGAATGAACAAATGGATGATATAGTGTTGTTTTATAGTTAACAGAATACAAGTGTCCGTGGGGTGACAGAAATCCGATAACCACAAAGTACATACAAAACACATTAACAATGGGGCACTGAGTGTGAGGGTTGACCGATGATGATGTGTATTTGTATGTATTTTATGGTTATCGGATTTCTCTCACCCCAATGACACTTGTATTCTGTTGACTTTAAAACAACACTATATTAGCGTTATTAGAAGACGTAGACTGTCTGAAAAATGTGATGTATTAGCTCTATACATTTCGAACAATCTGATCACACATTTACTTGTCAAGTCAATATATATAGAAAGATGAGGCAGTAACTCATCGAAGAAGACATTGCGAAGTGGTCGCGCTATATCGTGAATTGGTAGAAGTTAGAATTCAAGGACCATCGGAGCGGGTCCCAGTGGCTCAATGGTCTACGAGCTCGTCTTGTAACCAGAAGGTCCTGGGTTCGAACCCCTGTGGGTGCGTACTGCTGAAGAGTCCCAAACTAGGATGAAACAGCTGTCCAGTACTCCCAGGTTTTCCTGTGGTTCTCTAACTGATGTCAGCTCATGATGAAATCCTCCATGCAATCAAACAAAATCCCTGCAAAACCAATACTTGAAAATATATAGAAAGGTTAAATTAAACAGCGTAGGGCGTTTACTGAAATACGCTGAGGCTATAGCTATTCATAGACTTAAGCCCCCCCCCCTGTGTATTCAAAAACAGTTTGTCATTACTCTTAACCTACCTTGGTAATCCTTATTTGATTGGATTACCAAACGTTTGTGTTAATTATTCTTAATTCCTTTTTCTCTCACTTTGTTTAATTTGACCTTTCTATATATATTGACTTGACAAGTAAATGTGTGAGGGATCAGATTGTTCGTCGAAATGTATAGCGCTAATACATCACATTTTTCAGATAGTCTCCGTCTTCTAATAACGCTATCAAAATTTATAAAAGGGACTAATTGTTTTAAACACTATATTACCCAATGGTTCATTCACACTTCATGACTTCTGACTATGTACCCTATACACATTTGATTGACTATGTTAACTGATGGACTATCATTCATATGAACTGTGATCAAGATTTGACTAGATAGTTGCAAAATAATTGAGCGCTGAGTGAGAAGTAGACATTTATAAAATTATATTTGTAAAATCTCAGCGAAATTGAAATGATTCATTCCAACGTTTCGTTCAGCAATCATCTGGTCCGAACAAAATGTTGGAATTAATCGTTTCTATTTCGCTGAGATTTTACAAATATAATTTTATAATGGACCAATAATAATGATAATAATCACTTTATTCCACAACAATAACAATTTACAGCATGGAATTTTCAGCGTTTCTTTTACATATTGCAATGGTTTAGCTCTGTTTATAATTATATAAATATATAAAATGTTAAAATATTGATAGTTAATAGGAGAAAATAAAACCCCAACAAAATTACACCATTGCTAGGTCATAGTGAATAATAAATAGATAATATAACAAATAACACATGAATTAATATGCATCATTACATTTTATAGTTTAGTTACTGATTCAAAAGTTGTAAAAGTTCTTTTCTGATATTTGTCTCTTCACACAATACTCGTGCCGAATATGGTACGGTCGAATTTTTATATTTTGTAGTACGAGCATAAATGTTTATGAAATTTCTTCTGGTCTTACCCGAAGAGATACAAGGAAACAATTGTGAATAAAGAGGATGTTCACTATCAGATAAGATAACTTTAGCTAAGTGTTTACAAGAATTCATATGCCTATTGACAACAGTGTCATTTAGTTGAGTCAAAGGGATAGCACTGACCCTACTTACAGCCCTCAATGTTCTTCGTAGTATTATATGGTCTTTCTTGAGTAGCCCAGGGAAGAATAATGGAGAACAATAAAGAATGATGGGCAAAACACATGAATTAATAAATTGTATGAGAAGAGATTGGGTTATACCTGAGTGTCTCAACTTCTTTATGTAATAAGTCAGACGGAAAACTTTCTTAGAAACTATAAGAATATGAGACGACCAGCAAAGGTTTGAAGAGAAACTAATGCCAAGATAAGAAACACTTGACTTACTCTCTATCATGGTACCATCAATATTACAACAATCATGAGATTGAATCAATCCATGCATGTCTTTTTCACTTCTCAAGCTGAAATCAACAGTGTTACATTTAGTTGGATTTAGTTTAAGACCATTTGAGCCAGACCAATCCTTAACTTCAGCTAAGAAGCCATTCATATGGGAACAATCCGATGTGGAAACTACAGGGACAGAAACGGTCAGATCATCAGCATACTTAATGAAGTTAACTTTGGGTGAGTTCGGAAGGTCATGCAAAAAGAAAGAGAAAAGAAATGGAGAAAGTACTGCACCTTGAGGCACACCACTTTCAGTTAGCTGAGAAGTGGAGCGCTTTCCAGCCAAAACAGTATGCTGTTTCCTATCCTTAAAATAAGAAAACAGCCATCTAGTTGCCCAGGACTCTGTTTGTGCTGAAATCATCTTTCCTAATAAAAGTGTCCTAGGAACAGAGTCGAAAGCTGCAGTATAGTCTAAAAAAGCTGTTCGAACGAACTTAGCACCCTTATCAAGGCAGGAAACAATATTGTGGTGTAGTACAATGGCTGCATCTAATGTACTTCTTCCACACTTATAAGCAAACTGCTTAAGGTCACTAAAAGCTTTTAAAGAAGGTTTAAGAATATTCAAAAGAAGTTTCTCCATAGTTTTGAAAAAAGGAGATGTTATAGCGACCGGTCTAAACTTTATACCTGCTCCAGAAGATGATTTCTGTACAGGTACAACCTTGATTTCTTTCCAGTCAGCAGGTACCGTTTCCCTGTTAAATGATGCGTTACAGATAACTTCTTTAATTAGTTACTCATGAGTAGTTAATTTTTATTTTGCCAATTTATAGAGTGATAATCTAACGAATTATAATCCAAGTCCTAATCATCTCAACTTACACGTGCAGCCCAATACAGTTTCTGATATTATTTTCATTTGCCTTTATTGGCTATATGTACTCTATTATTCATGGATTTATAACTGTAGAGCCTGAAGAAGAAGTTATCGAAACCACAATTGTTCACTCAAAATCTTGTTATGATAGCATTCAGTCTGCACCAAAGACAGCACTGACATACATCACACTAGTTACTACTATTTACTAATTGAATTGAATTTTTGATTTTCCCGTCGATTGATTGGACCGAAGTGCTCGGTCTCAGGTTGACATGTCGGCTTCTAGTATGACCCGGTTGCACAAGAGGTGGCTCTTGTGGCCCAAGTGGTCTAGTGGATAACGCTTTGGCGTTTGAAACTATGGGTACTGGGTTCGAGCCTCGGTGGGAACATCATCATCACTCGCTGAGAAATGCAGGTACATCCAGTTGGCTGACGAGTCCCAAATAGGACGAAATGCGCATCCTGGTGGATTCCACTGCTAGCCACCATCCACCAATTGTATGCTATTTACTAATGTCCAGTCACAAAGTACTAATATCATTAAAATAAATTAAACAGTGAACAACCAATAGGATTTCAAAGGTCTTAAATAGGGTGAGAGAAAACTTGGACATAAATCAAGCAGTGAGGTGAGAAAATACAAACAGACAAAAATTTTTAATTATTTAAATTAATACCATAGCGTTAAGAAATTTTGATAGCGTTATTAGAAGACGGAGACTATCTGAAAAATGTGATGTATTAGCGCTATACATTTCGAGGAACAATCTGATCACACATTTACTCCATTATAGATAAGATTTTATTTTGATAAATCGCACAGTGTTTACAGTAATGTTTACTGATGACGTTTCGAGCACAATTTATTGCTCATAATCATATCAAGGTAATCACACGACTTCCTAAATTCATTTATATAGTTCCGGTTAACTGTGTCAACTGGGTCCTTTAACCTAATTAGACAAATTAATATTATTTACAAAATACCATGCAATGACTGTGAGGTCAACTACATAGGTCAAACTAGTAGGTCAGGGGTAGTCAGATTGTCAGAGCATAAAAATTTAGCTAAGGTAAGAATGGTTGACCCCGAGAAGATAAATAATTTAGAAAAAAGCTCAGCAATCGCAATGCATGCGTTAACACACAACCACACAATAGGGTGGGTGGGAGAGGGTTAAAATTCTAAAAAGTAATCTAGGTAGGTGGAGAGAGAGGTTGATTACTGAATCCTTGTTCATCGAGTCTACACCCAACACATGCAATAGGAATGACTCGTCACTCATACCTGAAATATGGAAAATACTATTACCAATCAAATCAAGTAGAATATATATATATATATATATATATATATATATATATATATAGAAAGGTTAAATTAAGACAAACTGTTTTTGAATACACAGGGGGGGCTTAAGTTTATGAATAGCTATAGCCTCAGCGTATTTCAGTAAACTCCCTTGACCGTATTTATAAATGACCTTAAAGGCTGAGTTAACATCAATCTTATGGTTCATCTCGATTAGATGTTTAGCTATAGACGAATTTGGTAGTCTGCCACCTGCATCTATTAGCTTGTCACAATTCATCTGTTTTTCTAATCATTTTGGGATATGCTCTCCCACCCTCACGTGAAAAGCACGTTTACTCCTCCCTATGTATGTATGTCCACACACACAAGATTTTTCTGAACGTTTCGCTGTGTAAGCCACAGCTTCTTCAGCAGATTTATTCAGATTTTTACTAATCATGTATATGTGACATGTAGAAAATTAGGTTTACACATAGCAAATGGATATTATTCCGACAAAAGAGTCGCATACTGGTTTATGTAACATTGTTTGTGATACAATTTCGTGAATTCATGAAATTGGTTCTAGACACGTTATCTAGAAAGATAATGAAACTTTCTCAGGCATGAACTAACTAACTAACCTTCTTTGCACTACTAAATAAACCATTCCCTCCTCCACTCTTACAACATCAACCTTTATTGTTATTGTTCTTCTTATATTTATAATTCTCTGAAGTTTTTGTTTTTGTTTATTTTTTTCATAAGTGTGAACATCATTTAAGCTGCGTTACATAACTGTTAATTTTGTATTTCCCCTCACCATGCTGCTGTATCAATAGAACATTAGATTCAATACTCTATAATAACATGCTAAAATTTCCAGGCGAAGTACAAGAATAGCGTCCCAGGAGTGCGAACGCTTCAATGACCTTGAACGCATGCTAGTCGTTGGCTAACAGCACCGCTTATTATCATAGCTGAAATATCAACCCTATTCATCAAATAAGGAGAAAATTTCACCCAGATAACGCTTTTAATTACTGTTTGGACAATATGTTAACATCTCGTTAGGGTTAGGATTAGCGTTAAGGCGAGTATTGGGGTTGGGGTTACGGTCATAATTGGGATTAGGGTTAGGTTTACGGCTGGATAAGGATTGTCGTTAGGGTTAGGATTAAGGTTAGGGCTAGTGTGAAATTTAGGGTTAGGGTTGCGATTAGGGATAGATTTATAGTTAATGTCGTTTATTTTAATTTGTTTTATCCTCATTTTCTTTGTATGTAGTCATCAATGCTCTTACCCAGCTAGCATTTTTTTCGGGCGCATTGCAGACTTTTTGGGGGCAGACCTAGGGCAAATTGCAGACTTTTTGGGACAAACTTAGGACACTGTCCCACGTAAGTAGATCTACCCGAAGTTTTTGCCCCAAAAAGTCTACAATGTGCCCGAAAAAAATGCTAGCTGGGTTACTGAAACCATAGTAACTTAACCGAGGAATTTGGAGAGGACTACACAGCAAGAGAAGAGGGATGAACGATTCACAAAAAAGCCAGTCTTCAGTCACTTTGGTGAATACATCTATAGAAACTAGTCCAACTCAGCAACTGATGCTTTTCATCATAATTCATCAGAGAAAGATAATCTGTTTAATGTGTTTTCATGCATTTTCTTGTGAATATACGTCATTTTTTGTGCAAAAATTCCTCATTTTTATGATTGGCAGGCTGAAGGTCACTCGTGCGTTCGCATCCCTTGGGACGCTTGTTGAACTTTGCCAATTTCCAAACTGAATCGACAATACTGTTTGAAACAAACTCACTTTTATTATTATTATAATTATATTTAATGTTCTCATTTCGTACTTCGAATATTTTTTACTTTATATCGTAAACGTGGACAAATTCCTCTGGTTAATTTTGTTTATATTTTGAGTGAATCAGATGCCATATATTGTGACAAATTCTGAGAATTGCATTCTGTATCATAGGTAGTGTTTTGGAACAGGGATCTCTGGGACGCGAACCAACCAGGAACTGATTATGCAACAAATGGGCAGGAAAAAATGGAGATGGATTGGTCATACTCTGAGGAAACCATCAATCGAGTGATATCACACGTCAGGTTCTCTCTGTCGAGTGGAACCCGAAAGGGAAGCGGTGAGTTGGAGGAGGTGATGTGAATAGGAGATGAAGGCATTTGAGCAGACTTGGAGCCAGATGAAAACTCTAGCAGAGAACAGAATGCAATGGAGCTGAAGCTCTATGTTCTAGGAATTAAAGGAAGTAATAATAAATAATATTTAAACACCTAAATGACTTTATACTTATACTTGCGAAATGAGATTTCTTTAACAGGCTTTTATTTTACAATACAAAAAACTATTTAATCTTTTTTTAGTTTTCATTTCTCCGGTATACTCTATTTCTTTTTCCAGGTGGTGGAGTACATCAACTCCTTGTACCCTATGATATATTGACTGATAATGAACGTAAAAGATATCGACGTTTAACGCATGAGCTAATTAAATATCTACAGTATAATGGTTATCGATTAACAGTTCGTGCTGGTTCTGGTTCACCGAATGCAACTACACCGAATGGAACAGGCGCTGGAAGTACACGATTACACGATGGAAGAAGTAAGCTGCAGTATTCTATTAATCTTTATTATTCTACGCTTTTGGACCATTTCCGGTATTTTCATGCATTTATTCCCCTTAATGAATTTGAATAAAGTAAAGATAACAGTGGTGTTTTGTGCAGAGTAATATGGTATCAGCATTGTTTATTTCGTTGGCTTTTTATCAGTGGCTTACAGTCTAAAGATATTAGTATTAAGTTGATGTGCAGAAAAGCTTGAAAATGCTTATTCAAAGAGTTCAGAAAAGCGAAAGTGAATATTTGCCGACAACAGAGTTTTCTTCAAAACATCAGACACACACACTACCAAGCAACCTTGTCCGTTTAAAAGACCAAATCCTTAAAGATTCTTTATCTAATTGTGTCCATAAAATAAAATACTTGGAGTTTGATCCGATATTTGTCGGACAAACATCTCCAGAAATCAAAATCAGTAGAAATGAACACCACAGAGCATCTGTTCGACCAGTGAGAAATCCGGTTGAACTAGTAAAGCTTGAAAAATCATCAGACATAGGTCTGCACGCTACGCTATAGAATCAGGCCACAAAATTGTTTTCGACAATATTGGAATCATCATCCAGAAAAAGCATTTCAGAAACCGTAGACCATGCAGCTACGGCGAACCCATCTAATGGCCAACTCATGAATTCTAACTTCTCGCAATTCGTGGTTTTAGCTCGACCACAAGCCAGTGAATCGCAAACTAGGACGAAACAACTGTCCATTACTCACTGGTGATTTTCAGTGGTTCTTTGACTTATATTAATCTGTGATCAAAACTTGGAACAGATTAAAATCCTTAAAAACAAACTCTTGAAAATTTATCAGATTCTTTCTAGTGACTGGCTGCAGGGCGAAGTTACCTGAAGTTCTAGTGCAAAGCGGTAACCATTAGGGTCATTCCAGTCGAAAGTGAGGACGAATACTCATCGAATAAATTAGCCGGCGGTTGCGCTAAAATAATGTAATGGTAGAGGTTAGAATTCATGAGTTGGCGATTGGATTGGGTTCCAGTTGCTAAATGGTCTACGAACTTGTCTTCTAACCGGAAGATCCTGGGTCCGAACTTGGGTGCTGGGTGCGTACTGTCGATGAGTCCAAACACTAGGACGAAACAGATATCCAGTGGTCTCTGCTTGTTTTCAATCGTTCTCTAAGTGATGAAAACCAGTAGTCAAAACTTGAAGTTTAATACAGTTACTTACTATTTCCTACTGTGGTGAGAGGTGGCTGCTAGCCAAAAGTGGTAGACAGTATTTTACGTCAATGTATATGTCGCAAACATCGGTGGTGAGAAAATATGAACAAGACTGATTCAACAACAAATCACAGCAGACTTTGCGTAGGCAGATACAGTTAACATACAGATGATCTGACATTCAAGAAACAGTCACAAAGAGATGCAAGGTCAACTTTCTTTGAGAAAAAATCAGTCAGAATAGTGTGTTTGTTTGCTTGAATAATCTATAATAATGTACATGAAAATCTATAAATACGTGTTGACTTCATCAATAAACGATCTGTTGCCTGCTGGGTTTCCCCTCTGGGCCGGTGCGCCCCTCCATAGTCGACCTGGACAACCCGTCCTCCGACAGGTCATCTATATCGGCGCCATGCTTAGCGGGGACGCCCGATCAACATGAGCAGCCATATGCCAGAACTCCCGGTTCCGCGAAATTCCGCACTCTGGCTTCCAAGTAGCTAGATTACAGGCGTACGCCACCACACTACGACGTGAAATAGTTTACTTCGAGCATATCTTTTATTTACTTTTTTAATTGTTTCCTTTTAGACTCATTGCCTACATCACGTTTTGCCTATGGACTTCTCAATAAACTTTTGGATTATGTTGACTCCGCAATGTCATCCGTTCGTGAACCAATGCCAAGTAGTCGTTATAGTACTAGTCGTTCATGGTTAAGTTCAAGTCAAGATATGAAATTTTTTGTCAAAGTTGTTCTCCCACTAGTGGAACGTTATTTTGAAACTCAACATTCATACTTCTTAGATCCAGTAGCTGGTGCATCAATTGAAGAGAAGAAAATGGCTGCCACGTAGGTTATGAAATGCAAAAATAAAAACACGTTTTAGTGTTGTTGTTTTTTATTATTACGGTACGCTCTCAGTGGAACATAAGGCGCCTTCAAGCTAGAGGTTCGAAGTTTCTGTAGCAGTGGTGTTTGTTATTTAGGGGGTCGGGTTTTTAGCCTGCCTCATGCTCAACCTTTCCTCCTTACCAGTCTCATTACTTACTAGCTTGGAGAGGTAAAGGAGTGCATCGGTGGCTGGGGATCGAACCCCGAACCACATGAGAAGCGTAGTTGGTGAGCATTCTACCACTGTGCCACCGACACAAATGTTTTAGTGCATATAAGTATTATCAATTTTTGATTTCCCTGTCAACTGATTGTATCAAAATCTTCACTCTCCGTTGACACGTCGGCTTCAAAAATGTGTGCGGAATAATTTGAAGTAGTCTGGTGGATAGCATCTAGTAGTAGAATCTACCGAGATGCACATTTCATCCCATTTAAGGCTTGTCAACCGGGTGTGTTGCATAGGTGGCGCAGCGGTAGAATGCTCACCAACCACGCCTCATGTGGTTTGGGGCTTCGATCCTCGACCACGGACGCACTCCTTTTCCTGGTTAAGCCAATAATAAGACTAGTAAAAAGCGAAGTTTGGTCATGAGGCTGGCTAGCAACCCCATTCCGTAAAGAACAAACACCACTTCTATCGAAGCTTCAAGCTAGAGGCTTGAAGCTTTATGCTCCACTAAGAAAGTCTGGAAAAAAGATAAAAATAATAGTCGTACAACTCATGGAAATAAATCATCGGAAAGAAAAGTTTCCCTGCTGTCTATATCTTCTTCTAACGACTCAAGCAATGGGGAATAATCCGCTCATATTCTGATATAATTGACGTGAAAGCTAACCGGATGTAGTTGTTACGTAATCATTTTAGTTTTTGATGTGGTTGTGTTCTCTGAGCTGGATAGTTTATTTGCGAAGCTTTCATCGCCCCCTACTAGGCAACATCTGCAGCTCATACACAAATTTGAATTGAAGTGAGCCTTTAGATTTCTCCACGAGTTTATTAATCATCTCTCCTGCTGACCTAGAACGTGATTGGTTTTTTGTGTGTTTTCACACCTTCTAGGTTACTTGTATTCGAACTGATTGTTTCTTTGACCTGAACTTTGACCCTTTGTGTGCAAGGTTTCTTCCTTATCGGTTGATAAATTTTGTCTATCTCGATGTGTCTATTGATTTATGATTCACTGGAATACCAGACGTGCTTCTAAAAATTCTCTAGCATTCTTGTTGTTTCTTCTGTCTAATATTTGAACGTTGTCCCACTCGAATTGATGTCTGTAGTTGTCTGTATTTAGTGATATGAGGAAGTGGATGTCATGTCTTTTGACGACTAGCTTATGTTCGTGGATATGACGACAAAGGGGATGTCCACTTTGACCAATTTACTTAGTGTTTTTCACAGTTGTTACAAGCTATTTTGTAGATGATGTTGGTTTTATCTTCTTTCGCTGTTGAGTCTTTTGATTGACATAGAATCGAGTGAAGTGATTTTGTTGGTTTGTGTACGACGTCAATTCTTAAAGATTTGAAGAGTCTTGTAGCGATTTCTGAGATATCCTTTATATATGGCAAGGCGATTTTCTTTGTGTTTTCCTTGGGGGCCTTTGGTTTGATAGGTTGGCAACCTATCACGTCCAAGGTCACCAGGAGAGATGATTGATAAACTCGTAGAGAAATCTAAAAGCTCACTTCAGTAAATTGAAGTATGCGTGCTGAAGATGTCACCTAGTAGGGCGATGAAAGCTTCGCAAATTAATTATCCACCTCAGAGAATACAACCACATCGAAATCATCCACCTGAGCTACAAATCTTCTCTATCATATCCAAATCATTTTAGTTTTCAGTTAAATAATTATTCATGCGTAATATTAATTTCATTTTATTATTTATCCTTTTTTGTTTTGTTTTTACTTTCAGCTTATTCTGTAAACTCTTTTCATTACTTCGTATAAAGTTGAATGCATTTGGGCATGATGTGAAAATTGCTGTATCTTGTCTTCAAGGTTTAGTACAAACAATCGATGTTAAGTAAGTGCATTTAAATGATTATTGTATATTTGAGGATAGATTTTGTTACTCTTCATCAGTTCACACCTATAGCTCTCAACTTTCATCTTAGAAGATGAACTCACTGACCATATTCAGCCAATGGGTTGAACTTCATTGACCCATGAACTCTAGATTCTGTGGATACGTTGAATTGATCAAATGAATGAGTGATCTATGAGCTTGCCATTTAACCAAAAAGTCCTAGGTTCGAACCCTAGCAGTTGTGTACAGATGAAGAGTTCCAAAGTGGGACCAAATGACTTTCCGGCACTCTCTGGTTTTCAATGGTTCTCTAACTCGCATAATACTGTGGTCCAACTTTAATGACATTGATTTTCTTATGTTTGCAGATATATAACTTATTCTCATTCTGTGTTTGGTGATAACCTTCAATGACATGTCTTGTCATCAATTAATAGTGTTTTCTGAGCTGGTTGGTTTAGTTGAGGAGTTTTCGTTGTCCTTCACATCTTCAGCGCATTGTTTGCCATAAAGTGAAATGATTTAAATTTTTCGTGAGTGATATAATTGCGTCTCCCGGTAACATTAATTTCACCATTTCTTTTCCACACTGTTTGGCTAATTTCCAGCCTAGCGGGCAGTTAATTAGTGGCTTATATTTGACACTAGCTGGTAGAATCTGCTGACGGAGACATTCATGAAGAAGGAATAGTTGTCCTTCTGTAGAAACTTGCCTTTTAGCAAAGTCTTCCCATTTTTTGACACAACAGAAGCGTATCACGCTCGTGAGATTTTGAAATAATAGAAAAGATTTGTAGCTCTAGCCCTCTACGCTGGAAATTAGCTAAACAACATGAAAAACAAGTGGTGAAATTAATAATATCGGAAGACGCAATTATATCACTCATGAAAAATTTAAATCAGTTCACTTTATGCTAAATATTGGGCTGAAGGGACATGTTGCCCAGAAGGATGACGAAAGCTCCGCAAATAAACCAACCAGCTCGGAGAACACTATTAATTGCAAATCATCCACCTGAACTACAGATCTTCTCTATTATATCTTGTCATCGTATAACAGTTGTGAAGTTTTCTTCTTTTTAAAGTACCTGTTCTTGAGATCATCACAATAAAATGAAAGATTTTACAAACATTTTAGAAATGATAACATAAACTAAAGTCATCTGCATAACATATTTAGCGTCAACTTCATCCTGGAATGAGGCTTTGGAACAATTGAATTTGTAATCTGCAATTCTAGGTGAATATTTCACCTACAAATAAAACTGATTGAAATCGGAAGTTGTACACTGCTTGCATCAATGTTATGATTTGATTTATTTATTCTTTAAGTTGGTCTATATGCTCTTTAGTCAGGAGATTATTCGAGCTAGGTTTGGAACTGGTAAACTGATGACAGCAATCAAGAACTGTGGATTTAAAGTGTTGAAATCCCTCAGGTGACGTGGGTGTAAGATAGTTGGTCTGATTAATAAGATTTTCAAATTGCACTTGAGTATGCAATTTGTTGACTTTAGACGAACTGCAACAGAATTTGGGGCCCAGTGATAGGGCTTGAAGTTGAATTTCAGAAAGAGTGACGGAAGAATAATTAAATACATATGTATTGGGATCAGTCGGAAATCTCTTTTCTGAGTCTATCTTCAACTCCTGAAAGCAAAATAGGGTTGGTTTTGAAGACACAGCATAATTCAGCTTCATTGAATGCTCTTTTTACCCCCGTATTCCTTAGGCGTTGTGTTCATATCTCACTGATGTTGCCATCACTAAGGGATCTGAAGTTGTAAGAATACGGCCTTTTACAGAACTAATGCTACTTTGGCTTACCTTGGCTTTTGAAACATATTCTTATCGATGAAAAGTTGATTTTACAAAGGGTATCATTAGAGCAAGAGGCAAACTGTTTTACTTCATACTTTTTTCTCTGCATCTCCTTATTCCTGTTTTGCTTTAATTAGAGCTATCTTAAAAATGGGTACAGCAGAAGATTTTGTACGGAGTCGTATTCTTCCATTTTTTGTTAATGCTGCCGATGATTTATGCGTAGTAATACGTAATCTTGATGCTGGTCGTTATTCACATGTGAAGGTAAGCAAATTTACAAAGGTATTTTCACCTGATAACATTGAATTTGAATTATTTCCCTCAAATATGTAATTCCAATTTAGATGTGTGTCTAGTCAAGAAAGTTATTTGAGGATACACTTCGTCATGAGCCGACATTGGTTAGAGAATCGTTAAATACAAAAGCAGAACAAAGGTTATTAGACATCTGAAGAAAAGAACAAGAAGTCCAGCAACAAAGGATATCATTTTTGGCGATTTTATTCACAAAAGCAGCTCTGTACAATTGCATTTATATACATAAGTTTAAATGGTCACAATCATTATTTAATTTGACATAGCAACGGGATTTATAAATTGATCACAAGCACTTTAAAAATAAAAAATACATAAGATTAGAAAATAGTTGCCTGATGTGTGAGCAACCTCCTCTACATACCTGTCTACCTACCTACCTACCTGGGAAGTATCGTTTCAACTACAGGCAGACAGAACCGATGAGGATATCAAAGCGAGGAACACCGGGAAAGCAAGGCAAGTCGTGTGACCACAATTGAAATAATTATGAACAATAAATTGTGTTGGAAACGTCATCCAGTATACAATACTGTTTCACTGTGTGAAAGCAAGGCAAGCTTCCATTTCCCTCAAGTCTGTATGAAGATAGATCAACAACACTCCTCAGCATAAAAAACAAGATGAGGATTTTCAACTCCAATGAAAAGTCGGTGCTACTTGCTGCGCGGATCAGAGACTTGGTGCTGCGCCGCGTCACGGAGGCCATTTCGAACAAACTACAGACTTTCACCAACAACTGTCTTCCCTCAATACTACTCAAGATCAGATGGCCGTCCAGAAAAGATCAGCACCAGGGAGAGATCTCTGGAAACGAGCGAACCAACCCAGCAGGAACCAGTTGTGCGAGAAATATGCAAGAAGAAATGGAGATGGATTGGCTGGTCATACTTTGAGGAAACAAACCATCAAGTGAGTGATATTACTCTCCATGCCATTGCTCGAGTAAAACCCAAACGGGAAGCAACGAGTTAGTCGTCAGTGCGAGGGTGGTGTGGAGGAGGTGAAAGCACATAGGCAAACGTGTAGCCAGGTGAAAACGTTGGCAGAGAACCGAACGCAATGGAAACGTGCGGCTGTAGCCCTATGTTCCTCTAGGAACTATAGGAAACAATAATATCAATAATAAATTGAAATACTTGTTGACAATTACTCACATTAATTTGTTATTATTTTTTTGTTTTATTTAAATTTTTTTAATTAATTTCATTTACAGGGTACAATTAAACGTGGTGCATGTTCAATTGACTATGTACACATGGTGCTATTACCAGTGTTGAAATCAATGTTTGAACATTTGGGCAAATATGAATGCGGTGAATACCTGTTAGGTAATTTGAATTCTGTTATTATTCTCTATTAAATAAATAATTATAATTGTGGTAATGAAAATATCAAAAAGAACCCCCCAAAGATTGTAGCATGACTTCATCAATGAATAGTGTCTGTCACACTAAATGCAAAAAATATTTAGGCATGGAGAGTTACTGATATCTATTTGAATGGATCCCATGTTCCCCACCTACTCAGATTATTCAATGACGCACATACCAATATTGAATTTACTATGGAACATGAAAATGATGGAAAGCTGCACTTTCTCGACATTGCCATACAATGCCTAGAAGATGGAAGTCTACAGAAGTCAATTTATCGAAAGCCTACATGGAAAGGACAATACCTACATTTTAATAGCATTTGTCCAAATAGCTTTAAAACGTGAATTAGTCAAGACTCTCTATACTGTTACAGCTGTACGGGAAACAGCACATGTCAAGTGATCCACAACGGAAAACTCAGCGAGGCGTTTGGAGTAAACACAGAAGTCAGACAAGGGTGCTTATTATCTATCACAAATGATATTCCTAATTGTGGTGGACTGACTGGATTATGCGTCAGACAGTGAGTGGGAAACGAGAGATGGGATAAGGATATCCTGGACCGACGTGAAGAACCTAGAAGACCTGGATTTTGCGCAGCGATGATTTATGTTTGATGTCACACAAATCGAAGACTTACGGGTAAGTGAAAACCGACAAACTGGTCGAAGAAGCAGACAGTGAAGACAGGACACTAAGTGAACATAGACAAGACGGAGGTTATGAAAATAACCAACCAACCAACAACAACAGTAACAATATCCAGCCAACAGAAAATCACCATCAACGGGAGGGATTTGAGAGAGGTTACTTCATTCATTTACTTATCTAGCTAGGGAGCATTGTCTCAACTACAGGAAGTCGGAATGGATGAGGAGGATGTCAAATCGAGCGAGAATCGGGAAGGCAGGCGAGAAACACATTCATCAACCTGAAACAACCAATCTGGAAATCTTCGTCACTCAGCCAGCATCAACAACGAAATTCGGTCGGATTTTCAATACAAACAACGTCAAATCAGTCAGTTCTTCTATACGGAACGGATCAGAAACTTGGCGGGCGGGTCACAATGAACATTTCCAACAGCCTATTGCAGACCTTCATCAACAACTAACTGTTTTCACTGGCTCTATACTGAAGATCTGATCAGATGGCCGGGCCGGAAAGAATCACCAACAAGAATCACTATGGGCACAAACAAACAAATATGCAGGCGAAAGTGGAGATGGATGGATTGGTTACTCGCTCGCTGAGGAGGCAGGTCGCTGGGTGACATTGCGCGCGCATCAGGCCATTGCTCGAGTGGAACCAGGCCGAAAATGAAGCGGCGAGTGGGACGTCAGTGCAAGCCTGACATGGAGGAGATCGTGTGAAGAGGAGTTGGTTGAAAGAGTATGGACTAACATGGATGGATGGAGGTGAAAAGTACAGTTGAAGGAAGGCAGAAGTGGCAAGTGGAGACGTGGAGTTGAAGCCCTATGTTCCACTAGGAACCCAAGGAACAATAATATTAATAAAGCCTCCTGCTTCCCATTATTAGCTATCACCACTGTATTAACACTAGTTGGTAAACCTTGTTGTTAGAATGACGTTTACAACCACCATCTTAAGCTCATTGACTTTAGCGTCCAACCTCAAGTAAATATATTATGTATCCAAACTCACATATCACCAGTTATACCTTTAGCAGCTGAGTTAAATACCCCTTAAACTCTCATCCATCCATGGAATGTAATTCCAACTGACTGTATGATGAATGTCGCTATTTTATTGAAGCATTTATTGAAGATTTGCGGTAAACTAGAATTTGAATGCATTTATTTTAATGTAGTTGAGCGTCAGAAATTCAGGGTTAGAATACTCACTTGCAATCGGTGTACGTGATATGGAATTGTGCCTCACAGGCGATACACTCCTAACCTTCGCCTAGCCTATAGTAAGTCCAAAAAAGGCGAAGAGGTTGGGCATAAGCGCTAATCAAATTTCAACTCGTAAAATCAAACAACACGCCTGTCATTGAAACTTCACAGCTGAAACCTGAAACCCTATGTCCCAAATGGAATGCAAAGGAATGACAGATGTTCTAATGTAGGGGAATTAGCTCAACAGTATGTCTTATACTGTAGACTAGAATTCAGAGTCAAATTATTGGAAATGTATGTCAAAGATGACTAGCATGATTCACTTCTAAGCCATTTTAATGTCCTATACATCATGACAACTGTCACTGATAATACAACAAAGCGTCTATTTATTTTATCTGGGATGTATTCATTATATGTTTTAAAAATATTTTGATATAAGAATAAAACTTGAGGCACTGTGGTAGAGGAAAATTCCATTATGGGTGAAATTTATTTTGATAAAGTCTCACAGTGTTGTTATACAGTAATATTTACTGATCACCACACGTTTCGAGCACAATCTATTATTGGTCATAATCCCAATTTTAAGGTACTACTCACACAACTTTTTAATTTCGTCTATATAATTTCATCATTGTTTTTCATTGCTTGATTTAATGATTGGTAGTAGTATTTCCTATATTTCCAGTATGAATGATGAGTCATTGCATCCTATTGTACGTGTTGTATTGGGTGTAGACTCGATGAACCAGGCAGGATTCAATAATCGACCTCTCTGTCCACCTACGAACTCACTCAGGTTGGACAAGCTCTGTTGCTCAAAGGACCAAGTTGACCCAATTAGATAAAACAACATAATTTATAAAATACCCTGCAATGACTGTGAATCAATACTTTGATAAAGCTATTAGCATTAAATAGCGAAACGTCGTTTTGTTTTTCATTCATTGGGAAATACAAAAACTTTTATTATAATGACTATGAATTAAGTCAACTACACAGGTCAAACTAGTAGGTCGGGGGTAGTCAGATTGTCAGAATATAAGAATTTAGCTAAGGTAAGAATGGTTGACCCCACCCGAGAATATAAGTAATTTAGAGAGAAAAAGGCTCAGCACTTCATTGCACTGCATGCATTAACACACAGCTACATAGTAGGATGGTGGGGTCAAAATTCTAAGAAGTAATATAGACAGGTGAATATATAGAGAGAGGTTGGTTACTGAATCCTGCCTGGTTCATCGAGTCTACATCCAATACAACACGTACAATAGGATGCAATGACTCATCACTTATACTGGAAATATGGGAAATACTACTACCAATCATCAAATCAAGCGATGAAAAATAATGATCGAATTATATAAACGAAGTTGGAAAGTTGTGTGAGTAGTACCTCAAAAATTGGGATTATGAGCAATAATGCATTGTGCTTGAAGCGTGTGGTAGTCAGTAAATCGTACTGCATAACACATAACAAGACTGTGAGAATTTATCAAAATAAATTTCACCCATAATGGAATTTTTTAACATAATTTTTATTCCTTTATGGCTTCAAACTAGAGCTTTGAAATTTCACTAGCAGTGGGGTTTATTTTACAGGATGATGATGATGATGTTGCTAGCCTTATGCCCACCCCCCCGTCTGTACCAGCCTTATTACTAACTTAGCGAGGTTAGGGAGTAAGTCGGTGGCCGGAGATTGAACCCTGGACCAAATGAAGCGTCGTTGATTGTATTCATTTTGCACACATACTATTCTATCCTCAATTTATTTATTTATTTTATTTTTTTAAAATAAATTCCCTAGTGGGTAATGTTCAAGTAACATGTTATAGAATACTGAATGCTCTGTACAAGTTGGGAACTACAGCATCAAAACATGCGAATCGGTGAGTACAATAATAATAATAATAATCTCAATTAAAATAATGCCTAAGTCTACTTTATATTATGCATACAACATAAAATGTAATTGATATAATTCTGTAGATTATGGCTTTCTATAGGCACTTGGATAAGTCTACCGAGGGAGAGAGCTGTCGAGTGGTTGCGCCACAGGATGATTCTGCATGCCAGTCTCGTATCGCAAGAGGCAGGGATGGGTGTGTTTGGTTCTCCTGAAAATCAAGACCCAGTCAATGGGTGTATCACTGTGTGAACTCTGTGTGTCTGGGGCACAGTGGTTAAGGACTCTCGCTGACCATGAACATGGTCCGGGGTTTGATCCCCTGCCGGCGCACACCTGATATACATAGTCGGCCTGCGAATTCCATACCTGTACCAAAAAATACGGTTTGGAATCAAGCTTCAATAAAAAAATAGTTCCAATGTAGATTGCCTCATGAACCAACATCAGCTGGAAGGAGAACATTTAAAACCAGGGAGCATTAGATAGGTGTTTCGTCTTAGTTTGAGACACTTCATCAGTCTGTATACCTGCGACTATACCAGGGATTGAACGCGGGATCTTCAGGGTACGAGACTAAGATCGCTGACCATTCAGCTACTTTGGTTAGAATTCAGTGATCTGTTAATTATCAAAAGAATGGATACTGAACAAAGAATACTCTTTTCGATAATCCCTTCTTCATCAAGTTATACAGTCATATATACCTAATAATAGTAAATGAATTAGTGTTATGAGCAACATTACTGTGGTTTAAATAACATCGAATCAATATCAATGGATTGCAGTTCGATAGCATCAACAACACAACAATACACTGAATATCAGACAGGCAAATTAGGAAAGATAATAATACAAATCCATGCGTGAATTTAAAGTCTTCACCGAAGACCGGCTAGGGCAGTAGTAGTGGCTGGTTGAACTTGCTTCTTATGCACACAAAGCACTGGTTGTTTCACACGAACTGCGATAGTCTCTGCTGTTTAGAGTATTCGGTACCTGGACGTTTTTGCCGATTTATTTGGTACCCATGTAACAACAGAAGACAAGGGCTGGCAACAGATCGTTTTATTATGAAAATCAACACGTATTTATACATCTTTCAACTACATTATTATAGACAAGCGCAGTCATCTGATTGGTTGTTTAGGTAGACAAACGCAGGCTTCTGATTGGTTGTTTACTCAGGCTTGTTCATATTTTCTCACGGCCCATATTAGTGACCTAGACCTTAACGTAGATTAGTGCCAACCAATCGGCTAGCAGCCTGCTCTCACCACACTCGTCCCCCCGTCAAATACGTGCGACTGAAGTCGGCTTGATCTACTTGGTGCAGGCGTCATCGTTGGCTTGTCTCGCTGTATCCATTTCTGGAGCTCGCTGACGTTCACGCGCCTCTCATTGTTCGCCATTGCGACTGTGTCTGCGTAACCCCATCTCGAAGTGACCATATATGGTCCTTCCCACTTTGGAAACTGTTTGCCTGACCCTGTCGAACATTCGTCCATACTTCGGCTCACACTTTCATATGCTGCTTTCACCCGACCTCCCAGCAGCGTCCCAAGTAGCAGCTCCATCGCTGACAGATCTTGAACGCCACTCAACTGCGCAGAAGCCTTGAAGTCCTGCCCGAAGATCCATATGTCTCCATCAAAAACTGCAGGGTATAGGCTTTTCATTTGTCGGTAGGCAGCGACACCAAATGTAACAACAGAGTAACATTCTTTTTGGCTATCTGAGACTTGGTTTTGTTGACGCGTAGTCCAAACTCTTCGATGCGTCGCAGCACGGCTTCTACATGGTTGACGTGATCGTTTTCGTTCTGACTGTATATGACGAGATCATCACCATAAACCTCCACGTTTTTCAAGTTCTTAAGTAATAGCTTCATCAGTCGCCTGAACGTAAACGGTGCACCTGCTAGTCCAAACGGCATGCGTTTAAATCGATATTGTGTCTGACCCACGATGAAAGCCGTCTTATCTCTGTCACTTTGTTTTATCGGTATCTGCCAGTATCCTGAGCGAAGATCGAGAACCGAAAACACATTCGCACCTTGTAGTCGATCTAAGGTTTCTATCACTGTTGGCATGGCACACGGTCTTAACTCTGTCATACTGTTTAACTGTCGGAAATCAACACAGAATCTATACTTCCCATTCGCTTTTTTTACTAACAGCACTGGAGAGTTGTATGGGCTATCAGCTTCCTCAATAATATCATCTTTTAACATCTCTTGCACTTGTCGCTCCACTTCGCCTTCCAGATGACATGGAACTCTTCGCGTTAAAAATGACCTTACTTTAGGATCACTTAACGGAATTTCATGATTCACCTTATCGCAATAACCGTATGGGTCCCCATCTCCAGTGAACAGATGATCGTATTTATTAATTAACTCTGTCACATTGTGTACCGTCGACAGCTTAATCGCTGCTATCTCGCTGGTCTCATACATGTTGATATGCCCGTATTTCGTGATCACCACGTTCGCTTGCGTGTCGATTATGGCACCAATCTCACGCAGAAAATCCGCTCCTAATATCGTTCGCTGTAGTTCGGGTACAACAATGAAAGGAAACGTCACCTCGCAGCCACCAACAACGACCGTACAGTTCGATCTACCCGTGATACGCAACACATACCCGCCTACTGTTTGTACTGTCAATGAACACGGATTAACACTCTTACATAAATTCTTATCTATTAACGACACGGCCGCCCCTGTATCTATCAAACATACTACTTCTCGATCATTCACTCGCAACTTCGAATACAGAGCGCCTTTCTCAATAGCCCCCACTAAATCTAGGTTCATACGAAAGAAAGAACAAGCATTATACCGTCTGAAATTTTTTCTTTTTCGCCTTTCTGGGCAGTATCTTCTCCAGTGTCCCGGCTTACCGCATTCAAAACACCGGTCTTTTCTATCAGCCAACTTTAACGCCGCCACTTCCCGCTGCAATGCTTCAATTTTTTGCTCATATTCGTTTGGTTTTGGTTGGTCTATAGCGGCTACCGTTGTGCTCAGCAGCTGTCTGGTCACCTTCGCCAGCTCACTAATATCCATCGGCTGCGTTGCGTTAACCAGTTGTAATCGCTGAGAAATGTGGTCTGGGACACTCTCGATGAATTGGGAAGACAGTAACTGCGCTTCTGATTCTTCATCTAAAGTGGGAAGCGCGCGTCGAAGTAGATTAGTCAGTTTCACCGCCAACACTAGCGGGTCTCCATCAGGTCCAAGCTTCATTGACCGGAACTGCTGCATTGCTAGCTGTCTGTCTGTTTCGCTGTCAAACTCGGACACTAGTCGTTCAACCAATTTCTTCCAAGACGCTGTGCCATTTGACCTGTCTACGCTGTCATATGCAGCCTTCGCTCGGCCTCTCAACAGCGTCCCCAGACAACTGCCTTCGCCGCCTGCTCCTTGACACCCACCAGCTCAGCAACGGCTTCGAAGTCACGTAAGAAGCTCCGTATGTCTCCTTCTTCAAACGCAGCTGGCCACGGGATCTTCATTTCTGGAGGCAGCGACACCAAATGTAACAACAGAAGACAAGGGCGGCAACAGATCGTTTTATTATGAAAATCAACACGTATTTATACATCTTTCAACTACATTATTATAGACAAGCGCAGTCATCTGATTGGTTGTTTAGGTAGACAAACGCAGGCTTCTGATTGGTTGTTTACTCAGGCTTGTTCATATTTTCTCACGGCCCATATTAGTGACCTAGACCTTAACGTAGATTAGTGCCAACCAATCGGCTAGCAGCCTGCTCTCACCACACCCACTAGATGATAAAGAAGGACTCTTCAATGCTAACTACCTTTGTGGCCGGCCGGTTTGCACCAGATGGTCTAATATCGAAATGTTGATGATGGTTTTCACTACACCTTTACTTAGCCGTAATGGGAGATGTTCGTGAATGAGCACGTAAAATGAAGTTCATAGAGCAACGGCCAATATAACTCACTCCACCTCAAGCGCAGTCGAATTTGTAGATAGAGTTGGAAGTGACTCGTCCAGGTACTCCATCTTTCAATTCAGGAATCACCATCGGTCGTGTAGAGAATAAGACGTGTAGTTTTCGAGCATTAAAAATTCTTTGAACTGATTTTCTGAACTTCTTCATAATTATTCCTCTAGGTCTATCGCCGCTGAATTGCCGTCGTATGTATAAGGGCTTCTTCTTTACAGGTATTGAGCATCTGCTTCCCCTTGACATGGTGGACCCTACTGCTCACCCCTTCTTGGTACAGCTTCAGGACATCCATGAATTTGCTGTTGTAGAAATTATAAACAATTTGAATTTAGTGAAATCCTTTTAAATTTCGTCTTAATTACTTTTTGTAAGACAGTATGCGCAGTCTCTGTTGTCTTAAAGGATTTCTTGTGGTTAACTTAGTGTATCTCAGAAAATGTTGTGCTGTCTGATACGATGGTTGTTAGATTCTACTCTTTGTATGAGCTCTATGTCTCAATGGAACATCTAAGTACATCTAGTTGATGAGCCCTGAATAGTCCGAAACACAATTCCTGCATCTAATTGAATTTATTTATACTACACAAGTTGACATCCTGATATCATAAATTATTCAGCTGCCAGTTTGTGTCAGTAACTAAAATTCTAATCCTGTAACCAATCAAATGATAATTAATCTGATGCTCACTGGCAACTGGCCCTATACAAGAAGTTACCTGGGGCTCTAGTGAAACGTCGTAACCAGCGGGGTCCACCAAGTCAGGCAAGAAGACAGTCAATTGCCTGTGACATTCGTTGGCGATGGCGCTATATATATATATATATATATATTATATATTATATATATATATATATCACAAAATTGCAGAAGATGTAATTCATGGACATTTGGGTCATGTCCCGTAGGCTGAATGGTCTACGAGCTTGCCTCGTAACCGGAAGGTCATAGGTCCGGACCATGTTAGGTGTGTGTAGTGCCAAAAAATCCCAGACTAAGATGAAACAGCTGTTGAGTACTTCCAGGTTTTTCAATGAATCTAACTGATCAAGCCTGTAGAAATAAGAACCAATTACACATTTCGCTTATAAATAATTCAGAATGTAACTGTAATAAAACAAAGAGACTGCAATCATCTAATATCAATAATTCATAGCGCACTGTCATGGTGAGCCACATAGAACGGTGGCCACTTTGCAAACATGAATAGTAGAATTCGGCCTACCTCATTACCAAGGACTAGCAGAAGTGTCATAGAAGGTCAACTGCGAGCCTAAGTAGGTCAGTGGTAACATCTTTGACTGTAGCACTGGATGACTCAGGTTCGAATCTAGGAAGGGACATGAATTCCTTCAAGATTGCAGATATGCCTTGCTGACTGACGAGTACCAACTAGCACGAAACCTTGGTAGCTGGACTTCCTACCAGTTGCCTTCAAACATCTTAAATTACAAACACAGAGAAATGAACGGCCATTACAGAAAATTTTCATTTTTGTCTTCGTTTAATTTTTCGCTAATATTTTTGAGAGAAGACTAGAATGACTCTTTTCTCCTTGTTTTCTTATTTCCTTTATTTATAGGCAAAGTTTTGTGGATGAATTAAATAGGTAAGTGTGTTGTTTTATTACTTTACTTATTAATTATTAATCGGGTGTGAGGCTAGCAACCTCACCCTGTAAACAAAACTGCTACAGAAACTTCAGTACGATGAATCTCTTTGCGATGAAAGAAAACGTATGTGTGGGAACATGGAACGTTCGCACTATGTATGCAACTGGCTAAGCTGCCCATATTGTAATTGAGATGAAGAGATATGGTATTGAGGTAATGGCAGTATGTGAAAGCAGATAGAATGGGAGTGGACTTACCGAATTTTCAATAGGAGATTCAGTGATCTACTCTGGTCACCCAGAAGACAACTATGAAAACACTGAGGGTGTGACTATCATAATGTCACTACCACCACCACCAACAACAACAGACAACAATCAGCATGGATGTGAGAAATCTCAAAGAAACAACCTCCTTTGCTTACCTACCTACCTACCTGGGAGGCATCGTTTCAACTACAGGTGGAACTGACGGAATATGAAAGCGAGGATTGGGAAAACAAGACAAGCTACTCTCAAGTCTGTGTGGAAATCACCAGCACTCAGCATGAAAAGTGAGATCCAGATTCTCAACTGCAATGTGAAGTCAATGCTGCTCACTTCACACGCATCAGAGACTTGGCGCGTCATGAAGAGCACTTCAAACAAACTACACACCTTCACCAACAGCTGTCTTCAATCGATACTACTCAAGATCAAAAGGGATCTCTGGCAATGAGCGAACCAACTCAGCAGTAACCGATTGTGCGAGAAATATTCAAGAAGAAATTGAGGTAGATTGGCTTGGCCATTGTTATGTACTAGTTTTCCCCGTCGCCAAATTGTTATGTACTCGTCGCTAAATTATTGTTATGGACTGGTCGAGAAATTAATAGTCCTGACGCGAGAAGGCGGAAATCAGAAGACCACTAGGTTTGCGATGATACTTCTATTGTCCAAACACAAGGAGACGAAAATAAATGGTCTCACACCAAAGTGGTAAGTAAGTAAAGTAGTTCACACAAATTGTGAATGCGAATATATATAAATGTTCCAGACAAAGCGTGGGAAAAATCATTAGACAGTCTTAACATGAATGGCTAATTATAATGGAGTGTCGATCCAATTATACATAGCGAATATAGCAGACATGCGAACAACCATATATGGATATATGTCACCAAGCAACGGACTGTCAACAAACACTCATATTATATATAATATAATATAAGGAGAATATACATTATTAAAGGAGACAAGTTCATACAAGTGAAATGGTCACAGACTAAGCGAGCAAACAGAAAGAGAGACCAACATACACACACACATAAATATATATGTGGATACATATCACCTCCCCTTTTGAGAAGATGGATGATTAGTAGGATGTTTACCTGGGGGTTTATCTGGGACCTTTGGGCTTGTTGTTGACGTCTGTCGTTTCGTCTGCTTGTTGGGTTTGCGGCTTCGGCTTCGTCCGGAATTGTCTAGCATTTTATGCTTCTTGACTGCATTGCATAGAGAATTTAGTGGGACATCAGCCAGATGCAAACGATCGAACCAATCAAGTCCCAAAAGATTTAAATCACTCTTGGTGACGTAACAAATTCCTGTGAATTTGGTATTGCGGAAGGAAACAGAACATTCGAGTTCACCAATTAGTTTGAGGCGCCCACCACAGGCGCTGACAGCAGTCTGAGAAGTATTTACGATTGGTGGTCTGCCAATATTATTCCAAAGTTTCTCTGATATAACAGTAATATCAGAGGCGGTATCTAGCTGCAGACGTGCATCATGACCATTCATCTGAAGGTCAAGATATTTCCGCATACATGGAGTTATGACTTGACAGGTTGCGAGTAGACTCAATGATCTCCTTGGGGATTTAGGACCAACAGTTTGTCGAGCTTTTGCTGGATTATGATATCTGGGTTTGCGTGGCTGACAAAAACCATTTTTATGACCGATGATTTTGCACTTGCTGCAACGATGATTTTTGTATGGGCAAGACTTTACAAAGTGCCACGCGCCACAATGCCAGCATGGTGATGGAGGGGTCTTCTTTGCAGTATTTTGTGAAGTTGGACGAGTATCTGTAGATTTCCGCGGGACATTAGAAGAAGGTGGGTCAGGAGTAGCTGATGAGAGATTTTTGCTCTTGCGTAATGCACGAATATCAGAGCTTCTCGGAGGTGTTGATTCGACCAGGTGTGTGTCTTTCTGCAGATTAATCAGCCGTTGATATTCATCAGCTATGTCATGTAATGTTAACTTGGGATTTTGTTCTAGCTGATTGAGCAGTCGAGTTCGGATATCTGTGAAACGAGGAGATTGGAGACTGCATATGAGAATCAAGGCTTTGAACTGATCATCTGTTAAGGACCTGAGTCGAAATCTCTCACATTCTCGGTTGACTGTGCCAACGTGAGTAAGAAAATCATCATTTTCATTCATTGCCAGCTTGAGGCAACGATAACGTATACTGAATAATGAGGAGTGGTCTCCGAAATGTTCACGCAGCAACTTTATTGTATCATCGAAACAATTGTCACGTGGTTTCTGTGGTAAAATTAGGTTGCAGTACCGTTCATATTCTGCCGGACCCAATTTACGTAGCAACACTCGCACCTTCCAGGCATCGTCTTGTGAGGCGAGATCAACAGTGAATAAATCCTCATAACGTTGATACCATGTGTCAAAAGTGACATTAGCCTCTGGGTCATAATTGAACTGTGAAATACTGTTCACAATGCCGTCGACAGATGGTAGCATGGTATGATTGGGATTGCTTGAAGGTGAAGCTGGACCAGTCTGTTGGTTGACGAACATTTCCATTAATTTCATTTGTCGTTCAAACAATAATTCCAATTTAGAATAATCCATAGTAAATTGTTATGTTGCTGCTGCTGAGTGGTTAATAGTAGTTTTCCCCGTCGCCAAATTGTTATGTACTCGTCGCTAAATTATTGTTATGGACTGGTCGAGAAACTAATAGTCCTGACGCGAGAAGGCGGAAATCAGAAGACCACTAGGTTTGCGATGATACTTCTATTGTCCAAACACAAGGAGACGAAAATAAATGGTCTCACACCAAAGTGGTAAGTAAGTAAAGTAGTTCACACAAATTGTGAATGCGAATATATATAAATGTTCCAGACAAAGCGTGGGAAAAATCATTAGACAGTCTTAACATGAATGGCTAATTATAATGGAGTGTCGATCCAAATATACATAGCGAATATAGCAGACATGTGAACAACCATATATGGATATATGTCACCAAGCAACGGACTGTCAACAAACACTCATATTATATATAATATAATATAAGGAGAATATACATTGATAAAGGAGACAAGTTCATACCAGTGAAATGGTCACAGACTAAGCGAGCAAACAGAAAGTGAGACCAACATACACACACACATAAATATATATGTGGATACATATCAGCCATACTCTGAGGAAAGAAGCCATCAAGTGAGTGATATCACACGTCAGGGGATCTCTTGAGTGGAACCAGAATGGGTTACGACGAGTTGGTTGTCAGTGCGAATGTAACATGGAGTAGGTGATGTGAAGAGGAGACGGAAGCATATGTGCAGACTTGAAGCCAGGTGAAAATGTTGGCGGAGAAGGGAACGCAATAGAGATGTGTGGCTGAAGCCTTCTGCTCCTCTAGGAATTGAAGGAAATAATAATAAATAATAACAGTTATTATTAATCAGTGGACTGCTTTTATTTCAAGCTATTTTTTCATATTAATTACTACCACAGTGCCCAAGTTTTACACCTTTCAAGCTATTTTATTATTGTTCATACAATACTGTGTTCTTCTCTAGATCATCGTTGTCAGAGAGATGAAGAATAAGGTTCACGATATAAAGTGTGCCCACCGTTTACTTAGAAGCTTCTCTTCAGCAGTAGATAAGCTAAAGTATAAAATATAGGATTAATAAAATACGAGCATACACTCCACACACCCCCCTTGTTCATGCATGATCAGCTAGTAGATTATAGAGACAACAATGAGTGCAATTTTGTAATAGCACAGAGGTTACAACCGATACAAGCAGAAACTAGTTTATTCACCAGAGGCTTGTCAGAAGATATTTATTTTCATAACAGTTGATATAATTAATTATCACTGATGATATTACTAATTGTGATGGACTGGATTATGTGGAACACATGTGTGGGTGGGGAGTGGTGGAGTCAGAAACACGCTGCACTGACCGTTAAGATGACTCTAGAAGATCTGGATTTCGTCGGGTGGAATGCCGTTTAATGTCACACATACTCGAAGACTTACAGGCGAAAAGCAACTAACTGGCTGAAGAAGCCATCAGAGAAGACAGGACTCCAGGTGAACATGGAAAAGACAGGGTTGATGAAGACAACATTGTATCCTCCTTAGACAAAGGGGCCAAGTATGTCCGTTGTACTTTCCTTGATTACACATCTGCTTTTGACTCTGTACCTAGAGGCCTTTTGTTAAACAAGCTTAGCCTTACACAAACTGAGTCCTGGGCTATCAACTGGCTGCACTCTTACTTCTCCAATAGGATGCAGTACACGGTATATAATGGTGTAGCTTCCTCTCCTTTGCTTACTGAAGCTGGTGTTCCTCAGGGTGCTGTTCTCTCGCCGTTTCTCTTTTCCTTCTTCTTACATGACTTACCTCTCTCAGACGAAATCAACTTCGTCAAATATGCAGATGACCTGACTGTTTCGCTTCCCGTTAAGTCTCAGTCAGACTGCTTCAAATTAAATAGCTTCCTGTCTGACATCAGTCAGTGGTCTAAACTAAATGGCTTCATGCTGAATCCCTCAAAATGCCAGACTGTCGACTTCTTCTTTAGGCGTAAACGAGATCTACAAACACTAGTAAGCACTCATGATGCCTGTAGCATTGAGGGGACTATAATTGAAACAAAGTCTAATGCAAAATACCTCGGATTAGTTCTATCTTCCGACCTTACTTGGTCATCTCATATCCAAATGATTTCCAAGAAAGTGTTTCGTCTAACCTACTACATTAAGAAACTCAGACTAATTGGAGTCCCTCAAGCTCTGCTTTCACAATTTGTCAACTCTCGTATCCTACCTATTCTACTTTACTGTTCCCCGTTAGTCTTTCCTGGGTTACTGAAAAAGGACTATACCATCCTGAGAAGGATGTTGAAGGTAGTTAGTAGGACTAGCGGTGTAAAACTCAGTCACCTCGTCACTACATTAGTGGATAAGCATCTGAATACATGCAAGAAATGGACTAAAACCATACTCTCTGACCCCCAACACCCCCTCTATTCCCAACTCTCTCCTTGCATCTCATCAGGTAGAACCAGAAATCAGTACAAAATAATATATGCTCGTACAACCAAGTATAGGAACTCAACGATACCATATTTGGCCCGTGTTCTAAGTGACAGAGACAATGTTAAGCGTGAAACCTATGACTTGCTTTGTTGTTAATAACATAATTTTGGCCCTTGTTATTTCCCCCTTATACTCTCTTATTTGTACTCTATAGTGAACAACCTTCTTAAACATACTTAGCTACTTAATATTATTATCATTGGCTTACTTTTTTTGTACTTTACTCTATTCCTTCTTTTGTATATCTACTGGGTCCGACTATATTATCACTATGATTATAACAAAATTGTCCTGTCATTAACCATCATGTAATATTAGTTTTGTGGTTGTTCTTTGTTCGGCACTATTTAAACTGACAATCTTGTTTGTGAACGCCACTATCACCATCTTAAAAAATTTTGTATTATGCATGATTCCTCACACTACCACAACAAACACCGCATTAGTGCTGACAATGAAAAAAAAACAACCTGAAATGTTTATTTTATGATTGTTTAGTGTAGTTCAATCAAACTAACTGATCATCTTGGCTATAAACATTCTTAAGAACATCTCATAATTTCTTGTATGATTATAGCTGTTACTGTTCACCACGCATACACATATCGTAGCTTCCACTAACCAATACTGAAATATTTTTTTCATTATTGGTGTTTATCTTCCTTTCTACTTGGTATTTTTATTTGCATTTTTTTGTTGTTATTTCTGTTTCTTTTTTGGTTTTTTGTTGTGTTTTTTTATATTTATTTTTTTGTAATACTCCTTTTAAATGTTCGATGAAATTAGATGCAATATTGTAGATATGTGTGCTGAAAATTCCACATTGTACCACAAGTACTGTTTCTGGAATAGAAGCGAAATTGTTATGTTGAAACCAGTTTGGAAGCCCTCTTCTGCACTGCACTCAGTCAGGCAGCATTAAACAACAAGATTCGGATTTGCAACACGAGTGACAAACCAGTGAGTTCTTATATTTACGGCTCAGAAACTTGACCAGCCGCCAATCACGGAACGGGGTTTCCAACAACTTGCTACAGACTATTATCTCAACAGTTGCCCACTTCACTGGTGGCTACACACTGAAGATCAAATGGCCAGCCGAGCAGCCAGAAAGAATTAGCAACAAGAGACACTGGCTGGCTGGATGGCTGGATGGCTGGAAACAAACCAACCAAGAACCGAGATGGCTCAACATATATGTAGGAGAAAATGGAGACGGATTGATCAAGCATACTTTGAGGAGGCTATCGAATGACACTGCGCACATTACAGACCATTGTTAAAGTTGAATCCCAATAGGTAGCGACGAGTTGGTCACCGATGCTAGGAGGATGTCATGAAGGAGATCGTGTGAGTTGGAGCATATGAGAGGTTATGGGCAATTGTGTGACTAGCCACAGCTGAATAGGGCAACATAGAATAGAAGCAAGTGGAGGTGTGTTGTTGAAGCAATATGTTCCACTTTGAACCCAGAGGAATAATAATAATCATCTGAAAATATAAGAATGATGATCAGCAATGTAGGCCATTCGACGGTACTGTCATTTACGTCAATATAAATAGTGGACGTTAACACTGAGACAAAACTGACAGTATTAAAAGTCCTCGGGGAAAAGAAATTGAACAAAAAGATCAAAGAAGGTAGGAGTAATAAAGAGGTGCGGTGTTGTGACCTAAGAGCAAGAGCAATCCATTTTTTCTGCCTTTATGTTCCCAGTGGAAAATAGGGCTTGAAGCTAGACGCTTGAAGTTTCGGTAGCAGTGGTGCAATTTTTTACGGCATGGGTTTGCTATCCAGCCTCATGCCCAATCTTCCCTCTTTACTAGTTATATTACTGGCTTAGCCAGGTAGGTACGGGAGTTCTTCGGTGGCCGGGAATCGAATCCCGAACCACATGAGTGGTTAGAATCCATTATATATCTTGAATATATAGAGTAGTTAAGTAGTTGGTAAAAATTCAATTAGCCTTATAGAATTTTTCAAGTAAAAAGTCATAAATCACACTTAAGTTGTGAGCACGGATGATGTTAACCAGTTTCCCTAGCTCAGAGCGCTCAGAGAACACCACTAATTATAAATCTTTTTACTCAGTGTTAACGTCTCTGACTGTAGTAATGGGTGATGCGGACTCAGAACGCAGAAGGGACATGACTTCCTTCAAGGTTGCAGATACACCATGCTGACTGACTGCTGACTGCCAATTACCACTAAACCTTAGGTAAAGCAAGGCTCCCTGTCGTCCCGACCATCGCCTCCAACCATCTAATATCATCAAATCAATGTAAACCGTGATGGTGAGCTACCCAGTGGTATGATGACCACATTGCAAACCTGACTAACGATAGAATTCAGTCTGCATTAACACATCAAGGACTAGACACATCACTCTCTGGTTACTGACTAGTTTCCAATCAAAGTATCTTTTTGCTTTATTTTCTTTTCTTTTCTTTTCTGCTTTAGGCATCGAGCGTTAGTCGGTGAATGTTTAGCTGCTCTGGCATCTGCATTTCCTGTTGCTTTTCTTGAGCCTACTTTAAGCCGTAATAACCCGCTTTCAATTACATTCAATAATCGTGGTGGTGATTATAGTCTTGAGGCTAGAGGTAATTTGATTTCATTATGGCTTGTCTTTTCTTTTCAAATTAGTGTTCATAGCATTTTAGTCTGATATATGTGTATAAAACTAGGATTTGAACAAAGCAAGAACTACAGTTTTAGCAGAATAAAATGGTACCATCTTTTATTTCGTTGCCTTCTCGTACCAAAAAGCTTACGTCTAAAGGGAACAAATGCTTTAAACAGTGCCATCACCAGGCATCTTCTCGACACGGGTCATGAGGTGGACGTTGAAGAGTCGTTCAAAATTATCAATAAGCAAAATAGCTAAATTCTCCTTAAGTTTGCTGAAGCGATTTCCATCAAGCGCATGAAACCTGATTTATGCGTCCAGAAAGAAGCGGTTATCAGCCTTTCTTTGCCCTGATAACTGGATAATTTCACCTCTCTTTCATCCGAATGTGTAATGCTAAAAGTTTCCATTGTGTTTGATTATTATTGTTCGGAATAGTGGTTAATATTGCATATTTATATATGTATATATTACTAGTGTATGAGTATATTGATCGATTGATTTTTGTTTAAACTGAACTCTGTGTGGGCAAGTATGTTAAAATTGTTGTTGTAGATATATTTAATAATGCCTTTGCCATGTAAGCAGCTGACGAGAAGGCAACGAAATAACCATGATGGTACCATTTTATTCTGCTAAAACTGTAGTTCTTGCTTTGTTCAAATTAATTAAGGGGAATAAATGTATGAAAACTAGGATTAATAAACGTTTCGTTAATCATATACTATTTTATTATTATTATGTATTCAGACAAAGCAATAAGAAGACGTGATTTTTGTCTGATTTGTGTAATGCGCCTATTTGCTGACAACACATTTCGAACAATCTGATCACACACGAACTTGTTATAGGAATATACATATGTGGAAATAATAGAGTCAAGAGGTGACAAAATTTACTTAGGTCAAGCCAATAGAACATATTGAAGGTGGAAATAACAGCTGGAGATCACTAAACCAAATAACAGAGGTAATAGTACATCTACCCTGACTGGTATCAAAACAAAGTTTACCAAGGAAGGTGGTTTAGTGTGATGACGAATTGTTGTTGCTTTGTCTGTATAAAAATGGTTTAAACTTTCTAACTGCTATCCAGGGCTTCCACAAACTTTAGGACACGCCCTCTCCCGAACACCTTTTATAGATAGTTTTAATAAAGGAGGTGTAAACATTAATTTTATGTCCTGTCTCTGTAAAAATGTTTCACAATAGAGGAGCTAGATCGCCTGTTCTCACCATCAATGGACTTTGGGGATTCTGTTTGCTTCTGAAGCCATTCAGGGGATATGTTCTAAAGCAAGCCCTTACTTGTAGAGATCGATGAGTCCTCTGTATGTATGTGTGGCAAATATAGTGGGATGTAACATCATTTTACTCATTTATTCTTTGAGTTCCGAGGGAAATATACAATCAAATGGGCATATCTCTATTGTACTCAGGTCATTTAGATCGACAACCAAGAATTTAGTTTGGGGTTCAATACCCGGCCACGCACTCACTCCTTTACCTCGCTTATCCTGTAGTAAGACCGGTAAAGAGAGAAGTTTGGGCATGAGGCTGGATAGCAACCCCATCCCGTCAAAATAAACACCACTGCTTTGGAAACTTCAAATCCCACGAATCTCGAAGTCCTATGTTCCACTGGGAACGTGAAGGAATAAAACAAAAATGAAACTCAAATCACTGATGTCACTTTCATCAGGCTTCGCAAATGTCCATAACCTGTAATCCCCTTCTCTTACCAATCTATTAATTTAGTGGCACTTGGTGATCGCTACTGTTTGTTTAATAGTTCACCACCAGGGGTTCTTTTCATTTTCTAATGGGAAGCAATCGGTGGATCCATATATATATATATATCTTTTCTGGCCGGCCATCTGATCTTGAATAGTACTGGGCGAAGAGAGCCATTGATGAATGTCTGTAGTTTGTTTGAGGCGCTCTTCATGACGCCCCAATTCTCTGATCCCTAAAGTAGCACTGACTTCAGTGTGATCACATATTGGGATCTAAATAATTCTGAATAATCTGATTACTGTGTTCTTTTTGTTGTATTACACCTATGACTATGTACACAATTTCCTCACCCCTGTCTATTTTAGATGTTCTTGAACAACTATCCAAAACAACCGGAAATTTACAAAGTATTATTGAACAAGTTGAACGTTTAGCTGAAGCTGGAGCCCTTGGTGCTGCTGAAGCACCACATCTTATCGAAGTTACACTACCTATGCTTTGCTCTTATCTTCCAAATTGGTGGCGTAAAGGACCTGAATGTATGGCAGTGAAAACATGTATGGATGGTTCAGCCGAAGGTGAATTGGGTCAAGAGACTGGCGCGACAAATATTATACCAAAAACAAAACAAAATAATATTTTAGCTGGAGCAATTGGACCATTGACAACAGTCACAGCTGATTTAATGAATCGTGTACTTGGTAGTGTGTTGCAGCTAATTCAAACAAATATTGATTCACAACATGCACCATGGATGACTAGAATTGCTAGTAAGTGTTAGAGCCTTGTATTATTATTGTTATTCCCTTGGGTTCCTAGTGGAACACAGGGCTTCATCTGCACGTCTACACTTGCCACTTCTGTCTTCCTTCTGCTGTACTTTCCAACTGCATCCATGTAAGTCCATATTATTTCAACTCCTCTTCAAACGATCTCCTCCATGTCACCCCTTGCACTGAAGTCCCACTCACCGCTTCCCTTTCGGCCTGGTTCTACTCGAGCAATGGCCTGACGCGCGCGCGATGTCACCCAGCGGCGGCCTCCTCAGCGAGCGAGTGTCCAATCCATCCATCTCTACTTTCTGCTGCATATTTTTTGGTTGGTGATTGGTTCTTGTTTTGTTTGTTTGTGCCCATAGTTTCTTGTTGGATATCCTGGACCAACGTGAAGAACCTAGAAGACCTGGATTTCGCGTGTGGATGATTTATGTTTGATGTCACACTAAATCGAAGACTTACGGGTAAGTGAAAACCGACAAACTGGTCGAAGAAGCAGACAGTGAAGACAGGACTCCAAGTGAACATAGACAAGATGGAGGTTATGAAAATAACCAACCAACCAACAACAACAGCAGCAACATCCAACGCCAATCACCATCACCATTAACGGGAGGGATTTGAAAGAGGTTACTTCATTCACTTACTTATCTAGCTAGGGAGCATTGTCTCAAATACAGGAAGTCGGAACGGACGAGGAGGATGTCAAATCGAGCGAGAATCGGGAAGGCGGGCGAGAAACACATTCATTCATCAACCTGAAACAACCAATCTGGAAATCTTCGTCACTCAGCCAGCATCAACAACGAAATTCGCTCGGATTTTCAATACAAACAACGTCAAGTCAGTCAGGTCTTCTATACGGAACGGATCAGAAATTTGGCGGGCGGGTGGGTCACAAAGAATATTTCCTACAGGCTATTGCAGACCTTCATCAACAACAACCGTCTTCGCCCTATACTGAAGATCAGATGGCTCGTTTCCCACTGTGTGACGCATAATCCAGTCAGTCCACCACAATTATGAATATCATTGGTGATTATAAGCACCCTTGTCTGACTGCTGTGTTTACCCCAAACGCCTCGCTGAGTTTTCCGTTGTGGATCACTTTATCACATGTGTCGTTGTCGTACAGCTATTGAATAAGGTTGATGAATATTTGGAGCACTGTACGCCGTAGTACTCGAGTAGTTTCCAAATTACTTCTCAGTCAACGCTGTCTGTAGAAGGCCTTCTCGAAGTTTATAAAGTTGAGGTAGAGATTTTATTTCCATTCCATGCTTTGTTCTGTGATGATGATGATGCGTAGAGTTGCAATTCGGTCAGAACATGATTTGCCTTTCCTGAGTCCAGCTTGTTTCAGTAAGGCGGAGTTCTGTACCCAGTGAGTCCTTTATTCTCTCCAGGATGATGCGACTCAGGATTTTACTTGGCGTCGACAGGAACATGATTCCTTGTAAGATTATTTCTTTTTCAAAGAGGATTATTTTCGTTTGAATATAATTTTCTGGTTTTTAGATGCTGCTACCTTCCCAGTCTGATGAAATTTTATCTAATTCCTAGCAATTAATGAATGCATTAGGGTGGATGCAGCTTCTCCTTATGTTTTAGATAGGAGTCAATGTAGTCCAGCCCTGCAGCATGCTTTCTTGCATTCTGTACACAAGCGAGTCGTATGCCAGACATACAGATTAAATTCGAGAGAATACTTCCCTAACAATGTATAATACACCAATCAAAATAAGCTGTTGAACAGCAATCTCCACTTCACCCTTGGACCTACTACTACTACTACTACCAACTTTTCGTTTCCTTTCGGATTCCACTCGACGGCGTGATACATGATGTAACAAAACGGTCTTCTTGTTGTGCGTGTTCAATCCATCTCCATTTTTTTTTAAATTTTGAATAAAGAAAAAAGAAACATTGGTGCGTAGAATAATCTGGATCCATTTTATTTCGTCGGTTCTCATCAGCAGCTGTGTACAACCTGAATTCTTAAATAAAATAAAAATGAAAAGGTGTATAATTTTAACAAACCTTTGTCCGTTAGCAAGCGCATATTTTGTCAGAGTGTCATAGTGTGAAATAAGGCGTTGGGATTTACAGGGTGTCCAAAGTGTTACGAAATACATATGCATATATCTTGCTAGAGAGAAGTTTCGTGAAAAAAAAATTAATTAACAGTTGTGTTGTTGGGGTGGTAACAGAAGAAAATTAGCAATAGTTACGTAATTAGATAAAAGAAGATCAAAATTTTAAAATTTCGGTGCACATGAGGTCAGATGAGAAGTTGATGATGTAACACAGTGAGCAGAACTCAGAAGATCAAGAAAAATTATCTCTCAAGAGAGTCAAGCGAAAAATAAAGGGCGAGAGGGTGGAGTGAAAAGATAAGCTAACAAAATTAGAAAACAAAGAGTTACTAAGATCTGAGTCACCAGGATAATTGAATTTCAACAACGGATTCTTTTTGGACACATAAGTCATCAGGCTTCAATCGTTTTATTACTATAGCTCCAGCAAATCTGAGAAGACTTGATGTACTACTTTGTCTGTTAATTATTTTGAATGATTCCAGCACATCTACTCGGTGTCCTGTGTCAATCAGGTGTTTGGCGGTGATTGAAGAGCTTAAACAATTTAGTCCCTTTAACCGCAGGCTTCTTGGTACATGTTCGCAGAATCTGATTTAGGCCCTCCTCTCTGTTCTTCCAGTGTAACTGCTCCCGCAGATACATGTGAATTGGTACATACATTTGGAGGTTATATGTGAGGGGTACTTGTCAATCTCTGACTGCAGCAGTAAGGAGGTTGTTCGTGGTCGAGAAACTCCATTCCCTTCGAAGTATTTCTTCGAAAATGCGTCGATAGTTGATTCGTTCTCGGAGTTCCTCGTAGCTACTTCTTTCTGGCTATTTGATTTTCAAGTTGAAGTGGAAGCATCTGATGATAAAAGTCCACAGACTGTTTGAAATGCTACTGTTGATGATGACTGATATGACTTCTACATTCAGTCAGTTCACTGGATTTATTAATTTCTCATAAACCCAATTTATGCGATATTTATAATTATATATATATATTATGTCGGCCAAGTTAAACTGTAAGCACCACTAGCCACCAATGGAGTGCTACCGCACCCAATGACCTTAAAACGCTCACTGAGCAAGTTAGTTGAAACCTGGCAAATAATGCTGTCATCATCAATACAATATGTTCATGAAAGTGTTAGAATTAGGTTAACCTAATGAAGGCGACATTAGATGGCATTAGATCTGCGTCGGTGGCACAGCGGTTAAGACGCTCGCCGACCATGCACATGGTCCGGGGTTCGAGCCCCGACCGGCGCACACCTTTACCTCGCTAAGCCAGTAGTGAGACTGGTAAGGAGGAAAGGTTGGGCATGAGGCTAGCGACCCCATCCTGTAAAAAAAATCAACACTGCTACGGAGTCTTCAAGCCTATAGCTTGGAGCCCTATGTTCCACTGGGAACGTGAAGGAAAAAAAATGAAGGCGACATTAGGGTTGGTTTGAGTTAGATTACAGTTAGTTTAGGGATATTTTCAAGTCAAGGTTAGGTTCAGGAAATATTAGGGTTATTGTCAGGGTTAGAAGACCTAAATAATTACATGCATAGAATGTCGTTAAATTACTCTGTTAGTACTTGTCCACTGTGGTGGCACAGTATAATTCCACTGTGGGTAACATTTATTTGGATAAACTCTCAGGGTGTTATACAGTAATATTTACTGATGACAACGTTTCGAGCACAATATACTGCTCAGGGAATATTACTGTATAACACTATGGGACTTTATCAAAGTAAATTTCACCCACAATGGAATTATACTCTGTTGATACTCCAACCTAAAACTGAGAGCGATTTCTATCACATGTGAGAGGAAGGTATCCTCCGTAACACTTTTCTACAGTTTTTATGCATCTTTTTCATAGGTATACGTATTCTATTCACAAAAATGCCTCCTTCACGTGATTGGTGCGTTCGAGGTCATTCGCTGATTGGTAATTAGTGTTGCTTAAAGTGTATAACTGTGTCTATTATGTTTAAGCATATCACTAAATAACGTGTGATGATATCTTCAAGAGTTTAAAATTTCTATAATTTAAGGATTGCTACGGAGTTTTCTTTTAAAAAATTCTTACACTTTTAGCACGTACCCAGCCAATTGTAGCTAATTCAACAGCTGATATGCTTGGTCAATACTTTCTACCCGTATCTGAACGACTTCTTGAACATGCATTAATTGTTGAAAGAGTTGAAGAAGCCTATCGAATGGAGAAACGTGCAGGTAAGCAAATATATTGTGTAAATAATTCAACACTGAACATTTAAGCGTTTTTCTTATGATATAAAGATAGATCAAGAACTAACTTCATTTAGGCAGTCATTGGGATCCAAGGTGTACTGCATGGCTGTTTCGTCCTAATTTAGTTCTATCCATCAGTACGCACCACCGGGGATCGATCCAAGGCTTACTTTTCTAACCATTTGGGTATATGTTCACCCAACTTCACGTACAAGATGCGCTTACTCTTCTTTATGTGTATGTAACCTCCACAGACATACAAATCAAGCATTGTTGAGGTTTATGGTAGAGCATGTTATTGACTTTTTCGATAATTATGAGCCGAATGACTTCACAGTAAGTTTTACAGATGACAAAACTCAGTCTTTCTTAAAATCTTACTATTTATTTCCTTATTGAAAAATAATTTGATGTATACGTGTAGGCTTTGAGACTCAGCGATCTCTACACCGGTTGAAAAATTCAAGAGGTGTATCCGAGATTATTTTATTTTCATCATCTATAGTATATTTTTACGGCTGGATCAAGGCGGGAAAGTGCAAATATTATTTAGCATTTTTAATTTAAATTTAGTATTTTTCGGAATGCGTAGAATCTTATAATTCCTTGAATTTTCTATTAATTTCAAAAATTTTAATCCATCGCCTTCCAACCGGAACAAGCTTCTACCTTGAAATTTGAGGTTTCAATATTAATAGTGTTCATTTTCAATGTTTAAGGGGTGGGGTGGGGGTTGTCAACCTCATGCTCAACCTTCGGCTCCTGATCAGGCTAACTATCATCTAGACGAGGTTGTGGAGTGTGTTGGCCAGGGGTCGAACTCCAGATCATGTAATTGGTTGGCGAGTATTCTGTCACTAAATCAAGGATGCACAAATTTACAGATGCTTTCATTAATTTCCTATATACATATATCTTTTTCGATAATTTCCTCCTCTTCTGGCTCTACAATTACATATTCATGTATATATGTAACAACAGAAGACAAGGGCGAAGCAACAGATCGTTTTATTATGAAAATCAACACGTATTTATACATATTTCACATACATTATTATAGACAAGCGCAGTCATCTGATTGGTTGTTTATCAGAAGTTAGGCAGACAAACGCAGGCTTCTGATTGGTTGTTTCGGGATTCCTTGACAAATAGAGTTCTCTATCTGCGAATCATATTTTGCCACGTTAACTTTGCTGTGATTGGTTGTTGACTCAGCCTTGTTCATATTTTCTCACGGCCCATATTAGTGACCTAGACATTAACGTAGATTAGTGCCAACCAATCGGCTAGCAGCCTGCTCTCACCACACTCGTCCCCCCGTCAAATAGCTTCGTGCGCAGACGTTCCGACCTTCTGGGTGCTACATCCTCTAGTTGAGGATTGTTACTGACCGGCTTGTCCCACTGTACCCATCTTTGGAGCTGACTGGCGTTAACTCGTTTCTGTTTATCACCTCTTCGGATGGTATATACTTGACCCCGTCTTTTTGTGATTGTGTATGGTCCTTCCCACTTTGGAAGGAGTTTCCGTGAACCTAGCCCGCCTCCAACTGTATATCTCCTGTCTCTACACTTCACTTGGTCCCCGACTGCAAAGGTAATGCACTGCGTCCTTTCTTTCATCTGAGACTTCGCGACATCACTGCGCTGCTTCCTTATTACATTCTTGACTGCCTCTTTCCTCTCTGCTTTTAATTTCGTCGTACTCCACTTTTGGTGCATGGGCCAGGTCTCATTGTGTACCGGTAATCGTGGTTTTCTACCATACATCAGTTGGAAGGGTGACTTCTTCGTTGTTTCCTGAGTGGTAGCACGATGTGTTAGTAAAATCAGTGGAAGCTCCGTTTCCCAGTTCCCGCCCTTCGAGGCCAGCCACTCCTTCAGTGTACGGTTGTTTCTCTCCGTTAGGCCATTCGTTTGTGGATGGTATGGGGTCGTTCTGATCCTCTTGATGCCCAGCTGTTGCAAACGGGAAGTAAACTCTTCACTCTCGAAACAGGGACCTTGGTCTGTCAGTATTGTCTTCGGTACGCCGTGGTCTGCAACAATGTGTCTAACTACTGCATCTGTCACGGTTCTTGCACGTTGGTCTGGGATTGCTACGGCGTCTACCCATCGTGTCGCGTGTTCCGTCATCACCAAGAGGTACTGATTACCATTGGATGTCTGAGGAAATGGACCCATGACATCTACGGACCACAAGTCACCTATCGCGGTAACTGGAATCGACTGAAGTGGTGGTCGTATACACCGGTCACCTTTCATCAGCTGGCACCGTGGACATCCAAGTACGTATCTTGCTACGTCTTCTCTCATACCTGGCCAGTACATACTTTGTCTTAGGAGGTCGGTCGTTCTGGCCACGCCTGTATGCGCTAGCTGGTGACATTCTTCTATCATGTCGTGGCGCGACGATTGAGGTATGACAGCCAGCCAGCTTCCGTCGTTCTCTCGCCAGGTCAGAGTCCCGTAGGCATTCACTCTGAGTCGATCCCTCTGTCTGAGTAGTGTGGTTAGCTCCTTACTCGCCGTAGTTTGATCCACTTCTATTCCGTTGGTGATCACCTGTATTACTGTATTCAGCGTATCGTCCAACCTCTGCCTACGTGCAAGTCTTAGTGGGTCTTGTTCTACTGCATGCACTCCGTAAGCGACCTCGGGCAACTCAGACTCATCTTCTGGTCTCGATAACAAATCTGCCAAGACATTTTCACTTCCAGGAACGTGTGAGATCGTAAAATCGTACTCCTGAAGACGCAACATCCACCGTGACAACTTCCCCCGTGGGTCTCTCGCTGTCTTCAAAAATTGTAGCGGCTTATGATCAGTTTCGATGTGGAACCGCCGGCCGAGTAAATAAGGTCTCCATTTGTCGACTGCCCATACCATTGCTAAACATTCTTTCTCTATCGTTGAATACTTTCTCTCTGTAAGTGTCAAAACCCTACTGGCATACTCAACGATTCCCTCGTCCTGTCTTAGGACCGCACCTATAGCGTAGTCACTGGCATCTGTGCACACTGTGAACTGTCTTCCTGGCACAGGTAGTTTTAGCGTCATTTGTTGGTGGTCGAGCAGCTGTTTAATTCTGTCGAATGTCCTCTGCGATTCTTCCGACCAAACAAACTTTGGCTCACCTAGTAGCCTGTATAGAGGGGCTGCTATCTCATTGAAGTTCTTCACGAAGCGACTATAAAACGCTGCTCTACCCAAGAATTGTCTCAGTTTTCTCTTTGAATTCGGGGCTGGAATCGTTTTAATCGTCAAAATTTTCTCCGGCAGTGGTTTAATCTCACCATTTCCCACTTTATGTCCCAACAGAGTAACATTCTTTTTGGCTATCTGGGACTTGGTTTTGTTGACGCGTAGTCCAAACTCTTCGATGCGTCGCAGCACGGCTTCTACATGGTTGACGTGATCGTTTTCGTTTTGACTGTATATGACGAGATCATCACCATAAACCTCCACGTTTTTCAAGTTCCTAAGTAATAGCTTCATCAGTCGTCTGAACGTAAACGGTGCACCTGCTAGTCCAAACGGCATGCGTTTAAATCGATATTGTGTCTGACCCACGATGAAAGCCGTCTTATCTCTATCACCTTGTTTTATCGGTATCTGCCAGTATCCTGAGCGAAGATCGAGAACCGAAAACACATTCGCACCTTGTAGGCGATCTAAAGTTTCTACCACTGTTGGCATGGCACACGGTCTTAACTCTGTCATACTGTTTAACTGTCGAAAATCAACACAGAATCTATACTTCCCATTCGCTTTTTTTACTAACAGCACTGGAGAGTTGTACGGGCTATCAGCTTCCTCAATAATGTCATCTTTTAACATCTCTTGCACTTGTCGCTCCACTTCGCCTTCCAGATGACATGGAACTCTTCGCGTTGTAAATGACCTTACTTTCGGATCACTTAACGGAATTTCATGATTCACCTTATCGCAATAACCGTATGGGTCGCCATCTCCAGTGAACAGATGATCGTATTTATTAATTAACTCTGTCACATTGTGTACCGTCGACAGCTTAATCGCTGCTATCTCGCTGGTCTCATACATGTTGATATGCCCGTATTTCGTGACCACCACGTTCGCTTGCGTGTCGATTATGGCACCAATCTCACGCAGAAAATCCGCTCCTAATATCGTTCGCTGTAGTTCGGGTACAACAATGAAAGGAAACGTCACCTCGCAGCCACCAACAACGACCGTACAGTTCGATCTACCCGTTATACGCAACACATACCCGCCTACTGTTTGTACTGTCAATGAACACGGACTAACACTCTTACATAAATTCTTATCTATTAACGACACGGCCGCCCCTGTATCTATCAAACATACTACTTCTCGATCATTCACTCGCAACTTCGAATACAGAGCGCCTTTCTCAATAGCCCCCACTAAATCTAGGTTCATACGAAAGAAAGAACAAGCATTATACCGTCTGAAATTTTTTCTTTTCCGCCTTTCTGGGCAGTATCTTCTCCAGTGTCCCGGCTTACCGCATTCAAAACACCGGTCTTTTCTATCAGCCAACTTTAACGCCGCCACTTCCCGCTGCAATGCTTCAATTTTCTGCTCATATTCGTTTGGTTTTGGTTGGTCTATAGCGGCTACCGTTGTGCTCAGCAGCTGTCTGGTCACCTTCGCCAGCTCACTAATATCCATCGGCTGCGTTGCGTTAACCAGTTGTAATCGCTGAGAAATGTGGTCTGGGACACTCTCGATGAATTGGGAAGACAGTAACTGCGCTTCTGATTCTTCATCTAAAGTGGGAAGCGCGCGTCGAAGTAGATTAGTCAGTTTCACCGCCAACACTAGCGGGTCTCCATCAGGTCCAAGCTTCATTGACCGGAACTGCTGCATTGCTAGCTGTCTGTCTGTTTCGCTGTCAAACTCGGACACTAGTCGTTCAACCAATTTCTTCCAAGACGCTGTGCCATTTGACCTGTCTACGCTGTCATATGCAGCCTTCGCTCGGCCTCTCAACAGCGTCCCCAGGACAACTGCCTTCGCCGCCTGCTCCTTGACACCCACCAGCTCAGCAACAGCCTCGAAGTCACGTAAGAAGCTCCTTATGTCTCCTTCTTCAAACGCAGCTGGCCACGGGATCTTCATTTTCTGGAGGCAGCGACACCAAATGTAACAACAGAAGACAAGGGCGAAGCAACAGATCGTTTTATTATGAAAATCAACACGTATTTATACATATTTCAACTACATTATTATAGACAAGCGCAGTCATCTGATTGGTTGTTTATCAGAAGTTAGGCAGACAAACGCAGGCTTCTGATTGGTTGTTTCGGGATTCCTTGACAAATAGAGTTCTCTATCTGCGAATCATATTTTGCCACGTTAACTTTGCTGTGATTGGTTGTTGACTCAGCCTTGTTCATATTTTCTCACGGCCCATATTAGTGACCTAGACATTAACGTAGATTAGTGCCAACCAATCGGCTAGCATAGAATACATAGCATACATAGAATATTCTGGATTAGTAGTCAATACCAATATCAGAGTTTTTTTAAATAATATCAATTTGCAAAGTAAAACCAATGGAATAACTACAGTTCACTAAAGATGGCTAAATTATAATAATAATAATAATAAAGATATAGTAGCAAATACAATATCAACTAAAATTAGAAAAATTCCACAAAAACTGAGGATCATTCAAACCTAGATGGCCAAGGTCAGTACAGTGTCTGAACTGGCTTCTTTCGAACACATAAGTTAGGCGTCTTAATGGAGATTCCAACAGCCTCAGCAATATTTATTAGTCGAACTCTTAAGGCAAAACTGAGATTCGTCGGTATGCGGTAAATGATCCTGAAAGCCTGGTTAACATGAATCTTATGTTCTGTATCCACAAGATGAGATAGAATGGTGCTAGCTACGAATAGATTTTGTTTGTCCTTTGCTTAACCACTATGCAGGATGATGTTCGGAAATTCAACGAGAAACACGCCTAATTCTATGGCCTATGTAACTGACTGCCTCCACAGAAGCAGTTAAATTGGTAGATACACATGGAAGAGGCGAAATTAGGCAGTTTTTTGTCTTTTACTCCCAAAACGCAAAATAGGAGTGGGTGGTTTTGAAGACACAGCGTAATTCGTCAGCAGGAGCAGGGAATGCTCTTTTTTGATAGCATTTCTAAAGCGTTGTGTTAGTATCTCGCTGATGTTGTCCCTAAGGAACTGCATTTGTAAGAATAAGGCCTTCCTTTTTAGGAACTGTTGGTACCTTGGGCTGCTTTGATTTTAGATACATATTCTTATCAATAAACTTTTCTGAATAGCCATTTACACTGAACAACCGTTTAATGTTATTAAGTTCCTCATCAAGACATCCATCCGAGCAAATTGCTCTTGCTCTGTGAACAAAGCACTTTATCAGATTGCATTTGTATTTCAAGGACACAAATCTGAGAAAATGAGTATACTGATGTAGGTTTTCTATGCATACACTTCCTCTTCTTATTGTGCCATCCTCTTTTCTGGTCATGAGGATGTCTTGTAATGAAATTCTAAGAGTCTTTTTCTTTCTCAATAGTAAAATTTATTTCACGATGAACCTCATTAAATTTATCCAGGATATTCTTCGCTTCCTTCCCATTTTTCATAATCAAAAAGGTGTATCATCCATGTACACCGACAATAGAATTCGAGTTCATTAATAACATCCTTCAAAGGCTCATTTTCTAGTGTCGCAAGTATATTCTTTGTTCAATTATTTTGTATCTTATATATATGTATAATTGTTTGGTTGGAGGATTTCATTATGAGCTGACATCAGGGAGAGAACCATTGGAAAACCTGCAGGGAGTGCTGCCAGACAGCTGTTTCCGTCGTCCTAGTGCTTAGGATTTTTCATCAGTACGCACCAACAACAGGAGGTTCGAACCCAGGACCTTCTGGTTTATTTCTATTTTTTTATTTTTGATTTACAGCTTGATTCCACACTGTATTTTCGGTACAAGTATGGAATTTTCAGCATGGATATCGGTAGCCCAAATTTCGCAGGCCGACCATAGATATCAGATGTGCGTCGGTGCGGGCTCGAACCCCGGACCATGTGGATGGTCGGCGAGAGTCCTAACCACTGTGCCACCGACGCAAGGCCAGCGAGCCCATAGACCATTAATTGTGCAATTATCCAAATAAAATGTTACAATTCACTGATTAAGCAATTGCCTATTTATCTGTAAACTTTTTTAAAATATTTCTTTTTCTTATTATTTAATATAAAGGTTCTGAAACTGTTGGTGAACGTGAAGAAGAACTCTCCTGTTTGGTTGAAATTCTTGTACGCAATTTATTTGCATTTTATCCTCTATTAATTAAATTTGTTGATCGTCATCGTAGTGCATGGTTGAAAAAGCCAACAAATGAAACACAACGTTTATTCACAGCTGTTGCACGAATGTTTCTTGTCTGGGCAAGAGCAACGGTAAGTTTTATTTTTTTCTTTTTACATTGACTGTAGTTCAGTTTAATTGGATTGTGTTTCTTTTTGTGTGGAAACACTTTTACAGTTTGTGTACCTTTCAACTGCTTTAAGGTCAGCTACATAGACTAAACTAGTAGATCAGCGGTAGATAAGTTATCGAAATGTAGGAATTTATTGGAGTTTGGAATTATTGACCCCAAGAAGGTCAATAGCTTACAGAGATACTAGGCTCTAACAATCCATACACTAATATATAATCACACAATGAGGTCAAAACAGAGCTTCCGCAGTTCCAAAAACATAATAAACGTAGGCAGAGAGAGACAGGGAGCTTGATTGGTGAATTTTTCTTCGTTGCATCTACGTGCAATGAGAATGACCCAGCATCAATACTACGAATATGAAAAATGTTACTACCATTAAAATCAAACGATAAGAAAATATAAAACTATATGAAGGAAATGTCGCAGAATTGTGTGACTGCATTGGTATGACTTTAAAAAATAAATTTTCCTGGATATCGCATCAATAAATAATACTGTATCGAATAAAATGATCCTATTGTAACTACATAAGACAAGGGTCAGGCAACAGATCGTTCATTGAGAAAATCAAGAGATATTTATAGATTTTTATGTACATTATTATTAGCGTTATTGTCAGCAGAGACTTAACGTCTTCTGATTGGTTGTTTCCCTGCTGAAGGTTATTCTGTCATCTCTTTGTGGCCGTTTCTTTGAAGGTTAAACCATATATCTACGAATCATATCCACCCACGCTAAGTCTGGTGTGATTGGTTGTTGAGTTAGTCTTTGTTTTTGTACTCTTCTCATGACCAATAATTCGTCCATAAACATTGACGTAAATTGCTCTCTACCAATTTCGGCTAGCAGACAGCTCTCATCACACTATGATGGAGTTGTTATGTCGCCTAATGATCCAACTATAAATTATAATCACTTCTTTATTCTGGACAGTATTGATGCAATGTACAGTATTTTTTCCTTCCTTCGTGTTCCCCAGTGGAACATAGGGCTTCAAGCTTGTGGCTTGAAGTTTCTATAACAGTGTTTATTTTACAGGATGGAGTTGCTAGCCTCATACCCAACCTTTCCTCTTCGCCAGCATCATTTCTGGCTTGGCAAGGTAAAGAAGTGCGTCCGTGGCCGGGGATCGAACCCCGGACCATGTGCATGGTCGACGGACGTCCTAACCGCTATGCCACCGATGCACTATGTACAGTATTTTAAGAGGAGTTTATTGCTTGATATTTTCCTTTTGGACAATATCTTCTAGCAAAAGATTAATTGATTGACAGTATATTCTCTGAGCTGAATTGCAAACCATTCCATTATGATATATCTCTGCTTTGTCTGTGCTTCAAGAGATCCACTATATCGATCTCGTTGACAGCCAATTGTGAGATGTTCAGAAGTACATTTTGAGATTCCAAGGTCATAACTGAAGAACACACTTATCTCATGTTGTATTGGAATACGTTGCCACTCCCACAATCAGGCCATTCCTCAATTTTAGTAAGAAATTGAGAATCAGGTTGGAGCTCGTAAACACTTTAAATACACAGGAGAGTAGATAATACCATTATTAGAGGTTATATCTGAATAAATTAAAACAAACTAAGCGGGAGAAAATACGCGCAACAGAGAAAGAGAGAGATAGGAGGCTTTGCTAGCCCAAGTTTTAAGCAGGCCACTACCGAGTCTTATTTTTATTGGCTAGGCGTACAGTAAATTCTGCTAACACATAGACCACTCGTTAGGATTATTTATTTCTTGCGTAATCACCGTGACAGAGACAGAGAGATGCAGCCTCACTAGGTTGTGGCTGTCCTTTAGATTTCACTGTCAACATTAACTGACCGACTATCCCTCGTTATCTATGCTGTTCGCTTATATACAAATTAAAAATTTCAATGAAGAGACTGTTTTTGAGAATTACATCCGCTTAGCCGTATGGAATCACAACTAAACATGGGTCCAGATTCTATTACTGGCTGAGGTTCTCGGTTAGTTTGCTAGCCGGTGGTAAGTTCACACAAAAGAGAGTAAGGTTGGGTGTGACACTAGTAACCTCACTCCGTAAAACAAAACAACATCCCCGCTACTGGGACTTCAAAATCTGAAAAAATCGCAAGAAATGTAGAAAAACTTGCACAGGGGTTCGAGCCCCGGCCACCAACCAACTATTTTACCTCGCTAAGGCACTAACAAGACTAGTAAAGAAGGAAGGTTGGAGGCATGAGGCTGGCTAGCAACCCCATCCCGTAAAGAACAAACACCACGTCTACCGAAACTTAAAAGTCCAAGAAGCTTGATGCCCTATATTTAATAATAATAATAATAATTTGCTTTATTCCAAAACATTACTTGTGATATAGAATGGAATTCTCACCATTTCACTACACACAGTATTGCATCCAGTTAGTACATTAACAATAAATAAAATTCTACATAGACTATGCGTAGTCTCAGTTAACTTCGACAATAACATATTAGCATGTCTGTGGGAAAGCTAAAATTGAACAGAATGTTTGAAGGTGTTAGAAAAGTAGATACTACTAGCATATTTACTGGCGTAAGTGGTAACAAAAAGGCCGAGATATACAGAGTGTGAGAGAACGAAGAATGAACGGGGAAGAATGTTTTTAAATAGAGTTGTAAGGAAGAGAGAAACAAAGCAGCACATAACAGAGAGAAAAAAGAGAGAAAAGGAAAAGAAAGAAAGAAAATGTACCTATAAAAGATATGAGTTGGAAAGACGAGATCCAGTTGTTCTACTGACTACTTAATAAGTTATAGGTTTCACGCCTAATGCTTTCTTTATCGCACAGAACACGAACGAGCCAAGTAGGTAGGGTACGGTTGAGTTTTGTACTTACTAGTCCGAGCATATAGTTTTCTACATAGGTAGGCTTCTGGTTTAGCCTGATGAGATACAAGGGTGGGAGAGTTGTGAATGAAGAGCGTGAGTGGTGTGAGTTAGATAGATGGAATGGATTTAGCCCATTTTTCACATGAGTTCAAGTGCCTGTCAACCAGAATATTAACCATCTGGTTAAGTGGCATGTTGCTTACCCTGCTGACAACCTTTAACATCCTGCGTAATAAGATATAGTCTTTCTTCAGTAGCTCTGGAAAACTAAGGGGGAACAATAGAGAATAATAGGCAGGATGTAAGAGTTAACGAATTGTAGGAGTAAGGGTTGGGTTATACCAGAATGTCTTGATGTAGAAGGCGGTAAGACGGAATATTTTCTTAGAAATCATCAAGATATTAGACGAGAGGGAAAGATTAGCAGATAGAATGACGCCAAGATGTTTGATATCCGACTTGGCTTCTATTTTAGTGTCATGTATGTTGCACACCTCATGAGTGCTAACCAGTTCCACTGGGAACGTAAAAGGAATGAAAAAAGTGAATGAAATCATTGGAGAGAATTTCTTTATTTAACTTTTTATTTGTAATCTTCAATAGGTTATATGATAGAATAATTTTAATTAAGTTATTTGTTCAATGATAATAACAATAATGATAATAATACTGATGTTTTTATTGTTTATTTAGAAATTTAAACGAGAAGAAGAGAATTTTGTTAGTGCCCATGAAATTGACCACTTGTCATTGATTGTACCAAGTGGTGGAAGTTTAGCCCCAAGTATTAATCGTAGTCGAACTCAAACAAATGGTCGTAGTGAATCAAGCAGTTTGAAACCAGGTAAGATTTATCGACTAAGATGATGAACTTGAACAAGGCAAGAACAACAATTGTACAAGAAGATAATATGAGCTCATCTTTTATTGATGATTTAAACGAGGATTCTTCTCCTCAACTGGTTACAACCTGAACGATAAAATATGTATGAATTACATTAAAGATTTGAACATACTTTTCCACGATCATAAGGAGTAATTGGTAGGAAGTGAAAGTAACATTAGTCCGGAATGATTTAACTGATTAGGAGAGTTACAAACACTGACTATTTATAGAATAACTAGACAATCAGGCTTGGAAACAAAAACAGGGTTACGTATATATATGTGTGTGTGTGTGTAGAAACAAGTTTCAGCTAGGAAGAGCATAACAAAAAAGTAGATTACGTAACTAAAGAAAGCATCTTATCTAATTGCTGAAGCAATTGCCATCAAACGACTTAAACCAAATCTATGTACGCAGAGAGAGACGGTGGTGAATCTTCCACTGCCCTGGTGATAACAAAAAAAATTTACAACTTTCATGAGTCACCTTTTTCATGTTTAGAAAACTCTACTCTCTCATCGAAACATGACTCACCCTACCTTGTTTGTTTTCTTTCCTTTTTTCTATTGGCTATTAGGTAAGATGTTTTCTTTAGTTACGCTCTTTCTAGCTAAACCTTGTTTCTACACACACACACATATATACACAACCCTGTTTTTCGTTTCCAAGCCTGATTGTCTAATTATTCTATAAATAGAAAAGAAAAGGTGTTCAGCAAAGAGTTACTCTTTTCGGCGATATCATTCTCAAGCTGTACAAATCGCAAATTTATAGTAATTTGTCTTGGCAACAAAAGGAGTATTTCAAAAGATGTGTTAATGTAATTGTTAATTTTTTTTGGACAAACAAATTACGTAATTTAGAAGGCGTTAATCGGTTAGAAACTAAAATAAAGTTACAAAAGTAGGTTGGGTGACGTAATCTAATTGGTAGGGTTCAATGAAAAAATGAATGAGAGTTAAGTTAGTAATCTGAGTAGAATTCACTTAAAAATAAACGAAAATCGAGTTAGCAACAGTCGTCATGAGCGTAGAGACTTAATAGAGGGTGGGGGTAGAAAATAATGCAATTAAGAAATAGACAAACAAAGAAGAAAGAGGTAAGACAAAATTACGTATTTGGTGTTAAGATAGATCAGGACCATTGTAGATTTAGTGACTAAACAAACTTCTTTTGTATGCAGAGTTCAGGATTCAATATGTGAATTGCCATTGCTTCTGCAGTTTGAAGAAGTTTAATTCGTACTCTTTTGGCAAGATTCCCACGTATTGTGTAGATAACTGAGAAGTTGTTTTGTGGGTTTCTTTAGTTACGTAATCTACTTTTTTGTTATGCTCTTCCTAGCTAAACCTTGTTTCTACATATATATATATATATATATATATATATATATATATATACGTAACCCTGTTTTTGTTTCCAAGCCTGATTGTCTAGTTATTCTATAAATAGTCAGTGTTTGTAACTCCTAATCAGTTAAATCATTCCGGACTAATGTTACTTTCACTTCCTACCAGTTACTCCTTATGATCGTGGAAAAGTATGTTCAAATCTTTAATGTAATTCATACATTTTTTATCGTTCAGGTTGTAAGCAGTTGAGAAGAATCCTCGATTAAATCATCAATAAAAGATGAGCTCATATTATCTTGTTGTACAATTGTTGTTCTTGCTTTATTCAAGTTTATTAATGGGAAGAATTGCATGAAGTTTTTAAAGATGATGAAGTTATCACCTCATCTCATCACATTACCTTGACTTGACTTTTTGATTTTCAGTGGTTAATTTTGCAAAGAATTGATGAGTTTTAAGTTAGATCTCATGTGAACTGTCATCAAGAATTGAAAACAATTTATTTCCCGATATGAATTTAAACAAGCAACAAAAGTTGTTGTTTATAAAGCAGGATTTAATGAATTCATGGATAATCCCCATCCAGGCGTTAATGAAAACAAAACACTTAGATCAGCGAAGAGTCTCTTTTCAGTGAATTCATTTTCTTTGCCTGTTCTTTAATTGCTTATAATTATTGCATTCATTTAGAACTCTTACGTAATTTCGTATTATCTACTTTGTTGTTCCTATATGCATCCTGAGTAAAACTCACTCATCAAACTATTCATATTATTGTTACATAACTTCTTTTAACAACTGTTTATGACAACTCATCACCTTTGTTACTATCCTAATCTCATTAACACTTAATTTTTTGACTTGTATTACCAATCTTCACCTGTTTAGTTTAAATAACCATAACCAATTGTAATTTTGTTTGACAAACTTAATGTACACATACATACAAAATAACCTTTATATATGTATTTGCGATTGTACATCTAAGAAAATGAATCCGCCGACGAAAGGAGACTCTTCGCTGATCTACGTGTTCTGTTTTCTCAAATGAATTCATCAACTAAGTAGTATCCTCATTGGCTCTTACAAGCAAAATATGTGTGTTTGAAACAAGCAACAAAGGCTGTTAATAAGCAGGATTTAATGAATTCATCAAACTTCGATAGAACTCGTCAGCTGAATACTCTACATACACGGATATATATATATATTACTCTTGAAATTGCATTGGGAGATATAAGAATGAAAAGCAAATAAACTAAATTAAATTAGTCACACAGAAAGACTGGTGCGAATGTTTTCCAGGTCATGTTCAAATAGATAAGGGGAGAGATAGGGGTATGAGAGATCAAAATTAAGATAAATTGCATTATGCTTCAATTACATCACTTAGATAAACAATTAGCTATTAGAGAATATAACAAGAATTGCAAACAGAGTAATATCAATAGTAATAGTTATAATAACAACAATAATATTAGTGTTGACGTGAGTTAAGATAATCCTACTGATAAAGGATAGTTTTAAATGAATCAAGAATAATAACGATAATAAGACGTAGAATAATAAGTAAAACGTATTACCACGGTAGATTCAGAGTGACAGCCATCTCCCTTTGTACACAGAGACCTGGTTTATAAACTCGAATTGCACAATCCTCCTCTGCAATTGCAAGCATCTTCCTGTTTCTTTGTCTGCTGACAATAACAGTGAATGATTTGACAGCGTCGATATCATGTCCATCGTCCACAAAACGCTTCTTTCTTATTGAGGATTTTGGCACTTTGCATTTAGCTGTCTTCAACCATTTTGGAAAATGCTGCATCATGAAATCAGCAGACAATCGCCTTTCTTTACGTACGACCTATGTTTTTACTTCCACAAACACACTCAAGTTGATATACTCAGTTTGAAGTGTCGAGGAAGAAATATTCGCACCCGTCTTTCTACATGACTAATGCAATGTAGAAAATTAAAACAAGTGATTCAGCAAACAGACTCTTTTCAACGAAAACGAAACCTGGTCGGGTCGCTTGCCACTCGCATTCGGCGCATATGTAGCCCGGCTACTTTGGAAGATGGGTTATACCTTTTGAGGGAAATCCTAATAGAAAATGGTTTTCCACCATGTTTTATAGATAAAAATATACATTCAAATCCTATAAAACGTGACTTATCATCCGTACCCAAGAAAACACTTTACATGAGTTTGGAATTCAAAGGGGACTCAGCTTCCGATGTCATGAAACGAAGGATATCACAGTCCCTAAAAAGAACATTCCCTGCTGGATCTCTGAGAATAGTTTTCACTAGTCGACCATTACTGTTCAATAACCTGAAGGGCAAGATCTCGCTGCTGACCAACTCTATGTGTGTTTATCAATTCACCTGCTCGTGTGGAGCTAGGTATATCAGTCGTTCGACTCGAGTTTTGTCCAAGAGTGCGAAGGTGCAAGAACACTATCCTGAATGGTTACGAAAAGTTGGGATCCCAATCCCTACGTACCCGACTCTTCTGTATTGCTGAAGCTTTGGATATCGAAACAGAAAAGGTAGATCTCTATGTACAGAAAAAGTTCGTTACAATGGGAATTTTCCATGAGTTAATTCAATGTAGTTTATTTACTTATCGGTCTTACATCTCCCAATGTCATTTCAAAAACATATATATATCCGTGTATGTAGGGTATTCGGCTGACAAGTTCTACCGAAATTTGATGAATTCATTAAATCCTGCTTTATTAACAACCTTTGTTACTTGCTTTAAACTGCCAGATGGCATTGATCAAACAATGCGGAGAAAGTTACACTGACATAAAATCAATTATCAGGTCAATAAAATGCTGACTATTAACACCAATGGATAAGAGGAGATGAAAATTTCCGGAAATAACTACTCATGTTTCAAGGTTATTAAGAAAGATGACTCGTAAATTCATGGAGAAGTCTAAAAGCTATATCTGTCCAAATCAAGTTCACTTTTAACAGTTTGAAAAAATTTAGGCATTGGGTATATGATATTCACTATAATAAAGGCTGTTTTTATATTTCTCAATGAATGAAAAACAAAACGATATTGCTACTGCCTTTGCTGACGTTTCGCTATTTAATGCTACTTCTAATAGCTTTATCAAAGTATTGATATTAAACCAGAATTTACAAAATCTCAGTTTATATGTATAAACTTCATCATCGTCCTCAGTATGGGGTCATTTTTCGTTCTCAATTTGGCCAATTGGTAAAGATAACAAAACCAGGTGTAGATGACTGTTGGATTTGATAAGTGTGAAAAATTATAGAAAGCAGCGTGTGTTTGCATAATGAAATTGCTTATCACATTTGTGTTGATTTTGTCACTTCATGGGGGAGAGGGAATCGGTCACAGGAAGCCTTGGACACCACCGAGGTTTATTGCTAGTTGACACCCCTCATTAGTCAGCAAGGCGTATCTGCAACGTCGGAGGACCTCATGTCCCTTCTGAGATTCGAACCCGCGTTACCCAGTGACAGCTTCAGTCAGAGACTGCCGAATGCCTCCAACCATCTAATACCAACAATTCACAGTGTATCATGATGGCCACATTGAAAGCTTAACTGATGGAATTCAGTTTGCACCGAAGATAGGAATAGACACATTACACTAGTTACTGACTAGTGTCCAATCAAAAGAAAAATATCCACTACAGTCCTACAGGAGGTCAATCGCGAGCCTGAATAGTTCACTGGCAACATCTCAGACTGAAGGCGGCACTGGGTGATACGGGTTCGAATCTCAGAGGAGACATGAGTTCCTCCATCATTACAGAGATACGCCTTGTTGACTAGCGAGGAGTGTCAACTAGCACTAAAACTCGATGGTGTCCAAGGCTTCCTAATACCAACAGTTATCAGTCTAGTAGCTTTTACGTCCTTACCGAATTCAAAGAGATAGCTAATGTACATGTAAATATCGAAGTGCTCATTGTTAACGATTTCCAAGATCGTGTTTTTTGCTTCCCTGGTATAACCAGTTCAATGAATAAAATTTCATTCACACCACCTATCATCATTCTGATTTAAGTTATGTTCTGAAATTTATTGCATAATGGTATATACTAGTGAGTGACTGATGTGCGTGTAATGTTAAACAGTAGTGTTTGCTATCCCCCCTCCCACACACACACACACACACACACACACAACACACCAAATTGAAGTGATCTAAACGCCAGATGACGATATCGCTCATTTGAATCTGAGCTTATCAGTTCATTAGACAACACTGTCGTACATAATCTAAGAAGTTTTGCAAAATTAAAAGATTTTCTCTTCTCTATTATATATATATATATTTCATAACGATTTTTTGATTTATTTTCCACTCATGAACACATTGAAAACAAATAAATCCAGGTAAAAAGGCTAAAATTGGTCCGCATACAAGTTTAACCGTGGCCTGTATTAAACGTCTTCTACCTGTTGGTAAGTTAACACTCTAGTTATATTTTGCCAATTAATCAATTATATTCATTGTTATTGTTAATTATTATTATTATTATTTGCGTTTTGAGTAAAGTATATAAGTTCCACATGATTCTAGGCCATAATTTTCATCCAGCTTGACGATTACTCAAACGCCTTCATTCCCTTTTCAAATGATCTTCTGTGCGTCATAATCCGATCTATGCTCAACTTATTGCTGCATATTCGGGTTACATTCAAAAGCCTAGCTGACGTGTACCGTTACACTTTAAAGGTCTCCTTGCGATGACATTGGGGTTGGTGATCACGCTAAAATCATGAATTGGTAGAATTTAGAATTCATAGGATGGCCATTGAATCGGGTCCCAATGGTTGAATGGTATGCGAGCTAGCTTACCTTGTAACCGGAAGGTCCTGGGTTCGAGCCCTGGCTGATGGTGGGTACGCACTGCCGATGTTCCCAGCACCAGGATGAAACAGTTGTCCAGTACTTCCTGTGTCTGGTTTTCAATGATTCCCTAACTGATGTCAATCCGTAGTCAAACTGGTAAAAACAATCCACGTTTGTCAGGCCATATGTTATTGGCTGGTTTGCTGACTGTGATAGTTTCTTATTGCTTATCCTTTTTAGCTGACTATCTCTTCAACTTCAGTGTCGAGCAAAGACGTCTGTTGATGAATGTCTGAAGTAGGTACTTTCATCCAAATGAACAGCTGTGCTAAGAGTTAGTTGACTTAACTAATCTGTTATAAATTTAATACCTCAATCCATTAGCAGATATTTGGACAGAGAGTCTCATCGCCCTGCATAACAGATATTCTTCACTACAAAGTGGCTGAATTAATAAATGACTAGCAGAAATTATGAAGCCCATTATTCCTCTTCTGCTTAACAATACTGAGGGGGGGGTAAATATTTCTGTCAGAGATTTACACGACAATGTTTACAACCAAAAACTCTTTCACCTCCTGCTGAAGAGAGGTTTACAAGTAGAAACAGGCATTTAATTATCAATTATTATGCCGAAACTCCCTCTTTAATGCGCTTACTACATACAGCCTAGGCAGGTGTTTACGAGTGCATCGTCCATTGCAAATCGAATTAAGACTTCTTGCATGGGTTAGCAAGCGTTCTACTTCTAAAATCAATGATTCTGGTAGCATGTTCTATCTCAAAATGTTTACTACGCGTATAGAATCTTCGAGTAAATTAGTGATCGATAATACGGCATATTTTTCTGTTCAAAGCACATTCTAATATGTTACTGTGCTTCTCACCATTTCCCTCGAAAAATCTAAAAATCAATTGACTGAAACCTACTCGAAGATAGATATGAGTACAGACAGCAATTTAAGGTTTGAGTAGTCTGGTAACTTAAAACAGGCCATCTGAATCTGGGCAGCTTTGTTTCCATACTAAATCGCTAAAAATCTTGGATTAAATTCAGAATTTACACAGTTCGAGAAGGTGAAGCCTCATCGCAATTTCCTTTGGATAACGAAAGTATTCAGAGTCTTCTGAACACTTTGTGCTGCAATCTACGAATGTTTGGCATGCGATTCGTTCCCACCAAATGTAAGATGATGTTACGAGACAGGACTGGACTACACTGACTCATAGTTTAGAAATAGGGAGTGAAATGGTAAAGCTCGTTGACCGCTTCACTTATTTGGGAAGTACTATCAGCCAGTGCCAACAGGTTGATCTCTGACGAAATCTCAGCACGAATACAGAGGGCTAGTTTCGCATATGCCAGTTTACGCCGTCTCTGGTGTAAACGTGATATCCGGCTAGCTATCAACCGAAGGGTGTGTGTACTGCTCATCAGTCCGTTCCGTCATCCGTTATGACTGTGAGTGAGACCTGGCCATTGAGAGTGAAAGACATGAAAAGATTAGCTGCCTTTGATCATGATCTTCCGTGTGAAGTGGTATAATAAGGTGAGCAATATTGAGGTTAGGCATCGGTCGAGTGCCAGGTAAGCAGTGGAAATCAATCGACGAGGCTGTGAAGTTACATAGACTGACTGAGATAGTTAGGACATGTTTTACGTATGCCTAGTCAGCGCCTTCCTCGACTGGGAAAGAGCTGGCAGCTGTCAAACCAAAAGGTGGCACCACTTAATGAGATCCACAACAGTTAGTTTAAACCAGCCAGCCACATAGGGAATTGTAGACTTCCTGGTTAGGGTGCTCGAGACGGTAAAAGCCAATGGCTGGAAACACTTAGTGATATGGCTCAAAGTCGTCGTTCTCACTGATGGCTGGCGCAGATGCATCCACTCCTTGTGACTTATGATTTCCAATGAAACTGCATTGTTCTTCGTTATTACTATTCCTTTGTCTTACACCTCTGTTTACTGTCTCTATTATGCATTTCTTCTACTTTCTTGTCTTGCTTTGTGTGCTACGAGGAGGAAGTGTGGCGACTTGAACTGTGGCAAATCAGTGCAAAGTTCTATGACGATAACAGACAGACACGAACGGTAATCAATAAGGCCAGAGTAACTGCATAAAACTACACACTACTGATTGATTTAAATGAGTAGTTTTTTATACCAATGATATCAACCAACAAATCTTTTTAACGAGGTAGAAACTATGCAAACAACAGACGGTCGTTTCGTTCGTTTAGGGTTAACATCATCAGCGATGTACCCAAGTTTTGATCAGCACAGAGAAAATTTTTGGATAGTCTTATTTGGATATCTTCTTATTTTAAAATTAATGGTATTCACATCATTTAAAAATTTTTTTTAATATAACCAAAAATAGGTCTGAGTCAACTTGGTGGACGTGAACAAGAACTTGTGCTATGCGCAAAAAGGAAACTGATTAGAGTAAGTTTATTGTTTTCCATGGCTTTCCAATTATTATATAAACGGCTTTCTCATCTGTTTACGTGCAAGATAATTTATCAATTTATTAAAGAATAAAGAATTTGAACATCACTATTATTATTATTATTATTACTATTATTGTTCCATGCATGAATTTGTACATTCATAATGTAGCGTTAATTATTTTCTACTGTAATCTTTTAGCTACTTGCAAGTAGTGTGATGCAGGTAATACGTAATTTTAGTGATGGATATGTTGAATTTAGACACAGATGTAGATATACTTTTTTTCAGTTTTAGAGATATTTTTTAAAATTATTTTTTTTATTTAATATGGTTTCACTTTTAAATTTAAGGAATTACATTCAGTTTTCCTAATTTCCCTGTTCTCATGGGAAATAGGGTAGAAATTTTCTAGTTAGGTCTTTTCACAAATATTCATACTGGGCCGAAGTGCTTGGTCTCAGGTTGACACGTTGGCTCCTGGTGAAGATGTCTCTAATCCAGGATGTGCACTTCCTCATATTTAGGGCTTGTCATCTGGATGTACCTTCATTCTGCAGTGTGTGATGATGTACCAACCACTGAGGCTCGAACCCAGTGACCATAGTTACAAACACCAAAGCGCTATCCACTAAACCATTTGGGCCATGAAAGCCACCTCATGTGCAACAGGTCATAGAGATTATTTAATTGAATTTTAGATTTTCCCGTCGATTAGCTGGCGGAAGTACATCCATTGGCTGACGAGTTCTAAATAGGACCAGATACGCATCCTGGATTCCACTGCTAGTTACCACCCACCAATTGATTCATACATACAGTTAGTTACGTTATGTAAGTAAGGATGTGAAGTTCAAAGTATGGAAACTGATGGCTATTTAGTCAACAGCAGTGATTCTCTTTTTTACCGTTTCCATTTCTTCACGTACTATCCGAATGAGAAATATGGCCTCAGACGAGCATCTTGATTCCACTCTGTTCACTATTATTACTTTCACCTGACTAGTTGGAGTATTGTCCATTGTTGCCTGTAGTTGTCTGTAGAATTCTTCTTTCTTTTCGAGGTCTGCGTTGTTTGTGGGTGCATAACATTGTATGATTGACACCTTCCTTCCTTTGGAGTTGAATCTGGCGGTCATTATCCTGGACGAGATTGCTTCCCATTGCATCAGGGCTTTCGTTGCCGTTGGTGACATCATGATAGCCACGCCCTCGGTGTGCGTGTGGTTATCTTCTGGGTGACCGGAGTAGATCACTGACTCACCCGTTGAAAATTTGGAATAGACTATTATCTTGATATGATTGAGAAGATTTCGTAGCCCAGGTAGTTGATTTTGATGTGGTTGTGTTCTCTGAGCTGGACAGTTAATTTTGAATTACAACAGCAACGATCCAATAACACACAAAAGGAATTGCATTCAAACACTACTTAAGAAGACCAGGCAGGACTCTTTGCTGCACTCCCACCTCAAGGAAAATTGGAGAAAGATATCTCACGAACGTCTTCCAAAAGAATGGATATCCACGGAATATCATCAAAAGACATATACCCCAAGCCAACCTACCGAATCAATGCCCCCCCCCCAAGGAAAGCACAAAGAAAATCGCCTTGCCATATATCAAAGGACATCTCAGAAATCACTGTAAGACTATTCAGACCTTTAGGAATAGATGTCGCACACAAACCAACTAAATCACTTCACTCAACTGACTGGCTTAATGTCAACCAAAAGACTCAACAGTGAAAGAAGATAAAACTAACATCATCTACAAAATAAATTGTAACAACTACGAAAAACACTAACTAAATTGGCCAAAGTGGACGTCCCCTTCATCTTTGTATCCACGAACATAAGCTAACCGTCAAAAGACATGATATCCACTGCCTCATATCACCTCACTGCATACAGACAACCACGGACATCAATTCGACTGTGGAGCAACCAGCGTTCAAACATTTGACAGAGGAAACACGAAGAATGCCAGAGAATTTTTAGAAGGCCGCCCGGTATTCCAGTGAATCGTCAATCAATAGACACATCGAGATAGACAAAACCTATCAACCAATAAGAAAGAAACCTCACACACACACACACACAAAGAGTCAAAGTTCAAGCCAAAGAAACTATCAGTTCCAATATAAGTAACTTAGAAGGTGTAAAAACACACAAAAACAACCAGTCCCTTCCAAGGTCACCGACCAGGAGAGATGATTAATAAACTCGTGGAGGAGAAATCGAAAAGCTCACTTCAGTTCAAATTGGTGTATATGCGCTGAAGATGTCGCCTAGTAGGAGGCGATGAAAGCTTCGCAAATTAACTATCCAGCTGGCTCAGAGAACACAACCATATCAAAAAAACACTATTATCTCTATAATTTCATGAGGAAATCCCTTACAGATCCTTTTACTTGTTCATCGGTGTATATACATTTAAATCTTCTTAAAATAATCTTCTAAACTGTATAATATTGAGAGAAGAAATATGCCTCCAATCTCAATTAGTTCTTCAGTATCGGCTGTCTCTACACTAATTTATAGTTATTTTTACATCAAAATTTTTAACAATCGAGTGATTATTCTAGTCTATTGGTTTTAGACAGAGGGAGGGGGTGAAATTAAGGGGTTAAAGGTCATCAAAACAATCAACGAATAGATATTAATAATAAGACATCAAGAAGGGATGAAGGAGGGTGAAAATTAATTCCCTATGGAATTCAAGATCTGTTAATTCTTAAGGGCTGGGTAGCAACAAATTACTAGCTCATTAGCGACTGGCCCTATCCAGGTAGGCAGTGACCTGGGGTTCTTGTGGAAAGCTGTGACCAGTAGGATGCAGAAGGTCGAAGGTGGGGCAGTACCTCATCAAAAAAGACATTGCGAACAAGAGGTCGCGCTATATCCTGTGTGAATTGGCAGAAGTTGGAATTCATGGATTGGCTACTGAATCGGATCCTAGTGGCATATTGGTTTATAAGCTCAGCTTGGAACCATAAGGTCCTGGATTTGAAGCCTGGAAGTGGGTGTGCACTGATGAAGAGTTCCGAACCAGAACAACGGAAACAGCTGTCTGACAGTACTCCTTGGTGGTTTTCCAATGGCTATCTAACCGATAATAATAATAATTTGCTTTATTCCAAAACAGTACTTGTGATACAGAATGAAATTCGCAGCATTTCACTACACACAGTATTGCATCCAGTTAGTACATTAACAATAAATAAAATTCTACATAGACTATGCATAGTCTCAGTTAATTTCGACAACAACATATTAGCATGTCTGGGGCAAAGCTAAAATTGAACAGAATGTTTGAAGGTGTTACAAAAGTAGATACTACTAGCATATTTACTGGCGTAAGTGGTAACAAAAAGGCCGAGATATACAGAGTGTGAAAGAACGGGGAAGAATGTTTTAAATAGAGTTTGTAAGGAAGAGAGAAACAAAACAGCACATAACACAGGAATAACGAGAGAGAAAAGGAAAAGAAAGAAAGAAAACGTTGTACCTATAAATGATATGATATGAGTTGTAAAGACGAGATCCAGTTGTTCTACTGACTATTTAATAAGTTATAGGTATCACGCCTAATGCTCTCTTTATCGCACAGAACACGAACGAGCCAAGTAGGTAGGGTACGGTTGGTTTTGTACTTACTAGTGCGAGGATATAATTTTCTACATAGGTAGGCTTCTGGTTTTTCCTGATGAGATACAAGGGTGGGAGAGTTGTGAATGAAGAGGGTGAGTGGTGTGAGTTAGATGGATTGAATGGATTTAGCCCATTTTTCACATGAATCCAATTGCCTGTCAACCAGAATATTAACCATTTGGTTAAGTGGCATGTTGCTTACCCTGCTGACAACTTTTAACATCCTGAGTAGTAGGGTATAGTCTTTCTTCCGACGTCGGCTCATGATGAAATCCTTCAACCAATACTTGATAATTAAGAAATTTGCAAAATAGCAATTAGGACTGGGAGCGAACCAATCAGGAACCGATTGTACAACAAATAAGCAAGAAGAAATGGAGATGGATTGACTGGCCATACTCTGAGGATATCATCAAGTGAGTGACATCACTAGACAAGCCATTGCTCGAGTGGAACCCGAAAGGGATGCGGCGAGTTGGTCGTCCAAGGGTGACTTGGAGGAGGTCATGCGAGGAGGAGATGGAAGCATGTGAACAGACCTGGAGCAGGGTGAAAAAGTTGTCAGAAAACAGAAGGCATTGGAGGTGCGCAGCTGAAGCCCTATGTTCCTCTAGGAACTAAAGGATACAAAATAAAATAATGAGGACTAAGAAGAATCGGATGACTCAGAAGATTTATGTAAATTACAAGTTATATAGAATTAGCTAGAATTGTAGAAATAATAAAGTTGACAAGTAGTTACAAGGGGAGAGGGAAATGGTTTTTTAAAAATGTAATACCTATTATATAGTTGGCCATGGCAAAGAATACGGCTGTACAAATTCTTTTTGAACATACAAATTGGGCTTGTTCAGATGAAGTCCCCCCCCCATCGCCTTTGCTGCATGAAAAAGTCGTACTTGTAGACTATACCAAAGGTTGTGTAGAATATGATAAACAACTTTAGTAGGCTTGTTAGTGTCAACTTGATGTCCAACCGGTATCGACGCATATAAGATAGTAGCTTTATTCGGACCTTTTACAATTCTAGCTAATTCTATTAACTTGTTTGTATCTTACGTAATTTTACTGAGTCATCTTATTCTTCTTTGTCATCACTGCTATTCTGCATTATCTTTCGATCATGTTGTAACAACAGAAGACAGGGGCCAGGCAACAGACCGCTTATCAAAGGAAATCAACACATATATATAGATTTTCATGTACACTATTATAGATTATTTTAAGCAAACAAACACAGTCTTCTGATTGGTGGTTTCTCGCTGAACGTTAGTTAACCTTTCATCTCTTTGTGCGTGTTTCTTGAATGTCAGGTCATCTATATGCTAATTTTATCCGCCTACGCAAAGTCCGCTCTGATTGGTTGATGAATCAGTCTTTGTTTTTATTTTTCTCACGACCAATATTGGGGACGTGAACAGTGACGTAAATTACTGTCTACCAGTTTGGCTAGCAGACAGCTGTCTCACCACAATGTAATAAATTGTTGCTAACACCTGAGAATTAACTCATCGTGAATTCCGTAATTAATTAATTAAATAATTAATTTTCATTCCTCTCTCCTAAGAAACTTAGATATCTTGTTACTAACATCTAATCGTCACTTGTTTTGACGACTTCAACCGTCTTAATTTCATCTCGCCCCCACTCTATACCTTAAACTGACTAACTGAAATAACCACTTGATTGATTGCTAAAACATTTTGGTGTAAAAATAATTTATAATCTACCGGGTACCAAATAAATTGTCAAAATCATCGAAGCACCTAATGCTGCAGACAGCAGAGGCTATTGCAATTCGCCTCAAACAACCAGTGCTTTGTGTTCAAAAGAAGCAAGTCCAGTCAGCCACTAATACTGCACTGGCCAGTCTTCAGTAAAGACTAAAAATTCATGAATTTGTAATATTATCTCTCCTAATTTTTCTGATATTCAGTTTATTGTTATGTTGATGCTATTGATAGGCAGGACCCGACGGAATTATTCCGGAGGTGTTTAAATATGGGGGTGACATACTAGTTTGTAGATTAACTGAGGTACTAGGCAAAGTCTGGGAATCAGAGACAGTACCATCAGACTGGGGTAAGTCACTTATTATACCGATATTCAAGAAGGGAAACAAGTCCTCGTGTGATAATCATAGGGGGATCAGCCTAACGAACATAGTCTCTAAAATCCTAGGCTCAGTAATCATGCATAGACTAAGCAGAACTCGGGAGGAACAGACAAGGGAAAATCAAGCAGGCTTTAGACCAGGTAGAGGGTGCATAGATCATATCTTCACTCTTCGACAGATTCTAGAACATAGACACACTTTTCGGCGTCCAACAATTGTCATATTTCTTGACTTGAAGGCGGCCTTCGACTCCGTGGACCGAAAAGTACTATGGCAATGTCTGACTGTGAAGGGAGTGCCAAGAAAGTACATTGCACTAATCAAGGCACTCTATTCAAACTCACGTAGTCGTGTAAGGGCTTATGGGGAATTGTCATCTGAATTAGTAACAACCAGTGGTGTCCGACAGGGATGTCCACTTTCCCCATTTCTGTTTAACTTCATCATAGATATGCTAATGGAAGTATCCTTAACTGAACGTAGTGACTTAGGAATCGACTTGTTACCAGGGAATAATCTAATGGACTTAGAATATGCAGATGACATAGTCCTGTTAGGGGAGGATGCTGACAAAATGCAGAGTCTTCTGAACACCTTGAGCAGCAATCTTCGTATGTTTGGCATGCGATTCGCCCCTGCAAAATGTAAGATGCTGCTACAGGACTGGACGACGTCAACCCCTAACTTAGTGATAGGGAGTGAAGTGATAGAACATGTTGACCACTTCACCTACTTGGGAAGTTGTATTAGCACCAACGGACTGATTGGCGATGAAATCTCAGCACGGATCCGAAAAGCTCGAGCTGCTTTCGCTGACTTACACCATCTCTGGCGTAGGCGTGACATCCGGTTATCAACCAAGGGACGTGTGTACTGCTCATCAGTTCGCTCCGTCCTTCTCTATGGCTCTGAAACATGGCCAATACGCGTTGAAGACATGAAAAGGTTGACTGCTTTCGATCATAGATGTCTGCGATCTCTGTCTCACGTTAGGTGGTTTCACAAGATAAGTAATGTTGACGTTAGGCGTAGAGTGTTGGGCAAAGAGGGAAAATCAATCGACGAGGTTATAAAGTTACATAGACTAAGATGGCTAGGTCACGTGGTGCGCATGCCTAACCACCGCCTCCCCCGACGGGCATTGTTAGCTGATATAGGTTCAGGTTGGAAAAGAGCCAGTGGTGGCCAAACAAAAACATGGCATCAATCCATGAAATCCTTGACAGTTAAACTGAGTCAGGTAGGGAGATGCAGACTCCCGGGTTGGGGCCCTCGGGACTCTAGGAATCAATGGCTGGAGACAATAGGTGACATGGCTCAAAATCGTTGTCAATGGCGCAGATGTATTCAATCTCTGTAATCTTTCATATTCCTTTCTACCATTACCCATTCTGTTTCACTCCTATATTTGTCAAACTCTATTAATTCTCTTCACTCATCTTCTTGTCTACCTCTGTGTGCTATTTGGAACGTGGCAACTCGAACTGCTGCACTTCGGTGCCAAGTTCTATGTTGAATCCAGACAGACAGACAGATGCTATTGAGTTGTAATCAATCAATATTACTGGTTCGATGTTATTTAAACAGTAACATTAATGTTGTTCATAACAGTAATTCATTCATTTACACTGACTGAAGTGTCTCAAACCAGGACGAAACAACTGATTGCTTTATGTAATATTACTGTTATTGCAGGGGAATTTAGTCGATTAAATCATTATCAAGCACATCAAACTCATTACTAATTATTATTATTGTCATTGTTATTGCTATTAATATTATTATTACTATTATTATTACCATTAAAAGGAAACACTTAGTTTAACTGGTGAAAGAGGTTTGGAGCATACAATGCAGGTATTAGCATCTTCTTTGTTTTTTATCATCATAAAAAATAATCATAATAATAAAGTTGTTTAACCCATATAAATGTTTGTGGTATGCCTTATTGTCGTTGCTGTTGCTCTTGTTGTTGTTGTTGTTGGCAGTATTGGTGTTAGTGTCTGCGAGTCGTAATCAGTGTTGTCGTTGTTGTTATTATCTGTGCTTTATGATCACTGAATGTGCTAATTGTTTTAACGCATAAATATTTTGCATATTGAAAGATATCATCATTCACCTGAATATATATTTCATCCTGGAAGGTATACACATAAACTCGTCTACACTCACATGCTTATATATCCAAAATAAATAAACACTCACACACGTATATATATATGTACATTTATCCCTGTAACTGTTTCTATAAATTATGCTGTTATATACTGTCTTAGAGGTATTCACTTTCTTTTGCAGTGATGTATGCGATTGTTTATGTGTGTGTGTGTGTGCGTGAGTGCGTGCGTACATGTGAGCTGGGATAAGTGTCTTCATGCAGTTTACCCGGAAGTGAATTACTCCATTCCTTTACATCTGTAATGAGTATTTGAGCAATATATTTCAGATATGATATTGGTACTCCGACGCATATATTGGATTTCTCCATATAATTGCACAGAAACCAAATTGTTTCTGTTAAGGACACGTTGGTAAAGAGAGATTCGACATCTAGTGATAACATTCGTTTATCATTTACATTCAAATCTTTTATGCATTCAATGAACTCAAAAGTATCACGAAGGCAGTATCTGCATAGGTGTTGTCTTACTGGCTCCAACATTTCGGACAACCATTTGGAGATTGAATGGTATGGTGACACTGACATGTCTAGAATCGGTCGAAGCGGTAAGCCAGATTTGTGCACCTTTGGTAAGCCGTAGAGTCGGGGAATGGTTGATCCTATCGATTTCAGGTGGTTGAACAGGTCCTCAGGTATCAGACGATCGTTCTTCATTCTTCTGAGAACATCTGTTAGTTATCTTTCAATCAGTTCTGTCTTGTTTTTCTCATTGTTGGGCTTGGCGAATTTCTTGTCATCTGATGTAAGTGTTGCCAATTTGTTAATGTATACATCTCTGTCCATTAGGACCACTTCTGATCCTTTGTCAGGACGTGTTATTATTAAATCTTTATTGTCTCTTAGTACTTTGAGTTGTTGTCGATGTTCTTTTGTAAGTAGACGTCGGGCTTGAGTTTTTAAGCTGAAATAGTGATTACAGCAATCGAAGATTGTTGACTTAAAGTGTAGGAATTCTGAGTCGGAGACTGGAGTAATATCATGAGTTTGGCTTATGAGGTTCTCTAATTGAATATACGTATGAAGTCTGTTGCTGTCAAGATTAACGTCACAGAATTTTAGTCCAAGAGATAAAGCTTCTAGTTGAACCGTTGATAACGGAACTGAAGAATGACTGAAAACAAATTTATTAGGATTGCTGGGGAATTTATTCTGGACTGCTACGGGCTTCAGGCTTTTGTTTAAATCTGATTTAACATTTTCCGCTCTTATGTTCTGCACCAGAGTAACATATTCATTGAACGATTGTCTCTCACATGATGATAATTCACAAAAAGCGGAAGATCGCTGTGATATGTTTCTTTGCAATTCGAATATACGTGAACTTATAGAATCGATGACGTTTCTGGTGTGACGTTGAAGAGTTTTTGAATTAGAATATATATGATATCTGCGCAGCGCTTTCCAGAACCATTTTGGATATTCACGATTGTTAATACGGCTCTCATAAAATTCCAATTTTGTATTTACTTCGGCAAGTTTGACAGTGTAACGTAGAAACCGGTTGAGTTCCTTCACTGTCGAAGGGTCCTTGCTCTTTTTCGGATCGTGGAAAACACCCATATGGACATTAGAAAGAAGGGAACACGAAGTTCGGCAAAGATATCTTCTGACTACACTACACATGCATTTGTCATTGTAATTTATACGAAAATATCGAAGATACACATTTAAGTCATGAAAGAAATAAAAGACCATTCATCGGGGAAGAGAATTTTCTTCCCTCGATGAAAAGTATTAGCTGAAGTTGAATGACAACACTAGAAAAGAGTTAGACACGATTTGATATATATTAGACAGCATAAATTCATAAAGTCAGTGAGATTTCATCAAAACCATATAATAGGAAGGTATATGCAGTTTAACTGGGGGCACAATGTAAAGATAACAATCAATCACTGTTGACTGTTAGTAGAGTAGCTTAAAATTATTTACAGTTATTTAGGTGTATACACTCTTATCGTCTTCTAAATCCTGAATATCTTAACTAACAAACATTCATTTCATTATCTGCTATGTCAACCTTGTTTGTCTGTTTTTGCAGCCCTAATTTTGCACGCGTTTTTCTTTTCAAATGTAACAACTTGAACTAATATAATTCTGTATATTCAACATTTGATTATCTGATTATCGTTCACGAATCGATTTGAGTGTTAATCACCAGTGTATTAAGCAACAGTGTGGCAGTGACTTTTGTTTTGTCCCTATTTACCTTCTGAATGGCTCATTCATACCCATCTCTGTCTTTTAATGCAACCGTCCGTTTGTGTTTCAATGGTTCAGTGTTCACCCAACATGCAGAAGGTGAAGATTTGATTCCCCCCGTGACGTTCTCCTAAACTCCGCCTAATCAATATTATCAAGTATTGGTTTTGTAGAGAATTTGTTTGATTGCTTCGAGGATTTCATCATGAGCTGACATCAGTTGGAGAACCATTAGAAAACCTGGGAGTACTGTGCAACTGTCTATTCCTAGTTTGGGACTCTTCAGCAGTATGCACCCACCGACCAGGGCTTGAACCCAGGACCTTCTGGTTACAAGACGAGCTCGTAGACCATTGAGCCACTGGGACTTGATCCAATGGTCCTTGAATTCTAACTTCTCCCAATTCACTACATAGTGCGTGCATACTGCCGAAGAGTCCAAACTAGGCTGACGAGACAGCTGTCCAGTACTCCCAGATTTTCCAGTAGTTCTCTAACTGATGTCAGCTCATGATGAAATCCTCCATGTAATCCATATTAAACACAATAAAGAGAGAAGGAGTTGGACATCAGTGAGACTTCACGCAACATACTTTAGACAACAGTTAATGAGTATTTTACATCCCTAAATGTATTGCTGTTTTCACAATTGCATTCATGTTTTTGCTGTGAAATTGTTTTCTTCTATGCATGCAAAATAAAACTTTTCATGTGTGTGTATTGTTTCAACCCCTTTTTTCATGTGATAAAGCCTAATAAAATACTCGTAGTAGCACATTATCCCATAACCGAGCACCCTTCTGTTTGCCTTTTGTTATCTAATCCTGTGAATGTGTCGTGCTTCCTTCATTTGTAGTAAGTACATTGTGTGTCTTTTTTTTCCATTTTGGTGATGTAACCTGATCAATATCTACTAATCAGTGTGTTTTTAGTGTTGATCTTTTCTTTTATTACTTGTGAATGTTTATTTAACTCAATAATGGATGGTGTTCAGCGTTCAGTTTTCATAGAAAACTTCATTTACCTTACAGTCAACGAAATTTCCAAAAATTTGAAATTCGAAAATTAATCCACTACTAAACTGATTTAAAGACCTTGATTTTAGTATAAAGACCAACTTAAAGATAGAGTTCTTGGATATCTAATGAGAAGACGTGACCAGCAATGAGATCCATCAAAATTAAGTTTGAGGATGTTCATTCATCTGTGACACGGAACTTTTAAATCCAATTAGCAGAGGTTAGAATTCATACACTATTGGAATCTACTCTCTTAAGGTATTATATTCAGTGTCTGATGGATGTGTATATCGTTAAATATTCCCATTTATAATATTAGAACAAGACATATACGAGAACAATATTGTTGTTTTCAATTAGATCTTCTTCAGGCTTTACTCTAATTTACATAGACTTATATATATGAAATTTTTTAACCAATGATGGTGATTTAGTGGATCAAATAATAATAGTAATCATAATAATAATAATGTGGTAAATGTTTTGAACGAAGTTTATAGCGATGATTATAATTATAACAAAATATCGATAATAAGGTTTACGTAGGTGGCGATAAGAATAACAAAGTTAGTATATGCATATAAGTAGACAATTCAATAAATAAATAAATCAGGTCAAATCAAATGGAACGATAATCAGAGTTTAAATAAATATCATAAAAGTATTAAGAGATGGGAGATAAGAAAGGGTCTGAGGGTTTTGAATAGAATTCACCTAGGCAAGCAAGGGAGAGACTAAGGTAGAACAAACTTCTTTTGCTGTATGCAAAGACACTAGGATTGTTCTCTCGATGTGTATATACTCTGAAGGAGTTTGAAACTGGAATGAGAAGCCTATCTCTTGTTTTATTAGTTTCCAAAGATTTTTTTTGATTGACCAGCTCATATTAGAGATCCAACACACCTGAGAATATGTATAAGTATACTTTGAAGACACAGTGCTCAGCGAAGAGACTCCTCTTTTCAACAACGAAATTATTATCACGCTGTACAATCGAATATATTATATATGGTTTTTTATAGGCAATTATATCCAGTGAGGGAATTCGGTCACAGTTGTGAACATATGAAGTAATAATGGTAGTAGTATGTAATGCAATTAAAATATTTGTGATTTTGATCATAGTTAAATGTCAAGTGGCAAAACAATCAATGTCACATTAATATACGTGTAAAACGTGGGCACTGTGCTAGGTAAGTAATTCCATATTAACCTTGTTTATTAGATGTATCACACAGTCAGTGAAACAGTATTATTACAATTATTTACTAGATGACAAAGTTTCGAACAAAATTTATTGCTGTTCATAATCATTTCATCAATTATAATCACATGACTTTGAAACTTGAGTTTTATAGTTTTCTTTGTCCTCTCCTATTTGTCGTCGTTGGGGTAGTAGAATTTTCTAGATATCCGGTTGGACAGGTGTTGAATCATTCCTATTACATGTATTTGCAGTTTATTCGATAAACAAAGCTTCTGTTATCAATTGGTGAAATGTTTAAGTGACAGAGCACAAAAAACTAATTAGTACCAAGAAAAAATCTAAGACAGGAAGTGATACACATATAAGAGAATCCTTGAAACTTAATAATTACCCGGATAAATTAGTCAAAAAATATTTAAGGAAATATAAAAATAAAATAAATAATGATAGTAGCGATAGTGATAATAATAATATTATTGACGACACCAACAATAAGGAATCTAAATCATCAGTAGTAATTCCATACAAGGAAGGAACTTCGGAAACCTTAGGCAGAATTATTAACAATTCAGGCAGGAATAAAAGTGTCTGGCATTCAAACCACCTACAAACTCAATTAGAAACAAGCTTCGTCGGTTAAAGTGTCAATCCTATGGAGCCTTTTAAACAAAACAATTTAGTTTATCTAATACCCTGCCTGCAATGATTGTCAGGTCAAATACATAGGTCAGAGTAGTAGAACAGGAGCAGTCAGACTAGCCGAACATAAAAACCCAGCAGCAAAATCTAGATTGGTTGACCCAAATAAGATAAGAAATCTAGAGAATAGTTCAGCCATAACACTCACTGCATGCAATTACACACAACCATACAATAGGATGGATGGGATAGGATGACAGTTTTAAAATCTAATGTAACAGCTGGGTGGAGGGAGAGATTGATAACAGATTTGTTTATTGAATAAACTGCAAATACATGTAATAGGATTGATTCAACACCTGTCCAGCCGGATATCTAGAAAATTCTACTACCCCAACGACGACAAATAGGCGAGGACAAAGAAAACTATAAAACTCAAGTTTCAAAGTCATGTGATTATAATTGTTGATATGATTATGAACAGCAATAAATTTTGTTCGAAACTTTGTCATCCAGTAAATAATAATTCTGTTTCACCGACCGTGTGATACATCTAATAAACAAACTAATATGGAATTGATGTCACATATAGAATAATTTATAAGATGTATATATATATATATATATATATATAGGGTTAATAGACAAGTATAAAACGTGAAATAGCATGGTGTAAAATTCAATATGACAGAATTCAACATTGTAAACAAATTTTGGGTTTAGAATGATAAATGGGACAAGTGGAAATAATTCATAGTAAGAACAGTGATAATAGCAATAACCTTGGTAATCAAGGAAAGGTACATAGAATAGCTAAACAAACCAAATAAATTAACTGTCTATCCCTCTACGACCAAGGCAGAAGTAGGGATTGTACATACTTCTTTTGTACACAAAGGTCTGGTCAGCTTAAAGTCATGAATTGCCAAGGCCTCCATTGTCTTTAGAAGTCTGTGACTAAGGAAACGTAGCAAGTTATCATGGATTCGGTAAACGGTGATCTTAAAATCATGGTCAGGGTTAATAGAGTGACAGAAGTCGGCCAGGTGTTGTTCTACGCTAGAGCTTCGCACACACTTCCTTTCTCCTTTGTAAAACCATGCTGCTTGAATATGTTCTTATATCCATGTGAAAAGCGTCCCCTGGCTATGGCCATTGTACCTTACTCCACAAGAGCAGCAGGGGAACTGATAGATGCACATGGAAGGGGCCAAACGAGTTGGCTTTTCTTTTACAGAGATGAGAAGAACAACTTGTGGCTGGTGAACGTCATTTGTAATTTTACTGCAAAGAACGCCTTACTGACTACTGCTTTAGAGAGACGGTTTTTTTGAGCATATCTGAAGTATATCATGATCACCTTTGAATTTCAACATCATGAATATGGGGTTTCTTTGGAACTGAGTAAGTAGGTGACCAGTTTAGACTGGTTATCTTTTTTTGTATTACTGACTGCTGTTAATCCATGGTCAAACGTGGAACAAATCAAATCCCTACGGACCAACTCTTGATAATAAATTCGTTCCATGGAGGATTTAATCATGAGCTGACATCAGTTAGAGAACCACTGGAAAACCTGGGAGTACTGGACAGCTGTCTCGTCCTAGTTTGGGATTCTTCATCAGTACGCACCCACCGGGATTCCAACCCAGGACAATCTGGTTACAAGGCGAGCTCGTAGACCATTGAGCCACTGGGACCCGATCCAATGGTCCTTGAATTCTAACTTCTGCCAATAAATAAGTTCATTGTTGAAAAGAATTTCTTCACTGAATATTGTGTTCTTAATGCAAGAATAGGAATTATTATATTATAAGTATAATTTGTTTTTTGGTTGTTTTTTTTAAATTTTAAATGCATAGCTCATTTTTACTCACACATTTTAACTACTTTTGTTTTCACTGTGTTGTCTTGCTTTCCTGTTTTTGGGTGATGTGCTCACTACAATGCTCCATGAAAAAAATAATCAATAAATATGTACATCTTTGTGTATATATTAGCGAGAAAGTGATGCCATTATTGAAGCTTATCTAAATGATGCTTTGGATCAAGGAGGAGATGTAAGTACATGACTATTATATACATATATTTTTATTTAATATTTTATTATCTATTCCTAATTGTGGTGGACTGACTGGATTATGTGTTAGACAGTGAGTGAGTGGGAAACGAGAAGAGAAACAGGGATATCCTGGACTGACCAGCGTGAAGAACCTAGAAGACCTGGATTTCATGCGAGGATCATTTATGTTTGATGTCACTGTCACAAAATCGAAGACTTACGGGTAAGCGAAAACCGACTGATAAACTGGTCGGTCGAAGAAGCAGCCGGAGAAGACAGAACTCCAAGTGAACATAGACAAGACGCGGAGGTTATGAAAATAACCAACCAACATCAACAACAGCAGCAACATCCAGCGCCAATCACCATCAACGGGAGGGTGACATGGAGAAGATCGTGTAAAGAGAGAGGAGTTGAAACAGTATGGACTAACATGGATGGATGCAGATGAAAAGTACAGCAGAAGGAAGACAGAAGTGGTATGTGGAGACGTGCAGTTGAAGCCCTATGTTCCACTAGGAACCCAAGGAACAATAATAATAATTACTGTTATTTATTTAAAGGAGCACCATTCGGGTTCCACTCGAGAGGGAGAGAGAGACGGCCTGGGGTGTGTTGTCACTCACTTGATGGTTGTTTTTTCAGAGTATGACCAATCCACCTCCATTTCTTCCTGAATATTTCTTGCACAATCGGTTTGGTTCGTTCATTGCTAGAAATCCGTCACTATTGCCGATCTTTTCTGGCCGGCCATCTGATCATGAGTAGTATTAAGCGAAGATAGATGTCAATGAAGGTGTGTAGTTCGCTCGAATTGGCCTTCGTGACGCGGCGTGCCGCCAAGTCCCTGATCCGTATAGCAAGTAGCACTGACTTCACACTGGAGTTGAAAATCCGGATGTTATCTTGATTTTCATTCTGAGTGGTGCTGTTGATCTCCACACAGACTTGGAAGTAATGAAAGCTTCCTTTGCTTTCCTAATGTCCCTCACTTTGATATCCTCGTCAGCTCTGTCCGCCTGTAGTTGAAACGATGCTTCCCAGGTAGATGGGTAGGTGAAGGAGGTTGTTTCTTTCAGGTTCCTCCCATTTATGCTGTCTGATTGTTGGCTGTTGTTGTTGCTGTTTCTGTTGGCCAGGAATATTCATCACCTCTATTTTCTCAAAGTTTACCTGAAGTCCTATCTTCGCTGGATGCTTCTTCTGCCAACTTGTTGCTCAATCACAGACAGTTTCACAATTTGTTCTGTATACATGTTTTCTCTTTTTCTCTCTCTCAAACTTCCCTTTATTGTTTTTTGCCACTTTTCACATCTCCGGCGGCATGGGGGTTGCGTCATTCTGATTACACATGTGCGGTGTTGACTCAATGATAAGCAAAGATTCAGTGATTAACCTCTCTCTCTCTCTCTCTCTATCTCTCCGCCTAACTACATTACTTCTTGATGCTCTCACCCCTGTTCCCGCCACCCTATTCTGAGACTACATGAAAGTGAATGCTTTGCAATGACTGAACTTTTTTTCGATGTTACTTAATTTCTTTTTTATCATTGTTATTTCGTTTACAGATTGATCATAGAACTCAAAAGTGGCAAAAGTTATTATATCGAAAAATTGATCAGACAATAGCGATAACTGGTCGACACGCTGAACTAGCTGCATCCAGTCGATCAGAAATGGTTGATCGAATTTTAATCCTGTCTAAAGTGATGCATGGTTTGTATTTGGTAAGTGATGAGTATTATTATTATTATTATTAAGCAAAAATACTTTCACTTTGATATTTCTAACATATCTATCTATCTATCCATCCATCTATCCGGTTACTTATTACAGATTATCATAACTATTATTGCTTTTTGGAGTTTCGAGTCGAAAATATGGCTGGTTTCAACAACACACATCCACTACATTCTATTTTCTGCTCTCCTCTTCCGCTGGATCCATTATTATTATTCCCTTGGGCTCCAAGTGGAACATAGGGCTTCAACTGCACGTCTCCACTTGCCACTTCTGTCTTCCTTCTGCTGTACTTTTCACCTGCATCCATCCATGTTAGTCCATACTGTTTCAACTCCTCTCTCTTCACACGATCTCCTCCATGTCACCCACCCTTGCACTAACGTCCCACTCACCGCTTCCCTTTCGGCCTGGTTCCACTCGAGCAATGGCCTGACGCGCACGCGATGTCACCCAGAGCGATGCCTCCTCAGCGAGCGAGTGTCCATCTCCATCCATCTCCACTTTCTCCTGCATATTTGTTGGTTGGTGATTGCTTCTTGTTTTGTTTGTTTGTTCCCATAGTGATTCTTGTTGGTGATTCTTTCCGGCCCGGCCATCTGATCTTCAGTATAGAGCGAAGGCAGTTAGTTGTAAGTGAAGGTCTGCGACAGGCTGTTGGAAATATTCTTTGTGACCCGCCCGCCAACTTTCTGATCCGTTCCGTATAGAAGAACTGACTGACTTGATGTTGTTTGTATTGAAAATCCGACCGAATTTTGTTGTTGATGCTGGCTGAGTGACGAGGATTACCAAATCGGCTTCAGGTTGATGAATGTGTTTCTCGCCTGCCTTCCCGATTCTCGCTCGATTTGACATCCTCTTCCGTTCCGACTGGCTGTAGTTGAGACAATGCTCCCTCACTGGATATGTGAATGAAGCTACCTCTTTCTAATTCCTCCCGTTGTGATGGTGATTGGCGCTGGATGTTGCTGGATGCATGATTGCTCGTAATCCCTTACCTCCTTTTCTCACGATCTCCTCCATGTCACGCCCGCGCTAACTACCCACTCATTGCTGCTTTCCATAGGGATTCCACTGGAATGATAGCCTGCATTGCACGCTATGTCATTCGAGTTCCTCTTCAACGTATGACCGATAAATCCATCTACATTTTCTCCTACATATTTGTTGAGCAATTGGCTTTTAGTTGGTCTGTTTTCAGCCAACCAGAGGTTGTTGTTGTTGTTAATTCTTTGTGCCCGGCTGGCTAGCTGGCCATTTTATCTTCAGTATGGAGCCAGCCAGAGAAGTTGGCAGCTGTTGATAAAAGTATGCAGCTGGCTGTCGGAGATCCTTTTCGTGACACCAAGTGTAAGTTTGTGATCCGTATAGAAGGACTGACTGACTGACAGACTTCACAGAATCCGAATCTTGTTCCTCATGCTGGGTGAGTGCAGTGGAGAAGGTTTCTTAACTGGTTTCAGGTTGATAAAGGCGTATCTTACCTTTCCGATTCTAGCTTTGATATGTATGGTATTGTGGTTTAACTTCTATTCTTGTCTAACACTTACAGTGGAAATTATTTCGGCTCTATTAGCAGGAATGATTCGATTATGTCGGTTTGTTGGTGCTGTGGTGTTAGAATGCTTGTCACCAAACGTGTACGTGGTCCGGCTTCAATTCCCAGCTGTCACAGTCCTTAACCACACTTAACAGCTAGTAAGTTTGGAAAAGAGGGTAAACTGGGTGTGGTTGTGGCTAACGATCTCACCCATTAAGACAAACAACAGAATCGCTATTAAAATTCCAAAGCTTAATTATCTAAATCAAGTGTTGGTTTGTAGGGATTTGATTGGTTACAGGATTTCATCAAGAGCTGATATCGGTTAGAGAACAATTGGAAAACCTCGGAGTACAGTCCTAGGTTTTCCAATAGTTCTCTAACTGATGTCAGCTCATGATGAAATGCTTAATTCCCTAGGTTCTGCTGGCAATATGAAGGGATTTTAAAAAATTACTGATGAATCCGTGAAATAGATGTCCAGTGTTTAGAAGACCTTTGTGTAACTAGTGAATACTACTACTACGAGACAGTGTAAAAGGTTTCTAGCTGTTTATGTTAACTAGAAGTATTACACTATCGATTGTTTCATTAGATACATGTCATTCATTTATTGTTCCATCAATAGAAAATGTTTGCATGCATTGAATGTAGGAAGACTGGTTCATTCCACAATGTACAAACTTTTACTGACATTAATAAATGCAGATTTGATTAACACAGGTAGAATAGCAATTAAAAGAAGTGATTCAGCGAATTTGTTATCACACTGTATAATTGTAAATGTATGGTTTTTATGAAATTATATCCGGTGAGGAAAATGATTCATAGGTGTGACGTGCGTCGGTGGCACAGTGGTAGAATGCTCGCCAACCACGCTTCTCACCTGGTTCGGGGTTCGATCCCCGGCCACCGACGTATTCCTTCACCTCTCTAAGCCAGTAATATAAGACTGATAAAGAGGGAAGGTGTAAAATTATAGGTTTAGTAGGCAAATATAAAACGTTACATAATATGGTGTGAAGCCTGATAACGTAGAATTTTAACATTGCAGAAAAATTGGATTTAGAATGATAAATGGAACGAGTGAAATAATACCGGTGACATTTCAAATTGTGAACAGTGATAGTGGTAACAATGGACGTAATTAGGAAGAAGTGTAAAAATTAAATAAACAAAACGAAAAATAAGTAGAACCGAAATATGGGTGGGTCCGTCGGTGGCGCAGCGGTTAGAACGCTCGCCGACCATGCGTATGGTCCGGGGTTCGACCCCCGGCCACCGACGCACTCCTTTGCCTCTCTAAGCCAGAAATAATGCTGGTAAAGAGGAAAGGTTAGGCATGAGGCTAGCAACCCTATCCTGTAAAATAAACACTGCAGTAGAAACTTCAAGCTAGAGGCTTGAAGCCCTATGTTCCACTGGGAACATGAAGGTAAAAAAAATATGGGTGGAGGTTATCATACTTTAGCATAGAGGGATTAAGATCAGGAGATTGCATGGAGGATTTCATCAGAAGCTGACTGGTATGATGCTACATCTTTTGTCACAAGGTCACTGCTTAACTATTGACCAGTGCCCACTTAACTGGAAAAGCGGAACACGCGAGAATCAGCGGTAAAACCAGGTTCTTTTATTATGACAAAAGTGACTGTATTTATACAGAAAATAAGGTAGACTGGAAATCAACCAATCCGGTTGAGAGTTGGAATTGTGCAAGCGTCCAATCAGAAGCAGTAACAATTGCATCTCAACGATTTGTTAATAACGCGATCGTAACTAGAATTCATGCTTTCGCCGTTGTATTGGGTCTATGAGCTCGCTGGCCTTGTAACCAGAAGGTCCTGGATTTGAGTGTCCTGTGGTGGGTGCGAACTGATGAAGAGACTCAGGCACCTCGTTTAGCTCCACTCCCACCTCTTCGTAACCACACAGAAGAGTGTTCTTGCATCCACTTCGACAAAACCTTAGTCGGATGACTGAAATACTTAGCTCCACAAGAGCACGTGAACTGATAAACGCATATATATATATATATATATATATATATAACCAGGAGGTTCTGGGTTCGAAACCTTGTGGGTGCGTACTGATGAAGAGTTCCATACTAAGACGAAACAGCTGCCCAGTACTCCATGGTCTCTAACTACTGTCAGCTTATGATGAGACCTATAATCACTTATTTTTACTCCTGATAAAAAATATTATAACACCTGTTATTTTTTCATGCATATTGTGCGTTTATTTACTTGTGTGTATGTGTGTATATATTCCCTTCTATTATTAATGAATTAATTCATCAGGTTGATCATCCACCGGCAGTAACTAAAGGTGCTTGGAAAAAATTAGTTTCATCCCAACGTAAACGTGCTGTTATGGCATGCTTTCGCATGGTTCCACTCTATGCAATGCCAACTCATCGTGTAATGAATTTATTCCTAAAAGGCTACATTACTGAATGGTTAGATTATGAAGAATCATTAGGTGTTAAATTAATTGAAGATGTAACTAGTGGTGCATTATTAAAAGATTTATCAAAATCATATGATCCATCTTCATCATCATCATCGCCATCGGCAGCAGCAGGAGTAGCAGGAACAATGATAACAAGTGGTACTGGGGAATGTTCCCCTGGCAGTGCTACACATCCTACTGAAACTGGTCAAAAGAGTTCAGAAGGTAAGTAGATGATTACACCCGCTTTATTTTATCTTCATATACATATATATATATATATATATATATATATATATATATGCTGAAGAATACGTATAGCTTAGGTCAGCAATATTGGACGGTTTGTTTGCTAAGGATTCATTGTCAAACTAGACAATATCTTTGGCGCTGATTTCAACAAGAATTGAGCTCTTAGAATTCTCCTAATTATCTTGAACACAGCTGGTTATATGCGGAGATTTCGCACACTTTTCCACTGATATTCGTATTGATTGTTTCGTTGTCCTGATCTTTAAGCTTTTGTCCATGTGACTTCCTTTTCATTGTTCGATAAATCTATGATCTATGTCAGACTTGTCTAAGGACCAAGCTTCTATGAACTCCTTGGCAGTCTTGGTATTTTCTGTCGAAATGGTAGCCTTAGTTGCGCAATTAATAGTATTCGGTGAGCTAGTTGGTTTGGTTGTGGAGCTTTCGTCGTCCTTCTGGACAACATCTTCAGCTCAATATTTAGCATACAGTGAAATGATTTAGATTTCTTCATGAGTGACAGACTTGCGTCTCCCGTTAACCATCTTTACATCTCTGTTGATTATTTTCTATTGACTTGAATTTTAAACTTTCTTATTAGTTGGTAGATTTGGTCTATATTAACATGTTTGTTAATTGCATATTCGTTTGAGTACCAGGCTTCTAGGAATTCCCTGGCATTGCTTTTGGTGTTTCTTCTGTCTAAGATTTCGACATTATAACTCATTATTGTGTACTCGTCGCCAAATTATTGTTATGTACTGGTCGAGAATTTAATAGTCCTGACGCAAGAAAGACGGAAATCAGAAGACCACTAGGTTTGCGTTGATACTTCTATTTTCCAAACACAAGGAGAATCAAATATATCACACAAGAGTGTGAGAGCAAAAATATATATGAATGTCCGAACAAGTGTGTGAACACAAGTGTGTGAGCGAATATTCAAAATGAACAAATCAATAGACAGTCTTAACATGATTGGCTAATTATAATGGAATATCGATCCATATATACATAGCAAATATAACAGACATGTCAAACAAACACACAGTTTATATATACTATAAGGGGAATTTACATTGTTAAAGGAGACAGGTTCATCAAAGTGAAATGGTCACAGACTAACAGAGCAACAGAAAGAGAGACCACCATACACACATTATATATATTTATGGATACATATCACTCATGAAGAAATTTAAATCATTTCACTGTATGTTAAATATTGCGCTGAAGATGTTGTCCAGAAGGACGACGAAAGCTCCACAACTAAGCTAACCACCTCAGAGAACAATATTAATTGCAAACCATCCACCTGAGCTACAAATCTTCTCTATTATCCTTAGTTGTCTTTATGCATGTAATTATGAAGTGTTTGACATAATTTCTTCTAACAGCCAGTTCATTTTGTACATGTGACCTCTAACTGGGCGTCTGTCTACATCATCGCTTACCAGGAATGAAGGTTTGTCCAGCCGATGCGTCACAAGTAGAATGGAAAGCGAAACCTAGATTCCACTGCTGGTCAACATTAACCAGAAATAATATTTTTTTAAGTGTTGATTTGTAAGGATTGGATTGGTTACAGGACTTCATCATGAGCCGACATTAGTTAGAGAAGCATTGGAAAACCTGGAAGTACTGGACAGCTGTTTAGTCCGACTAGTTTGCGACTCTTCACCAGTACGCACCCGCTGGGGTTCTAACCCAGGACCTTCTGGTTACAAGGGGAGCTCGTAGACCACTGAGCCACTGGGACCCAATCCAATGGCCAGTGCATGAATTCTAACTTCTGCCAATTCACGACATAGCGCTACCATTAGCCAATGTCTTCGGCGAGTATTTGTCCTCACACCCGACCTGCTGCACCCTACTGGTCATGACTTCTCACTAGAACCCCAGGTAACTAATATTATTTTAACCAATAGGCATCTTTGTGAGCCGGTAGCTCAGTGATATAATGCTCGGCAATCATAAAGGTGGTCCGGGGTCGGAATCCTGGCGGGCGAACTACTAAACCTCGTCTAGTCGGCAGTAAGCTTGGTAAACATGGAGGGTTGAGTGTGAGGCTAACAGCCTTATCCCAAAGGAGTCAAATAAATAATTATGCTGATAATAGACATCGTCAGATTCTTTACTTGGCGGTAATGTGTCAACACAGATCAAGCATTTCGGCCTTGTCAAACGGGAAATAATATTCTGGAGAGGCTTTAAATTACACAAATTTGTTGTTAAATGATCGTTAATCATATCTTAGCAGTCGACTGGTGTAAATCGCAGCCTTTCCTATGCTTTGTAGTTTTGTCACTTAATTACTTTAGTGACTCCCTAACGATCAGTTTATCTACAGTACTCCATGCTACAGGAATTTATCCTTGACACTGGTTTCTGATCCTTATTTCATAATAATAATAATAAATGCTATGCTTTATTCCAAAATGGTACTAATGATGCAGTGTGGAATTTTCAGCTTACATGGCCTAACAATTATAATTTATTCTTAGGCTACATAACATTTCTTGAGGGAAAACATTATGTTTTATGTCGGGTGTTTCAGTATGACTAACAGGTGTTCCTTAACATAGCTCACCTCCAAAATGTGACTTCTAATTTCGTCTTACCTTTAGCTGGGGTAGACGACTAGTTCTTGATCTTTTTTTTATTCCTTTGCGTTCCTAGTGGAAAATAGGGCTTCAGGCTTGAAGTTTCTGTAGCAGTATTGTGGATTTTAACGGGATGAGGCTGCTAGCCTCATGCCCAACCTTCCCTCTTTACCAGTCGTATCAATGGCTTAACGAGTTAATGGAGTGCGTCGGTGGCCGGGAATCAAACCTTGAACCACATGAGAGGCGTGGTTGGCGAGCAGTCTACCACTGTGCCATCGATGCATGTCCTTGATCTTGAGAGAATTGAATACATGTTCCGTTTTCAGAAATGCTCACTCCAGAAACTACAAGGAATTAAACTCACTCAGTGAGTTGCAATCACTAACATAGACGACTAATCAAAGTAATCAAAAATGCAGTTTACCAAGGCAACGACAGATTGATCACACGCACTCTCTCTCCCCTTCTGTATACATAAGTTTGGTTTGAAACGTTTGATTGTAACTGCACCAGGAAATCGTAGTAAATCTACTGTCTTTTGAATGCTTAATATTATGGAGGATTTGGAAATCTCAACGAAATGACCCGTGTATCCACAAGGTGTGTCTGGTAACTACACTTTATGAATATCTGCTCTTCTCTTTAGGCATAAGTTTCATAAGAATATCCTAAAAAAAAACTGGAAAAAAGCATCAGATCTACCTTACTTTATTGAAATTTATCAGAGGAACCATGTGTGTGTGTGTGTGTTAACCGTTGCCTTTCCCCCTGGCATTAGATGCTGCATTTTTAAAAGTTCAGTTTGAACTTTCTCATTGATTGATTGCACCGGAGTGCTCGGCCTCAAGCTGACATGTTTTCTCCTTGCACAGATGCTTCGACGATGTCTGATTATCAAAGTCGAAGTAAATTATTAGATGGTGACTAGCAATGGAATCCACTAAGGTGTACATTTCGTCCCTTTTGGGGCTTATCAGCTGGGTGTGTCTGCATTCCCCAGTTAACGAATATTTGCTTTTCTTTAGGCTTAAGTTTCACTGTAATATGTAATTGCTTATATTTCGGATGCGCTGATTTTTTAAAAATGTTTTCTTCACTGCTTTTCAGACATTGAAGTATGTTTTCGTCATTATTTATAACCATTGTCATTTCAGGTAGTTTGCAGCTGATGAGAACATGTGAAACAGAATAATTCTTTAATTAAATTAATAACTTTTCTTTCTATTATTGCCATTATTATTAAAGCTGAGTCTGGTGGAACACATGATGCGTCTATGATGGATTCAACTCTGGAATTAGAAGTATCAGCTCATTCACATGATCCTGGATTATCTATGACTTCAGAGGTTAAAAAATCGGCTAGTCTACAGGCGAAACCATTACCAGTCAATCAATACGTCTATGGACAAGATTCTGCAACATCGAAACCTGATCCATTAACTCAACTATTGACAGCTTTATGTCGTTCAGCCTCTGAACAAGCACCAGATGATCCACTCTATTTAGCTTATGCTAAGATTATGGGAAAGGTAAGGTTAAATAATATAAACTAATACTCACTACCAATTGATTTTGCATAAAGGTCAAATGTTATTTGATAATAAATTTATTGTATCATTAAGATAGAGTCGGTGGTATAGCGGTTAGGAGGCTTGCCGACCATGCACATGGTCCGGGGTTCGAGCCCACGCCGGCGCACACCTGATATCTATGGTCGGCCTGCAAAATTTGGGCTACCGATATCCATGCTGAAAATTCCATACTTGTACCAAAAATACAGTGTGGAATCAAGCTGTAAATCAAAAATAAAAATAAAAAAATAAAAAATAAAAATTGCTACAGAAACTTCAAGCCACTAGCTTGAAGGCGCCCTATGTTCCACTGGGGAACGTGAAGGAAAAAAAAAGTCATTAAGATAAAAGGCAGTAATTTATAGTTGACTAAATTATTAGGACTGACAGTCTGTTCACTTAGTAGTAATTTGGACACCTTCAGAACTTGTGACTTTATGATGTCAAGGTGGACTTCATCATAAACCCATAAAATTTGGAAATTCTATTATAGATAAGATTTTTATTTTGATAAAGTGTCACACAGTGTGTTTGTTATGTACAGTAATATTTACTGATGATGACCGCACGTTTCAAGCACAATTTATTACCACTCATAATCATATCAAGGCATTACTCACACACAACTTTCTTGCTTCACTCATATGCACGAGTAAAAATTGATGCGATTAGACATATTTGAATAAAATCAATATAAGATAAAGTACAACCAGAAATAATATTAGTGTTACCAATCAAATACAATCAGATGGGAAATAAGATGAGACAAGCTCTGTAAGTTAAAGTACCCTGTTAGTTGATCCAATTAAACAAAATAATATAATTTATGAAATACTTTGCAATGACTGTGATTAAAGTCAACTACACAAGGCAAACTAGTAGGTCAGGGGTAGTCAGATTGTCGGAACATAGGAATTTAGCGAAGGTAAGAATAATTGACCCCACGAAGATTAGTAATTTAGAAAAAAAGGCTCAGCACTTCATTGCACTGCATGTAATAACACACAACCACACAATAGGATGGGAGGGACAGAGTTGAAATTCTAAAAGGTAATATAGATTAATGGAAACAGAGAGATAGAGAGAGAGAGATTGATGACTGAATCCTGCCTGATTCATCGAGTCTACACACCCAACACAACACATGCAACAGAAATGACTCGATGCAAATACCAGAGATATGCATGGAAGATATTACTACCACCAGTTAGTCAAATCAGAGGAGGATAATAAATAATCTTAAAATTCTATTTCAATTCACGTATACCATAACATTCTAACAAGTTACTTATTTATTTTGACTATAAAAACACTCGTCTTATTTCCCATATGATTGTAACTGATCAATAACACTAATATTATTAATATTTCTGAATGCACATTATCCCATATTGATTTTTATCCAAATGTTTAATCATCAATTTTACTCCTGTATATAAATGAAGCAAGATAGTTGTATGAATGGTGCCTTGATATGATTATAAGTGGCAATAAATTGTGCTCGAAACGTCTGGTCATCATCAGTAAATATTACTGTATAACAAGCAAACTGTGGGATTTTATCAAAGTAAAATCTTATCTATAATGGAGTTATACTGTACTTCAGGGCCCAAGTTTCATACTTATATCACTTACTACTGACTAGTAATTTTTTGTTGTTGAAATTTTAGATTCCACCGGCGGGGACTCGAACCCTGAGAGACTTGTGTGTATGTGTTTGGTTGGTGAACATTCTATCACTAGCGTACACAGTTATATTATATTATTATTATTATTGTATCCTTTAGTTCCTAGAGGAACATAGGGCTTCAGCTGCGCACCTCCATTGCCTTCGGTTTTCTGACAACTTTTTCACCCTGCTCCAGGTATGTCCACATGCTTCCATCTCCTCCTCGCATGACCTCCTCCAAGTCACCCTTGGACGACCAACTCACCGCCTCCTCTTCGGGTTCCACTCGAGCAGTGGCTTGTGTAGTGGTGTCATTTGATGGTTGGTTTTCTCATCGTATGGTCAATCCATCTCCATTTCTTTCTGCCTATTTGTTTCACAATCGGTTCCTGATTGGTTCACTCCCAGAGATCCCTGTTGCTGATATTTTCTGGCCGGCCATCTGATCTTGAGTATTGAGCGGAGACAGCTGTTAATGAAGGTCTGAAGTTTGTTTGAGATGCTCTTTGTGACGCGCAGTGCAAGTCTCTGATCCGTATAGTAGCACTGACTGCTTCACATTGGAGTTGAAAATCCGGATCTTATTTTTGATGCTGAGTGCTGTTGACCTCCACACAGATTTGAGAGTAATGAAAGCTTGTCTTGCTTTTCCGATTCTGGCTTTGATGTCCTCGTCAGTTCCGCCTGTAGTTGAGACGATGCTTCCCAGGTGGGTGAAGGAGGTTGTTTCTTTCAGGTTCTTCCCACTTATGCTGATTGTTGTCTGTTGTTGTTGCTGCTGTTGATGTTGGCTAGGAATCTTCATCACCTCTGTTTTATCTATATATGAATATATATATATATATATGAATACGCTTTATTTTTCTTTCTTTTTTTTCTATCGTTTAGAGTTGTAGTGGTGAAGATGAAGACGAGGATGAAGAGAATGCTAATGAAGAAGGTTCCAGTTTCCAAGTAGGTTATTCATTTGATAGTCTACAATTTGACTCTATACGGAGTAGGTAATTAATCCGCTTATCTAATTGTGAGAGTTTGGATTATGCCTCAGACTGTGCACAGGGAGTGGAGAAGACAGGAATACGCTGCACTGACCTCTAAGAAGACTCTAGAAGATCTAGATCTCACGCGTGGATGATTTATGTCTAATGTCACATAAACTCAAAGACTTGCAGGCATACAAAAACCAACAAACTGGCAGAAGAGGCTGACAGCCAGTGAAGACAGGACTCACTCCAGGTGAACACAGAAAAGGCGAAGGTGATGAAGATAACCAACGAACCATCACCAGTCAACATCAACGACAGAGATTTAACAGAAGTTACGCCATTCAGTTATCTAGGAAACATTGTTTCAACTAAAGGCAACCAGAATCGGAAAGACAAGATTCGCCTTCATCAACCTGAAATCAATTTAAAAATCTCTACTCAACACTCAGCCAGCATAAAGAACAAGATTCAGATTTGCAACATCAATGTCAAGTTGATCCTTCTTTACGGGTCAGGAAATTTTTAACACATGTCACGCAAAGCATTTCCAACAAGTTACAGACTAACAGCTGCCAACTTCACTGGCTGGCGCCATACGGAAGGTTAAATGGTCAGCCAGAAAGAATTCGCAACAAGAAACTCTGCCTGGCTGACAACAAACCAATAAGGCTAGAGTCAATCGCCCAACGAATTTTTCGGAGAGAATGAAGATTGACCAGGCCGGGCATACATTGAGGAAACCGTAGAATAATATCGCGCCAGACACACCCACAAGTGGAATCCGTATGGGAAGCGACAAGGTGGCTATATATATGTATCCTAGGATGATATGGAGAAGGTCTGGTGAAAAAGAAATGAGAGATTGTGGGTGATCCTAGACCTATCTGAAGAGGATGGCAGAAAATAAAATGTAGTGGAGATGTGTGGTTGAAGCCAGCCCTATGTTGCACTCGGAATCCAAGGGAATAATAATAATATCTGCTACCACCAGCATATAAACATTAATATTTATAAACAACTTCAGGTTATATCATCTGCATTTCTAAAATAATTTTTTTGATAGCCTAAATTCTATAGCGACTGAACTTGCGATCACATCACTAAATGGTAACGTTTCAAATCGGCATCCTCATATTATGAGTTATATTCTGTTACTGAATGACACAAACACAAATAAACAATTTTTAATCTCAAGCCTTTTTCTTGAGATCAGTCGAAAATTACTCATTACTCACTCATTCCAAGGGTAATTAGCGTGTACACATTTTGTTTCAAATACCACCGAATAAAGATATACTTACTGCTAAATAAACTTGTGAAGAGTTTACTACAAGTTGAGTCTAGAAGAATGATTCTGCATAACTGCTGATTCTTTTTGTTGAAGTGAATTTCGATTGCATGGAGGATTTCATCATGAGCTGACATCAAGTTAGAAAACCACTGGAAAACCTGTAGCGAGTACTAAACCGCTGTTTCTGCTGTCCTAGTTTGGGGCTCTTCATCAGTACACACCAAACACAGATGGTTAGAACCCAGGACCTTTTGGTTACAAGGTGAGATCTTAGACCATTGAGCCACTGGGATCCGATCCAATGGTCCTTGAATTCTAACACTTCTGCCAATTCACGACATAACGTGACCATTTCGCAATGTCTTCTTCGATGAATTACTGCCTCATCTTCAACCTGCTGTCCAGTACTCGCTACAGGTTTTCCAGTGGTTCTCTAACTTGATGTCAGCTCATGATGAAATCCTCTATACAATCAAAATAAAATCCCTACAAAACCATTACTTGATGTGAATTTTTTTTTGATACTGTACAACTATATGAGATAATCTTGGGTTGTCCGACTGTTTTTTGATGTAATGGGTGAATGATAGGGGCTAAAATTTAAAAAAAATAAATACCATCTAGGTAGTGTCAAGATTCGAACAAGTGCCCTACATCTATGTGAGCTACAGGACTCATCAGCTATGTGGGTAGGTAGGTCATCAGTTGAATTTGCAATCTACATATGAATTGTTCATTTGTTCACTTGTAAACAAACCATAGAATATTGCCCTGTAATCATTGCGCTAGCTGTTCAGCTAGGAGAAATGCAAGTGTTGTAAAATTGATAGTAAGACTTTCTAAGATAATTTTAAGTTGTCAAATACACTCTCTAATGTGATTAAGTATAGTTTTTCATTGGTTTCAAAAAGAGAATCTCCAGAAAACCCTACACCCATATGACGAGTCCCAAAACGGGACGAAATACGCATCTTGGATTCCACGGCTAGTCACCATCCACTAATTAAATTTTAAGTCATAAACCCGCCTAATTTTCATTTTGCCTTTTTTGTTTCTTCATTCCCTTGCATTTCAAATTTAACATATTGGGCTTTAACTTTGAACAATGAAGTTTCAGTAGCGGTGATGTTATTCTGTTGTTTTTTTTTTACACAATGGGTTTTGCTAGCCGTACACCCAAATTCTCCCTTTTTTTTACCACGCTTACTGTTGCGGTAGTAGACTAAGCGAGTTTAAAGACTTCGTCAAATGGCAGTTGAATCAGAACTACGTCTATAGTTGGTGAGCATTTCTAATACTGAACCAATGACAGATTTTCCTGGAAATCAAACTAACTTCTTGCCTATCCTTCCTTCTTCTAATATCTTTATTTGTAAATCTCAGCCTTTTTTCTTCGAAGTCGAACAAAAGGCGTCGTTAAGTAAAGAATTTTAAAAACTGAACAAAAACAGATTTTTTTTATATCTTGATTGGAATAATGCAGGAATCGAAAATGCAGTCAGGGAATTCCTAAAAGCCTGGTACTCAAGTGAGTTAAGAATTAACAAACACACCGTGATGGCAATGCGCCTAGAGTGGTGGTCACATTGCGAACCTGACTGACTGATAGAATTCAGTCTGTACCAAACACCAAGGACTAGACACATAATACTAGTTACTAGTGTACAATCAAAATATCGAAAACAGTCCTACAGGAGGTTGATTCGGAGCCCGAATGCATCAGTGGTGATGCCTCAGACTGCAGTATTGGATGACATGGGATGACATGGTCTGCACTAAAAAAAAGGACTGGACACATCACACTAGTTACCAACTAGTGTGCAATCAAAGCAACAAATACTTTTTATTTTTATTATTTTTTTATTACTGCTTGATTCCACACCGTATTTTTGTGGTACAGGTATGGAATTTTCAGAATGTGATATCGGTAGCCCAAGTTTTGCAGGCCTACCATAGATATCAAGTGTGCGTCGGCAGGGGATCAAACCCCGGACCATGTGCATGATTGGCAAGAGTCATATCCGTTGTGCCACCGACGCACTACACATCATTATAAATCAAATTTACCAGCTAATATAAAGTAAATCATCACATGACAAGAAAGTTAGAATTCCAAGTTAATAAAAGTGATCAATAGAGGTGTAAATCAATTACCAGTCACGAAGATGGTGGCCAGGAGACACAATTATATCATCATTCATGGAGAATTCGAATAAGTTCAGTTTATACTAAAATCATCTCTGAAGCGGTGTTGTCTAGAAGAGGTGGACGACGAAAGCTTCACGATTAAACCACCAACCACCTTTTCAGAGGACCCACTTACTTCATATGTGTGTGTGTGTACACACACATACAATGGGAGGACTCATCGATCTCTGCAAATAAGAGCTGGCTTCAGAGCATATTCCTAAATAGCTCCAGAAACAAATGGAATCTTCAGAACCCATTAATGGTGGGAACAGGAGACCTGGCTCCTCTACTGCGAAAGATATTATAGAGACAGGACATAAAATTGATGTTAACACATCTTTTAAACCTATCTAGAAAACGTGTTTGGTGGTGAGCGTATCCTAAAGTTTTTGGAAGCCCTAGCTAGCAATTAAGAAGTTTAAACCACCTTTATGCGTTCAAAAACAATTCGTCATTACATTAAACCTTCTTTGGTAAATTTTGTTTTGATACCATCCAGGGTAGACGTACTATTACCTCTGCTATTTGATTCAGTGATCTTCATTGTTATTTCGGCCTTGAATATGTCCTTTTAACTTGTCCTAACTTGTCCATTTTCTCACCTATTAACTCTTTATTACTTCTACACATGTATATTCCTATGACAAATTCGTGGAGTGTGATCAGATTGTTCGAAATAAGTGTTGTACGCAAATATGCACATTACACGATTCAGACAGAAAAATTACGTCTTCTTATTGCTTTATTTAAATACAATTAGTTCAGTTTTTATCTCTCCATATATCCATACACTTTCAGGCTTTGTTCAGCACATTTTCGGACACTACCTATACACTAATCAGAGTTACGAAAAATATATATATATATATCGACGCCAAGTAAAATCCTGAGTCGCATCATCCTGGAGAGAATAAAGGACGCATTGGATACAGAACTCCGCCTTACTGAAACAAGCTGGACTCAGGAAAGGCAAATCATGTTCTGACCGAATTGCAACTCTACGCATCATCATCACAGAACAAAGTATGGAATGGAAATCAAATCTCTACCTCAACTTTATTGACTTTGAAAAGGCCTTCGACAGACAGCGTTGACCGCGAAGTAATTTGGAAATTACTCGAGTACTATGGCGTACCCCAAATATTCATCAACCTTATTCAACAGCTGTACTACAACGGCACCTGCCAAGTGATCCACAACGGAAATATCAGCGAGGCATTTGGAGTAAACACAGGAGTCAGACAAGGGTGCTTACTATCACCAATGATATTCCTAATTGTGGTGCACTGACTGGATTATGCGTCAGACTGTGGGAAACGAGAAGACAGGAATATCCTGGACCGACCGACGTGAAGAACCTAAAAGACCTGGTTTTCGCGCGTGGATGACTTATGCTTGATGTCACACAAAATCGAAGACTTACAAGCGAAAACCGACAAACTGGTCGAAGAAGCAGCAAAGACAGGACTCCAGGTAAACATAGACAAGACGGAGGTTATGAAAATAACCAACCAACAACAGCAACAACATCCAACGTCAATCACCATCAACTGGAGGGATTTGAAAGAGGTTACTTCATTCACTTATCTAGGGAGCATTGTCTCAACTACAGGAGGAGCGGACGAGGATGTCAAATCGAGTGAGAATCGGGAGGCGAGAAACACATTCATCAGCCTGAAACAACCAATCTGGAAATCTTCGTCACTCAGCCAGCATCAACAACAAAATTCGGTAGGATTTTCAATACAAACGTAAAGTCAGTTCTTCTATACGGATCAGAAACTTGGCGGGTCACAAAGAATATTTCCAAAAGGCTGCTGACCTTTATTAACAACTGTCTTCGCTCAATACTGAAGATCAGATGGCCGGAAAGAATCACCAACAAGGAATTATGGGAACAAACAAAGCAAGAACCAATCGCCCAACAAATATGCAGGAGAAAGTGGAGATGGATGGATTGGACACTCGCTCGCTAAGGAGACCGCTGGGTGACATCGCGCGCCAAGCCCTCGAGTGGAACCAGGCCGAAAGGGAAGCGGCGTGTGGGACGTCCAAGGGTGACATGGAGGAGATCGTGTGAAGAGGAGTTGAAAGAAGATGGATTAACATGGATGCAGGCGAAAAGTATAGCAGAAGACAGAAGAAAATGGAGACGTGCAGTTGAAGCCCTATGTTCCACTAGGAACCCAAGGGAGCAATAATAATAATAATTATTATATATATATATAGTAATGAATTGACTCCTTCTTTACACATGTAAGAGTTTTCAAACAGTGAGTTATATGCTTTTAATGTTATCTCCAATTCTCCTTTCTTCTGTTTTAACCAATCATATCTGCAGGAACAAGAAGAACAAAAACAACAATTGTTGAGTGAACAAAATCGTCTTGCAGAACGTGGTGCAGCTGAAATGGTTCTACTACAGTTAGCTGCATCAAAAGGTTAGTTATGCTGATTCGTGTTGAGTGTTGTTGCGTATTCCTTTACGGTCCCACCAGTGGAACAAGCTACTTTCAAGCTTTATTTAGCTTTGAAGTTTTGCTAGCAGTGGTACTTGAAATAATAATAATAGAGAAGATTTGTACCTCAGATGGATGATTTGCAATGAATAGTGTCCTCTGAGCTGGTTGGTTTAGTTGTGGAGCTTTCGTCGTCCCCCTGCTGGACAGCATCCCCCTTCAGTGTAATTTTTAGCGTATAGTGAAGTGAAGTAAAGGACTGAACTACAATACTGGTAACGCTTCAGTAACAGATTTCTGTGCCTCCTTAGAATCATCACTCAAATTATCAAAATTAAATAAGGAAGTACAACAAGAAATACGTCAATGTATCATACCTATAATCAAACAGAAAATTCACAACTTAGTACTGAAGAGCAAAATGCATTGAAGAAACTGAAGAATATAAAAGATACAGTTATTCTACCGGCTGATAAAGGAAGAACAACAGTAATCCTGGACACAGAAGACTACATAAAGAAGGCAGAGGATTTACTCATCAAAGATAATAATGTATATCAACATTTGACAAAAAATCCTATACAAACACTCGATAACAAAATCAGAACAACGTTAAATAAACTAACGAAATCATGAAAAATTACAGAACAAGATCAATGGCGAATGAGATCTAACGGACCCATTTTACCTCGATTTTATGGTAGATCAAAACTACACAAACCAAACATTCACTTACGACTAATCGTTTCGCTTCCAGGAACACCAACATATAATCTATCTAAAGAACTTTTCAGGAAGTTAAATTACCTAACAGAATCATGCGACTATTCTATCAAATTCGTCAATTCAATTTTTAGAGAAAATCAAAACTATTCAGGTAGAAGACAATGAAATAATGGTGTCATTTGATGATGTCACAGTATTATACATACTTCAATTAGTCCAAAACTGGCAACAGAAACTATGCAACAATTACTCTATAGCGATGAAAACATAAAAACGCCATGTTCAACTTGGATAGAACTCATAAAATTATGCTCTACAACATACTTCCAATTCAATACTCAAATATACGAACAGATTAAAGGAACACCAATGGGATCGCCCATATCAGGATTAATAGGTGAAGCCGTCATGCAAAGATTAGAATTAATAGCTCTACCTATAATTAAACCAAAAATCTGGACAGGTACGTTACGTTGATGATACATTTGTAATAATTAAGAGAAATGATTTAGAATATATCCATAAATTGATAAACAACATATTTGAAGACATCAAATTCACCACAAGAGGAGAAGAAGAACAGCTAGATAACAAAATTCCATTCATAGATGTCTTAATCAGGAGAATCAACACAGGAAATTTAGAAACACGAGTATATAGAAAATCAATGCACACAGATCAAATACTCAACTATACTAGCAATAATCCAATTACTCACTCACAAAAGAAACTGTGTGCAGACATTGTTCACAAGAGAGTTCAAACACACAGTAGCACTCCAGAGTTGAAAAAATGGAAGGAAAATACCTACAAACGGTCTTCAAAAAGAATGGTTATCCACAAAATTTCATCAAAAAGTGTTTCAAATCGAATTATGCCACCAACAAGGAACCATCATCAAAGAGCAAAAAGAAAGTCATCCTACCATACGGCTAGAATAATGAAACCGTTTGATATAGATATAGCACACAAGCCAGCCAGTCAAATCACTTGATTTGATATTATGCAAACCGAAAAATCCAACAGAAAAAGGAGATAAAATTAATACCATTTACATAATAAATTATATGAACCGTAACAGGCATTATATCGGCCAAAGTGGGCGTCCCCATTGAATCGGAATACACGAACAAAAATCAGCTGTGAAAAGACATGATATATATTCCTGTTTCATATCAATGCATGTGGATAATTATGGACACCGATTTGATGATTGGATGAATGTCGAAATTTTAGACAGAGGAAACACTAAAAGCAATTCCAAAGAATCCTTAGAAGCCTGGTACTCAGACGAAAATGCGATTGACCAACTAATAAAAAGTAAATTACGTGACCAGAAAGTTTAAAATTCAAGTCGATAAAAAATGATGAATACCTATGTAAAGATGGTTACCTGGAGACGCGATTCTATCATCATTCATGGAAAGTTTAAATCAGCTCACTTCACGCTGAAAATTGCGCTGAATTGATATCGTCTAGAAGGGGTACGACGAAAGCTCCGCAACTAAACTAACCAGCTCAGAGAACACTATTAATTACAAAACGGTAATATTTATTTTAAGGGGTGTAGTTGACAGCTTCACGCCCAAACTTCCCTCCTTATCCAGCTCGAACCCCGGACCATGTGTATGGTTGGCTAACTCTCTACCACTGGACCACCAACAAACCGTCCATATTTCTAGTGTAAAACTATGAGATTCTAAGTTATGTCTGGTAGTATATTATTGCAGTTGTTTATTATTCCTGTGGTACAGTGGTTAGGACTCTCGCCAACCATGCACATGGTCCGGGATTCGAGCCCCCGCCTATGCACACCTGATATCTATGGTCGGCCTGCAAAATTTGGGCTACCGATATCACATTCTGAAAATTCCATACCTGTACCACAAAAATATGGTGTGGAATCAAGCTGTAACCAAAAATAAAAAAAAATAAATTGTTTAAATAAAAAATTTAAAAAATTCAACTGAGTTCCAACTGAAACAACACCAACACTCGGTTGTCAACAACCTTTTTTGCTGACCGGCTGACCGGTTAGCTCTATGATTACACATAATCTTTCATCAACTCCTCATAGGATTTCATTCATATCATACATGAACTGATACTGAAATTGTCGCCATCCTCTTTGGGTTCCATTTTACGTCCTGGTACATGATTTCACTCAAGTGGCTGATTTTGTTGTTGGTATATTCTCTGAAATGGGATAATTTAATCATGAAGCTTTCTAGACACAAAGTACAGTGTAGTAAACTTTTGGAATTCTTTATTCATGGAATGGTCGGCAGTGATGAATTGAATTACCAATGTGTAGTGATAAAACCTTTACTAACAAACACTAAAGAAGGTGGAACATAATAATAAATAATAGAGATTTGTACCTCAGATGGATGATTTTCAATAAATAGTGTTCTCTGAGCTGGTTGGTTTAGTTGCTGAGCTTTTGTCGTCTCCCTGCTGGACAACATCCCACTTCAGCGCAGTTTTTAGCGTGAAGTGAGCTGATTTAAACTTTCCATGAATGATGATAGAATTGCGTCTCCCGGTAACCATCTTTACATATGTACTGACCATTTTCTATTGACTTGAATTTTAAACTTTCTGGTCACATGATTTACTTTTAATTAGTTGGTGGATTTTGTTTGAGTACCAGGCTTCTAAGGATTTTTTGGAATTGCTTTTGGTGTTTCCTCTGTCTAAAATTTCGACATTCACCCAATCATCAAATCGGTGTCAATAATTATCCACATGCATTGATATGAAAGAACATATATCGTGTCTTTTCATATAGACAATTATGGGTGTCCCCTTCGAATCCGAATGCAGGAACACAAATCAGCTGTGAAAAGACAAGATATATATTCCTGTTTCATATCAATGCACATAGATCAGTTTGATTAGCATAATGTCGAAATTTTAGACAAAGGAAACACTAAAAGCAATTCCAAAGAATCCTTAGAAGCCTGGTACTCAGACGAAAATGCGATTGACAAACATGTAAATATAGACAAAATCCACCAACTAATTAAAAGTAAATCATGTGACCAGAAAGTTTAAAATTCAAGTCAATAGAAAATGGTCAGTACATATGTAAAGATGGTTACCGGGAGACGCGATTCTATCATCATTCATGGAAAGTTTAAATCAGTTCACTTTATGCTTAAAAATTGCGCTGAAGTGGGATGTTGTCCAGCAGGGAGACGACGAAAGCTCCGCAACTAAACTAACCAGCTCAGAGAACACCATTAATTGTAGAACATGTTAGTCATGTCACGTGACGACCTGGTTAAATTTAGGCTACCGAAAAATCCCCATCGACAACAACTTGCTTAATCACAAGTTTCTAGTTATCGTGAGAAAAAACATTACCTTGAGTTAGGGTGTATTGCAATGCAAGAGACAGCTGTTCTACTGTCACGTCTTTGCTTCACAGGATGGATTCCTGAAACTTTTGTCATTGACATTCAGTCAAATTACATATATTTTCAAGTATTGGTTTGTAGGGATTTGATGATTCATTGGTTACAGCATTTCATCATAACCTGGAAGTATTGGAGACCGTTTCATTTGCCTAGTTTGGGTCTCCTCATCAGTACGCACCCACCACAGGAGGTTCAAACCCAGGACCTTCTGCTTACAAGACCGGCGAGCTCATAGACCATTCGGTCACTGGGATCCAATCCAATGACCAGTGTATGAATTCCAACTTCCGCCCAATTCACGACTTAGTGCGACCGATAGCCAATGTCATCGTTGGCGGGTATTTGTCCTCACACCCAATCTGCTGTACCCTACTGGTCAGGATTTCCCACTAGAACCCCAGGTAACTAACTACCTTCGTAAATAGAGCCAGTAGCTAGTGAGCATCTCATTGATTTTCAATTATTGATTTGTAGGAATTTGATGATTGAATAGTTACAGGATTTCATCATGAGTTGACACCGGTTAGAGACAAAGGACAAAAGAGAGACATCGGTGGCACAGTGGTTAGGACTCTCGCCGACCATGCACATGGTCCGGGGTTCGAGCCCACGCCGACGCACATCTGATATCTATGGTTGGCCTGCGAAATTTGGGCTACCGATATCCACGCTGAAAATTCCATACTTGTACCAAAAATACGGTGTGGAATCAAGCTGTAGTCAAAATAAAAAAAAATAAATAAATCATAACTTCTTGGTATGTGCTTCATGTTAGACAGAAGTGTTTCACATGGTCTATCTGCTACTCACTTATTGATTTCTCTTTATGATAATTATTTAATCTTATTGTCGTTATTTGATCATTTATTAATGTTTATTTCACTTACACAAAACAGGCGAGTCTACACCAGTTGCTCAGGCAAGTATTGAATTGGGCATAGCTTTACTACTTGGTGGAAATGTTGATGTACAAGGACGTATGTTAGACTATTTAATGAGGAAAAAGTTATCCGGTTTCTTTACAAGTTTAGCTGGTCTTACACAAAAATGCTCAGTATTAGATTTGGATACATTTGAAAGGTGAGATATTAACTCTTGTTTGAGTGTAGCTGTTAATTAATTGTTTTTTTTTTCTTGTTTAAAAGAGGTCCGTTATTTCTTCATTCCTTTGAATTGATGCGGAGATAATTCCATTCACTTCACTTATGAATTGGAAAGTCAGGGGAATGGGAGCTTCCAATGTAGTGTAACACACACACACACACACACACACACACCCTAGTGTGTGTTAACAGGAAACCCACACATTCAAACAGATATTTGGATATTCCGATACATCCCACGAAGTCTATGTCAGTGAAAATAGGATTGATGAAATGTTTAAGTGACAATGGAGCACAAAATCTAAGTAGTACCAAGGAAAATCTAAGACAGGAAATGATACACATAAAAGAGACCTTGAAACTTAATAATTACTCGAATAAATTAGTCAGGAAAAATGTAGGGAGATGTAGAAATTAAAATAAAATAAACAATGATAGTAGTGATAGTGATGATAATAATAATATTAATGACGACACCAACAATAAGGAATCTAAGTCATTAGTAGTAATTCCATACAAAGAAGGAACCTTGGAAACCACCTTACGCAGAACTATTAACAATTCAGGCAGGAATGAAAGTGACTGGCATTCAAACCACCCACAAATTCAATTAGAAACAAGCTCTGTCGGCTGAAGGATCCTGTGGGGCTAAATAAACAAAACAATTTAGTTTATCTGATACCGTGTTTGCAGTGACTGCCAGGTCAAATACATAGGTCAAACTAGTAGAACAGGGTCAGTCAGTCAGACTAGCTAAGCATAAAAACCTTACAAAATCTGGATTAGTTCACCAGAATAAGATAAGAAATCTAGAAAATAGTTCATTTGTAGATAGCACTACATGCAGTTACACACAGCCATACAATAGGATGGATGGGATTAGATGACAGCTTTAAAATCGAATGTCACAGGGTGGAAGGAGAGATTGATAACAAAAGCCTTGTTTATCGAGTCAGCTGAGAGAAAATACGTGTAATAGGAATGATTCAACATCTGTCCAGTTGGATATCTGGAAAATTCTACTACCACGCCTACGACGACAAATAGGAGAGAACAAAGAAAACTGTGAAACTCAAGTTTCGAAGTCGTGTGATTATAGCTGATATGAGTATGAACAATAAATTTTGTTTGAAACTTTTTCATCCAGTAAATAATAATACTGTTTCATTGTTTGTGTGATATATCTAATAAACAAACTAATATGGTATTACTTACTACAACAGTGCCCAAGTTTTACATATATATAAATGGCTTGGGCTTCGGTAATCCAAAGAAGACGGAAACGTACTGTCTTTGGCAGGTTATTCTTTACCTTGTAGATTACTTTTAAGGGGGTGTTTGTTGAGATGGAATGCCCATTGGTGATGAGATGTTCGATTATTGCACTCCTTATACGGCGGGTCACAAAGAATATTTCCAAAAGGTTGCAGACCTTTATTAACAACTGTCTTCGCTCAATACTGAAGATCAGATGGCCGGAAAGAAGCACCAACAAGGAATTATGGGAACAAACAAAGCAAGAACCAATCGCCAACCAACAAATATGCAGGAGAAAGTGGAGATGGATCGAACACTCGCTGAGGAGACCGCTGGGTGACATCGCGCGTCAAGCCCTCGAGTGGAACCAGGCCGAAAGGGAAGCGGCGTGTGGGACGTCAGTGCAAGGGTGACATGGAGGAGATCGTGTGAAGAGAGAGGAGTTGAAAGAATATGGATTAACATGGATGCAGGCGAAAAGTATAGCAGAAGACAGAAGAAAATGGAGACGTGCAGTTGAAGCCCTATGTGTTACACTAGGAACCCAAGGGAGCAATAATAATAATAAAACAATATACGGCCATTACTTCCTTTCTGCACCCATTCTGGATAGTGTTCTTTGACCCTTTTTGACAGCATGCGCATCGAAAGACCGATGTAACTGGCTCCGCAGCAACATGTGAACTGATAAATACACATAGTAGTCAGGTAGCGAGATCTTGTGCTTTGGGCTTTTGCAGGTCAGCAGGCGACTGGGAAACACTACTCTCAGTGCTGCCGCAAAGAAAGTTCTTCTTAAGGAAGTGGAAATTTTCCTCTTAAGGACACCACTGAGTAGGTCACCTTTGAAGTCGAGATTCATATAAAGTATCTTTTTTCGCACGGATGGCGCCTCTCGCTTTTGGATTTTCTGTTTGATGTTTTTGTCTATGAATCTTCGTGGATATCCGTTTTGTATGAATATTTCTTTCAGGAAGTGTAGTTCTTCTTTCAGGGTATTAGAGCTGCAGATGCATCGAACGCGAGTAGCAGGAGATCTAATTAGGTTTCCTTCTCGACTGATTGGTACGCAGCTGTAGAAGCTTTTCCATTAACCATTCCATGTTGCTTTCCCATGGATGAACCTTCTTAAAGTTCCATTAGCTCTTCTTATATGTTCAACATCAAGAAAAGGAATTTTAGATCCGTTTTCTATTCCAAGAGTAAACTTTGTAGCTGAATGGCAGTTATTGAATATTTGTAGCAGCCGATTAAGATCGTGACCATCATCATCAAAGATAATAAAGATGTCATCCACATATCTAGCACACAATTGGAAATTAACTATAGTTGATTTGAGTGGGCCATTCTTGAGGTTTGCCATGAAGTAGTCTGTATATGTGATAAAGTATTCACCCTTCATTGATTGGACACTAGTAACTAGTGTGACGGATCTAGTCCTTTCTTTGGTGCAGACTGCAATCTATCAGTCAGGTTTTACAATGTCGCCACCATTCTAGTTAGCTCGCCATCACTACCCACTACAGTCCTACAAGAGGTCAATCGCGAGCCCGAATAGCTAGCTCAGTGGTAACGTCTCTGACTGCCGCTGTCACTGGGTGACGCGGGTTCGAATCTCAGAAGGGACATAAGTTCCTTCAAGGTTGCAGATACGCCTTGCTGACTAGTGAGGAGTGGCAACTAGCACGTAGGTGGTGTCCAAGACTTCCTGTGACTGACTGCCTCCAACTATCTAATATTCACCCTTCTGCTTCATTTTATTGTTTAAATGATGTAATATCTTATTTAACTTTATTACCCTAATATGGTTATTATTATTATCATTCGCATTCTAGATGCAATAAAGCTGAAGGCTTAGCTGTTGGTCTGTCTGATATGGAAGGTATAACAAACTTATACGATGCTGATTTCACCTGTAAAATTTTCCGATTTTTACAACTACTCTGTGAAGGACATAATCTAGGTAAGAGGATTTGTCACCCGGTAATCATTTGTCGACACAGTTATTTCTTTTTGTCTCTCTTTGATTTAAATGTATTTTGTTGTATATGTTGACTGAATAACCGACTTTCGACGAAGAAATCTGCACATAAATGCAGGATTTTATGTTGCCATACTTCGTATTCCCGAGAAACTTAGAGATGCAAAGAAGCTCAAGGGAACTACAATGAACACAAGTATGTGAGATAATGGGAATTGAATGGATCTCCGAGTTCAAAAAAGATTGAATATATCTGCACCACTGATAACGATTTCGAACCAGGTAACTAGCAGTCTGCAGCCAGATAGTAGCAGTCGAAATTGTAGAGAGATTGGAACCATTTGCTTCTTGACGCGAATTTACAACACAATCTGAATGGTATACGAGCTAGCTTGCCATGTAACCGGAAGGTCCTGGGTTCTAACCCCATCCGGTGGGTACGTACTGCTTATGATTCCTAAGTACTGGGATGAAACAGCTATCCAGCCCTCCCTGATATAAGTCTGTGATCAACCCGTCAAAACAATTCTAATCCTTGTAAACCAACTATTAAAAAGTAGGATTTAATGAATTCATCAAACATCGATGGAACGCTTCAGCTGTGAATGCCGTACATACAATGTTATATACTATGGAGTATTTATAAACCGGTATTTGACTGACTAATCAAAAAAGCATGCAAAGTAATCCACAACGCGAAACTTACGGAACCCTTCGAAGTGAGGACGGGAGTAAGACAAGCTGGCTGTCTACTATCGCCAATGATTTTCCTGATTGCAGTAGATTGGATAAGGCAACAAATAGTAGGCAATGAGGAAACAGGCATAAAATGAACTCACACAAAAGACTTGGAGGATCTGGACTTTGCTGATGAGGTGAATGTCTGATTTCTGGCTTAACGAGGTAAAGGAGTACGTAGGCTGGTGATCGAACCCCGGAGCGTGTGCATGGTCGGCAAGTGTTCTAACCTCTATGCCACCGATGCACAGACGACTATGCATTTTTGGTATATATATATATATATATATATATATATATATATACGACTGTGTACAGCCTCTGAAGATGATTTCATCGATAAAGAGAGTGTATCACTTTCTCATTGACAGATATTTACACATATTCCCTTTATACATACATACATATATGTATACAATTGGTGGATGGTGGCTAGCAGTGGAATCCAGGATGCGCATTTCGTCCTAATTGGGACTCGTCAGCTGGATGTACCTGCATTTCTCAGTGAGTGATGACGTTCCCAACGAAGCTCGAACCCAGTACCCATAGTTTCAAACGCCAAAGCGTTATCCACTAGACCACTGTGGATACTGCGTTTGAGCTTCGTTGGGAACGTCATCACTCACTGAGAAATGCAGGTACATCCAGATGACGAGTCCCAATTAGGACGAAATGCGCATCCTGGATTCCACTGCTAGCCACCATCCACCAATTGTACACCAATTAAATACCCAGACATCGTCGAAGCATCTGCACAAGAAGCCGACATGTCAACCTGAGACCGAGCACTTCGGTCCAATCAATCGACGGGAAAATCAAAAATTCAATTGATACATATATGTAGTTTAATGATTGCCTATTCTTTCTTTGTCTTTGTATGTGTGTTGTAACAGCTTTTCAAGATTATTTACGTACACAAGCGGGGAATACAGTTTCAGTGAATTTAATTATATCAACCGTCGATTATCTGTTACGTTTACAAGAATCTATTATGGATTTCTATTGGCATTATTCAAATAAAGAGACAATAGATGAAGCTGGTAAAAGTAGTTTTGTCCGAGCAATTAAAATTGGTAAACAAGTATTTCGTAGTTTAACTGAATATATACAAGTAAGTTATGAACGGTACTATTTATTATTGGTTCAGATCCTGTTTCATGCATAATCCCCATCCATGCATTTATGAAAAAAAAAAGCAAAATGTGTGGTCTGACGAAGAGACTCCATTTTTTGAGATTTTATGTCACCCTTTACCTGTACAACCGCATTTATACACACTTTATTATTTTTTCACTAAAGAGGATAGTAACAAAAGTGATGAGTTGTCATAGTCATAGGGCTTCAAGAGCACATTTCCGCTTCACTCTGCTTTCTGCAGTCTTTTGTGGGTCATAATCTCTCATTTCTTCTTCATGCAGTCTCCTCTATGTAATCGTTGTGTAAATGCACGAAACATCGTGTTTCCCATCCGGATTACACACGACAGCTGACCTGACGTGTGACGTCACTCATCGGTCTCCTCGATCCGATCCACCTCCATTTTTCTCGGCATATTGTTGGGGTGATAGGTTTTCGATTGGTTCGTTGCCTAACTTCTTGGTTGCTAAACGTTTCCGATTAGCCCTATGGTCTTCAGTGTGGGGTGAAGGCAGGTGTTGATGAAATTCGAAAAGCTTTTGGAGATTCTTTTAGTGATGTGATAAGTGTCTCTGAAGCATTTAGAAACACTGACTGACTTGATATGCCGTTACTCTGAGTGCAGAAGATTTCCACACTGGTTTCAGATAAACGAATGTCTGATTTTCCCTTGCAATCCTGTTGGACTTACGTAATAAGATGAATAATTTAATGAATGAGTTGTTACCGGGATGCACGTAGAAAGGGGAAGAAATTTCGCATTATGTAAGAGTACATTAGAGGACCAGTGGGACGGCTGTTTCATTCTCGCTTGGTACTGTTCATCAGTACACATCCACCACCTCCCATTTGCGAGGAGGGCTTGTACACCATTAACCCACTGAGACCCGGTCCAGTGGCCAGACCATTAATTCCAACTTGTGCGAATTCGTGATATATTATTTAGCGCAACTGTCAACCGATGTCACTGGCAAGTAACTGTTCTCTTGCCTGATTCAATGAACTGCGCTGGTTAAGATTTCTCGTTAGAACCCTAGGTACTTCCTGGCAGAAGTTAGAATTCATGGACTATTGAGTCGGTTCAGGTGGCTGAATAGTCTACGAGTTTGCCTCGTAGCCGGGAGGTCCTGAGTCCGAGCCCCGGAGGGTGCGTACTGCCGAAGAGTCCCATCCAAGTACTACGATGAAACAGCTGTCCAGTACTCCTTGAAAGTTTTCCAGTGGTTCTCTAAGTGATATCAGATCGTGATCAGTTCTACAGCCAATCAAATTCCTACAAACCAACACTTGGCAAGAAATGGATGAGTAAGGAAGTAAAACAAATCAAATTGGCACTAGACTTTAGGATGGTTATTGAAACTCTCCTTTGTATTCAGAGCTCTATTTTTACCGTCTGAATTGATAGAGTTTCAATAGTACAGAAGGAAATGGAAGCCTACTGTTTATAGAAGGTTATTTTTCACTTTGTAGACTACTTTGAAAGAGTGATTAGAAAAGCTGTAGATGAAGAAAGAAACGAATTTTCCGAAAAAAGCCTCTTTGCTGAACCACCAGATGTCACTGTTTGATTTTACATTGAGATCATACAAGACCGTGTATCGTATGTCTCCTATTTTGCATAGCATTAATTCTTGAAGTTATTAGATTTTTCACATGAAATTCATATACTACTGTTTGATACTGATAGCAGCTGAAAACCATTTAAGTCAAATAATAGTGTTTACTGGGTACCTCAAATCGATGGAAACACCATATGACCGTTTTACTTGTTGAGAGCTTACGCAACATCGGGGATTTAGTCGCTTAGACTCATCTTATAGTACTAAATCACTTCAAACCACCCGACAGACACATGGGACTCACCTATGAGTCTATCACGTATTGACACGTATTAGCAACTTATTCAATTTGCTGGTGAAACTATTCGAGATTGTTTTATATTGACAGATTGTTACTAATGGCTGAAGATGAAATGAAGATCTAAGTCTCTGCGGGACTCGAAGCAGTGGCCTCCAAAGTACTAGTGCGCTGCTGACGGTGGTGGTGGTGAAATTTCATTCACACGAACTTCGTAAATTGTAGATTGCTAATTTGATTCGTGGTGTTTTACAAGTTCTCCTCCCCCCAAATCAGCTATTCGAAAGTCGTGTGGTGCGGACTGATTCAGCTCTCTCACCTGATGAGCTTGGCCTCAAACGAGCGGAACAACTGCCCTAATGTTTAGATCATATCTTTATGACTATATATATATATATATATATATTCAATAAAAATCTGACTAACACATAAGTTTAATAAAGCCTCTTTGCTGAAACTTCAAGTCCATTCAGTAATCTCCCAAGATAAATAACTCATTACTGACCATTTCTTTATTTTGCTCATCCACTGAAATCTCGCCTTAATATTTCTTTTTCTCTTTTAGGGTCCATGTATTGGTAATCAATTAGCCCTGGCGCATAGTCGTCTATGGGATGCTGTAGCTGGTTTTATTTATGTCTCAGCACAAATGCAAGACAAGCTGAGTCGTGATCCAGATCAACTAGATTTATTAAGAGAATTTCTTAATCTACAAAAAGAATTAATGATTATGTTATTGTCTATGCTTGAAGGGAATGTTGTTAATGGACCAATTGCTAAACAGATGGTTGACACGTTAACTGAATCATCAGCTAATGTTGAGGTAAGCCGTAGTTGGATACCATTATTATTTATTACTATTATTATTATTACTGTTTCCTTCAACTCCAATATTAAGTCAGTGCTACTTGCTATACGGATCAGAGACTTGGCGCGTCATTAAGAGAACCTCAAACAAACTACACACCTTTATCAACAGATGTCTTCGTTCAATACTCAAGATAGGATGGCTGGCCAAAAAAAAGATCAGCAACAGGGATCTCTGGAAGTGAGCGAACCAACCAGGTACCGATTATACAAATGGAGGTGGATTGCCCATACTCTAAGAAAACAAAGCATCAATGACATCACTAGACAAGCCATTGCTCGAGTGGAACCCGAAAGGGAAGAGGTGAGTTGGTTGTCAGTGAAAGGGTGACATGGAGGAGGTCATATGAAGAGGAGATGAAAGCATGTGGGCAGACTTGGAGCGGGGTAAAAACGTTGACAGAGAACCGAACGCAATGGAGACGCGCGGCTGAAGCCCTATGTTCCTCTAGGAATTAAAGGAAATTATTATTATTATTCCCCTGCGTTCCGAGTCGAATATACGGCTTCAACAGCACATCTCCACATCTTCCTATCTTCTATCGTCCTCGTCAGCTGAGTCCACCATTGACCAAACTCTCTGATCTCTTCCTCTCCAAACTATCTCCTCCATGTCACCCTCCCACTGACGACCCACTCGTTGCTTCCCATTTACCTTCCATTCGAACGATGGCCTGCATTAGGCGTCGTATCGATCGACGGCCTCCTTATCTCACGCCTGATCGATCCATCTCCATGTTCTTCTACATATTTGTTGAGCAATCAATTCTCGTCTGTTGGTTTGTTATCAGCCAGTCAGCCAGAGTTTCTTGTTACTAATTCTTCCTGACCAGCTGACCATTTGATCTTCAATATGCAGCCAACTAGTGAAGTTGACGGCGGTTGATGAAAGTCTGCAGTTGGCTGTTGGAAATCCTTTAAGTGACACATCAAATACCATTATTCCTCCCCCCCCCCCGCTTTATTACATTCTTTCTAGTTTTTTTTTATATATCTCATCTACATGCATATGTTATTTTTTTTTCTTCATTTTGCGTTCTGAGTGGAGCATAGACCTTCAGGTTTTGAAGTTGCATTTGACCGTGGTGTTTATAAAAAACCAACGCATTCTGCCAATAGATATTTAGACTTTAATGCATCTCATCCATTCGTTGTCTGTAACGGCTGGCTTAGTTAAGTGTCTAACAAACTGGACAGTAGTACTAAGTAGTACAACGAAAAACCTAAAGGATGAAATGAAACAGATAGAAGAGGCGTTGGTGTTGAATAACTATCGCATAAAATTCATTCGAAAGATCAGTACAGGCCAAAAGCGAAATAAGAATAATTGTGAAACTAGTAATGATAACATAAATAAGAGAGAATATAAGTCATCTACTGTTTTACCATATAAGGAGGGACGGGACATCTGAAACCCTCCCTACGTAGGATTCTTAATAAAGCAGGAGTTAGGGTGGGATTCAAACCTACAAACTCACTCAGAGACAAGCTCTGTAGTCTAAAAGAACCTGTCGGTGGACCCAATTAGACAAAATAATATAATTTACAAAATACCCTGCAGTGATTGTGAGTTAGGTCAACCACATAGGTCAAACTAGTAGGTCAGGGGTAGTCAGGTTGTCAGAATATAAGAATTCAGCTAAGGTAAGAATAGTTGACCCCGATCGCGAAGATAAGTAATTTAGAAAAAGCCTCGGCAATCGCACTGCATGCATTAACACACAAACATACAATGGGGTTAGAAAGGCTTAAAATTTTAAAAAGTAATCTAGGTAGGTGGAGATAGGGAGAGAGATTGATGACTGAATCCTGCCTGGTTCATCGAGTCTACACCCAACACAACACATGCAACAGAAATGACTCGATGCAAATATCAGAGATATGCATGGAAGATATTATTACCGCCAGTCAGTCAAATCAGAAGAGGATAATAAATAGTCTTAAAATTCTAATTCAATTCAAGCACATCACAACATTTTAACAAGTTACTTATTTTGACTATAAAAACACTCGTCGTATTCCCCACCTGATTGTAATTTTTCAATAACACTCATATTATTATTTCCGAATGTACATTATACCATATTGACTTTTATTCAAATATCTAGTGAATTCCACACACGTATATAAATGAAGGAAAAAAGTTGTGTGAGTAGTGACTTGATATGATTATGAGCAATAATTGGTGCTCGAAACGTGGCGGTCAGTTTATATTACTGTATAACAACACTGTGTGACAGTTTATCAAAATAAAATCTTATCTATAATAGTTATGCTCTACCACCACAGTGCCCAAGTTTTATACTTAAAGCCGTGGTGTTGTTTTACGCTGTAGGGTTATTAGCATCACTGATGGCCAGCTTTCTCTCTTTTATGCGGACTTACTACTAACTAGACGAGGTTTATGGGTGTGTCCACCAGGAATCGAACTCGGACCTCTTAAATGGTTGGTGAGCACTGAACCAATAAATCACTGACACAAAATTCACTCTCTACCAGACCATCTCTTAAAGCTTTATCTATATACGTACATTCTGGAGTGAACGGATTCTCAGTTACATCAATAAGTTTGCGTCACTTCAGTTAATTTTATGTTCCGCATAAATATGTATTAAAATAATTATTTCGCTTTGGATGGATGAGACATGCGTTGCATAAGTGATTCGGTTGTAGAATGCCCACCATTCACTTTGGAGGTCCGGTTCTATGCTCTAAATTTTCCTAAACCTCGTCAAGTTTACTAACTAGTGTGTAGTAAGCCCAGTAAAGAAGGAAGATTTTGGCGTGAGTTTAACAACGTACTCCCGTAAAATGGAAAGCAACAACACCGTCAGTGGAACAACAAAAGCTTGAAGGGAAACCTTACCTTCCAATTGGAATGCAAAGGGAATGTAAACACAATTTGAGGGAATATTTTCATATGAGCGAATCAATGATTTATTTTAACTAATTAATTAATTAATAAATTTTGTTTTGTGTTTTTCTGATTTCTCTTTTTACTTTTTGTTTTCTTATTTTTAGATGATTCTTAAATTTTTCGACATCTTCCTTCGAATGAAGGTGATCACCACTTCTGAAGCATTTTTAGTAAGTTTAACCTGTTTTTCTTTCTTTTCTGCTGTTTTTTCTTTGCTAATTTACCTTTTCCATCAAAATTTTTTAAAAAAGTCTGCACTGAAATTTTTCAAGTTTCAATTGTATATATGTGTTATATGATGAAGAAGATTTGTAGCTCAGGTGGATGATTTCATATTAGTTTGTTTATTAGATGTATCACACAAACAGTGAAATAGTATTATTATTTACTGGATGACAAGGTTTTGAACACAATTCACTTATTGCTCATAATCATAATCATATCAATTGTAAACACACGACTTCGAAACTTGAGTTTTATAGTTTTCTTTGTTCTCTCCTATTTGTCGTTATAGGGGTAGTAGAACGCATTTTCCAGATATCTGGGTGGACAGGTGTTGAATCAATTCCTATTACACGAATTCCCTCTCAGTTGATTCGATAAACAAAACTTCTGTTATCAATCTCTCCCTCCACCCGTGCCTGTTCCCGACATAGAACTTTGCACCGATATGCGGCAGTTCAAATCGCCACACTCCCTCCATGTACCACACAAAGCAAGAGAAGAAGGCAGAAGAAATGCATATTAAAGACAGTAAACAGAGGTGTGAGACAAAGGAATAGTAATAACGAAGAACAATATAGTTTCATTAAAAATCATAAGTCATAGGGAGTGGATGCATCTGCGCTAGCCACTGAGAACGATTTTGAGCCATGTCACCAGTTGTTTCCAGCCATTGGTTTTTACCGTCCCGAGGACCCCAACCAAGAAGTCTACACCTTCCTATATGGCTTAGACTAACTGTTGTAGATTTAATTGACTGGTGTCATGTTTTGGTTTGACCACAACTACCACTAGCTGTTTTCCAGCCTGACCTTATATCAGCTAACATTGCCCATTGTCGAGGAAGGCGCTGACTAGGCATATGTAACACATGTCCTAACCATTTCACTCAATCGATTTAATTTCTCAGCCTCGTCGAATGAATTCCCCTCCATCCTTACCTAGCACTCGACGCCTAACCTCAATATTGCTCACCTTATTATACCACTTCACACGGGAGATAGAACGTAGGCACCCATGATCAAATACAGCTAGCCAGGCTTTTCATGTCTTCCACTCTCAATGGCCATGTCTCACTCACAGCCATAAAGGAGGATGGAGCGGACTGCTGAGCAGTACACATGCCCTTTGGTCGATAGTCAGATATCATGTCTTCGCCAGAGACGGCGTAAACTGGAACCCTGCTGTTACATTAGATTTTAAAACTGTCATCCTATCCCAGGGTGGAGGGAGAGATTGATAACTGAAGCCCTGTTTATCGAATCAACTGCAAATTCGTGTAACAGTAATGATTTAACACCTGTCCAGTTGGACATCTGGAAAATTCTACTACCCCTATGACGACAAATAGGAGAAGACAAAGAAAAATTTAAAACTCAAGTTTCAAAGTCGTGTGATTATAATTGATGAAATGATTATGAACAGCAATAAATTCTGTTTGAAACTTTGTCATCCAGTAAATAATAGTGTTTCTTCACTGTGTGATATATCCATCTAGTAAACAAACTGATATGAAATATTAGATTGAAAAGAACAAGAAGTTCAGTAAACTGATATCTGTCTGTCTTTCCGGCGATTTCATTCTCAAAAACATCTGTACAATCGATTTTATATAGATTAGGTTACATGGATACAATTATTATTTGTCAAAATTCCACGTAACATAGTAACGAAGGTGATAATAATTTTCAACTTGATATGAAAGTTTGAAGGTACGAATATAGATTACAAGGGGCTTATTCGTACCTTCAAACTTTCATATCAAGTTGAAAATTATTATCACCTTCGTTACTACTATGTGGAATTAAACAAATGATAATTGTATCCATGTAACCTAATCTATATAAATTCGATTGTACAGCTGCTTTTGAGAATGAAATCGTCGAAAAGACAGACAGATATCTTTTGCTGAACTTCTTGTTCGTTTCAATCTAATGTTCCAATGGGTATTTTCCACGATTTAATATGAAATAATCACCTAGTTAGCGTTTGAGTCTCTGATCCCAAATCAGTAGTCACGAGGCTTCTCGGATGGAATCTGTAAGTGATCTGAGTTTTCTTCTTTACTTCGTCTTCAATTACACATAAATATGTTGGTAGTTGTGATTAATTTCGTAGGTATTAACTCTGACTGAAACATTATTTCGATAAAGAAAGGAAGACGAAATTTGCAGTATAAAATGATATCGTCATTCTATTTCACAGGTTCTCATCAGCTGTAGACTACCTGAAATTACAATGGTTGTTATATAGATGATAATAACATACTTTAATGTTCGAGTGGTGATAGAAAAGAGATACTATAAAATTGATGCATCTAAATGAAAGCATTACAATGTTTTTAGTTTAAGTTTTCATCATCAATTTATACGCTTTTAAAGTTGAAAAGAGGGGGAGGGGTAAGACAGAAAACAGAAAAAATTGATTAACAGAACAGTGTTAGCTTGTAGGTTCACATAGCAACTCAAGAAACAAAAACAGTTACAGTTTATGAGATTAAGATTTGTTCAGTGAGTTGAGATCACTGAATTAGATGACTAATCAAAATCAAAATTCTGTTACCAAGGGAGTTAGAGGTTAATCACACTGTCTTTCTGTATGCATAAGTCTGGTTTAAGTCTTTTGATTGCGATTGCTTCGGCATAGAATGATATCATTTTATACTGCAAATTTCGTCTTTCTTTCTTTATCGAAATTTATCAAGGGAACCAAATGTATGAAACATTATTATTATTATTGATCATATTAACGTGGAATAATAATAATAATGCGTCAATTCTTTTTTTCTTTTTTATACAGGCTTTCGATGTAAATGGTGATGGTTGGATTTCCCATAGAGAATTTCGTCTAGCCTTAGAACAACAGAAAACGTATACACCGTAAGTGAAATTCCCAATAGATATTACAAATACTTTGTACAAATACTTCAATTGAATGACTTGTTTACCTACCAGTTGAAAACAGACCCAGAGACTGCGGCAGATGTTCTCACCCCATTATTATTATTACAAAAGGTTTGAAAGGAAGGAAAGCTACCTACCGATTGGAAGAAAGGCTAGCTACCTTGTCGACTTGCCAAAGAAGGGCGATTAAGGCCTCAGTATGCAAGAACTGACGTGGAATAATGCTCTTGTCCACCCACGACAAGTAAAATACTAAATTGCATTATCCTAGAGAGAATAAAGGATGCACTGGAACAGAACTCACCCCCCCCAACCCCAACCCATAACAAGCTGGACTCAGGTAAGGCAAATCATGGTGCTGATCAAATTGCAACTCTACGCATCATCATCATCACAGAATAAAGCATAGAATGGCAGTCAAACATCTCTCTGTCTGTCTGGATTCAACATATAACTTGGCACCGAAGTGCACCAGTTCGAGTTGCCACGTTCCAGATAGCACACAGAGGTAGACAAGAAGATGAGTGAAGAGAATCAATACAGTCTGACAAGTATAAGAGTGAAACAGAATGGGTAATGGTAGAAAGGAATATGAAAGATTACAGAGACTGAATACATGTGCGCTGGCCATTGACAACGATTTTGAGCCATGTCACCTATTGTCTCCAGCCATTGATTCCTAGAGCCCCGAGGGCCCCAACCCGGGAGTCTGCATCTCCCTACCTGACTCAGTGTAACTGTCAAGGATTTCATGGATTGATGCCATGTTTTTGTTTGGCCACATCTCTCTACCTCAACTTCATCGACTTTGTAAAGGGCTTCTACAGCGTAAACAGAAAAGTAATTTGGAAACTATTTCAACACTACGGTGTACCTCAAGTCTTTGTCAATCTAATTAACAGCTGACTATATGACAGTGCCACGTGTCAAGTGATCCACAATGTAGAATTCAGAGAGTAATGTGTTCGAAGAGCATACAGGAGTAAGACAAGGTTCCCGACTACTATCACCAATGATATTCTTAATTGTGGTGGACTGAATTATGCGTCAGACTGTTTTTTGGCAGTGAGAAGATAGGCATATGCTGGACTGACTGATAAGAAGACTTTAGAAGATCTGGATTTCACAGATCATGTGTCTAGTGTCACACAAACACTCGAAGACTTACAGGTAAAAACTAACTAACTGACAGAAGACGCCAGCAGTGAAAACAGGACTCCATCCAGGTGAACATAGAGAAGACGGAAATGATGAAGGCAACCGACAGCAACAACCAATCACCATCAACTGGAGAGGTTTAACAGAAGTTACTTCCTTCAGTTATCCAGCCAGAAAGCATCGTTTCAACTACAGGCAGCCGGAACGGGTGAAGATTATATTTTTATATTTTATATTTTTGGTTACAGCTTGATTCCACACTGTATTTTCGGTACAGGTATGGAATTTTCAGCATGGATATCGGTAGCCCAAATTTCGCAGGCCGACCATAGATATCAGGTGTGCGTCGGCAGGGGATCGAACCTCGGATCATGTGCATGGTCGGCGTGAGACTTAACCACTGTGCTACCGACGATGTCAAAGCCAGCCAGCCAGCCAGCCAAAATCGGAAAGGCGAGATATACACATTTATCAATCTGAAACGAGTCTGTAAATCTCCTGCACTGCATTAGACCAGCATAATAAACAACAAGATTCGGATTTACAACACCAGTGTCAATTTGGGCCTTCTATACGAGTCTGAAACTTGCACTGCGTATCACGTAAAAGTATTTCCAATAGGTTGCAGACCTTTATCAACAACTGCCTTTGTTGGCTCCATACTGAAGATCAAATGGCTTGGTCAGGAAGAATTAGTGACAAGAAAAGCTGGCTGGCTGGCTGGCTGACAACAAACCAACAGGCAACAGCTGATCGCCCAACAAATATGTAGGAGGAAATGGTGGAGGTGGGTAGGGTATACATTGAACAGACCGTTGAATGACATCGTGCTCAATGCAGGCCATCGTTCGAGGGGAAGGTAAATGGGAAGAGACTAGTTGGTCGTTGGCGCGAGGGTGATATAGCGGAGATCGTTTGAGTTAGCGGAGGAGATAAGACATTATGGCCAATCATGGACCCAGCTGACGAGGACAGCAGAAGATAGGACAAAGTGAAGAAATGCTGTTGAAGCCAGTCCCATGTTCTACTCGGAACCCAAGAAGATAATAGTAATACTACCAGTTGTTTATTTTCCACCAAGTTCATCTTTTTTCTAAATAACTTCTGATCAGATTTGTAATTTGTAAATTAAATTGGTGATTCAAAGATTACACACATTATGAGGTGAAATTTCATTTATAGTTTCCTCTGGAAACCGAAATTTTATTCAAATCACACATACTACTGATTAAATGATATAAGTAGCTGGATGCTACACGCGTCAGATAGTAGTGATTTCTAACGTCAGTCATGTGATCTAAGCATCAGACCTTCACTAATCTAAAAGAAAAAGTGTATAAATCTACTGTACTCAGTAAAATAAGGAACAAAATACTAATTTCAGGTGAATGTTTGTATAGGTGTGTATGGTTCAGAGACTCGACTCACCAAAAGCATTTCCAAAAGGCTGCTGTAGACTTTACTCAAAAGCTTTCCCCATTTGGACGACACTGAAGATCAGATGTCTAGCTAGATAGGATAAACAACAAAGGTACACTGTCAGAGAATTAGTCAACAACTAGATTGCCCAATACATTGGACAGAAAGAATCTGAGATGGATTCGAAGATACGTCAAGAAGACATTCAAGTGATATCAAGCCAGAGTAAACTCTGAATGCAGATAGCGATGAGTTCATTGTCCAAGGTTGAGGATGAGGAGGAGGAGATGAAAGTTTGTGGGCTATCTTTCAGCCAATTAGAAAAGACTGTAGCGAAACGATGCTCTACTTATCTGGGAAGCATCATTTCAACTACAAACAGACGGAACTGATGAGGATATCAAAGCAGTAAGCATCGAGAAAGCAAGACAAACTTTCATAACTTCCAAGTCTGTATGGAGATCAACAGTACCCCGCAGCAAAAAAATAAGATTCGGATTTTCAACTCCACTGTGAAGTCAGTGCTACTTAACACACAGATCAGAGACTTGGCGCCACGCCACGAAGGTCACTTCGAACAAACTACAGACTTTCATCAACAGCTGTATTCCCACATTACTACTCAAGATCAGATGGCCGGCTAGAAAAGATCGGCAATAGTGAGGGATCTCTGTCAATCAGCGAACCAACCCAGAAGGAACAAATTGTGCAACAAATATTCAGGAAGAAATGGAGGTGGATTGGCTATGTTCTGAAAAAAAAAACCATCAAGTGAGTGATATCACACGCCAGGCTCTCTCTTTAGAGCGGAACCTGAACGGGGAGTGGCGAGTTGGTCGTCAGTGCGAAGGTGACATGGATGAGGTCATGTGAAGAGGAGATGAAAGCATGTGGGCAGACGTGGAGCCAGGTGAACCGAACGCAGTGAAGACGTGAGGCTGAAGCCCTATGTGTTCCACTTAGAACCCAGGGGAATAATCATGATAATAATAATAATAATAATAAGATTCGATTCTTATTGGCTTAGAAATTTATTTATTTATTTATTTTGATATACAAGCTGAATTTTCTAACGTAGGCTGTCTAAACAGTTTAGTGTAAGAGTTTAAATTCTCTAGAGTTGCCTTGTAAGGATTTGATATCAAATTAGAGGACCACTGGAAATCATTAGGGAGTACTGGACAGCTGTTTCATCCCAGTGCTTGGGAATTATCGGCAGTACTTACCCAACACAGGGGGTTCGAACCCAGGACCTTCCGGTTAAAAGGTAGGCGGGTATACCATTCCACCTTGTAATCGGAAGGTCTTGAGTTTCAACCCCCTGCGGTGGTAAGTACTGCCGATAATTCCCAAGCACTAGGATGAAACAGCACCTGTCCAGTACTCCCTGTAGCTGCTTTCCAATGCTTCTGAAATCTGATATCAATCCGTGGTCAAACTCGAAAGTTTTAAATGTTAGAAATGCATTTTTTCTGACTTATACATATATAACAGTCTAGCTTAATATAGCTTTTTAAAAAGGAAAGCATCACGTAACTGGATTATTTTCTTTAAACCAACTGAATGAATTCATCTATAATTTCTGCCTTAATATTCATTGATTTGTGTTTTCCACACTTCCCTTCTTTCTTTTCTTTACAGAGAAGAAATTAGTTATATCATTGCTTGTGTCGATAATAATGCAGACGGAAAAGTTGATTTTAAAGAATTCACTGAAAGATTTTATAATCCAGCTGAAGATATTGGCTTTAATTTAGCCCTATTGTTAACTAATCTATCAGAACATGTACCATTCGATCCAAGGTAATTCACTGTTATTATCATCACTTTTTGCTGCCGACACTGGTTCTCTCTCTCTCTGTCTCTTTGTGGATAGCTGAGCCACTTCTGTGTGTATCTAGAAATTTAGTTGCTCCTTTGGAGAGAGCTGGCTATATAGGGTGAACAACCAGACAGCGTAACAAACGCATTAATGAGCATCTTCTTTCATGGTTCGGAAAAAGTTTCTATTTTGACTCATTTGATTGATAGCGGTCACCAAGTGAACAGAAGAATAAGTGCCTTCAAAGTTATCTATCGCATTCCATCGAGTCTTTCGAACGGAATCAGAACCCGTCTTTTACACATAGACGAAGTCGCTATAGGAATTAATTCGAGAGAACAATCCTAGTCTTTGTATACAACAAAAGAAGTTTGTTCTGCCTTTGTCTCTCTCTCTTACCTAGCCTAATTGAATTCTATTCAAAACCCTTCCACCACCCTTTCTTATCTTCCATTTCCTTCGTACTTTTATGATATTTATTTAAACTCTGATTATCGTTCCATTTCACCTTTTAAAATTTACTTTCTATAGTTTGGTTTGTAAGGATTAGTTATGTTTTACGAGTTGATCACGGATTGATATCAGTTAGAGAACCATTGAAAAACAGGGAGTACTGGACAGATGTTTCATCCTAGTTTGGGAATCATCGGCACTGGGATTCGAACCCAGGACCTTCCGGTTACAAGGCCAGTGAGCTCGTATACCATTCAGCCACTGGGACCCGACTAAATGGCTCGTGAATTCTAACTTCTACCAATTCGTGATTTAGCGCGACCCCAACCATTGTCGTTGGTGGGACATTCACCCACACACGTGACATCTAATTGGACCTCACTGGTCACGACTTCTCACTAGAACTCAGGAAACTCCAACCTGTAGCAAGTCACTAGTGAGCATCAGATTAACTTTCTATAGTTTGGTTTGTAAGGATTAGTTAAAATTTAACCTTATTTATTTATTTATTGAATTAAATAATAATAATACTTTGATAAAGCTATTAGCAGCAACATTAAATAGCGAAACGTCAGTAAAAACAATATCGTTTTGTTTTTCATTCATTGGGAAATACAAAAATACCTTTATTATAATGAATATTTATTGAATTGTCTACATATACACATATATGCATATACTACCTTTGTTATTCTTATCGCCACCTGCATAAACCTTATTATCAATATTTTGTTATCGTTATGATTATCATTACTAATGACGTTCAAAACATTTACCACATTATTATTATTATTATTTGATTCACAAAATCACCGTCATTGTTTAAAATTTTTTTTATATAAATCTATGTAAATTAGAGTAAAGCATGAAGAAGTTCTAATTGAAAACAATAGTAATGTTCGCTTATATAAATTCTATCAGTCAAACTTGCAATGTGGCCACCATGCTAGGTGGCTCGACATTACGGTGCACTGTGAAATATTGGTATTAGATGGTTGGAGGCAATCGGCCACAGGAAGCCTTGTTTGACCTAGGTTCCGTGCTAGGTTGGCACTCACCAGTCAGCAAGGCTTATCTGCAACCTTGAAGGAAGAACTGCAATCCAGTGTTGCAGTCAGAAACGTTGCCACTAAACTATTCAGGCTCGCGATTGATCTCCTGTAGGGCTGCTGTATTGGATATCTTCGATTGTACAGTAGTCAGTAACTAGTGTAATGTGTCTAGTCCTATCTTCACTACAAACTGTTATTTTCATCACTTTCCCCCTACACTCTTTCTCTCTTGCTCTCTTTGTGGATTATTTTTGTATTGCCAGGAAACATCCACTGAGCGGAGCGATATTTGCACTGACCGATTGGTTACTAAAGACTAACTGATGTTATTCATCTAGGTCACCGCCCGCCGTTGATGATTTTGCTGACTGAATTCTTTCGTTAGACAAAGCTTATAGTATGATCTCCACTAAGCTAAAATGAGCTTAAATTAATCATGGTACAATCCAAATTGATGTTAACTAACTCCTTCAATGTTGTAGAACACGCCTTTCTGATGAGGCTTAAAACTAAAAGCTTCCTGTCGATCACCTTTAACCATCTCTATCGTTAGACTGATTGCGTTCGTGACAGTGTTTTTTCTATAATGAATCTTTTACTTCTTCCTTTTACAAGTTAAAATCAAACGTTACGCAATCAACAATCTGTGACTGAAGGTTTTATCTCAGAAATACAATTGATATTTTGTATAATTTACATTCACTTATGCAATATTCATCATGGATAAAATTTTCAAAAGAATGAATACTGAACAAAGAATACTCTCTTTTCGATAACCCCTTCTTCATCAGATTCTACAGTTATATATACCAAATAATAGTGACTGAATTTGTGTTATGAACAACGCTAATGTTGTTTAAATAACATTGTGTCAATAATAGTAATAATAATATCAATCGATTACAGTTCGACAGCATCAACATAATAATAAACTAAATATCAGAGAAATTAAGAGAATTAATACAAATTCACGAATTTATAGTCTGTACTGAAAGCCAGCCAGGACAGCAGTAATGGCTGGACTTGCTCAGAAGAAGTAATTAAAGATGAATTAAGCATTGTATATGATACTTTGTTCGAAAATAGCTATCCGGAAAAATTTATCAAGAAATACATGACAAAGAAAGCGGAAAAGGACTACTCTACTACTATCTGTAAACAAGAAACCACTTTATATACGACTACAATTCAAGGGCGATATATACCAAGTGAGATAATTGCCAGGAAATTAAGAAAATCAGTTCGAAGAACTTTTAATGCTGGTGAACTACACGTATTATTCTCTACACGACCGATGGTGCTACCTCGAATGAAAGATGAAGTACCTGGACTAGACTAGCCACTTCAAATTGTATCTGCCAATTCAACTGCGCTTGTGGTGGAGCGAGTTATATTGGCTGTTGCTCTGGGAACTTGATTTTTCATGCTTGCTGGAGAACATCTCCCACTATGGCTCGGTAGAGATGTAGTGAAAACCATCATCAACAGTTCGATATTGGACCATCTGGTGCAAACCGGCCGACCACAAAGCCAGCCAGCCAGCGTGGAAGAGTCCTTCTCCATCACCAAACATATTGCTAAAAACATCCAGGTACCCTATAATCCACACAGCAGAGAACATTGGCATTCGCTTGAAACAATTGGTGCTCTGTGTGCAGAAGACACAGGTCCAGACACTACTACTGCCCTGGCCGGCCTTCAGTGGAGATTATAAATCCATGAATTTGTATTATTATCTTCTCTAATTTTCCTGTCTGATATTCGATTTATTGTTATGTTGATGCTATTAAACTGTAATCCATTGATATTACTGTTGATTGATTCGATGTTATTTCAACAGTAACATTAATGTTGTTCACAACACTAATTCCCTCATTCATTCATTCACTATAATGTATATGCATAACTGTAGAGCCTAATGATGAAGAGGTTATCGAAAAGAGTATTCTTTGTTCAGTAACTATTTTTTGAAAATTTTTCATGGGTATCTTTAAACAGATAAAATTCTAGTTAGTATACAATTGGTGGATGGTGGCTAGCAGTGGAATCCAGGATGCGCATTTCGTCCTATTTGGGACTCGTCAGCTGGATGTACCTGCATTTCTCAGTGAGTGATGATGTTCCCACCGAAGCTCGAACCCAGTACCCATAGTTTCAAACGCCAAAGCGTTATCCACTAGAACACAAAAATTCAATTCAATAATTAATATGACCCGTTGCACAAGAGGTGGCTCTCGTGGCCCATGTGGTCCAGTGGATAACGCTTTGGCGTTTGAAACTATGGGTACTGGGTTCGAGCCTCGGTGGGAACATCATCACTCACTGAGAAATGCAGGTACATCCAACTGACGAGTCCCAAATAGGACGAAATGCGCATCCTGGATTCCACTGCTAGCCACCATCCACCAATTGTACACCAATTAAATACCCAGACATCGTCGAAGCATCTGCACAAGAAGCCGACATGTCAACCTGAGACCGAGCACTTCGGTCCAATCAATCGACGGGAAAATCAAAAATTCAATTCAGGATAAAATTCTATTTTTATAAATCACACAATGTGCTTGTTTTTACAGTAATATTTACTGATGCGACCACGCACTTCGAGCACAAGTTATTTTCACTCATAATCATATCAAGGCATTACTCACACACAACTTTCTTGCTTCATTTATATACATGAGTAAAAATTGATGCGATTAGTCCTATCCAAGTCAAGTCCTTACAAACAAACTCCTGAAAATATTAGGTTATTTCTTGATGTTATTAGAGTATGTATGCAATGCTTTAAATGCCTTCTTAATCTAGATATGATAGAGAAGATTTGTAGCTCAGGTGGATGTGATTTTGATGTGGTTGTGTCCTGTGAGCTGGATAGTTAATTAGTGAAGCTTTCATCGCCCTTCTAGGTGACACCTTCAGCGCATACTTCAATTTATTGAAGTGAGCTTTTAGATTTCTCACGAGTTTGTTAATCATCCCACCTTAAGGAAAATTGAAGGAAGATATCTCATGGACGTCTTCCAAAAGACGCCTTATCATATATAAAGGATATCTCAGAAATCACTACAAAGTCACTTCACTCAATTCTTTGTCAACCAAAAGACTCAACAGTGAGAGAAGATAAAACCAACATCATCTGCAAAATTAATTGTAACAACTGCGAAAAACACTAACTAAATTGGCCAAAGTGGACGTCCCTTCGTCTTTGTATCCACAAATATAAGCTAGCCATCAAAAGACACGATATCCACTCCCTCGCTCATATCACTGCATACAGACAACCGCGAACATCAATTAGACTGGGACAACCAGCGTTCAAATATTAGACAGAGGAAACAACAAGAATGCTAGAGAATTTTGAGAAGCTTGGCCTGGTATTCCAGTGAATCATCAATCAATAACACATCGAGATAGACAAAATTTATCAACCGATAAGAAAGAAACCTCACACACAAAGGGTCAAAGTTCAAGCCAAAGAAACAATCAGTTCCAATACAAGTAACCTAGAAGGTGTGAAAACACACAAAAACAACGAATCACGTTCAAGGTGGTCACCATAAGATATGATTAATAAACTCGTGGAGAAATCTAAAAGCTCACTTCAATTGAAATTGAAGTATGCATGCTGAAGATGTCGCCTAGTAGGGGGTGATGAAAGCTTCGTCCAGCTCAGAGAACACAACCACATCAAAATAAATACGACTGTACAGCCACTGGAGATGATTTCGTTGATAAAGAAAATTTTCTTCACTGAATTGTCTTTGATTTTCTTCATGAATCGATGGGTATTTTCAGTGATTTAAAGCAGAGCAAGAACCCTGTGACAGTGAGAGAACTTGATACTTTTTTTCAAGTTTTCTAGTAAACTTGCCAATAGCGAACACACGAATCAGTTTTCTAAAGAGCTATATTGAATCGTCTTTTATTTTTTCTTCATAACCACATCCATCTAGAAAACAACTGCACCCCTCAACACTTGAAGACTACAAAATCATTTTCTAATTCTTATCTGACTGATTTTAAGCTTTTTTATTCATGCTTTCACATCACACATATTCCTTCTTTTTTTTATTTATTAGACTGGAAAGATTAATTGAAAAAGCTCGTGGCGTTTTAGACGTCTTTGAACCTCATTTAGGTCGTATAGAAATTACTGGCTCAAATGGTCGTATTGAACGTGTCTACTTTGAAATACGTCAACAGCATATTGATCAATGGGAAGCACCACAGATTAAAGAATCAAAAAGATCCTTTTTACATGCTGTTGTCGGTGAAAGTGGTGATAAAGAGAAGTTGGAGTGTTTTGTCAACTTTTGTGAAGATACAATCTTTGAAATGCAACATGCTCAATCGATTAGTGGAGATGAGGCGGATATAGCTTTGAATCGCGTAAGTTATGTAATCATGTAGTAGATTGTAGTAGATTATTATTATTATTATATCCTTTAATTCCTAGAGGAACATAGGGCTTCAGCTGCGCGTCTCCATTGAGTTCGGTTTTCTGTCGACTTTTTCACCCCTCTCCAAGTCTGCCCACATGTTTTCATCTCCTCCTCGTATGACCTCCTCCAAGTCACCCTTGCACCGACGACCAACTCTCCACTTCCCTTTCGGGTTCTACTCGATGGCCTGTCTAGTGATGTCACTTGATGGTTTCCTCAGAGTATGGCCAGCCAATCCACCTCATTTCTTCCTGCTTATTTGCTGCTCAATCGGTTCCTTCTGGGTTGGTTCGCTTCCAGAGATCCTTGTTCCTGATCTTTTCTGGTCGGCCATCTGATCTTGAGCGAAGTACTGAGCGAAGGCAGCTGTTGATGAAGGTCTGAAATTTGTTTGAGATGCTCTTTATGACACGCCAAGTCTCTGATCTGTATAGTGAGTAGCACTGACTGATTTCACATTGGAGTTGAAAATCCGGATGTTATCTTCATTTTCATGCTGAGTGGTGCTGTTGAATTCCACACAGACTTGAGAGTAATGAAAGCTTGCCTTGCTTTCGTGATAATTCTCGCTACTTTGATATCCTCGTCAGTTCCGTCTAGCTGTAGTTGAAACGATGCTTCTCAGGTCGGTAGGTAAACGAGGTTGTTTCTTTCAGATTTATCCCATTTATGCTGGCTGATTGTTGTCTGTTGTTGTTGTTGGCCAGAAATCTTCATCACCTCTGTTTTCCCTATGTTCACCTGAAGGAAGTCCTATATTCTCTGGATGCTTGTTCTGCCAACTTGTTTCTTTTCACTTGCGTATCTTCCAGTTTGTGGGAAATCAGACATATATCATCGGCGAAGTCCAGGTCCTCCAAGTTTTTTGTGGGTCCATTTTATGCCTGTTTCTTCATTGCCCACTGTTTGTCGCATAATCCAATCTACTAAAATCAGGAAAACCATTGAAGATAGTAGACAGCTTTGCCTTACTCCCGTCCTCACTTCGAAGGCTTCCGTAAGTTTCCTGTTGTGGATTACTCGGTGGCATGCAGCATTGTCGTATAGCTGTTGGATGAGATGTATAATTTCCGATGGCACCCCATAGGAGTGAAGTAGTTGCCAAATCACCTCTCGATCGGCGCTACGCTATCGAAGGCCTTTTCAAAGTCGATGAAGTTGAGTGAGAGAGGTAACTGCCATTCAAAGCTTTATTCAATGATGATCTGTAGAATGGCGATTTGATCAATACATGACTTGTTTCTCGTGAATCCAGCTTGTTCCATTCGAAGTTTTTCATCCATCCAGGTTGGTGTGTTTGATTCTCTCCAGGATGATGCGGCTTAGTATTTTGCTTGGGATGGACAGGAGCATAATTCCGCGCCAGTTTTTGCACTGACTTAAGTCTCCTTTCTTTGATAGTTTGAATAAGTATCCTTTCTTCCAATCCTCAGGTACTTTGCCCTCTTTCCACGCCTTCTCTAGCAGTGGCGTCATCAAAAACTGCCCAATAAGAAGTGGTAAGCGAAGAGGAGTTACTCTTTTCAGTGGTATTATTCTCAAGTTGTACAGTCGCATATATATTTAGTACAAATTTCATAGCAATAAAAGGAATGTTTCCGAAGAAGTGCTGCCATTTATAATTAAAGAGTTTTCGATACCAGTTACGTAATCCAGAAAGCAACAACCTGGGAGGGACTTGATTGGTTACAGGATTTCGTCGTGAGCTATTATCTTTGCAAACCAATACTTGGATATTAATCTGATGCTCACTAGGGACTGACCCTGTTCACGTTGGTAGTTACCTGGCTTCTAGTGGGAAGTCGTGACGGATGGGTTCATCGATCAGATCGAGCTTGAGGATAAATACTCGCTACTGATGTCACTGACTAGTGGTCGCATTATTATTATATGGTGAATTGGCAGAAGTTGGAATTTTATGGCCAGTTTAATCAGGTCCCAGTGGCTTAGTGGTCTACGAGCTCACTGGCCTTGTAACTGGAGGGTCCTGGGTTCGAACTTCCTCTGGTGGGTACATGCCGCTGAAGAGTTCCGAGCACTAGGATGAGACAGCTGTCCAGTAATCTCTATAACTGATGTCAACTGATGACGACCCAATATAACTGACTGGACTGAATATAGAACTCAACTAAAACTAAAAGAGGGTCAAGTTACAATCCATATCATAAGGCGTAGTTGGAAAAGAGAAAAGTGATAAAAATCTAAAAAAAAAACAACACACTACGATTAACAAACATTACGTCTCAAATGTTGAGATAAATTATGTCTGTTGTAGGTTGAGGCGATGGACATACTTATTCTGAATGCAGAGTTCAGTACTCCACATGTAGATCACCTTAGTTTTTGTGACAGTTTGAAGAAGTTCCATTTGTACGCCTTTGACAAGATTGCCGCATACTCCGTAGATGACTATGAAGTGGAATAACGAGTTCACTAGGTGCCCTAGAATGTATCAAATATTCCAAAAGACAACTAAGGAATGATCCTTTTCATCGCCTGTAAAATCATGAGGATAAATGTTCGATATTACGCTTGGATAACAAACTCTGAGTAAGGTCGACATCCTTAGCTTCATTGGGCGGGGGGGGGCGGGAGGGGAGGAATTGATAGATATACAACTGATGAGAGGAAGCCAGGAGTGCTAACACTTATCCTTCATCACGCCCATAAGAATCCATTGGTATTGTAAAGAAAGTAAGTCAAATTTCAGCTACCAATATGGTTTTCTTCAATAAACGGGACAGGTAGTTTCTTGGTACTGCATTGGGAAAATAAAACACAACTTTATCTGTTATTAATTCTAGCCTGTTTTTCAATGTGTAGTCGTGTTCTCTGAGCTGAATGGTTTACTTGTGAAGCTTTCATTCATTCATATGAAGTATGATCAAGATTTGATCGAATAGTTCCCAGATAATTGTGACATTTGTGAAAAAAATATATTATTCCCATCATTCATATTTTATTACCACTCTTTTACTTTTTATGAGTTGGTCACGGATTGATAGCAGTTAGAGAACCATTGGATCAGTAGAACAGCGGTTAGGATGCTGGCTGACCATGCACATGGTCCGGGGTTCGATTCCCGGCCACGGACGCACTCCTTTACCACGTTAGGTCAGTAATAAAACTGGTAAAGAGGGAAGGTTGGGCATGAGGCTAGCAACCCCATGCTGTAAAAATAAAACCTTGCCACAGAAACTTCAAGCTGGCTCTAGCTTGAGGCCCTATATTTCACTGGGAACGTGTAGGAGTAAAAAAAAAAGAACCATTGAAAACCAGGGAGTACTGGACAGCTGCTGTTTCATCCTAGTTTGGGAATCATTGGCAGTACACACCCACTGGGGTTCGAACCTAGGAGCTTCCAGTTACAAGGCAGGCTCGTATACCATTCAGTTACTGGCTCATGAATTCCAACTTCTACCAGTTCGTGATTTGGCGTGACCCCAGTTAATGAGCCATTGAATCGAGTCCCAGTGGCTGAATGGTATACGACCTTGCCTTGTCACCGGAAGGCTCTGGCTTCCGACCCCAGTGGGTGCGTACTGCCGATGATTCCCAAACTAGTATGAAACAGCAGCTGTCCAGTACTCCCTGGTTTTCAATGGTTCTCTAACTGATATCAATCCGTGGTCAACTCGTAAAAACAAAACTAACCCTCACAAACCAGACTGTAGAAGAAAAACACTGTTTATTAATAACATTGCATTCTCATACAAATATTATATAAAAACACTTTATCGCCTTTCCACTATTTCCTGTTCATTCTACACGAGCTTATTGATTAGTCATTAGCTCACACTTATTACGTCATGCCAACCTCTGCCTCTTTTCTAACATTATGTAATACATTTTTTGAGGACAAAGTTTACCAGTATTAGATGGTTGGAGGCGGCAATCGGCGGGAAGCCTTGGACCTAGGTTTCGTGCTAGTTGTCACTCACCAGTCAGCAAGGCGTATCTGCAACCTCCTTGAATGACCTCATTTCCTTTCTTTGATTCGAACCCGCGTCACTCAGTGAGAACTGCAGTCAGAGACATTACCACTGGGCTCCTCAGGCTCGTGATTGACCTCCTGTAGGACTGTATTAGATATTTTTGAACTTCCTAACGTAGAACGTTAAGCGAAACATCTTCCTAGTAACTAGCAAGATCTGGGAGGACCAGGAAAGATCATTGGAAAAACTCAGCCCGAGATACTTGACATTAGGTGTATTTTCAACCTCTATGCAATCAAGGATAGTAGGCCCATGTGAGCTAGCTAGTTGTTGTAGGTCACGTTTACGTCTGACATTTAGACGGATTCAGCTTAAGACCGTATGAAGAGGACCACTGACTAATTTCCGACAGAAAGTTATTTAATTTGGAACAATCTGACTGAGAGTTGACAGGCATAGAAACAGAGAGGTCATCAGCATACTTAACAAAAGTGGCTACATCAGAATGAGGCAAGCCATGTAGGAAAAAGGAAAACAGAAAAGGAGAAAGAACAGCACTTTGAGGAGCACCAGCTGAAGTAAGTGAGATAGTAGTAATGATGATAATGATAATAATAGTAATAATAATAATGGTCATATCAATAATTAGGATGAAAAAGTGAGGAAATCTGTGGTAATACAATTAATAAAAAAAACAGCACAATTAAACAAACAAATGTTCCGGTGGAAGTAGTCGATAAAGGCTAGTAAAAACAAGTGAACCCATTGGGTAATACTAGATTGTATGGGAAGTAAATGAGACACATTTTTAAAGAAGATGTGATAAGATTAAGGTATGATAAGAGACTGGGATTGAAAATATAAACAAGGGGTGGTGTAGAAGTCATTAGCTGGTTATGTGTTAATAGACCAACAAAGGAGGGATAATGGCTGTACGAACTTCTTTTGAATCCATATCTTAGGGGCCTAATAGTTCGAATGCCTATCGCCTCAGCTGTATGCGTGCAATAGACGAATACGAAGTCTATTGGAAAGATTCTGTGGGATACGATGAATTATTTTGAAGGCTCTCGTTTTTTCTCCACTACATGACCACTATCGTCTACTGCACACAGCTGAGGCGATAGGCATTTGAACTATTATGCTCCTAAACTATGCATTCAAAAGAAGTTCGTACCCACAGCCATTATCCCACCTCCCTTGTTGGCCTAGTAAGACATAACTAACTAAAGACTTCTACACCACCCCTTGTTTATATTTTCAACCCCTTTCTTATCATCCCTTAATCTTGTCACATCTTCATTAAAAATGACATCTTTTTTTTAAACTTTGTCCAATCATATGAGTCATGAAACAGGTATCAAAATGTATAGTATGTTGAAGTGAAATTCCATTATGGGTAAATTTTGTTTTAATAAAGACCGAGCACTTCGGTCCAATCAATCGACGGGAAAATCAAGAATTCAATTCAATAATTAATATGACCCGTTGCACAAGAGGTGGCTCTCGTGGCCCAAGTGGTCTAGTAGATAGCGCTTTGGCGTTTGAAACTATAGGCACTGGGTTCGAGCTTCGATGGGAACATCATCACTCACTGAGAAATGCAGGTACATCCAGTTGACGAGTCCCAATTAGGACGAAATGCGCATCCTGGATTCCACTGCTAGCCACCATCCACCAATTGTATACAAAGTCTCACAGTGTTATACAGTAATGTTTACTGATGAAGTGAGCAATGAAGTACCCCCTCATTCCCCCTGGTAGGTGACCTTCAACGTGATTGGCTATTTTTGCGTGTTTTCACACCCTATAGTCTATTTGTATTGGTATTGAAGGAAATCTCGTACACACAAAAAAAAGAAATTAAATTTCAGGTCAAAGAAACAATCTATACAAATATATACAGGTAGATTAGAGGGTGTGAAAATACGCAAAAACAAACAGTTATGTCAAATGTCACTAGGAGGGGGATGACTAGTAAACTCCTGGAGAGTATTTAAAGTCTCACTTCAGATTGAAATGCGTGCCAAGGATGCTGCCTAGTAGGGGGCAATGAAAGCTTAGCAAATAAACCATTTAGCTGAGAGAACGCAGCCACACCAAAATCATCCACCTGAGCTACAAATTTTTTTTTTATTACAGCTTGATTCTACACCGTATTTTTGGTACAAGTATGGAATTTTCAGCATGTGATATCGGTAGCCCAAATTTTGCAGGCTGACCATAGATATCAAGTGTGAGTCAGCAGGGGATCGAACCTCGGACCATACGCATGGTCGGTGAGCATCCTAACCACTGTACCACCGACGCTACATTATATCTAAATATAGTCTGTATATAACAAGTAATTGGTTGATTACTTTCAAGTGTTTTGCGGTACACAGTTTTCCTTGTATCACTTAAATGTTTATACAGAGTTTTCGATAATTGGTATGTTAGGATGTTAAAGGTTGTTATCAGGGTAAGCAACGTGCCACTTAACCAGATGGTTAATATTCTGGTCGACAGTCACTTGGACTCATGTGAAAAATGGGCTAAATCCATTCCATCTATCTAACTCACACCACTCACGCTCTTCATTCACAACTCTCCCACCCTTTTATCTCATCAGGCTAAACCAGAAGCCTATATGTAGAAAACTATATGCTCGGACTAGTAAATACAAAACTCAACCGTACCCTACCTACTTGGCTCGTTCGTGTTCTGTGTGATAAAGAAAGCATTAGGCGTGAAACTTATAACTTATTAAATAGTCAGTAGTACAACTGGATCTCGTCTTTCCAACTGATATCATATCATTTATAGGTACAACGTTTTCTTTCTTTCTTTTCCTTTTCTCTCTCGTTATTCCTGTGTTATGTGCTGCTTTGTTTCTCTCTTCCTTACAAACTCTATTTAAAACATTCTTCCCCGTTCTTTCACACTCTGTATATCTTGGCCTTTTTGTTACCACTTACGCGAGTAAATATTCTAGCATCTATTTTTCTAACACCTTCAAACACTCTGTTCAACTTTGGCTTTGCTAACGACATGCTAATATGTTGTTGTCAAAACTAACTGATATCACCCTTAATCTATGTAGAATTTTATTCATTTGTTAATGTACCAACTGGATGCGATACTGTAGTGAAATGCTGAGAATTCCATTGTGCATCACAGGTACTGTTTTGGAATAAAGCAAGTTATTATTATTATTATTGGTATACTACTTAAAGGTAATCAGTAGCTTTGCATCACTCGCACAAAACCTCAGTGATTGGATTAAGTCAAATTCCGATAAATCAACTTGGTTTCATTTACTGAAGATCGATTTGATTATTAGCTCATTAGCTCAGCGACGGAATGCTCTCCAACCACCACGCAGGTGGTTTGGGGTTCCATCCCCGGTCAATGACTCACTCCTTCACCTCGCCAAGCCGTTAATAGAACTGTTAAAGAGGGAAGGTTGGGAGTGAGGCTAACAGCCCCATCCTGATCATCTAACTCGAAGTAAAATTATTGGATGGTAACTAGAAATGAAATCCACCAGGGTGCACATTTCGTCCATTTTGGGACTCGTCATCCGGATGTGCCTGCATGTCCCAGTGAGTGTGTCAGTGAAAGATGGTGTTCCCACTGAGGTTTGAGACCCAGTAACCATATTTTCAAGCACCAAACCGTTATCTACTAGACCACTTGGGCATCTGGATCCACTGCCAGTCCCCATCTATCAATTCACTTTTATAAATTTTTATTGTATTTCTTTTGTAAACAGTAATTAGCACAAAGTGTATATATAATCCATTTTCTTTAATATTTTTTAATTTTTAAGGTTGCTGCATTTAATCGTTTCTTGGAGATCACTCATCTGGCGTTTATTGGGCATATATTTGCTGCTATCTTTCATTGTATACGACCATCACAAATCTCAGCTAGTTGGAGTGCATTACGTCAAATGTCTATGCCAGATATTATGCTAACAATACTTGGTTTAATTGTTGGTTTGTTAATTTGTGTTGGCAGATTCACCTCACATATTATTCATTTATGCTGGTATATTATTGTAGCACTTGCTACTGATATTAGCCAGAAGAAACCACCTACGCATCGTACTTCAGCTGTACGTGCATTAATCCCATGGGCTGGTGATCGAAGTACGTATACGAGAATGCCAGCAACAGGAACTATGCAACAACATCATCATTATCATCCAAGTGAGATAGATAAAGTAAGTTGCATGTGTCCTCTTAGTGTTGTATTGCGCCCATAGCTGGAACATATGCATTCATCGGAACATTTCCATTCCATTCCAGTGGCATTGGACGAATGCCCACAAGTGTTCAGCTTTTCCGTACATTGCACCTTCTTCGGACACATGTGTAGCTCGTCGACATACATTCGGGTTTTCCCAGAGGCCTTGTTTGATATGCGATGTGACGTGAATGTCTCCTCTGTGTGTGTATGTCTGATCCATCTCGATCGCCTTCTGGGCATTTGTCAACCAATAGGCTGTTGGCGGAGTGACTACTAGGATTCGCTGTTGGTTATTATCAGCCATCTGATCCTTAGGTTTAGTAACAAATTGTATTTAAAGATTACTTCAATGTGAACTGAAACCGACAAGCTGGTCGAAGAAGCAGCAAAGACAGGACTCCAAGTGAACATAGACAAGACAGAGGTCATGAAAATAGCCAAACAACCAACAGCAACATCCAGCGCCAATTACCATCACAACCGGAGGGATTTGAAAGAGGTTACTTCATTCACTTTTCTAGGGAGCATTGTCTCAACTACAGCCAGTCGGAACGGACGAGGATGTCAAATCGAGCGAGATTTGGGAAGGCAGGCGAGAAACACATTCATCAACCTGAAACAACCAATCTGGAAATCTTCGTCACTTAGCCAGAATCAACAACAAAATTCGGTCGGATTTTCAATACAAACAACGTCAAGTCAGTCAGTTCTTCTATATGGAACGGATCAGAGACTTGGCGGGCGGGCGAGTCACAAAGAATATTTTCAACAGGCCATTGTACACCTTCATTATCAACAACTGTCAACTATCGCTCTATACTGAAGATCAGATCAGATGGCCGGGCTGGAAAGAATCACCAACAAGAAACAACAACTATGGGAACAAACAAACAAACAAAACAAGAACCAATCAATCGCCAACCAACAAATATGCAGTTGGAGAAAGTGGAGATGGCTGTAGATGGACACTCACTCGCTGAGGAGGCATCGCGCTGGGTGACATCGCGTGCGTGTCAGGCCATTGCTCGAGTGGAACCAGGTGGAAAGGAAGCAGCGAGTGGGACGTCAGTGTAAGGGTGGGTGACATGGAGGAGATCGTGTGAAGGGAGAGAGGTTGAAAGAGCATGAACTAACATGGATGATGTAGGTGAAAAGTACAGCAGAAGGAAGACAGAAGTGGCAAGTGAAGACGTGCAGTTGAAGCCTATGTTCCACTAGGAACCCAAGGGAACAATATTAAATGATAATAATGTGAACTGAGCACTGAAAGTGTTGCCTAGAATACAAAAGAGCTTCGCAATTGAATTATGTAGCTCAGAGAACCCCAGAACATTTTGTACTACCATTCATCAGACATAATTTACAATTTTGAAAGAACTTGCGTGTTTTCAATCGCGACACTGTACCAATCTATTCTGTGTCTATATAGTCGGGCCATGAACGTGACAAGGAAGCCAGAAAATTTCACTAGTAAAACCAAACAGATAGAGAAAATATTACTAGTGAACAACTAACTACCCACCAGGATTCATTCAGAAATGTATGAAGATCCATAGAAAAAATAGCATAAATACTGTAGAATAGTACTGCTGTATAAAGAGGGAACACTATTATTATTATATCCTTTAACCCCTAAAGGAACATAGGGCTTCAGCCAAACGTCTCCATTGCGTTCGGTTCTCTGCTAAAGTTTTCACGTGCTTCCAGGTCTGCCTACATGCTTTCATCTCCTCTTCACATCACCTCATCCATGTCACCCTCACACTGACGACCAACTCACCACTTTCCTTTCAGGTTCCACTCGAGGGTTTGTCTAGTGATATCACTTGATGGTTTCCTCAGAGTATGGCCAGCCAATCCATCTCCGTTTCTTCCTGCTTATTTGTTGCATAATTGGTTCCTTCTGGGTTGGTTCGCTCCCAGAGATCCCTGTTGCTGATCTTTCCTGACCGGCCATCTGATCTTGAGTAGTATTGAGCGAAGACAGGTGTTGATGAAGGTCTGAAATTTATTTGAGATGCTATTTATGTCGCGCCATGTCTCTGATCCGTATAGTAAGTAGCACTGACTGACTTCCCATTGGAGTTGAAAATCTGGATGTTATCTTCATTTTCATTCTGAGTGGTGCTGTTGACCTCCACATAGACTTGAGCGTAATGAAAGCTCGCCTTGCTTTCTTGATAATCCTCGCTGCTTTGATATCCTCGTCAGTTCCGCCTGCCTGTAGTTGAAACGATGCTTCCCAGGTAGGCAGGTAAACGAGGTTGTTTCTTCCAGGATGCTCCCAATTATGCTGATTGTTGGTATTTAAACCAACCAACTCCCTCAGGGATAAACTTTATCGGCTTAAGTGTCAGACAGATCCAATTAAGAATAATAATATAATTTGCCAAATGCTTTTTAATGAGATGAACTGTTTTGCCTATTGATAATTTTTTGAACGATTTTTCGACGTCTATCTCATGACTGGTGTCAAGGAGATGCCTGGTGATGGGACTGTTTAAAGCATTTTCCCCCTATAGACATAGGCTTTTTGATACATGTTCAAAAACCGGAGGTGTGCCCTTCTTTCTATCCTTCCAATGCAACAGTTCCCGCAGACGGACTCCCCGCAAAAACTGTCCTTCTTGCTTTATTCAAATTCAGTAAGAGGAATAAATGTATGAAGTTTCATAGTTCAATTCATCTGGTAATTTTTCTGGAAAAATGAGAAAGCTGTTTTCGAGTCTTCCACCCCACCCCCCAACACCCCAATTATCATTCATTACTAGGTTTGAATATTAGGAGGAAATGAATAACTGTAATCAGCTGGAGAGTCGAACTGTGAAAGGGAGAATAACACACTTTTCCTTACTCTTCTTTTTTCTAGGAACAACAATGGTGGCTACTATCAGAAGATCAACAATTGATCATTGAACGTGCTGATCCAGTACATTTAGCTACTATCGAAGAAGAATATGCAAATATAAGATCTACAACATATGGGAATACATTGTATGCGAATAATACACCTGGAGGGGATGTTTCACGTAAGTTTAATGATATTCAATTCATCCTAACGAGTTAGTTAGATTTTTCTCACTTACTAATGTTTTTAAGTGGTTGCACTATGTCATGAATTGGCAGAAGTTAGAATTCATGCATTGATCATTGGATGATTGGGTCCCAGTGGGGCTGTCTAATGGTCTACGATCTCAATGACCTTCTAACCAGAAGGTCCTGGATTCGAACCCCATGTGGTGGGTGCGTGCTGATGAAGAGAGTCCCAAACACTGGAACGAAACAATTGCGTGGCAGTACTCCCTGCAGGTCTTTCACTGGTTGTCTAACTGATGTCAGCTCATGATGAAATCCTCCAACCAATATATTCAATCCTCTTACACTTTGTCTCATTATGACTTGCGCCTATTGCTTCGCTCATTAGGCAGTATGTGAATAGGTTTTTACCAGTATATAAAGCAATTTTCTGAGCACGACTCATGCGAATTTATTACTAAATATATATATATATATTCGTTGTCGTTCGTAATCATTTTCTTTGTAATATTGGTGTCTGTCTGGATTCAACACAGAACTTGGCACCGAAGTGCACCAGTTCGAGTCGCTACGTTCCAAATAGCACACAGAGGTAGACAAGAAGATGAGTGAAGAGAATCAATAGAGTTTGACAAGTATAAGAGTGAAACAGAATGAGTAATGGTAGAAAGGAATATAAAAGATTACAGAGACGGAATACATCTGCGCTGGCCATTGACAATGATTTTGAGCCATGTCACCTATTGTCTCCAGCCATTGATTTCTAGAGTCAGTCCCGAGGGCCCCAACCCGGAAGTCTGCACCCCCTCCCTACCTGACTCAGTTTAACTGTCAAGGATTTTATGGATTGATTGATGTCATGTTTTTGTTTGGCCACCACTTACTCTTTTCCAACCTGCGCCTATATCAGCTAGTAATGCCCATCGTCAGGGGAGGCGATGGTTAGGCATGCGCAGCACCTGACCTAGTCATCTCAATCTATGTAACTTTATAGCCTCGTCGATTGATTTTCCCTCTTTGCCCAACACTCCACTCCTGACGTCAATATTACTTACCTTATTATACCACCTAACGTGAGACAGAGATCGCAAACATCTATGATCGAAAACAGTCAACCTTTTCATGTCTTCAACGCGTATTGGCCATGTTTCAGAGCCATAGAGAAGGATGGAGCGAACCGCTGAGCAGTACACACGTCCCTTGGTTGATAGCCGGATGTCACGCCTACGCCAGAGATGGTGAAAGTCAGCGAAAGCAGCTCGAGCTTTTTGGATCCGTGTTGAGGTTTCGTCGCCAATCAGTCCGTCGGTGCTGATACAACTTCCCAATAGGTGAAGTGGTCAACATGTTCTACCACTTCACTCGCTATCACTAAGCCGGGAGTTGACGTGGTCCAGTCCTGTAGCAGCATCTTACATTTTACAGGGGCGATTCACATGCCAAACATACGAAGATTGCTGCTCAAGGTGCTCAGAAGACTCTGCATCTTGTCACCATCCTCCCCTAACAGGATTATGTCATCAATTTAGTGTTACAAGTATACATGTTACCACAAACATACATTTTGAACTATAATCTATTAACAGTCTATTCGCAGATAACGCTTGGAATTTGATCTAGATAAAACCGAGGTTAGCCTTTAAAAACCACTAATGTTGTCATTATTATGGGATATATAACTGTAGAATCATAATGGTACACCCATTGATTGCATATTGGAACAGGATGGTCGGGAGTTCGATCCCCGCCCACCGACACACTTCACCTCTCTAAGCTAATGATACGACTGGTAAAGAGGGAGGGTTGGGTGGGCATGAGGCTAGCAACCCATCCTGTAATAATAAACACCACTGCTACCAAAACTTCAAAGCCCAAGAAGCTTGAAGCCCTATGATCCACTGAGAACGTACAAGATTAAGATTTAATCAAAATCAATAAACTGTAGAATCTGATGATAAAGTTATCGAAAAGAATATTCTTTCTTTGTTCAGTAATCAATATTTTAAAATTTCAAATGGTCATCTTTAATCAATTATCTTCTCACACACACACACACACTCTTGTTTTCTTCCCTAACATCATTATAGCTAAAGTATCAAGTACTTTAAGAAGTAGCAATCTACCAAATGGTTTATGCAGTCCAAATGTAAGAACACCGACAGTAACAACACCTCCCACCACTTCTCCCGCCAGTCCTGCTTCTCCTAGTAATACACCTACAAGTGCTACTCATCCTGCTGAAGATGATAAACCAAAATTCAATACAAGAAATTATGTCATTTCAATGTTTGCTAGTAATTTTTATCGATTCAAAATTAGTGCACTTATACTGGCATTTGTCATCAACTTCTTACTGTTATTCTTCAGGGTATGTGTGGTGTGTGTTTACCCCATGCTTTTCATACTTTGAAGTTTCTGTTCACGATAGAGATTTTTTCTTTGTTTTGCTTTTTTTTCACGTTGGATTTTTTGGCCTTTTCGGTGTGACCTTCGCTCCTTTTCGAAGGTTTAAGAGTGTGTCAGCCCGGAATCGGACCGAATCTTCTGCGTGACTTTCAGTGAACCACAGGAGCGTATATATATATACCCAGAAATGCAAATGAACTTGTATATCCAGGGTGAAGTTAAATCCATAGAATTTCTTGATATAAGTATAAAATTTGGGCATTGTGATAGAGTATAACTGCATCACAGATAAGATTTTATTGTTACAAATCACACAGTGTTTTACAGTAATATTAACTGATGACCACGTTTCGAACACAAACTATTGCCACTCATAATCATATCAAGTCTAATATCATCAAATCAATGTACACCGTGATGACAAGCTACCTAGAATGTTGGCCACATTGCAAACCTGACTGAGAGAATTCAGTCTGCACCAATGAAAAGACTAGACACGTTACCCAAGTCATTGACTAGTGTCCATTCAAAGTATCCACTACAGTTCTACTGGAGGTCAGCCCCGAGCCCGAATACCTCAGTGGTGACGCCTTAGACTGCAGCACTGGATGACACGGATTCGAATCTGAGAAGGGACATGAGTTCCTTCAAGGAGGTTGCAGATACGCCTTGCTGACTAGTGAGGGCCAACTAGCACGAAACCTAGGCGAAGAAAGGCTTCCTGTGGCCCCGATTGCCTCCAACCTCCTAATGTCATCATATCAAGTCTTGATATGATTATGAAGAATAGTTTGTGCTCGAAACGTGGTCGTCAGTTAATATTACTGTACAACACTGTGTGATTCATAGAATTTCTCCTATTAATCGTGGACACAGGAACTGAAAGTGTTTGAGAGATGCTAAGCATAAGGCGCCCTTAGAACTTGACTAAAGCGTTTCAGCTGTTGTTAGCCTGGTGTGATCACTGTCGAAGAACAGTTTAATAAGGGTAGCTTTCTTTTTCACAGATCTGACCCATTATTTTTGTGATTCTCATAGTGAAACTATGAAATGATATCATCATTTTGTTTTTTTTCCTTCACGTTCCCCAGTGGAACGTAGGGCTTCAAGCTAGTGGCCTGAAGTTTCTGTAGCAGTGTTTAACTTTACAGCATGGGGTTGCTAGCCTCATACCCAACCTTTACTCCTTACCAGCATTATTTCTGGCTTAGCTAGGTAAAGGAGTGCGTTGGCGGCCGGGGATCGAACCCCGGACGATGTGCATGGTCGGCGAGCGTCCTAACCGCTATGCCACCGACGCACTCATCATTTTGTAGCGTTCAACTTTCAAATGACATTATTCATACATATCGTGGGGACAAATTATTTCAAAGTTTAACATCACTTTGTTTGATGGTTGATATGGTGAGCGAACCGACGATGATACAGAGTTTATTACGAAACTGCCTCATAGGCGGAGTTGAGATATTCAGACTCATATTGAATTACTGTATTGATATATCTTGTGTTTGAAGTGTAAATCTTTATCATAATACTTTCGAATTAATAAAGCTGACTGACGTTTGTATGTTACACAAAGTCAAAGCAAAATAAGGTAAAAGAGGAGTGGTTCTAACTCACCCACTCCTGGTAGATGCTACCTTTATGAAGTATGCTACTGACAATATGTATCAGTAGTTTATAAAGGGGTATTTTAATCGACACAAAACATTAAACAGCGGAGAGATGGAGGGATTTGACGTCAGAGAGTGGGTAAATGAACCAATCAGTATTGTGACAAAACAAAACATGGACCAGTGGCTCAATGGTCTACGAGCTCGCCTTGTAACCAGAAGGTCCTGGGTTCGAATCCTGGTGGGTGCGTACTGATGAAGAGTCCCAAACTAGGACAGCAGAAACAGCTGTCCAGTACTCCCAGGTTTTCCAGTGGTTCTCTAACTGATGTCAGCTCATGATTAAATCCTCCATGCAATAAAACATGGAGACACTAAAAGAAGACAAAGAAACACAATACGAAGGAAGGGCAGGAGTAGCACCAGTACGGAAGATCTGTGAAAACGACGGATTTCCTATTTATGGTGTAAATAAAGTCCCTCTATGTGTGTATCAAATTGCTTATAAACATTTCGTTACCAAACCTCTTGTCTTCCGTTCTTATACCTAAAAATGGTGGATGGATTTACACATCACAAGGCAGCATCGGTCTACATTTCGGTAGTGAAAGTTTCTGTAGGCCACTGTCGAGAAGGCTTTTTGCACAGCGCTTGGACTAAAAGCAGTTACTGACATATTGTGGAGGTCTGAGGATGTCACGGTGGTACTTCGTTGCCCAGGGACAGCTAGCATGACAGCTATGCAGCCTTCCTGGTCTTCTGAAGTAGGGTTATAAAAGTTCGGTCGTAAAAATTATACATTGCAACATACTGCGGTGGTCTACATCTGGCAGTGAGATTATCATATGAACAAAACTCGAAAAACCACTTCAAACAGACTTTATGTGACTCATCACTGGGATCTGAGGTTATACATCACTTATGCTATTTTCCCCTTCAGATATTTCAAGCAGAAATCAACTTTTGCAGTGTGGATGACACACTTCTTTGAGCACAGACAGAACACAACGTTCTCCTAGTCATAATCCACCTTCATCTTCTCGCTTCCATTTCCAGTCATTTTATAATCCCAGACATTATAGACTGACCCTCTTTGGATGTTGTCTAAACTGAAATCTAGACTAATATCTCATGGAGTTATTATTATTGCTGACTTTTTTCTTTTCAGGTACATCAAGCTACTGTAGAAGGCTTAAATGATGAAGATGGTGATAATGGTGAAAAATTACCTGGTAGTATAGATGGTGATGAAGAAGAAGTTTATGAATGGATTACAAGTGAAACGGATTCATATATTGGTCCATTGATAGCAATACTTGCCGCTGTTCATTCTATACTGTCATTCAGTACACTTGTAGCTTATTATTACTTGAAGGTAATTTACTTCATTGGATATATAAGTGTATTATATATTATTATTATTATTATTGTTCCCTTGGGTTCCTAGTGGAACATAGGGCTTCAACTGCACGTCTCCACTTGCCACTTCTGTCTTCCTTCTGCTGTACTTTTCACCTACATCATCCATGTTAGTTCATGCTCTTTCAACTCCTCTCCCTTCACACCATCTCCTCCATGTCACCCACCCTTACACTGACGTCCCACTCGCTGCTTCCTTTCCACCTGGTTCCACTCGAGCAATGGCCTGACATGCGCGCGATGTCACCCAGAGCGATGCCTCCTCAGCGAGTGAGTGTCCATCTCCAGCCATCTCCACTTTCTCCTACATATTTGTTGGTTGGTGATTGGTTTTTGTTTTGTTTGTTTGTTCCCATAGTTGTTGTTTCTTGTTAGTGATTCTTTCCGGCCCGGCCATCTGATCTGATCTTCAGTATAGAGCGATAGTTGACAGTTGTTGATGATGAAGGTGTGCAATGGCCTGTTGAAAATATTCTTTGTGATCCGCCCGCCCACCAAGTTTCTGATCCGTTCCGTTTAGAAGAGCTGACCTAAAGTTTTTGACATATTGAAAATCCGACCGAATTTTGTTGTTGATACTGAGTGACTAAGTCTACTAAGTCCCAAGTCAACCATAATACTTCATCAGCTGTCTCTATGTTTCTAATTACCTTTCATTTACTGTCCACATAGTCCTGTTTATGTCATCCTCGGAGGTACACCCAACTCGTCATACAGGTTCTATTCGAGGGCTTGTTGTGTGATATCACTGAAGGCTTCCTCATCCAGGGTGTTCGATTGATCTTCAGTTCCTCCCATACATTTGTTGGGCGTAAGGCTCTTGGTTAGCATGTCGACAGATTTCTTAACTGTCTATCCTTCAAGTCCAACCATCTGATCTTCATTATCGATCAAATGAAGACAGGTTTTGGTTGAAGTTTGCAACCAGTATAGTTAACTGTAGATGAATTACAAAACAGATGACAATTTATTTAGTCCAGTAATACACTGTATTATTATTCTCTTGGGTTTCGAGTGGAATATAAGGCTTCTACAACACATCTTCACTTTCTTCTATTCTCTGTTGTCCTATTCAGCTGACTAGCCATATGACTGCTCATAATCTCTCATCTCCTCCTCCCCATTATACGATCTCCTCTACGTCGCACTCGTACCGAGGGTCCACTTGTCACTTCTTCTTCTTATTTGGATTCCAGTCAAGCTATGGTCTGAGTTGTGTGAGATTTCACTCGACAGCCTCCTTAGTGTATGCCCAATCCATCTCCGTCTTTTCCTACATATTTATTGAGCAATCGACTCTCAACTGTTGGTTTGTTCTTAGCCAGTCGGCCAGAGTTTCTTTCTGGCCGACTGACTGACCATTTGATCTTCAGTATGGAGCCAGCCAACAAAGTTGGCAGCTGTTGATGTTAGTCTGTAACTTGCTAGAAATCCTATTCGTGACAAATAGTACAAGTTTCTGATGCGTATAGATTAACTGACCGTCAGATTTCATATTTGTCTTGAACAAAATACAAATCTTGTTTATTATTCCGTGGGAGTGCAGTGCAGAAAATTTCCGGACTGGTTTCAGTTTGATGAAGGTGTATCTTGCCTTTCCGATTCTGGCTGGCTGGCTGGCTGGCTGGCTGGCTTTGACGTCTTTATCCATTCTGATAGCCTGTGATTGAAATCGTGTTTCCTAGCCGAGTCTTATGAATGCAGAGTCTTCTGAACACAATAGACTGCAATCTACGAATGTTTGGCATACGATTCCCTCCCGCCAAATGTAAGATGATGTTACAGGACTGCATTACACTGACTCCTAGTTTAGAAATAGGAAGTGAAGTGGTAGAGCTCGTTGATCGCTTCATTTATTAGGGAAGTACTATCAGCCAGTGCCAACGGGTTGATCTCTGACGAAATCTCACCACGGAAACAGAGGGCTAGTTTCGCATATGCCAGTTTACTCCGTCTCTGGCCTGGTAGACGTGATATATGGTTAGTTATCGACCAAATGGCGTGTGTATTGCTCATCACTCCACTCCGTTCTCATTTATGGCTGTGAGTGAGACATGGCCATTCAGAGTGGAAGAGATGAAAAGATTAGCTGTCTTTGATAATAGTTGCCTGCGCTTTATTTCCTGTGTGAAGTGGTATAATAAGGTGAGCAATATTGATGTTAGGCTTCAATCAAGTGTAGAGTAAGGAGGGTAAACCAGTTGATGAAGCTGTGAAATTACATCGACTGAAATGGTTAGGAAATGTGTTACGTATGCCTAGTCATCGCCTTCCTCGACTGACGGGCAATGTTAACTGACATAGGGTCAGGCTGGCTGGAAAAGAGCTAGCGGCGGTCAAACCAAATCATGGCACCAGTCATTGAAGTCTATAACAGTTAGTTTAAGCCAGCCATGTAGGAAGGTGTAGACTTCCTGACTGGTTGGGGTCCTTGGAATGGTGAAAACCAATGGTTGGAAACAATTGGTGATATGGCTAGCTCAAATTCGTTCTCAATGGCTGGCTGACGCAGATGCATCCACTTCTTGTGACTTATGATTTCCAATGAAACTGTTTTCTTCTTCGTTATTACTATTCCTTTGTCTCACAACCTCTGTTTGCTGTCTCTATTACGCATTTCTTCTACTTTTTTCCCTTGCCTTGTGTGTTATATGTGGGGAGTGTAACGACTTGAAGTGCCGGATATATGTGCAGAGTTCTATGTCAAAAACGGACAGACAGTGCTTCCTAGCCGGATAAGTGAAGGGTGGAAGTAACCTCTGTCAAATCTCCCCCTTCGGTGGTGATTCGTGTTGGCTGTTGTTGGTTGGTTGGTTGGTTACCTTCATCACATCCGTCTTCTTCATGTTCACCTGGAGTCCTGTCTTCCACTTATATTATCATCTTAATGTAGTTCCTTAATGAGTTTCGCTTTCTCTCATCTCTCATTTTCATTCATTTTCAGGTCCCTCTAGTTATATTTAAACGTGAAAAAGAAATATCTAGAATGCTTGAATTTGAAGGTATGTGGATATCATCACAACCAGCTGAGGATAATTTACGCGCACACTGGGATAAATTAGTCTTGTCAACACCATCATTTCCACAAATGTATTGGGATAAATTTGTTAAAAAGAAAGTACGTAATAAATATTCAATTCAATATGATTATGATGAAATTACAACCCTGTTGGGTATGGATAAAACAAGTCTGGATACGGAAAATGATGGTGCCGGTTTTTCGAGATTGTGAGTTTGCTACTGTTGGTGTTGTCGTTGTAGTTGTTTTTTTCTACTGAAGATAATTTTTTTAATTTTGATTAAAAATGCCCACTAAAATTTTCAAAAGAATGGATACTGAACAGAGAGTACCTCTTTTCGATAACCCCTTCTTCATCAGGCTCTACAGTTATATATACCTAATGATAGTGAATGAATGAATGAATGAGGGAATTAGTGTTATGAACAACGTTAATGTTGCTGTTTAAATAACATAGAATCAGTAATAATATCACTGGATTACAGTTCAATAGCATCAACATAACAATACACACTGAATGTCAGAAAAATTAGGAGAGATAATAGTACAAATTCATGAATTTCTAGTCTCTACTGAAGGCCAGGGGAATAGTAGGGACTGGACATACTTCTTTTAAACACAGAGCACTGGTTGTTTGAGACGAATTGCAATAGCCTCTGTTGTTTGGAGTATGCGATGCTTCAATGATGATTTTGGCAATTTATTAGGCACCCGGTAGATGATGATAGGGAAGGATTCTTCCACTCTGGTTGGTTGGTTTTATGGCCGGCCAGTTTGCACCAAATGGTCCATTATCTAACTGTTAATGGTTGCAACTACACCTTTACTTATCCATAGTAGGAGATGTCCCTGAGTCAGTACGAAAAATCAAGTTCCCTAGAGCAACGGCCAATATAACTCACTTCGCCACAAGCGCAGCTGGATTGGTAGATGCAATCTGAAGTGGCTAGCTAGTCAAGGTACTTCATCTTTCAGTCGAGGTAGTACTATCGGTCATGTAGAGAATATTACGTGTAGTTCGCCAGCATTAAAAGTTCTTCGAACTGATATTCTTAATTTCCTGGCAATTATCTCACTTGGTAAATCGATCGCCCTTGAATTGTAGTCGTATATAAAGTGGCTTCTTGTTTACAGATAGTAGTAGTAGAGAAGTCCTTTTCCGCTTTCTTTGTCATGTATTTCTTGATGAATTTTTCAGGATAGCTATTTTCGATCAAAGTATCATATACAATGCTTAATTTATCTTCAATTACTTCTTCTGAGCATATAGCTCTAACCTACCCTGTGGCTGAAGGTTTTTACTAAATTTCTCCTGTACTTGATAGAAACGAAGCTGTGAAAATGTGTATATTTATATTTTGTTATATTTTTTATTCCTTTACGTTCCCAGTGGAACCTATGGCTTCAAGCTTCTTAGGCTGTAGAGTTTCGTTAGCAGTGGTGATTATTTTTACAGGATGGAGTTGCTAGCCTCATCTGATTCAACGTTCCGTCTTTACTAGTTTTATTACTAGCTTAGTAAGGTGAAGAAGTGAGTCGGTTGGGTATTGAACCCCGAACCACTTGTGCGGTGGTCGGTGAGCATTCTACCTCTATGCACTGATGCGTGATATATATATATATATATATATATATCCAATAGACGAATTAATATGGAATTACTTGCTATCAAAGTGTTTAAGTTCTACACTGAAACAATAATCACTTACCGGTTTTCCATCCTTTTTTATTAATATTTCAATGTACTGGTTTAGGTGAGTAATTCAAACACTGCTAGTCACACTGTTTATGATTGGGAAACAACCTTGTTTTGTAACCAGAGGGTCCTGGGTTCGAACCCCCTGTGGTGGGTGCGTACTGCTAATGATTCCTGAGCACTAGGATGAGACAGCAGCTGTCCAGTACTCCCTGTGGCTGGTTTTTTCAATATTTCTCTAACTGATATCAATCCGTGATGTGACTCGTAAGAACATAACTAACCCTTATAAACCAAACTCTTGAAAATGTATCTTAATTAATTAAATAGTTCTGCTCGTAGATTTAGATATGATAGAGAAGATTTGTAGCTCAGGTGGATGATTTTGATGTAGTTGTGTTCTCTGAGCTAGAGGATTTAGAAGCCTGGTATTCCCTTTAAATTGTCAATCAATAGACACATTGACATAGACAAAATCTACCAATCGATGAGAAGGAAACCTGACTCACACAGCGTCAAACTTCAGGTCAAGGAAACAATCAGTACCAATACAGAGAGACAAGAGGATGTGAAAAAACACCAAATCGGCCAACCAGGTTCCAGGTCACCCACCAAGAGAGGTGACTAATCAACTCGTGGAGAAATCTAAAAGCTCACTTCAAGAATTTAAAGTATGCGTGCTGAAGATGTTCCCTATTTAGGGGGGGGGTAAATGAAAGCTTCGCAAACAAGCCATCCAGCTGAGAGAATACAACTACATCAAAATAATTAGGTAGTTTCTTTTACTAAAAAAATATAATTTCTGATATAATTAATATCTTGTTTATTTCTCTCCTAACGTGGATTTAATTCTTCTAGTTTCAGTGGAATTGATTTACAATATCTAGTCTGGAAATGGGGAGTCGTTTTCACGGATATCGTAAGTTTGTTATTTAGTTTTTTCTATTTATCGTACTTATACTCTTTGAGATAATCAGTCTTCTTTGTCATCTTCTTCAAAGAGAATAAATGAACAACTGAGATTTCATTTTATATTCTTAAGAATTATTTACAACTAAACATTTCACCATTCCTATTTTTACTGAGGATCATCCCATCCTATGTCAGTGAAAATAGTAGGACTGGTGAAATGTTTAAGTGACAATAGAGCACAAAAATTAAGAAGTATCAAGGAAAATCTAAGACAGGAAATGATACACATAAAAGAGGCCTTGAAACTTAATAATTAACCGGATAAATTAGTCAGGAAAAATGTAAGGAGATGTAGAAATTAAAATAAAATAAACAATGATAGTAGTGATAGTGATGATAATGATAATAATAATAATAATGATAATAATAGTGATAATAATAATATTAATGACGACACCAACAATAAGGAATCTAAATCATCAGTAGTACTTCCATGCAAAGAAGGAACTTCGGAAACTACCTTATGGTTGAGAATTCTTAACAATGCAGACAGCAATAAAAGTGGCTGCTGACATTCAAACCAACCACAAACTCAATTAGAAACAAGCTTTGTTGCTTAAAGGACGAATCCTGCGGATCCTTTAAAACAAAACAATTTAGTTTATCTAATACCCTGCCTGCAATGACTGTCAGGTCAAATACATAGGTCAAACTAGTAGAACAGGGGTAGTCATACTAGTCGAACATAAAAACCTAGCAAAATCTAGACTGGTTGACCCGAATAAGATAAGAAATCTGAAGAATAGTTCAGCCGTAGATAGCACTACATGCAATTACACACAACCATACAATAGGATGGATGGGATAGGATGACAGTTTTAAAATCTACTGTAACAGCTGGGTGGAGGGAGAGATTGATAACAGAAGCTTTAGTTATCGAATCAACTGAGAGGGAATACGTGTAATAGGAATGATTCAACACCTGTCCACGCAGATATCTGGAAAATGCGTTCTACTACCACACCTACGCCGACAAATAGGAGAGAACAAAGAAAACTATGAAACTCAAATTTCAAAGTCGTGTGATTATCATTGATGAATGATTACGAACAATTAATTTTGTTCTAAACTTTGTCATCCAGTAAATACTACTGTTCCACTGTGTGATATATCCATCTAATAAATAAACTAATATGGAATTACTTACTACCACAGTGCCGAAGTTTTACACATTTATTAATTTCATATATATTCCAATGACACGTCCATGAGTGATCAGATTGTTCGAAATGTGTTGTACGCAAATACAACATTACACGATTCAGACAAATTACGTCTTCTTATTGCTTTATCTAAACTCACAAAGGGAACTAACTGTTTGAAATAATAATAATAGCTGTTTGCTAAACACAATACACAATTCTCAAGGCAATTTCTTGCCAAGTATTTACTCTTTGTATAGAACCTCGAAGTAAATATTCATCTATAGTAACATTGTTCTGTGATAAACAAGACTTAATCCTCTACGAAATTTTTCCCTCAATTTTGAAAGTTAATTAAAATTTTGAGCGAGTTTATGTTGCCATCCAAAGATGTAACTGGAAGATTCAAGAAACGGAGAAAAATAGATGCATTTATACTGGGTAGAAATTTACATAACCTAGGGGTTTAAGCAGATCACCTCAAAAACGAAACTCACAACACCACGTCACTTTTCTTTTATGGTGAATATGATATTATTATTATTATATCTGCTTTCGTCTGAGGGTTGGTATCCACTGCTATTTCTGCTCCCTCCGTTGGTATGATTAGGCGTGTTGTACGTGGCAGTCGATTTAAAAGTCTTCTGAAGTATTCAGCCCAGTTTTTCCTTTGCTCCACCTCTTTAGTGATTGATTTTCCATTGTAATCCTCACTGACTTAATTTGCGTTGATCTCTTCCCCCAAAGGGACCGAGTTGTGAGGTCTCCTTTGCCTGCAGCTTGTTCTGCCTTCCCTCAAAACATGCATTTCTTTTATTTTATTGTAAATACAATATTATTTTTATTATTATTATATTATTATTTCCTTTAATTCCTAGAGGAACATAGGGTTTCAGCCAAACGTCTCTATTGCGTTCGGTTCTCTGCTAAAGTTTTCACCTGGCTGCAAGTCTGCCCACATGCTTTCATCTCGTCTTCATATCACCTCCTCTAACTCACCCTTGGACGAGTAACTCGCTGCTTCCCTTTCAGGTTCCACTCGAACGATGGCCTGGCGTGATGTCACTTGCTGGTTTCCTCAGAGTATGGCCAGCCAATCCATCACCATTTCTTCCCGCATATTTGTTGCACAATCGGTTCCTTCTTGGTTGGTTCACTCATTGCCAGAGATCTCTTCCTGTTGCTGATCTTTCCTGACCGGTCATTTGATCTTGAATAGTATTGAGCGAAGACAACTGTTGATGAAGGTGTGTAGTTTGTTTGAGGCGCTCTTTATGACCGGCCAAGTCTCTGATCCGTATAGCATGTAGCACTGAATTCACATTGGAGTTGAAAATCTGGATCTTATCTTTCATGCTGCAGAGTACTATTGATCTCCATGCAGACTTGAGAGTAATGAAAGTTTGTCTTACTTCCCTGATCCTCGCTTTGATATCCTCGCCAGTTCCGCCTGCCTGTAGTTGAAACTGCTTCCCAGGTAGGCACGTAAAGGAAGTTGTTTCCTTCAGGTTCCTCCAATTTATGCTGTCTGATTGTTGTCTGTTGTTGTTGCTTTTAGTGTTGGTCAGGAATCTTCATCGTCAACTCTGTTTTATCTATGTTCACCTGAAGGTAGTCCTGTCTTCTCTGGATGCTTCTTCTGCCAACTTGTTACTTTTCACTTGTATATCTTTCAGTTTGTGGGAAATCAGACAGATATCATCGGCGAAATCCAGATCTTTCTAGATATTTAAGTGGGTCCATTTTATACCTGTCTCCTCATTATCCACTGTGTGCCTGTCACATTATCCAGTCTACCTCAATCAGGAAAGTCATTGGAGATAGTAAGCAGCCAGCCAGCTTGTCTTACTCCCATCTTCACTTTGAAGGGTTTCATGAGTTTCCCGTTTTGAATTACTTGGCATGCAACATTGTCGTACAACTAACTGTTGGATGAGATGTAGCAAAGTAGTTTCCAAATCACCTCTCGATCGACGCTGTCTGCTGTAGGCCTTTTCAAAGTCGATGAAGTTGAGTGAGGTGGAGAGGTGACTGCCATTCCAAGCTTTGTTCAGTGATGATCTGTAGTGTGGCGATTTGATCAATACATGACTTATTTTTCCTGAATCCAGCTTGTTCCGGTCGAAGTTTTTCATCGAGGGGAGAGTGTTTGATTCTCTCCAGGATGATTCAGCTTAGTATTTTGCTAGGGATGGATAAGAAAAGCAAAACTCCGCGCCAGTTTTTGCATTGACTTTAGTCTCCTTTCTTTAGCAGTTTGAATAAGTAGCCTTTCTTCGAATCCTTGGGTACCTTGTCCTCTTTCCACACCTTCTCCAGCAATGGCGTCGTCAAGTCCGCTGGTGTCTCTGGATAATGGTCTCTACATAATGCGTTTCACATAAATACAAATGAGTACTTTTCATAACATGAATGTAATGTTTGCTTTTTTTAAAATTCAACTCTTATTTCCTCTATTTTTGTATAAAATATATCATGGAAATCTATTTTTGACGACCTGATCACTGATGTTCAACGTGTCTGTCCGGGTACATTGCAGTCTTTCCTCTATCTGGCAGTTTATTTTGCTGCATCCGCATTTGGCAATTTGAATTACTTCTTATACGCTTGTCATTTACTGGATGTAGCTGTCTCGTTTAAAACATTGAGAACAATTATTCAATCTGTAACGCATAATGGCAAACAAGTGAGTAGTGTTCATTTCTCTCTTTTTTTCTTTATTTTTATTTTTCAAAGCAAGCGGTAATTGTTTAAAACAAAAAAAGGTGCATTCTTTAATGAATTCATAAATTCTGGGGGGGGGGGAATTGTCATTTTGAATATTCTACGAACATGATTATATATGCATATGCTAGTTTATAAGGCTTTGGTACTAACACTGGCATGCGAAGAAGATCATTCACCCGTCTTTTATTGGACTGTTAACCCACTACTATGGTGAATGACTGACTGACTGACTCGTTTCAATGTAGAACTTTGCACGGATGTCCAGCAGTTCGAATGGCCACACTTAGCTTAGCACACAAAGCAAGAGAAGAAAGTAAAAAGAAATTCAAAGAAGAGATAAATAAACAAAAATATGAGGTAAAGAGAACAGTGATATTGGATGCATCTGCTCCACTGAAAACGATTCTGAGCCATATCACCGATTGTCTCTAGCCATTGGTTTTTACCGTCCCGAGGACCCTAACCAGAAAGCCAGTCTACACCTCCCTACATGGCTGGTTTAAACTAATTTTCAAAGATTTTATTGACTGACGAAGCCGTGCTCGGGTTTGACAACCACCACTGGCTCTTTTACAGCCTGACCCATCATCCTATGTCAGTTAGATAACATTGCCCGTTGGCTGAGGATGGCGATGGATAGGCATGCATGTTTAACACATGTCCTAAACATCTCAATACATGCAGCTGCTTCACAGCCTCGTCTATTGATTGATGCCTAACATCAATATTGCTCACCCTATTATACCACTTGACATGAGAGATAGAATGCAGGCACCTATGATCAAAGACACACAGCTAGCCTTCTCTTTCATGTCTTCCACTCTCAATGGCCATGTCTCACTCACAGCCATAAAGGAGAACGGAGTGGAGTGCTGAGCAGTACACGCATCCTTTGGTCGATAACTAACCGTATATCACGTCTACTAAGCCAGAGACGGCGTAAAATGGCAGGTACACGCCAAACGAGCCTCCTGTATCCGTGGTGAGATTTCGTCAGAGATCAACCCGTTGGCACTAGACGATGCAACTTCTTAAGTAAGTGAAGTGGTCAACACACCCCGTCAACCACTTCACTCCTGCCTATTTCTAAGCTAGGAGTGAGTCAACGTAGTCCAGTCCTGTAACAAGCTGTTAAGCAGTCCTAAATGAAGATTAAACAGCTTCGGAGTGCTGCATGATTTTCAGTGCTTTTATGCTTCAAGTCGGTTCAAATTCATGACGAAATCCACGCTGATATCAATTATCTATCATCAAAATAGGTTGGAGGCATTCATCATGAGCTGAAATCAGTTGGAAAATCACCATGAGGTACTGGACAGCCATTTCATCCGATTGCTTAGGACTCTTCATCGTAGGCACCCGCGACAGGAGTTCGAATGCAAGAGCTTCTGGTTACAAGGCCAGTAGGCTCGCAGATCATTAAGCAGCCATTGGGACCTGGACCAGCACATGAATTCTAACTTCTACCAATTCACGCAGGATATAGCACCACCGCTAACCAATATGTTCTTCGATGAGTAACTGGCCTCACCTTCAACTTGCTGTATCCTACTGTTCACGGCTTCCCACTAGAACCCCAGGTAACTAACTAACTGTATGAATGGGGCCAGTCACTACAGAGTATCAGATGAATTTTTAAGTATTGGTTTTTTGTAGGGATTTTCTTTGATTGATTGGAGGATTTCATCATGGTCTGACATCATCAAAATAAATAAACGCTATGATTTTTATCAACATGCTGTTGTGTTATCCGCTACCTTGAATACAGAATTCTACGCATATAAATGTTTTAACTTTTGTTAATTTAAAACAATTAGTCCCTTTGATAAATTTGAATAAGGCATTTAGAAGACAAATTTCGCCGCGAGATGTAATCTTCATTTCGTAGTTTCTTTACAACCGCTTTACAACTAACCTTGGTTAACAATGATAAAATAAAGTTCATGAAAATTACTCAGTTAAATAAAAACAAAAGTACATACTAATGACCAATCATCACATTTAAATAGGTCCTGTAGTCCATGGTAGGCAAAGATTGAAGTCTATTGATTTTTGTACACACAGTTTAGGCTGTATGTGATGAATCCAAAGTGCTTCCATCACCTTCAATAACCTTGAATTAGAATTATGTGAAATAATTGTGAAACAGTCATTAATATTTATTTTGTGACCAGACATTAATAAGTGTTTTGCAATGGATGATGCTGGATTTCTATTAAGATTAATTGCATTGGGATTTTTGATATGATTTAATAGCCATTTTGGAACATGTTCTTTTAGACGACATTGGAACATTCTGTTAGTTCTACCTATATAGGTGTCACCGCAGCTGCAGGTGAACTTGTAGATACAGTTTGAAGTAGAGTCCACAGAATTTCATCCTTTAATCGTAGGAACAGGGATCGAAAATGTTCGGCAAGTGAGAAAAAGAGATGCGGCGTAGAATGTACGTTTGATGGCTGACCGAAGTCTTTGAGCTGTCAACTGTTTCACAATTATTTCACATAACTCTAATTCAAGGTTATTGAAGGTGATGGAAGCACTTTGGATTCATCACATACAGCCTAAACTGTGTGTACAAAAATCAATAGACTTCAATCTTCGCCTACCATGGACTACAGGACCTATTTAAATGTGATGATTGGTCATTAGTATGTACTTTTGTTTTTATTTAACTGAGTAATTTTCATGAACTTTATTTTATCATTGTTAACCATGTTAGTTGTAAAGCGGTTGTAAAGAAACTACGAAATGATTCCATCATCTCGCGAAATTTTGTTAATTTGTTAATTTCAAATCTTTAAATATTCCCATTTATAATATTAGAACAAGACATACCCTTGAACAATATTGCTGTTTTCAATTAGATCTTCTTCAGGCTTTACTCTAATTTACATAGATTTATATATATAGTGCAATTTAACCAATGACGGTGATTTTGTTGATCAACTAATAATAATAATGTGGTAAATGTTTTGAACAAAATTAATAACGATGATTATAATGATAACAAAATATTGATAATAAGGTTTATGCAGGTGGCGATAGTATATGTATAAATGTGTATATGCAGACAATTCAATAAATAAATAAATTAGGTTAAATCTTAAACCTTACGTAATACTGAAGGTGAAGTGGACAGATAGTCAGAGTTTAAATAAATATCATAAAAGTACGAAGGAGATGGAAAATAAGAAAGGGTGGGAGGGTTTTGTTTAGAATTTACCAAGGCCAGGCAAGGGAGAGACAAAGGTAGAACAAACTTCTTTTGTTGTATGCAAAGACTAGGATTGTTCTCTCGAATTAATTCCCGTAGCTTCGGTTATGTGTTTAGCAGGCGTGTTCGAATTCCGTTCGAAAGGCTAGATGGAATGCGATGGATAACTTTGAAGGCACTTGTTCTTCTGTCCACTTGGTAGTCGCTATCATTAATCAAATGAGTCAGAATAGAACTTCTTATAGATTTTATTTGACCTTTTCCGAGCAATGAAGGAAGATACTCATTAATACGTTTTTTAATATGTCTAGTTGTTCGTTCTGTACAGCTCTCTCCACAGGAGTAGCTAAATTTATAGATACACACAGAAGTCCCCCGGCTAGGTAGCTTATCTTTCACTTGAGCAATCAAAATTGGTCGGCTGGAAAATGACAAACAGAGGGTGGCGGTAGTATAAGTCCGTTTTATTGCTGTCGATAATATCTGATGTAAGACTCCACTAGCCACGTCCCCATTAAAGTGCAATTTTAGGAACAGTTGTTTCTTTTTAACTGTTGTCAGTTTCTCTTTATCGTATCTGGTGTTCTTGTGTCTCCTTACAAATCTACTAGGATAACTCTTTCGGACCCACGTATCCTAACTCCATTTCCTAGGGAGTCATTTGTGCCGATACGTCTTGCTCTATTCGTGAGGCATCTGACCAAATTGATTTTGTATCGGATTGGTACAAAAGTGAGGAAATGTGTATATTGTCCTACAGATGTTGGTTTTCTATAGACATCTCTCTTGAGTGAACCATCCTCTCTTCTGCTCAATTGGACGTCAAGGAAATGTAGTCTACCATCATGTTCTTCTTCTTCACAAGTGAAGATGAGCGATGGATGTGGATCGTTAAACTTTTCTAACATTTCATTCTTGTCAGCTTTCACATCAAGAATAACAAACGTATCATCAACATAACGAAAATAAGAATCGGTTTTCCCTATTACTTGTCTCAATGGACCATTTTCCATCTTAGCAAGAAAGAAATCTACCGAAATTGGCCCCAATGGAGAACCCATGGCAATACCATCGATTTGTCTGTAGTAAAGGTTGTTGAATGTGAAGTGTACATTCATAGTACATCTCTTAAAAGCAACTCTTTCAGACTAATAACTGGAATTTCGATGTCGAACTGTTTTTCTAGTATCTGTTGGCATATGAATTCCACAGTCTCCATAAGTGGTACATTGGTAAACAGTGATGCTACTACATCTAAGGAAAGTATTTGCTTCCCATTTACATTGATATCATCCACGTTAGCAATAAATTCAAAAACGCCTTTATATTTTTTTATATTTTTATTTTGATTACAGCTTGATTCCACACTGTATTTTCGGTACAAGTATGGAATTTTCAGCCTACGATATCGGTAGCCCAAATTTTGCAGGCCGACCATAGATATCAGGTGTGCGTCGGCGAGGGTTCGAACCCCGGACCATGTGCATGGTCGGCGAGAATCCTAACCACTGTGCCACCGACGCACAATATATATATAAATCTATGTAAATTAGAGTAAAGCCTGAAGAAAAGGATCTCATTGAAACCAACAATATTGTTCGCTTATATGCCTTGTTCTAATTTGTTAATTTTTTATTTTCACTTCTTTATTTTAAAAAACAATCATCTGTTATTTTATTTTACTTTCTTTTTTTTTAAATATTTAGCTTGTATTGACTGTTATGTTGACATCGATTGTCATCTATCTATACACAGTGATTGCGTTTAATTTCTTCCGTAAATTCTATGTGAAAGATAATGATGGTACACCTGATCCAAAATGTAATGATATGAAAACGGTAAGAGAATAAACCTCTTTGCAATGGTTTGATTGGTCACAAGTTTGACCACTAGTTGATATTAGTTAGTGGAATATAGTGAAAAACCCAGGAGTATTGGACAGCCTTTTCGTCCTAGTGCTTGAGACTCCTCAGCAGTACACACCCTTTTGTTTAGAAGATGACCTCGTAGGACATTCACTCACTGGGATCCAATCCAGTGGCCCATGAATTCCAAATTCTAGTGAGAAGTCCTAACCGGCGGGATCCACGAAGTTATTGTGCTACGCATGCATCATGAATTGGTAGAGTTTGGAATTTATGAGCCATTGATTTGGGTGTCAACGACCGAATGGTTTATGAGCTCGCCTTGTAACTGGAAGGTCCTGGGTTCGAACCTTGTTGGTGGGTCCATACTGATGAAGAGTCCCAAACTAGGACAAAAATACTTTTGTATCTAATATTTTAAAGTCCACAGAAAATAAAGCCATAATTGAACCAATTAAAACTGTTCAAACACTAAATTCACTGATACATTAAAAGAGTCATTTGTTAACCAGTGAGAGATTTCAGTCTCCAGAAAGAGTGGCAACAAATACAAAAAAGTGCCAAGAATGCGCGATAACTGGAAAATACGATTACTTTGAGGTTATAAGCAAAGATTGGGTAAAGTTAAGGGTTTATCAAACTGTTTAATATTTCCCCCCCCCAATTTTTGTATTTGATTGTAAGCGTTTCATGTCATCAAGCCTGGTGATACCTTCACAGCGTTAGCCAATTGTTCTACGGGAGGTTTACGGAGAATATCAAACAGCTTCCATCCTCACATTCAAAGTTATAAATCTTCTCTGTCAACACTTGAAACTAGATTATTATTTAAAACAATTAGTTCCCTTTATGAATTTAGATAAAGCAATAAGAAGGCGTAATTTGTCTGAATCATGTTGTGAATTTCTCCCGAAAGAAATCCGAAACGATAATCCAAACTATGGATTTAACCACACGTAGAGTGACGCGTAAAGTCCAAAATACAGGATATTCTGCAATACGGTACTTTATTACATAAAAATAGATATATAATATACAAACCTCAAAATGTGAAGTGTTTGTGGCTAAATGCCGTCAAATGCACAACCACTGTGCAGTCAATAATTAAAAACAGCAATGCTGTGTCAAGGTCGATCCACGCGTCGGTTCAAACGGCCCACGAATGCCAAGCAAAGAATAAACAAATATGAACAAACAACTTTCAATAGTAAAGCATACACTATAGGGTAAATGCAGCAAATAATGTTTAAGGAGAAGAAAAATTAGAACTATACATTAATAGAATGATAATAGAACAAGTAATTTAACTGCAGTTGTAAGCAAATGTCATCGTTATAAATTAACATATTAAAATCATACTACTTACTAATGGCAAGTAGTCTAGTGTTGAACAAAGGAAAGATTGAGAATGAACAAGTAGGAAAGGAATTAACACATGTAATGTGCATATTTGCGGAACACATTTCTAACAATCTGATCACACACGGACTTGTCATAGGATTACATATATGAAATTAATAAAGAGTTAAGAGGTTAGAAAATAGACAAGTTAGGTCAAGTTAAAGGAACATATTCAAGGTCAAAATAACAATGAAGACCACTAAACCAAATGAGACAGGTAATAGTATCTCTCCTATGGTATCAAAACAAAATTTACCAAAGAAGGTTTAATGTGATGACGAATTGTTTTTGAACGCATAAAGGTGGTTTAAACTTCTTAATTGCTAGCTAGGGCTTCCACAAACTTTAGGATACACCCACCACCAAACACGTTTTATAGATAGGTTTAAAGATATGTTAACGTCAATTTTATGTCCTATCTCTATAATGTGTTTCGCAATAGAAGAGCTAGGTCTTCTGTTCTCACCATTAATAGGTTCTGAAGATTCCATTTGTTTCTGTAGCCATTTATGAATATGCTGTGAAACCAAGCGTTACTTGCAGAGATCGATAAATCCTCCCTATGTATGTACGTGTGTCCACACGTACATTCAAACTGGTAAATACAACGGGATGTGACGTTATTTTTCGCATGTTCGAAGGGCTTAGATAGATATAATGGCATTACCTTCTCTAAAAGCAGCGTTCAGTCTTTGTCTAGTTATCAAGCTGCTATGATGCCCCATATAGAGTAGCTTGATGTACACGTCTTCATTGTTATTTTGACCTTTAGTATGTCCTTTCAACTTGACCTAACTGTATTTTCTTACCTCTTAACTCTTTATTAACTTCATATATATTCCAATGACAAGTCCGTGTGTGATGGATCAGATTGTTAGAAATGTGTTCCGCAAATATGCACATTACATGATTCAGACAAATTACGTCTTCGTATTGCTTTATCTAGATTATTATTATTAGTCTATTTTCTTCTACCCTGATTGGTTTGTTTTGTTTATCATGTAAATAAGAAGTGCATCGTCAGTTCAACAGTTGAATGCCTACCAACTAGTCAGTGACTAGTGTCCAGTTAAAGTTTCGAGTACAGTTGTACAGGAGGTGAATTGCAAGCCCGAATAGCTCAGTAGTAACGTCTGTGACTGCAACACTGCGCTGGGTGACGTGGGTTCGAATCTCATAAAGGGCACGAGACACGCCTTACTGACTAGTGAGTGCCAACTAGCACAAGACGTCGGTGAAGCAAAGCTCCCTGTCGCCCCGATTGCTTCCAACCATCTAATACTTGAAAATATGATGCAGAGTTTATATAATAAAATTTGTCAATCAATAAATCAATAAAGGTATATTTTTAATTCATCTTAATTTAAGCCTTACCGATACTCATATCGATTGTATTTTTTTTCTTTTCTTTTTTTGGTTTCAATTATTTTAGTGTTTCATATTTCATTTACACACGGGATTAAGAGCTGGTGGTGGAATCGGTGATGAAATTGAAGCACCTGATGGTGATGAATCAGAGAGTTATCGAATCCTGTTCGATTTAACTTTCTTCTTCTTTGTCATTATTATCCTGCTGGCTATTATTCAAGGTAATTCATTATTAGATAAATTCAGTTTGTTTACACTAAACTGCCTGTGTTACATTCAAGCTTTATTTACATTTACAGATGATAGGTAAACAAATCATGTGGATTTCAGGATTTCATCATGAGCTGACATTGGTTAGAGAAACATTGGAAAACTGGGGAGTACTGGACAGCTGTTTCGTCCTAGTTTGGGACTCTTCACAGTACGCACCCACCAGGATTTGAACCCAGGACCTTCTGATTTCAAGGCGAGCTCGTATATCATTAAACCAATGGGGCTCGATCGAATGGCCCATGAATTCTAACTTCTGACGAAACAACTGTCCAGTACTCCCAGGTTTTCCAATGGTTCTCTAATTAATATCAGCTCATGATGAAATCCTGTAACCAACCAATAAAATCCCTATAAACCAACACTTAAATAATCATATGGATTGTTAGACTAAGGTCTGTGTGATAGGAGATCTTCATTTTTTAATATATGTGTAAAACTTGAGCACTGTGGTAGTAAGTAATTCCATATTAGTTTGTGTATTAGATGGATATATCACACACAGTCAATGACACAGTATTATTATTTACTGGATGACAAAGTTTCAAAGAAAACGTATTGTTCATTACGTTCAGCTAGTCTGACTGACTACCCCTGTTCTACTAGTTTGACCTATGCATTTGACCTGAAAATCATCGTAGACAGGGTATTAGATAGACTAAATTGTTTCGTTTTAAAGGCTCCACAGGGTTGATCCTTTAACCGACAGAGCTTGTTTCTAATTGAGTTTGTGGTTGGTTTGAATGCCAGCAGCCACTTTTATTCCTGCCTGAATTGTTAAGAATTCTGCGCAGAGTTTCCGAGGTTCCTTTTCTTTTATGGAATTACTGCTGATGATTTAGATTCCTTATTGTTGGTGTCGTCACCATTATTATTATTATCACTATCACTACTAACATTATTTAATTTATTTTTACATTCCCTTGCATATATCCTGACTAATTTATCAAGGTAATTATTAAGTTTCTTTTATGTGTATCACTTCCTGTCTTATATTTTCCTTGGTAGTACTTAGCTTTTGTGCTCTGTCACTTAAACATTTCACCAATCTTATTTTTACTGACATAGAATGGAATGATCGGAAGTCCAAATATCTATCACTGTGTGATACATCTAATAAACAAACTAATATGGAATCTTCATTTTTTATTTTATTTTTTTTTTTGATTATAGCTTGAAACCGCACAGTATTTTTTTGCACAAGTATGGAATGCTTAGCACTATGATATCGGTAGCTGAAATTTTTGCGGGCTGACCAATTGATATCAGGTCTGCGTCGATAGGGGGTCGAATCCCACACCATTTGCACGGTCGGTAAGCATTCTAACCGCTGTGCCACGGATGCACAATAATTGTTTGAGATGTATCAAATCAATGATGACCATTTTTTGTGAGAAAATCTTCCCTTGTATATGTGTTCATGGTTTAATGGAAGGATGCTCGCCAACTATACCTAGTTGACTAGCAGACAGCAAGTCTAAAAAAAAACAGGGAAGGTGGTTGGGGCATGAGGCCAGCAATCCTATGTTGCTAGTGGAAATTCAAAGTTAACAACCTGAAGCCTTCTCTATGTGTTTCACTCGTAAAACAAGGGATTAAGGTCAAAAAATATACTCTGAAGTCAATAACTTAAGAAAGGTTGATAAGAAATTATATTAAAATTGCCTTTGAAATACAAATACAATCTGATAAAGTGTTTAGTGCATAGAGTAAGAGCAATCTCCTCTGATGAATGTCTTAATGAAGAGCTTAATATTAAATAAACGATTGCTGTTGAGTGAGAACGGTTTCCCATTTGAATAAAATCAATATAAGATAAAGTACATTCAGAAATAATGTTAGTGTTATCAATAAAATACAATCAGATGAGAAATAAGATATTTTTATAGTAAAATAAATAAATAACTTTTTACAATAATATGCGAAATGTGAATTGAAATAAAATTTTAAGAGTATTTATTATCCTACTCCGAGTTGACTGGTAGTCATAATATCTTCCATATTTCTGGTATTTGCATTGAGTCATTTCTGTTGTATGTGTTGTGTTGGGCGTAGACTCGATGAACCAGGATTCAGGATTCAATAACCAATCTCTCTCATTCCACCTACCTATATTTCTTCCTAGAATTTTGACTCTGTCCCACCCTATTGCGTGGTTGTGTGTTAATGCATGCAGTGCAGTGTGATTGCTGAGGCTTTTTCTGAATTACTTATCTTCTCCGAGTCAACCATTCTTACCTTAGCTAAATTCTTATGTCCTGACAGGTGCAATCTCACTACTGACCCGATCTACTGGTTTGAATCACCTGTGTAGGTGGTTGACTTAACTAACTCACAGTCATTGCAAGGTATTTTGTAAATTATATTATTTTTTTAAATGCGTCCACCGGGTCCTTTAGCCTACTAAATAATGGGATTATATAAACAAAGTAAGAAAGTTGTGTGTGAGTATTGCCTCGATATGATGATGATGGGCAGCAATAAATTGTGCTCGAAGCGCATGGTCATCAGTAAATACTACTGTGTATAGCCACACTGTGTGACTAATCAAAATAAAATCTTATCTTTAATGGAATTACACTCTACCACAGCAGTCCTAAGTTTTATACTTACACCAGTGTTCAACTACTCATTTCAACCATTCAGTAATATATATGATTTTATGCAAATATGCTTGCTTACTCAAATACCACTGATGTTATCAAGCAGATCACATAATCTGCGATTTGAATAACTTGGTTTCCAAAACAAACTACGGTGAAATTTCACTGCTAGAAGTGTGTGAGCGTGTAAATTGCAAATTGCTAAACATATTGGCGAATAGTGAATTTGATTTACGAAATACTTAATCTTTGTCGGCAGTTGGATTTTAGATTTTCCCGTCGATTGATTGGACCGAAGTGCTCGGTCTCAGGTTGACATGTCGGCTTCTTGTGCAGATGCTTCAATGAAATGCGTATCCTGGATTCCACTGCTAGTCACCATCCACAAATTAAATTCTAACTAAATGCCCAGACATCGTCGAAGCATCTGCACAAGAAGCCGACATGTCAACCTGAGACCGAGCACTTCGGTCCAATCAATCAATCGACGGGAAAATCTAAAATTATATTAATATGACTCATTGCACAAGAGGTGGCTCTCGTAGCCAAAGTGGTCCAGTGGATAACGCTTTGGCGTTTGAAACTATAGGTAATGGGTTCGAGCCTCAGTGGGAACATTATCACTCACTCCGGAGTGCTGGTAGATCCAGTTGGCTGACGAGTCCCAAATAGGACGAAATGCGCGTTGTCCTGGATTCCACTGCTGGTCACCATCCACCAATTAAATACAGTCGACAGTGTTTAATTTTTAACTCTAAAACTTATTAATAAGCAACATTTAATTATTTTTATTATCTCTATAAATCATTATAATTTTAGGTCTTATTATTGATGCATTTGGTGATTTGAGAGATCAACTGGAACAAGTGAAAGAAGATTTGGAGTCGAAATGTTTCATCTGTGGTATTGGTAAAGAATACTTTGATAAAATGCCGCATGGTTTTGAAAAACATGTTGAAAAAGAACACAATTTTGCAAATTATATGTAAGTTGAGGAAGGGGAATGCTTGGATACAACCCTTGCTTTAACAATACACCTTGAAAATGATGCCTCCACCCAACCCTTACTCCTACGATTCATTAACTCTTGCATCCTGCCTATTATACTCTATTGTTCCCCCTTAGGTTTTACAGGGCTGCTGAAGAAAGACTATACCTTATTATGTAGGACGTTAAAAGTTGTCAGCAGGGTAAGCAACGTGCCACTTAACCAGCTTGTTAATATTCTGGTTGACAGGCACTTGGACTCATGGGAAAAATGGGCTAAATCCATTCCATCTATCTAACTCACACCACTCGCACTCTTCATTCACAACTCTCCCTATGCATCTCATCAGGCGGGACCACAAGCCTATATAGAAAACTATATGCTCGCACTAGCAACTACAAAAACTCAACCATACCCTACTTGGCTCGTTCGTGTTCTGTGCGATAAAGAAAGCATTAGGCGTGATACCTATAACTTATTAAATAGTCACTAGAACAATTTGAATCTCGTCTTTCCAACTCATATCATTTACAGGTACAACGTTTTCTTTCTTTTCCTTTTCTCTCTCTTTATTCCTGTGTTATGTGCTGCTTTGTTTCTCTCTTCCTTACAAACTCTACTTAAAACATTCTTTTCGTTCTTTCACACTCTGTATATCTCGACCATTTTGCTATCGCTTAGGCCAGTAAATATGCTAGTAGTATCTACTTTTCTAACATCTTCAAACATTCTGTTCAATTTTAGCTTTGCCATCGACATGCTAATATGTTGTTGTCAGAACGAGCTGAGACTACCCATAATCTATGTAGAATTTTATTTATTGATAATGCGCAAACTGGAAAATTCCATTCTGTATCACAAGTACTGTTTTGGAATAAAGCAAATTATTATTATCTTAACTGACACACTTTGATCTGTACTGAAGTTTGATTTTATTTATTAGATTAAAAACATGATGGTACATTATGAGCACTAAGAGATTTGCCACATAAAATCTCATATTTTATACGACGGCTTGGATACTGCCCGAACGCCCAGACTGAAGTAGATGGTTGTCTTAAGGTGCTATTTCCCCCACCCACCCCCTCCGAAGTCTGGTCCATAAGGAAGCGGAGAAGTGTCAAACTCTCTTCTTATACTACCCGATTTGATCCGTTCAGATTCTGAAGTCCATGTACACACTATAGGTTTGGAAGCAGGGTTACACATCTCCCCTACATAGACGAACATGTCCATCAATTCGGTTGTATTAACGCCAGATGTTCGCCTGTCTTGTGAAGTCAGTGAATATTTCTCGCCTGGTAGAGGCTATGATCTGAAGGTCAAATAAGAGCATTTTGAGTAGAGTGCTTACCCCTTGGACGTATTACGTCATTTCTGGAGACGGTAGTACTGATGAGATTAAGAAGACAGTTGGAGAGAAGAAAATTTTCTTTTCGACGAAGTCACCGTCAGCTAGGATGCACATTCGTGTATTTATATCAAATGGATGGGAAAGTTCCAGAATAATTTCCGGTTAAGGGTCAAATTAATAAAAATTAGAATGCCATAATAAACAGGCAGTGGGACGGATAAAACTCAAACAAAATAGCATCATAATAACTAAGAAGATTGCCATGGTGCAATTAGGGTTAGAAATGTAGAAATAACAAAATAGACAGGTGTTTGGATAAAAACTAATGTGATGAATAATTGTTTATACAATCAGGGATTAAATATGTAGAAATAGTAAAATGACAAAGTAAACACGAACTTAGGGTATGGAAATATGGTAGTGTAAACAGGGATTAAGAAAAACTTGAAAATAACATGAATGAACAGGAACTTTAAGTAAGAAAGGCGATGGGATGGTCATTACTAAAAAACATAATTTGCCTGTTTATGATGGCCATGGCAGGGACAGGGGTGGACGTATTTCTTTTGTATACAAAGCGTGGGTTTGAGCTTTTGGATAGCTAGAGCCTCGGCAATGCCCAGATGTCTTGATTTCACTCCCTTTGATAGGTTTGGTTGAATCTTGTATATTACTTTGAAGGATTTTTCGAGTGGCGCTGAATGTCCTGAATTGACCAGATGTTCTGTCACTGAACAAGCTTTTGGTCTCCTGATGAGATTACACAAAATGACAGGGATCTGATAGCCAAAATTATTCATTTTTATGTCTGACAGCATAACACTATGTGGTAAAGGATACTTCATTTTGTGCTGAAGACACACCGACAACAATTAGATTGGTAATCAGTCGAAAAAGGGGGAAAGTCTGTACTGGAAAACACTGGAGACTGTCAGAGTTTTATTCATTTTTACCAACCCTAAAAGTGGTATTCTATAGTCTCCCCTTGGATTTGAGCAGTTTGATAACGATAATCATAATCACAATAATAATAATAATAAACTGTTAACATTTGTTCTCTTATTAACAGGTACTTTTTAATGCATATAATCAATAAACCGGATACAGAATATACTGGTCAGGTTAGTTAGTCAATTTTTATCGATTCATACAGTTTGGTGATATGGTTGTCTAGTCAAATTCAGATTTATAGGTTTGATCAGGATTTGACATCACTTAGAGAATCACTGGGAAACCTAAATGGAAGTACTGTAAAGCTGTGTCATCGTCCTACTTTGAGACTCCTCTTCGGCACGCACCTACCACGGGAGTTCAAACTCAGGGCCTTCTGGTTATAAGGTGAGCTTGTAGGACCATTCAGTATTTCCACTAACGGTCTACAGAGGGAAAGGACTCTCAATCAGTTGTACCACAGGATAATACTATATGTTGGTCTCCTTTGGCAAAAGAGAGGAGTGGATATGTTCAGCTCTCCTAAAAAAGCAATGTATAAATGCCCAGTTAATGGTCCAATAGTAGAATACTCCCCAACCACGAACATGATCCGAGGTTCCAAATTCAGCCGATACACCCTTGAACCTCATCTAGCCAGTAGTAAGATCGGAAAAGAGAGAAGGTTGAGCATGGATAGAGTAAACTTACTCCGTTAAGGAAAACAACATCGTTACTGAAACTTCAAAGCTCAGACAATAAGCATTGAGTCCGAGAACAACAAAAACAATATCTGATTATAGATATGCCCGATCCATCCAGGTAGTAAGTAGTAAGTCCTTAATAGAATAAGACTCTTCAGCCTATTATCCCCAACCAGCTAACATACGTAAAATTACACAATTGCGTCGAAAAGTTGTATTGTCCACTTTTGTATAAATAAATACAGATTTTTCTCGGTGATTTCCTTTACAGGTGGAATGTATGACTTCATGCCTTGAAATTTAAGAGAGTGTGGTGTTTTTTATTTTAACGAAGGGGAGTGGAGTTGCTAACTTCACTCACGCCCAGCCTTCCTTCCTTCTGGCCAATAGACCAGATAGAGCTTATGAGTGCTTCAGCTAATCCCCGAAACACGTATTGGTTAGAAAGCAATGTACCCTTAAATCATATATATATATATATATATATATATATATATATATATATACCCAATTACTTAGGTCGTTACATGTGTCGGCGGTTAAAAGGAAGCATGTCTACCAGACATGCAATTTGCCTGATTTAGAGTCTCTGCCAATACAATTCTCGACCTAGCCTCCTGGCTCACTAGCCAATAGGATGACTGGAAAAGATGAGAGGTTAGGTTGAATTAACACCCTAGGAATCCCACCCTTTGGAAATCATCAATACAATCAGTACTGAGACTTCAAGAATTAAAGGTCTATACTCCATTCAGGATTCAGCCTGGATCATAACAACTGCTATATAAGATTACCTAACCAGTAATCTCATACGTCGGTGGCACAGTAGTAGAGTGCTCACCAACCACGCATTTGGTCCAGGGTTCGATCTCCGGTCGACGCCTTTCCTTACCTCGCTAAGCCAGTAATAGGACTGGTAAAGAGGAAAGGCTGGGCATGAGGCTAGCAACCTGATCATTCCGTTAAAATAAACACCACTGCTGCAGAGACTTTAAAGCCCAAGAAGCCTGAAAAGCCCTATGTTCCACTGGGAACGTAGAGGATTAAAAAGATCAGTAATCACAGCCTTCAATTTATACGGTTTGAGAGGGTAAAATTTCACCACGGTTTTCTTCAGAAACAAAAATTCGTCAGATCACACACACACATACAAATTGCTATATACTACTGATTGATCGGAATGATTAATAGTGGGATACCAGACACCTCAACTCGTGACACACATACTGGCTACTGAAACTGCTGTTTAAGTAGTATGATTTTAAAGACAAAATTATTGCAAACTGGTTGATGCTGACTTACAGTGGAATCGAGGATGCACATTTCGTCCTATTTAGGAATCGTCGTCTGGATGTGCCTGGATTCCTCGATCAGCATTATCAATGAATATCATTACTTGAAATAATAATAGTAATAATGATAATAATAATGAAAAAATCACTCGTTTTTTTTAATTTTATTATTTTGTGTTTATCTATTCGAATTTTTCTAGGAAACTTATGTTTGGGAATTATATCAACAAAGATGTTGGGATTTCTTCCCTATTGGTGATTGTTTCCGTAAACAATATGAAGAAGAATTACAACCGAAATAGTTTGTCCTTTTTCTAGGATAAAAGACAATGTTTTTTATGCAGTGCAGTACATACAGTGATAACGACATGATTACATAATGAGATATCTCCTCCTTTTAACTATCGATTCATGCATCCATCCATCCATCCATCTATCTGACCATCTTGAGTGATGAGTAATAGTTAAAACATGCAAGTAGCCTAAGCAAGTGAATGAAATAACTCTACAAACAATAATATAGACACATTAGACAGTGTGGTATGTCAATATCTTCAGGATTGAAATGATAACATTAAGAAAAAGAAACACTTAGGATACACAATACTTTTTGTCCTCTTTCCCATCGTTCCCAACCGCCCTCCGCCCCACACCTTGAACTATTTCTGCCTTTTATTTTCATTTATGTGTGTATTCCCAAGTTTCTCAAAAAAAACAAGCCAACACAAAGATTTGCCTTCATCCAAAGAAAAAATGATTTGCTTACTACTTAGGAAAGAGTGAACCTATCTCTCACAGCTTAAATTCACTCTCCTTCTGTCTTTTTTTCTCTTTGTGTTATCGTTCACCCGCCCCCCACCCCCCAACCTTTCATATATATACACACACACACTGACCTTTATTCCTTTTCACAACTTTTGATTGAGTACGATGGCGGTGGTAATCATCACCGTCCGCCAAAAAAACAGTAGTTAGTAGAAGTATTTAGAAGTGGATAGTAGGCATTGGAAAAGCAAGTATACAAAATATATTTAAATATACAATTTACTTATATAATTAATTATATGCGAAAATACAACCAAATAAACCACACTACAAAAAAGTAAATAAAACAGCATGCGGGGGGGGTGGTGGTTGATACAAAACCCCCTGACTACTGATTAGCTTTTAATTTTTTCTCGCCAACCTCTTAATGCATGCAATGCAATTTATTTAAACAATGTTGTTTAATCACAGTTGAATAAAACTGTGTTAAATTTGATAATTAGTTATTAGAATAAATGAATGAATAAATTAAATAATAATAATATCTAAGCATGTATTGTATTGTAACAACAAAAAAGCACAAGACACGGAAGCCAAGATATGCTAATGCCGAATTGAACTGTGAGAATTATATTCCGTTGGCAGACACTGTCTGTATCACACCACTTCACTCGTCCCCCTGGTCAAATACTTTTAACTGAAATTGCTTTGATCTTCCTGTTGCTGGCGGCTCTGTTAGCTTGTCTTGTTGTATAGAGTTCCAGAGCTCACTGCCTATTCACCAACTTCTGTTTGTTTGCACCTCTGATGGTGTATACGTGACCCGTCTCGCAGTGACTGTGTACAGTCCTTCTTACTATGAGAGAGCAGTTTAGGTGACCCTGACACATATTCCCCGGTGTTTCGCCTTACACTATCATATTCTGCTTTCACCCGACCTCTCAGCAGCGTTCCAAGTAATAGCCTCATCGTTGACGGATCTTGAACACCATTCAAATCCGCAACAAACTCGAAGTCCTGCAAGAAGATCCATGTGTCTCCTTCTTCAAAAAGGGAAGGACATAGGTTTTCCATTTATCGGCAGGCAGCGACAGCAAATGGAACAGCAGAAGGCAAGACACAGAGCAAAGGTATATTTTCATTGATCAAACTGCTGTTTATATCTATACAGTCTTATATTCTTTAACCAATCATCATTGAGCGGTGTGATTTTGGCTTACACTGAAAGAAATGAAATAGAATGTTCAAATATGATAATAATAATAATAATTTGCCTTATTCCAGAAGCAGTACTAGTGATACAGTTTAGAATTTTCAGCACATATCTACGACAATGCATCTAATTTTATTAAACATTTAAAAGGAGTATTTCAAAAAATAAATATAAAGACAACAACAACAACAAAAACAGAAAAATAATTAAAAAAATGCGAAAAATACCAAGAAGTAGAAAGGAAAATAAACAACATAATAAATAATATCTCAGTATTAGGTAGTGGAAGCTATGATATGTTTATGCGTGGTGACAGTAACGCTATAGTCATACAAGAAGTTATGAAATGATATTTAAGAATGTTTATGGCCAAGGTGATCAGTTAATTTGATTGAACTACACTAAACAATCATAAAATAAACATTTCAGGTTGTGTTTTTTTGTCAGCACTAATGCAGTGTTTGTTGTGGTAGTGTGAGTAATCATGCATAATCCAAAAATTTTAGGATGTTGATAACGGCATTCACAACCAAGATTTTCAGTTAATATTGCCGAACAAAAAAACAACCACAAAACTAATATTAAATGATGGTTATTGGCAGGACAATTTTGTAATACTCATAGTGCCAGTAGATAGACAAAAGAAGGAATAGAGTAAATTACAAAAACGTAAGCCAGTGTTAATAATTTAGGTAGCTAAGTATGTTTAAGAAGGTTGTTCACTATAGAATACAAATAAGAGAGAAATAAAAGAGCCAAAATTATGTTATTAACAACAAAGCAAGTCATAGGTTTCACGCTTAACATTGTCTCTGTCACTTAGAACACGGGCCAAATATGGTATCATTGACTTCCTATATTTGGTTGTACGGGCATATATTATTTTATACTGATTTCTGGTTCTACCTGATGAGATGCAAGGAGAGAGTTGGGAATAGAGGGGGTGTTGGGGGTCGGAGAGTATGGTTTTAGACCATTTTTCGCATGTATTCAGATGCCTTTCTACTAATGTAGTGACGAGCTGTCTGAGTTTACACCACTAGTCCTACAGTATTCTATTGCTAATTCAGTATTGAACTGTGAGAATATGTGAGAATTATATTCCGTTGGAACACATTGTCTACATCACACCAACACACTCGTCCACCCCCCCCTCCCGTCAAATACCTTCAACTGAAGTCGGTCCAGTCTTCTTAGTGCTGGCGGCTTTGTTTGCTTGTCTTGCTGTATCCATTTCCAGAGCTCGCTGATGTTCAATCACTTCTGTTTGTTTTCACTTCTGATGGTATATACGTGACTCCGTCTCGCGGTGACTGTGTATGGTCCCTCCTACTTTGGAAGCAGTTTGTATGACACTGGAGTATATTCGCCAATGTTTTGACTCACACTATCATATTCTGCTTTCACCCGACCTCTCAGCAGCGTTGCGAGTAATAGTCTCTTCGTTGACGCCATTCAACTTCACAACAGCCTCTAAGTCCTACCCGAAGGTCCATACGTCTCCTTCTTCAAAAAGGGAAGGACATAGGCTTTCCAATTATCGGCAGGCAGTGACAGCAAATAGAACAGCAGAAGGCAAGACAAGGAAGCCAAGGTATATATGTCATTGATCAAACCGCTATTTATACACATATCTATACAGTCTTATATTCTTTAACCAATCATCACTGAGCGGTGTGATTTTGGTTTACATTAAACAACATGAAATAGAATGTTCAGTGTTCCAATGTTTGATTGCAATGTAGAAACGAAAGAAGATGGAAAGTCAAACACTAGTGTTTACTTACAGGAAACCAACACATTCAAACAGATATATGGACTTCCGATCATTCCATCCTATGTTAGTAAAAAAATAGGATTGGTGAAATGTTTAAGTGACAATAGGGCACAAAAACTAAGTAAGTACCAAGGAGATCTAAGACAGGAAGTGATACACATATAAGAGAATCCTTGAAACTTAATAATTACCCTGATAAATTAGTCAGAAAGCATGTAAGGAAATGTAAAAATAAAACAAATAATGATAGAAGGGATAGTGATAATAATGATATTAATGACGACACCAACAATAAGGATCCCGATCATCAGTAGTAATTCCATACAAGGAAGGAACCTCGGAAACCACCTCACGCAAAATTCCTAACAAGGCAAGCAGTAGTAAAAGTGGCTGGGATTCAAACCACCCACACACTCAACTAGAAACAAGCTTTTTCGGTTAAAGGATCAATCCTGTGGAGCTTTATAACAAAACAATTTAATTTATCTAATACCCTATCTACAATGATTGTCAGTGAGGTCAAATACATAGGTCAAAGTAGTAGAACGGGGTCAGTCAGACTAGCCGAACATAAAAACCTAGCAAAATCTACATTAGTTGACCCAAATAAGATAAGAAATCTAGAGAATAGTTCAGCTATACCACTCACTACATGCAATTGCACACAACCATACCATAGGATGGATGGGATAAGATGACAGTTTTAAAATCTACTGTAACAGCTGGGTGGAGGGAGAGATTGATAACAGAAGCTTCGTTTATCGAATAAACTGCAAACACGTGTAATAGGAATGATTCATCACCTGTCCAGTTGCACATCTGGACAATTCTACTACCCCAACGACGACAAATAGGAGAAGACAAAGAAAACTATAAAACTCAAATTTCAAAGTCGTGTGATTATAATTGATGAAATGATTAAGAACAGTAATACATTTTGCTCGAAACCTCGTCATCCAGTAAATGATAATATTGTTTCACTGTGTGATACATCTAACAAGCAAACCAATACGGAAATACATATATAGTATTCTGTAGCTAATGCAGTATATAACTGTGGGAATAATATTCCGTTAGCACACATTGTCTGTATCACACCACCACCACCACTACAGTATAACAATAGTATTAAGTGTTAACGTAGTTTATTCTTCATACTTTTTGCGCGACGATTTTGCTTTTTTTATGTATGGATTATGATGTAACCAGGTGAATTATTAAGCTGGTAAAACTGTTAGTAAATAGAAAAGATTTTTAGCTCAGGTGGATGATATTGAATTAGTGTTGTGTTCTCTGAGGAGCTGGTTGATGCTTTAATTGTGAGGGTTTCATCGTCCACCTATTCTAGACAACATCGCTTCGGAAGCAGATGTTAGTATAAAATGAACTTATTTAAATTTTCCATGAATGATTTAGTCATTCGATAAATATTAGATTAAATCAAATCTAAACATTACGGATCATTAATAAACAGAGCTTGGAATGGCAGTCAATCCTCTATTTCAACTTCATAGACTTTGAAAAGACCTTCGACAGCGTAGATCGAGAGGTGATTTGGCAACTACTTCGCTATTACCAAGGGGTTCCACAAACAATTATACACCTCATCCAACAGTTGTACGACAATGCTGCATGCCAAGTAATCCACAACGGGAAACTTACGGAATCCTTCGAAGTGAAGATGGGAGTAAGACAGACTGGCTGTCTACGATCTCCAATTATTTTCCTGATTGCGGTAGACTGGATAATGCAACAGACATCGGCGGGCAACGTGGAGACAGGCATATAATGGAGCCACACAAAACACTTGGAGGATCTGGACTTCGCCGATGATATATGTCTGATTTCCCACAAACTGGAAGATATGCAAGTGAAAAGCAACAAGTTGGCAGAACAAGCATCCGGAGAAGATAGGACTTCCCTCAGGTAAACATAGAGAAAACAGGGTTGACGATGAAGATTCCTGGCCAACAGCAACAACAACAGACAACAATCAACCAGCATAAATGGGAGAAATCTGAAAGAAACAACCTCCTTTACCTGCCTACCTGGGAAGCGTCGTTTCAACTACAGGCAGGCGGAACTGATGAGGATATGAAAGTGATGACAGAGAGATTTCATTTATCTCAAGTCTGTGTGGAGGTCAGCAGGACTCAGCAGGAAAAGTGAGATCTGGAATTTAACTCCATTATGGATAAGATTTTTTTGATAAATGACACAGTGTTGTACAGTTATATTAACTGATGAAGTTTCGACCACAAACTATTGGTCATAATCATATCAAGTTACTCACACAACTGTTTTTTTCATATATATATATGGAATCGATTAGTGCGTCGGTGGCAAAGTGGTTAGGACTCTCGCCGACGATGCACATGGTCCGGGGTTCGAGCCCACGCCGACGCACACCTGATATCTATGGTCGGCCTGCAAAATTTGGGCCACCGACATCCATGCTGAAAATTCCATACTTGTACCAAAAACACAGTGTGGAATCAAGCTGTAAATTAAAAAAAAAAATAAAAAAAATAGATATTGGATTAAAAATCAGCA